TTTTAATTGTTGCTAGAGGACTTTACATACAATTGAATATTAATATTAGGTCCACTTAGTGTTTTCATTATATTTTTTTATGTATAAGTTCACATACTTCTGTTAACTGATAAACATTTATAAATTAAACAGCAGATCCACTTTTGTCCTGTTGCCCTACCAACTGAGTTACCCTGTTAGATAAAACATTTCTAACGGTTTAGCGCGAAATATTAATTCACTTATTAACTTAAGCACCCGCAACTTCGGACCGTTGTTAGAATAAATTAAAAATAAGTTAACTGATATTTCGCATTTTAAACCGTTAAAGTGTTCTACTTAAATGTGAACAACTCGGGTAGACTACAGACAATGGTGAGTTACCTTTTCATACGTCATTGTATATTTTTTAAATCCATTTACAGATGCATCTCTCGCGTAATGTCATTTTTGGTTCATGATAATACGTATCTAGTAACGTTAGTGATGAAATTGTTTCAATCTAAACTGAATTTTACTTTCATAAAACTATTTTCAAAAATAAAAAAAGAAGCTTCACACATAAACTTTCTCACAGGGTTGAAAGTTGAGCGAGTTATACAAAAGTGTTCCCATAGCAAAATCTTTAGCAATAACGGTTCTACTATTGAGAAGTGCCAAATAAATGAATGAAGCACAACCAGAGTATATTTACTGTCGTATCAAAAAGCGATAGCTCTTATTCTAATGAAATAAGGTTTTATTTTGATTACATTTGTTATATGAATAACTTGGTATTGAGAAGTTTATTGAAAACGAATGCAGCTCTGAAGGTCCCAAAGGAAGGGGGCAAGTCTGTGCGTCCCGTCTGGATAGAAACAATGAATTTGAAAAGCGTTTTATGTCTGGACCACAAATTGAAAGCGCACTGGATGCTATTATTGTTATTTTTGCTCCAGATATTTCATTGAATGGAAATTTAAAGCAATAAGACTAGTTTTAAATATAGGTTGGTTATTAAAAGGCTCCGGATTTATAAAGGCATTTTTGACTAACGTCAATACTTTGTTGGTAAAATATATTTTTACATTTTTACATGTAAAATCAATTTAAGACTAATTTATTCTGCCTTTAAAGGCTGTGGATTTAAAATGTATTTATAATTTTTCTGATATCTGGGTATAATGGGGGGGGGGGGGTGTAGGAATAGGTATTGGAATTTCTTCCGGGTCTCGAACCACCGTCCATATAAAAGAACCGTCAAGTTTAAACCGTTAGATTTCCCAATATACAAAGACAAAAGAGGTGCGACTACTCATCTTGTTTATATGGCTATGGTTAAATTCATGGTTTTTCTGTCCCCCTCAAACAAAAACACCGCTTTTTAAACATTACCCTGTGGGGAAAAAAATTTTTAAAAAATTCCCCAAAAGGGGGGGTCTTTTGAAAAAAGGCGAAACAAGTGGCTGTTAATGAGATACAGCCTAATGTAAAACGGTCACCAAAACCTCAGTAATCGTCCCGTTTTCATTCTTTGTCTATAGCCATTAAAATAAAAGTGAAATTACATCAATTTTAATCATAGCGCAAAAAATTCAAAATCAATATAATTTAATGTAAAAATCGGAAAACAAACTCGACTCGGGCAGGAATTGAACCGGCATCGTCAGCGTTCCGTGCTGTTGCTCTAACCAATAGAGCTACCGAGTCGAAATTTGTTCAATGTATTTTCGTTTTTTTTTTCCTATTTGGGGACTAGTTGGGAGTAAATTTTTTTTTAATTAATATAATTTTTAAATTATATAGTGTTTTTATGTGCTATAACATGTGAAAAATATTAAAGTTTTCATATATTTTGTATTTATTGGACACAGCAAACATAACGCAATAACAATGTATTTCAACTATTTTCGAAACACAGGAGTTACCCGAACATAGTTGTTTCTGTTATAGTAGAACGTTATTGATTGTGTTCTTGGTGCAGAAATTTACTTGTTCTAGTTCTAGATGCAGCTCAGGCTCCCCCTTGCTTTTATTAGGTGACCTTAGCTCTAATTTACAAGTTGAAGGTTCCCTTTTATTGGTATTCTTGTAAGGCATAATGCGTCTGGCTGGGGGACTCAATAGCTTAGCTATTTCAAGGCAACCTGTATTGAGATAGGTTAATGCATTTAGAGGTAACTCGGTCGGTAGTTTATTCACAACACAGCTGCCTAGCACAGCACAGGTTTAGTAGTCTTTTGTTCTTGTGTTAGAACTATGAAGATATTAGAATTCTGTTTTATATATAACCTAAGTCATCTTTAATCTATGACCTCATGAATGTGGTTAAATGGAATTAAAAAAATACCTTTAGGTAAGATACGGGCTTTGGTTTAAGCATATACACTTTTATGTTATAAATATATATTTTACGCTAGTTGCACTTCAATCAAAATTGTAATTCACTTAACGCATTAGAAATAACTTTAACGAATATATTTCACGTTTCAAACCGTTAGGTGTTTTTTTAATGTGTCTATGAGTATGCGATAACTTCAATTTGTAATCAATTCAGCCAACTTAAGGGTTGACAATGTTTTGACAGTGGTTTGTAAATCATGTGATCTTCAGGTCTTGCTACACCTTCCTTTAAGAACCCCATTAACATATGGTACACTAAATATAGCTTTCACCAATTGGGGTGCATCTCCCACATGTTCGCAAGATGGTTGCTCACCTTACTGAGCGGATTGTCGGCGAAAAAAGCCGCTTCTTGCGTTACAGGATGTATCTTGATCTTTAAGAAGATTTAACTGTATATGGACCGTTTCTACCAGAAATCTCACAGTTCATCTTTCCGAGGAGAAATTTGAAGGTATACCCTCCAAAACTATATTTTATTACTTACTAGCTGTGCCCGTGACTCCGTTCATGCGAGATAGTTATTTTGGGCATCATATTATTATTTACTTTTACAAACAACCTCCTCAGCTGTCAATCACGACGTCGTCCGTGTCCCGTCATCCTTGCGTGTTAATCATAAAACATTGACTGTCGCAGACATTTTTTTAGATAATTTAAAGAAGTCATTCTTTCATACATATATTTTGGGTATCTTGAAACGAAAAATAATATCTTTGAGGGTATATATTGTTCCCCGTTTTTTTACGTTTCCCCTTGTATCTTCACTCCAATATGTCGCAGCGTGATTTTTTATAGACTAAACTTTCCTCGATAAATGCTCTAACCAACACTACAGATTTTTAATTCTAAACAATATTTCCTGAGTATAGCGCGGTTAAACAATCAAACTCTTCCGTTTTATAATATTAGATTTGAAACCATTTTTACATGTTATTGCACATGTAGGCACTATATAATTTAAAAATCGTAAATAAATTGAAAAAATTTTCGACTCTGGACAAGACACGGACACGTGTATTTTTTCATTTATTTTGATTTTTAAAATGATATTAGATTTTTTAAACTGCACAAAACATATGAACATCTTCATTTTGCTCATTTCTTAGATCGCTTAATAATCACTCCGAAAGCTTTGCTGTATTATATGCGCAGGCGCTTTGATAATTGTAGAACTGTATTCGTATAACATTTTATTTTATTTATTTGTATTCACAATCAAACAGCCTTATTTAATACTTAATTAAACTATTATTTTCAAATAAACAGGTCAAGCCTTAGACTGCTTATATCGTAATGTTTTTTTTTAATTTTATTCACGTGATTTATAAATTTTAAATTAATATTTTCTTTACAGTTACTAAATGTTAGTGTGTAGAAGATATTTATCAAGTTCGAATACTGGACTTTTTTTTTAATATATTTAGTACATTCATAGTTACTCAAATATTTTATACTTTTACTTTGGTGACTATGGAAAAAAATATATAATACTTTTTTCGTATAAATACTATACAATTAACGTATATATGATCGAATATAATTTAATTTTCCAAAATCACGAAAGATAAGTTTCAACTAACAATTGTATAGAAATTGAACAATACAATCGGCGCGTGCCAGGGCGTTTTATGCAGCTGGCGTAGGCGTGTACACACACAGAGCTATCTACACACACATACACAATATCAAAATAATATGAAGCAGTTGTATCATTATTACCAAATTTAAAGCAGTATTAATCAAATATTATTTATTACTTAGTATTGCTGCATTAAGTACACATGTAATAAAACACTTTTAACGGCTTAAAACGTGATTTGTTTTAGTTAACTTGTTTACTTTTTATAACTATTAAGAATGCTCTCTTTAATATAAATTCGTCTTAACTACAGTGAGAAAATATGTGATGTATAAAAGGAATTTTGACAAAAACAACAAACCCGCCCTGCGCAGGCGACATTGAAATACGCGAACAGTTTTGGTCCGTTACCTCACGTGTGTATTACGAGTAATTCAATTTGATTGTAAGAATGTGTGCATCACTCATACATGGACAGCTTTACTGGGTGCGACACCCTATGAAAACTATCCAATACGAAAAGCGCGATTGGGGAATCGTTGTGGCTCAGTAGGCTGGCTAGAAAAACATAGTTTACATTGACACAATTTTATTTGTCTTTTCGTTTTCGTGGAAGTTTTGGTTAATTCCGTTGTTATTTTGTATCACGTAAAGTAGTTTCATATATGATATGAGAACTGATTGCACATTATATAAATAAAGTGACAAGAATCTTACTACAAAAACAATAATTAGAGAATCGTGCGTCTTCTAATCACATTTTTGAATATGTACCAATGTATAAGGTACTACGATCAACCACAACGATTCCCCGGGCCGCCCTTTCAAACAGCATGTGTGCAACTAGTAAACGTAAGTACCTACCCCTATTGATCCCCCCGTGAGCCGCGAGCCACCCCAGGTGCGGCCGAACGGCACGCGCCATTCCCGCGACGGACGGCGCTCTGACGCCACCTAAATAATTTCTACCTAGTAAAAACAGTTAACTACATACCCCAGAACCGGAAATAAAATCAAAAAGCAAATATATTATGAAAAAAGACTTCATCGGTTCAAAATGAGTTCAATCGGCGTCGTAGTTTTCCGCAACTCGCCGCTCAAGTCGCAAGTGCTTCAAGAGTCCGTGAACAACTCAGTGAACATAACAAACAATGACGCTAATGTTAGACGTGAAATCGTTATCGTGAGGAAAAAATCGAAACTCCAATCGAACACAGTGTCAGTAGCATCATTAGTGAATTCCGTAGACGCGAACACCAATTACGCGAAACGTCCAAAATATCGCGAGAGCACAAACACAAACGAGGACGCAAGAAATGCTACACCCCTTGCTGTCGCTCGTCGAAATGCGCGGGAACGAAATCGTGTACGTCAAGTGAATGATGGTTTTGCCGCCTTAAGACGTCATATCCCAGAAGAAGTGGCTGCTGCATTTGAAAACGCTAATTCCAACCGAGGCCCCAATAAAAAATTAAGTAAAGTGGAAACTTTACGCATGGCGGTAGAATACATTAGAAATCTGGAAAGTTTGTTAAACATTGGATATACAGACAAAGAAAATTTATCCCGCCAATCCATGGAATCCTTTCCTTCTCCAGCGTCATCGTCGCCTCGTGAAAATAGTCAAGAAAGGAGTTATTATTGTTTGAACTCCCCGGCACTGGATGATGAGGATTTAGATGAAGATGAACTCGATGGTTCCTTGCATAAGTTATCAGCACAACAGTACATCGATTTACAAGCTCCTGAAACATTTCAGTTGGTGTCTACGCCCCGTCTATACGAGGAAGAGGACGCCGGACAGCGTTTAACACCATCATCAGATCTCCTAGCACAAGAAGAGATCAACCAACATCTGTTAGACGGTCACTTCCAATTCCCAAACTCAGCTGAACAATTCACCGTGATTCCAGAACAAAATTATTGTAGTGAATCTGAGATCCCTTTGAGCGAAAGTGATTTTGATGTAAAATACGTGAATGCTATTCAAGTTCCGCCCAATTTTAATTCATCTGACTTACACTTAGACGCTATCAATTCGGATTTGATTTTAAACAATGAATACAAGTTCAAAGAAGAGAACTCCTTTGTGGACGATCAGCCATACAACGATGTTGAACTTAAGAAAGAGCTTCCAGACATTCAAGTCACTCCCGAAGATAGAGAGCAATTTGAGGAAACTTTAAAATGGTGGCAAGAAAAAACGCGACAAGCACGCACTCTGTCTAAAAATAAGACACCATAACTAGTATAGTTATCAGAGTATTCTAGTTGCATTTACCTGTACATATATAGACTTACGTATAGATGTGTGGTTAAAACATACAGCTGGCAGTGCCAAAGTCGATGTTCGACGCAAACGCAAGGTGTTCTGTAACGGTCATATTTTTAGATTATAAAGACTAGTTAGACTTTGCGTCTAGCGTTAGTGTAAATTCTTTTATAATTACAGTAGTCTATAATCTATTTATGCATGTAATGTTTATGTTACAAAGCATATGTATACTTTTAGGTCAATTAGATTTGTATATACTGAGGCACCTAATCTTATGCAAGAAGAATTTCTATTGTGCCTTCATGAAACCTATGTGATGTTAGACAATAATAATGTAATGAAATAAATGTCTTATAGTTAAATTATTGATTAGTCTATAGAAAACCCCATGCTCATTGATAAATTTTGTAATTTGATCATCTTAATGACGTTATTAGCGTCAAGGTTTTGAATTCCAACCCTTTGAAACAAAACCCTTATGCTAATGCGTCAAGTCGCTGCATGTTAAGTGACCTACTTATGATAGCCTTGTGGAAGTACCGCGCGGCCACTTTCACTCAACCCTCAACCGATGATTAAATAAAGATTGTATAAAAAGTAAAAATTGTTTATTTCTCACTTCTAATACACAAAATATGTAAATTTTCAAAGTTAGATCTTAATAATGACAGACTAATTAAAGTATTTAATATTTTGGGAACATGATTACAATTAAAAATAAGATACTTTACAACGCGAAATGTATTAGTTAAACTTATTTACAATTTATTTTAACTACGGCCCGACGTTTTGGATGCACTGCAACAGTCATGGTCACGATGAACTGTAGTATGACAGTACTTAACGTACCTACTCAGTAAAAACGACTGCAAAATGTGGATTTTCAAATTCCTAGGTTAAACATCGATTTAAGCTCAGTGAAAACGAGCCGAAATGCCGTTAACGGTACGGCTGATCGCTATTATGATTGTAATGCGCCGCCGTTACCCTTATAAAAAATACTGCTTTTGAGGGAGCGAACAAACGGGTGATTACAATTTTGGGATCGAGTTTTAAACTAAGATATGCAACGAACTATTTTCTGGTTTCATCTTAAAATTCGGGCACCGTATGAAATTCGATCGTTACGGGAACGCAACCCTTCCAATAGATTTATGTAACGTTATTTTTTTTATTCGGCTACATCGTTTAATTTTAGCTAGGTACATATCTTGTCAACTATAATTGTATATAGAAAAAAAAGTGTGTGAAAAGGAGCTGGACCAACAAACAGTTAAAGGTGGTCCTTAAAACGTTAGACCTAATATAATAAGCTACACCCGCGTTAAGGCTCTCACAAAGCCTCAATATCTTTAAGGCCAGAGTCGAGCAATATTTACTTGACAGTATTGTTTAGCCTTGATTAGTATAAGGTATAGTTAATAAATTGTGTTTAAATTTGATTGTTTCTATGTGTATACGATTTTAGTTTAGATAGCATGTATTATTGTTGAAACTTATTATGTATTGCATGCTTTCTCCTATCTTCTTGACTTTTAATTGTTCCTTTTTATCTATGTTCTTTAAACAGTTGCTTGGAAGAAATCGCCGTTGGTAATAAGGCCACCGTTGCAGTAACTTTTTATGTAATTTAGTTGTTTAGTTTAAAGTATTTTATTATTACTATTTCACGGATATACTTAAAATATGTAACGAATAACGGAATCGGGTAACTATCTGGTAAAAATAATGTTTTTACACTTTCTGTAGCTTGAAATTAGGTTTTAATAATCTAAAAGCTATTAAATAGGTATACACATTTGTTGTTTTGCAGATGTTATAATATAATTTAATATTATATACTTAAAATAACTCAAAATCAATATATAATAATAATAAAACATCAGCCGCACAAATGGGCGTCAATAACATCAAAATTTGTAAATCCTATTTCTTGCTATACCCTTCTGTACCGCTGTTTCCTATTTTAATTTATTTTGAAAAATGTTTTTATACATTTCTATAATATTTCACGGGGATAACGCGTTCTACGCTATTTTGGCTTCCATTTAAATATTTTACGGTTCATTCGTCAGGCAGTGTTCCTTGTAATTAGAGTTAGTCATCCATAAAAAAAATTCAACTCAGTTACAAAGTTGGTATTGCCTAACTTCTACTGTCTATGTTTTTTAATAAACATGTACATCAATGATATTAAATAATTTAACACGAACGCTAAATATACTGTTTAACATATTAACTTCAACAAGGTTCGAGTGATTTGCGTCAATTGTAAGTATTTAAAAATAGGTTTAAATATATTTCGTGATTTAAACACCTAAATTTTGTTCTTAAAGTATTCTCTTCTTATGGTTTACAAAGTACGAATTTATTTTTCAATAACTTTTAATTGAAATATTCTTTTTATAAAGAATAAATCGGTTATTTTTGTTTAATTTTAACACAAATAATAATTTAATGCCTGATCATAAGTTACTTAACATAATTAAAAAAAGGAAATGTGCTATTTCTGTAAAAGATTTTATTTGCAGGCAGGATTTTATAACATTGAGCAAAATTCTTTGCCCTGCCCGACCGAAACAAGTTTTATTTTTATCTTTTGCGTTTAATGCAATAATTCCTCATAAACTACTGACTATTTAGCTAAAACGTCATCTGAAATAAGTAACTATACAGGTGATTTAATCGTAATATTTAGTATACGTGGAATTGTAGCGTGAGAAAATACTTATTACCATAATAAAACACCTACCTACGTATTGTACGATGTTCAGAAAACACTGATTGATTCCAGTTAAAAAAAAGTCCGTTAAAGGACACTATGCCTTTTGTTGTCACAAGTCTTAGGCACGACAGTTTTGATACTTGAAACAGCAGTGAATGGAATTTTTTTTGTAAATGCAAAAGAGTATTATTTTCTATATAAATATGACTACTTGAGACAAAAAGTCTTTAACAACATATAATATCTAATTTTCACAGATTTATTTAAATATCAATCAATCACTTCACGTTTATGTACTACATATTAAGTACTATAAACAAACAAAACTAAAATTCTAATTCACGTTTCAATCCGTCTAAATGACTTGTTACACCAGACATTTTTTACTAAATTCAATAAAAATATTTGTGTAGGCCGTTTCAAAACACAAGCAGTTCTGAATATTTTAAATCATCAAAGTACCAAAGGTATTCGTCGCAGTATACGGCACCTAAAAGTCAAAGAAGCTACCCTATTGTTGCGCAATATTTATTCTTGCGTGGATCTTCGGGTAGAGTCTTTCAGCGAGGTCGCTTCCATTGTCCTAGGGTTCATGGGAACCAGCAAAAAATGGACTCGCCTATGAGGAACTGAAGCTAACGAACAAAGTTGAATAAGCACTTTTCAAAGCACAAAGTACGATCCACGTGTTCAGAGATTAGGATGACGTTTATAATCTTTATGCTTTATGCAACGATGGAATCTTATATTTGCTCTGACAATGAGCGAAGGTTCAGTTTAGCTTCGGTTGGATTTGAAAAATACGTCATTAAAAATATTAACGGGGAGTTATGTTAGTTTTAAAATTTTTAACAATCCTATATAATCCTTACCTTAAGTGCGGTTTACTTTTATTTTTGTAATATAGCACTTTCTTTCTTTCTTTTTTCTTTTGTGTTGGTACAAACTATTAAAATGATTTCAGCATTGTTCAATACGAGAATAGTATAATCTAAAGAAAACACTTTAAACGGTTTTATATGCAATCTATATTAATTTATTGATTTTCAATTTGAGTTTTATGTCAAACAATAAGTATAACCTAAATAATGGTGAAATATCCGTAAAATTATTTTTTCTCGCCTTTGACAACCATAAAGAGAAGGAATAGTACACAATGAATAAAACACTTTTGACGGACAAAAACGACAAATCGATTAATATTTTTAACCACTTTTCTGACGTTTTTCAGTGTTCTGTGGTCACATTTCGCATTTTAACCGTAAAAGTGTTTACGTTGGGTATTATGTTAATATTCAGTCTTTACCGTAATCTCCTTGATGCACTTAAGGTACATTAATTCCAAGGACGCAGAACATAAGTCCTAACAAAAAACATCCTCTTTTTATCGCAACAGACGTACGGCCAGATTGTTTGAGATGGTAGACATTGAAATTGCGCCAGAATCCCGACAATACTCGCATGGTGTCTGCCATACGGCGATCGTGTACACCCGCCATATGGCCGACTCCTACAAAAACCTACTCCGAACTAAATTAACAACAAGCAAAAGTCACGGTGGCATATGCTTACAGATGAATTTGTATAATTTAATCATTAAAACGTGAAGTTCGAACTTCAATCGAACGAAATCTAATTTGAATTGTTGATTTATCGCACAAATGACGCGTATAAAGTCGAACCGGCAAATAATATGCGATAGGTAAACTGTATGTTATCAAATATCATAGTGTCGCATAAATCTCTCTAATAGTGCATATCGAGCTGAATCTTCATCATAATTCACTTAATTTGTCATTTAATGTGCCATTTTGACGATCAATGCTTATGAGTTATTGCTGTTTACAAAAACTGAATCAACCTAATTGCCCTGTTTACTTAAGATCATCTTTTATCGATCGTCTTACATCATGAAGCGGTAGCTAAGATTCACAATACATTGCCAGCCATGCCTAGCCATGCCATGCTAATGGCATGACAAATTATGAGGTCGAAACCCGCAGAAACAATTACTTGAATACTGTTTACGCGAATAAAAGACATTTAAATAAAACACTTCAACGGTTTAAAACGTGATATATTAGTTAAACTTATTTGAAAAGAAGAAATCACTTATATAATTTATATATTAATAAAATACTACTATATATATTACAAGTTTAACTAATACGCGTTTTAAACCGTTAAAGTGTTTTATTTAAACATTTACTTGTTTTGATCAGGCAGAGCATAGAGGTGTCGTCAATTACGTATAAGCAAAAACGATTAATGAAACGGACACAAAAATGTGTTTTCACTATAGTAGTAGCTATACCAAAATAAACAATCAATCTTCCTTTGTTTATAGTAATTATAAATATTTAATTTTATTTTAAATGCAAGACAATAACGGTTTTATACATTTATTTTTGATTTAAAATAATGGTGACGTAATTATATAAACATTGTTTTGTCAATTATCTGAGCTTATATTAAAATATGGTTCGTGGTGGATCACGCTTGGAAAAGCAATAAAGATAAGAAAAATAACCATAAGCACTTAATTCTGTTTGTTGTAAAGGATTTCGAGTATCTAGCTGAAATATTTTGTCTAGAATAACGTCATTGTAGATAAAATGAGATTTTATTGCTAAGCTTCCGCTAAAGATTATGAAAGTATTTGGTCTGTATATTTTAGTATGAAAATAGTATGAAAGTTATTTTTTATGATAGAGAAAAACAGACAACAATGGTTTTTACTTGATTGTAGGTAAAATACGCCAGTATAACATCTAAACAAGGTACGCTGTCGTATTTTGGCTTTTGTTTTTGGAGTGAGACAGACTGAAGCGAAATGCGATTATACTTATCGGCTTTTTCATCTGTGGATCACCTGTTTAATATTACCAGACGAAGTTAGAATGTTTTAGGAAAAATATAAATTGATCAAAAACATTTGAAAAGTTTATTAGTTGAAAAAATTTGACGATAAGGTGTAGGACTCGGCAGCTCAATTGGTAGAGCAACAGCACGGAACGCTGACGATGTCAGTTCAAGTCCTGCCCGAGTCGAAATTTTTTTTCAAGACGATAGACATACGACGAACTGGACTATGCATACTATTCAATCGCATACATTTTTGTTTACGAACTGTTTGTAATTACTTTGCTACCTGTTTTTACACAATCTACATGACACGAACAACTGGAATGACACAAATAAATGATAATGTAAATGGACTATAATTATTCATTTATGCGCATGATCATTGAATTATTTGGTTTCGCGTGGAGCAAGGCACTGCCACATCTGTCGTCAGGAAACGGGGTTTTTAGACACGTGCATGCATCGCACACTGCTTGAGCATGATTCCGGTTATCTAGGAAATGGTAAATCACATGCATGCATATTTTAATATTGCTAAAACTTTAATGAACATAAGTGAGATCCCGTTTCCCCTCGTGGGACATGGAACTTATTACTTGGCTTATTTTACTGGTTTATTTCCAAAACGGTTCGGATTCAGGACATATAGGTGTGTGTTAACGGTAGAACTGCTACTTATAACGAACTAGCTAGTATGCTCGCGACTTCGTCCGGATGGAATAGTTAATTTATACGACGTCGGTCGCGTCCCTTGCCGTCGTTCTTGCGGGATAATCTTAAAAGATAGACATATAGCGTCGCGGACTTTTTTTAGATCATTTAACGAGGAATCATTCTATTATTTTTGGTGTATCTTGTACCGTTTTGGCAGCGAATGCCTCGGAAACCCATAATGAAGAATAATTTTTGTCACATTTTTATTTCTCTCCTATTAGTCACACGACGATGTTTTATAGCCTTTAGCCTTCCTCGATAAAATTTTCGATTCGAACCCGTATTTCCTGAGATTAGCGCGTTGAAACAAACAAACTCTTTAGCTTTATATATTAGTATAGATATTATACTGTAATACATAATATCAATATATTAGTCAAATAATTTTTACAAGTACTTGATAATTCAGCTGAAACTCATATTACATAGATCGAGTTTAAAAAAAATTATCCGTTTGTTTGAGCAATGTATAACAAAAAGATTGATTGCTGATCTGTTGATGTTGGCTTCGAGTCCAGCTCATGTAGTTTTTTGCCAACTTTATATAAAATATCTTTTAATTTGTATATGCTATGACAACAAATATACTTATTAAAGGCTAAGTTTGTGATGATATGGCATTAAAAAGGAAGGTAAGGGAAAATAGTGGGAATGAAATAATACCATTAAATTTTATACCATAAATATATTATACAGTTTTATAAAAGCACTGTTCTTATTTCACGTGAAAAAAGAAACTTATATATATACCTTTTTTAAACAACAAACGACTAGATCTAGATGGAATTTATTGGTGTAAACATAATTTGTATATACAAAAAATAAAATAATCTCATATGTAAAATATTATATCTCGAAAATGCAATATTTTCCACAATCAGTCGTAATGTTATAATTAATAAATTAACAGTAATAAAATAGTATCGTCCACATACAATGTGTGTTCAGTCAGAGGTCAAAAGATACGTATTTCTATGATAAGCCCTTTATTACATCGACTCCACCCACTAAGGGGTGAAGCATTTTGTTCTAGACAACATTTTTTTTACAATCTAATTTGAACCACGTGCAGGGTTTCCGCTCCGCCACGTGTCTTTCTTTAATAAAACATTCCGTTTTGACCCACTCACCGTTTGAGTTCGAACAACAATACGGAGTGACGTTTGATACGGAAAATTAGGCTAATTTTTATCTGAATTATTTACTGATGACGTTATGTTCGCAAGTCACATATGATTATGATATCATGTCTAATGATAAATTAACTTATATACTATTTTACATTTGTAATTTCAATTACTACGTCCTTTTGTTGATGTTACGGACCGCTGTGTTCGATCTTCGCACGTGTGGAGATGTATGATGAACTAAAATATTTGTATCTGAAATGTCAGGCCGTTGTGAAAATAAACCTTACATGAATTTAACTAATGCATTTCACGATTTAAACCGTTCAAAGTCCTGAGTCATATTCGCGTAAACTACAGACAGTAGGTACTTAATTTGTAACCTATTATTATTATTAAAATTTCAAATTTACATATTAATCACGCTGTGTTAATATTCATTTTTTAATAATCATTATTTCATATATACGTTGTTAATAAAATGTTATTTATTAACAATTTTTCATAATAAACCGGTAACTTTTAACAAATAGTTATTATTGTCAAAAAAAAAACAGAAATTGCTACTGTAAATATTAACATTTGTCTATAACATCTCATATAATACCTAATGTTTAGGTACAAAGTGTCAACTACAATTTGATAAGTTCTTATTCAACGTTGTGTAATCTCTAAAACTACGTAAAATATTTAAATTATTATTATTCTTATAAGGTCACGTAAGAGATCAAATAGACGAGGGAGTTGCGTTAATTATTATTTTGCAGTGTTGAAACTATCTGTATGTAAATACTCATGAGTTTAGTGAGAGCCAGTATTGCGTCTCTTCTACTCATTTCCTCTTCACAAAAACTACAAGAGCCCTCCGAAAATAACTACGTCTCCCCAGATGTTTTCCTGACTTTTTGTGTGGCACAAAAACATGTCGCGTACCAGGGTATAACGTGGGAAACACTCAGAAGTGATGGAAAAAAGTGCTTCGCAGATGTTAGCGAATCACTCGTCCCGGGTCATATCCACGTGTCACAACAGGAAGAAATTCATAACTGAGGAACAGAAGCGTGCCACTTGTCCATCTTTAACGGACTGTGAAATAGAATTCTGTTTTTATTAGCAAGGGACTTTGCATCCCCAAACACTTGACGATACAGGCTATTAACCACTTGTGTTTGAATTATTACAAGAAACTTCACTTGATGTGATCGTACTGATAATAAACCTACCTCTACTTAGATTACAACATTTACTAACTCTTTAATAACTGGTTTATAATGAATTTTATTACGTACATCTCTTTTGGTAAAATACGTAAAAGTCAGAGATTGGTCAGCATCCATTCAGTTATCTCAATTTAGGCAATCAACTACTTTAGTATTTTGTTTCTATAATTCAAAATAAGAAAAAATATAATGATTATGAATCGGCCATTTAAAACTTCAAAGAACATATCTTTTTAGGTTAAGTAGATAAATTATTGTTATCAATAACTATTATAAGCAATTGTGTAACTGAATGAACGCTATAATACGCATTATTTACACCTAACATTATAGCCTATTTTGAATATATAATCAATAATTCACTTTAAATGACGTCTTTAACTGAGACGGGCATCTACAAGTTGAGGCCTAATATATATTATTTAAATATTATAGGTACACTGTACTGCAAACCGTTTTTATAATCATAAAATTACGTAAAACTTTTGACCTGTACAGTTATTTATCTAATCGTAAGGCTAACGACCTTGGAATTACACACAGCAATTATTTTCATTATTCGTTTGTTTGTTCTTCTCTTTATTACCATGTCTAAAATGTTCAGCTATTTGTAATAAGGTTTTGCCTCTAGTCTCCGGGAGATAAAAGTAAAGGAATATTGTCCCACATAGAGTGGAAAGGCCGTAGAACAAGTAGGTACCGTGATGCCCTATACTGTGGAACATGGCTGGCGCTGTTTTCACGGTTCCAAAGAAAGCCATAGATGTCATAGAAACACTTATACCAGATCCTAATCCTTTCGTCTCTGATGCAAAAACTTCACCAACCATATTCCATGGCAATGGAGAAATACCTAAATTAGAAACTACGATGTAAATAGCCATTAATCCTAATGATATGAAAGGTGATATATGCCTTATAATCCGCTGTTCAACAAGATATAAGTATATGGCTAGAGTCACTAGCGATATAGTTGTGAACACACCGCTAAATATAGCGAGCGGTCTTCGGCCTATCCGACGTAAAAGAATGCAAGCTGATATTAAAGCCACAACTCGCAAAATGTCTGTAGCTAACATTGCCGTGTAGGTATTTTTATTGTTACCTATCAATACTTCCATTATATCTGTTGTGTATGCGCATATAACGTTGATTCCAGACAACTGGGTAACTATGAAAAATACAATCATTATACATAAGGGTTTGTAGAACTCCGGTTTCCTTATGTTCTCCTTTAGGGTTTCCAATTTCGGTTTGACTTCCTTTTTCTTCTCATACTCTACCAGCATTTTATCAAGCTCATTCTGCATTACTAGACTTTTTCCTCTGTACCAATAGAAGGATTTTTTGCACTCATCTATCTCGTTTTTGGATGCTAACCAAGATGGTGACTCAGGTGAGAAATATAAAATTATGCATCCCATTAACGGGAACAGGGCACATAAGAAGGATGCGTGACTCCAGTGAAGAAAAGTTCCAAACAAGTGAGACATGAATACACCGGATGCTATACTTAAAGATAATCCTGCCAAAAATAATCCCCTATACGCGGGTGAGCTGATTTCTCCAATAAAAACTGGTCCCAGTGGTCCGAGCCATCCTTGACAAAAGCCTGTAATGAATCTCCCTAATAATATAAAGTATATATTCTTTGCGAATCCGATGATCAACCAGCCACTGATGTAGAACATGGATAACATAATTTGAGACATTCTTCTTCCGAAGCGCTCCATTAGATAACCGGATATCATGTTACCGAAGAGTAGGGCCAGCGATGACATAGCCGCTGCAAAAAACAAACAATCAAACCTACATTTTTTTACTAAGCTTTCCACTGTCATATTTTATCACACTATTATCATCGAGAAAACAATACGTAAATACATATATATCGCCTTACAGCTTTGAAATCATATTTGATCTACTGACGAAAGCTTTAGAAATTCATTAATTTGAATTTAATAAAATAAATTTCACTAATGGCATTTAAGGGTTCTTGTATACGAATTTGACAGACTGTGACTAATGCGCTATATAGCAATACATACCTACCCAAGACATCATCTCGGTATTGTACTTGTACTTTCCCTTGTCATGTTGGAGCTGTGGTATGATGATGGCTGAAATTCCAGCTGTTGCTCCAGCACTGAAGGACAGCAGGAACGACCCCATTGACACATACGCCTGGAAAGGAGATATAGATAAGATCAAATCTTAGTAATACATCAGAAGGTAGAGATATTTTGAAATAAATTAATTTTTATAAAACAGAGGCATAGTAATGGAGGCGTCTGTTATGTTACGTTTTAGGCGTAGCATGTCTAGTTTTTTTTTAAAAGGCTTTAGAGTTTTGATATAGAGACATACATAGCTTACAAACTTATAACTACCACTAACGCACATAAATTATTTTTTTTTTTTTATTTTTTTTTTGTTTTTTTTTTTTCAAAATTTTTTTTTTTTATATAATATAAATAATAATCCAAGACACAAGCGACCTCGAACCTAAGACCAACAGTCTTTCTTGGCAGTTCACCGAATTATCAATTCTCAAGTGACAATTAGTTTCAAAAAGTTATGGCTAAATGTTTCAACAGTCCCTTCAATCAGGCAGGCTAGAATATAGCCTGCCCGATTGAAACAATATGGCCGAACGGCGCCCTATGCCCGTGGAAGAAAAAATGGCTTTTCTGATTCTGTCTCCAGTTTTCCAATGCAAAGTACTTTTACAATTTACACGAAGGCATGCTATGACATGTGAATTGAGATCCAAGAATATAATCAATATTACACAACAATAATTACTGCACGTGCCAATTTCCGTCAGCGTAATTGAACTGTTTTGAATTGAACGGTATAATTAAAAGTCATCGTAGCGTTAAATATGTTTAATGTTAAGTATAAACGAAATAGGCTGCGGTCTCCTATAAACGCATAGTAGCGTTCTACGTTATACAATACGTCGCTTTTAATATTAAAGAAATGTACTGTTAAATACTGTTTATAGTATACGCGAGTAGTACATATTTAAATAAAACACTTTAATGGCTTGAAGCGCGATATATATCAGTTATTCTTATTTGAAAATTATTTTAACTACGGCCCGAAGGTTCGGATGCTTTGCACAGCGTGGTACGGGTCACCCCACGTTTTACTAATATATATCGCGTTTTAAATAGTTAAAGTGCTTTATTTAAAAAATATACTGTTGTTGTCTTCCTTGCACGTTAAAACAATGTGACGGTAATATCTGTTTTAGCGTCTTTCGTACATAAGTTATACAATTAAAAATATACTAAGAAGCTAGTGTTAATGTTTAGCAATTTACTAATATTATAAAACTGGTACTAAATTAGTAGTGAGCCAATGAGCTTAGTCTACATATAAAAAATCTTGACGCGGCGTGTTAATCTACTCACGTTCTACGGCGTTTGTATAGCAGACCGCAGCCTTAGAAATACTACAGCCCAACATTTTACCTTTATAGAGTGCACTAATATAAACAACATTAATAATAACATGAATTTTTAAACTTAACTCGTGCGCGTAATTTTTAGGATTCTACATAAAAAGTAAAAGTTTGTAAATTTGAATTGCTAATGCGAGATATATTTTACTATTGTCAAATTAATCTTTATTGCTTATTACCTTACCGCTACCTCAAATCAAACGCTTGCCTGATTATAAATCTTTGCATTACATAAATATACTATAACATTTTTATGGCGGACACATGAATTCGTTAATTTTGTAGATGATTATTATATTAATTACTAGCTGTGTCAGCGACATCGTTAATTTGGGCATCCAAATTCGTTTTTGCATCTTTATAAGCTTAAGCTGTTACCCTCGACGTCGGTCGCGTCCCTTCCCATGTTCTTACAAGGTAATCTTAAAGATAGACATACAGCGTCCTGGACTTTTTAAGATCATAAAGAGGAATAATTTTTTGGGTACATTTTCCTCTAAAATAGCTGACTTTTGAATAATGAATAATTTCTCTCATAAAATTCAAAATCGCAATTCAATTATATTGTTTTGTATTCATAATATTACAAGAAATACATAATAATAATTAAACGTGTAATTATTTTTAAATGTATGTCGTCATATCGCTTACACAAAGAAATAACGATAAGTAAAGTTTACGAGAGGTTGACTTTGTTTACATAAAGTTGATATCCTGTATAATAAATATACATGTATATAAAATCACGTGTTTTATACCTATTTCTTCTTAAAGGATAATAAAAACCACTTCTTAATCAAGATTTATATCTGGTTCAACGACCTTTTATATCCATTTTATATTTAGCTTAGTTAAGTAGTCGTCCTTTTTTGTTAATATTCTTGTTGTAAAATTCGATCGAAATTTAATTCTTCATTGATGAAATTTGAGAAAGAACCATAGAGGCATACGATGTAAATACAGTCAATAGTTTACGCGAGTAGTACACATTTAGATAAAACATTTTTAACGGTCTAAAACGCGATATATATTAGTTAAACTTGTTTGAAAATTATTTTAACTACGGCACGTCGTTTCGGATGCAGCAGCCGTTAAACGTGATCCCAACGACGACAATAACTAGTATATATCGCATTTTAAACCGTTAGTGTTGTATTTAGACATACGATGTATATTTTTTACGATTATAGCGCCTTATGTTTCTATGACAGAAGAGGATATGTAAATATGGTTCCACTAAATGGAAGGTGAAACAGTTCAAGCACACTTGGCGTTGTAGACCTATGTTTGACATACTTAAACTGAAACGCAGTTTTAGCATTTAGCATAAGAACAGAAAGAAGAGGAAGAGTAAGAAAATCGTAATTATCTGCCCCATAAAAAGCAAGGAAATATCATTTTATTCAGTATTCTTAAAAATTAATAAAATCTTGAGAATTTTTGGACATAGTTTTCATTTTCTTACTTTCGTCGCCTTTTTGACGTGTTATTTGTATTTTTTTCCTAACCTAGCATTCCAAACACATGTCATACTTAATTAAGATTAACCAAGATAGATACACGAGACAGAGGTCAAAATCAGTTTCATCTGCAAAGCCATTTTCAAGGTTTGTGGTTGTGCGACGTGTGCATCTACGAAATATTAGTTTTATTTAAAACTAGCTGTGCCCGCGAGTGCGTGAAAATAGTAAATTGGGGTTGAATTTTTAATTATTTAGGCTGTTTATTAATTTATGTAATTGAGCATTTATCGCAGCCAATCTATGTTTAAGTGCTACTTTGCCAATCACTCTCACTCCACTCCTATTCCTATTCCCACTCCTATTCCCAAAAAGCAAAAGAAGAAAGTTTCATTGTTCTAGCTTCAAAAACCACGAATTTCCATACAAACATTCACCCCCCCCCCCCCCACTTAACCCCTTACAACTCTTTTTTCGCAATAAAAAGTATGTTCCTTCTCAGGTTCTAGACCATCTGTATACCAAATTTCATTCAAATCCGTCCAGTAGTTTTGGCGTGAAAGAGTAACAGTCAGATAGACGGACAGAGTTACTTTCGCATTTATAATATTAATAAGGATATACGTGTATATCAAAAGATTTATCAGATCAGCTACTCATTAATAGGTGAATATGTCTTTGAAGCTATACTTTTAGATAGAGGAGGACAGACAAAATGGCTTGACTTTAATCAGAATCATTGCGTTAAGTGCGAGAGGTAGGTTCGGTTCACGGGAAAGCATATTTAATGCATTGCGGTTAAACAAGGCACAATCTAATCAAAAGTTTTATCGACTAAGGAGTTGATTCTTCAAGTGGCAGTATTTAATGAGATCGGTGAAACGGACCTAGAAATATGTCTCGTGCACCTCGTAGGAAACAGCGTGATTAACTTATGAATGATTCCAAATTTATTAGTTTGTCTAAGATAGTCTTTTTAGGGTAATTATCCACGTTTGTAATTACTAGATCAATTAACAATATCAAGGTGAGAATTATTCAAGGGCATTTTTGTAAATTGATATTTTATTGACTTGCTACCGACAATTGTTACTTTAAGTACACATTATAATATTGGTGTAATTAAAATGCATAAACCAGTTTATTTGCATTAGAACCTGTCTGATAAATCGACAATATATTAATTGTGTAAGCTATATAATACTCGCTACAAATATGTACTATAAACAATTAGTAGATAGTGTAAAGATGCTAAGTGCATTTTACGAATTGTACAGATAGATAGATCTGATCGAGAGTATTTATCAGCATTGAGATAAATAAAACGTTTGTTTCATAGAAAATCTGCGCCATTACGATTATTCTAAACAACGATCTATTTTATATTTAATGTTCAATGATACTCATAAGAGTCTCGCTGTACACAGCTTTTGGGTAAATAATTAAATATGAATCTTATGACAAAGATGGAGATCTATTATGAAATAGATATGTAACAATGGGAACTGGGAAAATTTCGTTTAGTACAATATGGTTATTCATTTTGTTTGATAAACAAAAGTTTCTGGTCAATTAGTGTTCCATATTAGATGGTGAAAGAAGAGAAGATAAATATCGTGCATAACTGCGAGTGTTAGCAAACCTGAGATTCTGTGCGGATCACGAACCGCCGACCACAGATGAAAAAGCCGTTAAGCTTAATCGCCATTCGGTTTCCGTCTGTGGATTTTCAAATAACCACACTCGACGGCGACTTGTTTTGTTGCCATTGTTAAATTTCAAACCTACTATAAAAAATAATATGCAAAAAAGTGACCCAAAAGTTTTTGAATCTAAAGTTAAAATACACTAATTTCGACATAGCTGGAATGTGCATCGTACAAGATTTGATACATTTCAAATTACAAACTGGTTCTATGATAATTATGCAATGGGTAACCCTACTAATAAGTGACGCAAGAGACGTAGTGGCTTCAAAATTTTAACTGTAACATCATTTGAACTTTTCAAATAAAATGTTTTTAAATTGTTAGTTACAACTGTTGTGAATATATTGCAGATTTTATATGAGTCAAATGCGTTTTTACGAAGCAAAAAGGTATCTTGATTTTGAATAAAATGAGACTAGAAATTTTAAAACTTTGTGGTTTAGCTTTAAATCAGACCTGTATCGATCTATATTATATTAATCCTCTCAACATATATAAGTATAAAAAATAATTACTGATCTTCTTATATCTATCTAAAAGAAATCACTCTCAAAAAAAATTGGAATTAGTGTCCAATAATAATATTTTTATAAATTGTTATTAATATTTTTTTATAATTGCTAATTGGCAACAGCAGAAAATTTATATCACTATACAAAGAAATAGACGTTAAAAGTAAATAAGACCTTATCGTTAACATATTTAATTACTATTTACTTCATTGATAAAGTCAAATAGTGGTAGAATTGAATTTCAGTGGAATATTAGTACATACGTACAACACACCTGTCTTCGGAAGGGCTGGTTGGGGCTCACATCTTTATGGGTTTTCACGTCACCATTTTCGTCACTTATGTTAATCTTTTCTAATTCAGTCTCTGTTCCGTTGTCCATCTTGGATGGAACATGGAACCACACTGTGTCTCCGAGACGTCGAGCTACGTAGGATTTTATGACTCCAATCACTAAATGACATTACATTTTATCTTATCTAAGCATTGTTAGCGCGGATTCTCAAAGAATCTCGTTCTTATTTACACAAATTGTTCCTTATTACACTGAGAAATATGTCTAATATTCAGATAAATTTTACTCCGCATTTGAGCAAGCAACATTTATATATTAATTCGTGATGACTTAACTGTAAACAAACGCTATATCTTATGATTAAGTAAAGTATGAGAAGCGTTTGAGATAATTACGTTTTAATTTAAATATTATGCATCAAAGAATAATTAAGCTATGCATAAAGAACGCTTATTAAAACCATGGATTAAATAGCCTCATAAAAACAAACACCGACTTATTTAAATTTTCACCTTCGGGGGGACTTCGAAAAGAATGCCTGAACTTTCATCCACTGCGTCATACAAGAAGAATGACATGCCTAACAAAAATGTACGAGTTAGTCATTGTATATAGACACACTTTATTACACTGTTTCCGCGATATTTGATGGAAACTACAATGCCGTTTTTGAATCTAGTGCCGTAGAATCTTTAGGTGCCGGTTATAATTAATTTAAATAAAACGATATATGAAAAAAAAAAGATGAAAAACTGAAATAAATAACGTTTAACGGTTTAAAATAACATTTTCCACAACCGAACGCCCGACACGTCGGGCCGAAAAATCATTTTCAAATAAGTTTAACTAATATATTGCGTTTTAAACCGTTAAAGTGTTTTATTTAAATAAATAAGATGATATAAAAAAGACTGTATGTAATTTTCCGTTCATCAAGTCACCACTTAAATTAATAATATTTTTACAGTATTTTAATGCACGTAGTGCTATAAATATTTTTTATATCTTGCAGAAAGGAGAAATTGTGTGGTGTTTTTAATTCACATTTTCTTTTAAATTTGATTGCCCAGTATTTTGTGGTAAAAAGTCATGACTTAAAATCAGTAACTTTGATGAAAATTTAAATATTTGTTTCTATTGCCTTAAGTTATAAAATATAAGTCCTAATGGTAGTCATGTATGGCCCATAATAATCAATCATGGATTTGATCACGACCGGGTTCTAATCTTTCTGAAACATGTTGGGCTTTGTCAGGAAAATTGGATACCAAATAGGTGGTAGAAATATCATGGTATCATCCGGCACGTAAACCACCGTCCACAGATGAAAGGCGTGAAGTTTAAGCACTTTCCGGTCTCAGTCTGTAGATCTCCGAATCCAAAGCCAAAATAGGTTGACATCGTATCTTGTTAAGATTTTATATAGCTGGCGTATTTCACCCTCCATCAAGTAAGAGGAGACCTAGTTCTTCTCTGTTCTCCCTCTATCATAAATAAAGGTATCAGAATTCAGAAAGATACCTGGACCAGAATAAGATAATCTTAGGTGTTATATGTGATTCAGTTAATTAAAAAAAAATAAAGATCTTGTATGATTCATAAAGTTTGCATGTGAAAATATTATTTGCATTACTAGTTATACAAATAATTATTACACATTTATTATGAGTAATGTAAGCAAAACAACAATTTTATGTTCTGTTAGCACTGTTTTTATTCCGCAGTTAAAACTGAGACAATCACATTTACAATGACGCATTATTTTGTACTTACTAGCATTGCTTGAAGGGTACGAGATCCAGGATTCGATTTCCGTAGAAACATAAGTTACTGTTTGGATGGGTACAAAAGCTATAAAAGCCTATCTGTGTGTAGTTTACGCGCTTAGTGTACATTTAAATAAAACAATTTGACGGATTAAGACGCGAAATATTAGTTGAACATATTAAAAAAATATTTTTAACTCCGGCCCAACGTGTGTCCCCGTGACCACGACTGGAAAACATCACTAATGTCGGTTAAAGATTTTTTTTTACTTTTTTCCTATAAATAACGTTAATCAAGAAACCAGATACAGAAATGTGTCTGACAATGAAGGAGCCGTTTCAATAAAGAAATCACGTTTCATATTATGTAGAAATTTATTTTTATGCTGCGTTGGGTTTTGGTTCCATTCATTAAAGTATCATATTTACTGTATTTCGTGTAAGCCCCAAGGACCTAAAATATTTTTATAACAAAAATTCAACAGTTATGTTTGTACATTGAATTTTTACGACACACTTAGTTTTTCATTAAATAATTTCTAAAGTCTTAAATAAATGGTAGTTCTAAGTCTCAATTCCAAATATTTATAGGAAACGTTTTTTTTTAAATATATTAAGTAAATATAACGCAGGAAGCGCTAAGGATAAATATAGTCTTCAAAATCGGCTTTTTAAAATAACTAACCGAATTTGAGTTTCATATTTATTAAGGCTTAAGCTATACTAAAACCACAAATATTTAAAAGACATTCGATTTGGGAAGACATTAGAAGAATTTTTCAGAAAAATTTAAATGTATCCCAAACGCGATAAACATCTGAACCCGAGACATTTTATTCAAATTGTTTACCTGGAGGCCAATGGCTTGCAAGTTGTTACCGTTTTGGCTGATGCGGTCATCTCTTTGAAAAAAGAGAAGTATAGCTAGATTCGTAAACACGTGCCTAATGTGTTTTCGTATTGTGAATATCGAGACATATGTAGTTTATATGCTTGAGGATATTTCTACATATATATTAAGTTACTTAAAAAATTCAAAATATTTTATAGCTGAAAATTCTTGGAACATTTTTTTATGATAGAGGGCGGCCAAGCACGAGGTTCGCTTGAAGGTAAGTAAAGTACCCCAGCTATATAACATCTAATCAAAATGCGCTGTTGACCTATTTTAGTTCCAGAAATTCGGATATCCACAGATAGAAACCGACCCTCGGTAAAATTCCACGGAACTTCGATATTCCTACCACCCATTGTATATTCAGACAAAGTAACACGTTTCAGAAAAAATAAAATATGTTAAAAATCATGTTGGATCCATTTAAATAAAACACTTTACCGGTTTAAAAGCGATATATTAGTTAAACTTATTTGAAAATGATTTTTAATTTCGGCCGGACGTTTCGGATGCTTTGCAGCAGCCGTGGTCACGGGAGACATGTTGGATCCAATAGAGATCCAACCCACGACCCGTTGATTATTAGCCATAGCCAGCCAAAACCACAATCTAGCAATTAAATAAAATACTTTAATTATGAACCAATATTAGAAATCAACACTTTACTTCAGTAACGTCTCTTAAAATAAACATAGCAAATTCGTGAGTATATGATCTTGCCGTTAACTAAAAGGAAAGTAGAAGACATTTATTTCTTTATTTAATTGTGTATACAAGTAAAACTTATTCATGATCCGGAAAATTACTATAAATTGCTTTTTATAAAATGTCCTTAATATAAAATGTGTCAGTAAAATGTCTAATCTTAAACACACTCCAAATGTCTAAAGCTAAAATAGATCGACAGCACATCTCAGATAAAGATATTACAAAGCTGGAAGAGTAAACTCTCCTTCATATGGACCTCATTATTGTATGCTGTTCTTTATGAAATATACAAATGTCCGCGCCATTGTAAGTCTATCTATTAAGATTAACTTTCAAGTACCTACGTCGGTACACCACCGACGTCGTAGGTAACAATTTAAATAGAGCTGATAGAAAGGAGTTTTGGAAAAACAAATATGGATACTCAAAATAAGTATTCTATGCAGACGGAATCGCAGACACAGTTAGTCATTTGATAAGCCATGCCTAATGTCTAGTTCTTCTAGATCTTTATTAAATACAATATTGTACCGTAGTAGATATTATTGTATGAACGCAGCTAAATGCCTTGACACGAATTGAATCATCATTAAAAGTATATAATTTATCATAGGTGAGAAAGCAAAACTGTTATTGGTTACGAATAATTCCATCCATTAGCAAACAATGAAAAAAATTCAGGTGAAATGTCAAGGAATATAAGTTTTAAATCCATTATTCTAAAGTGTGGTATACACATACTGTTACTCTAGTTTAAAACTTATAGATGATTATAAATAATCGCGTGACACCAAAACAAGCATGGGCACGAACAAATTTCTGTGTCCATTACAGATCAGATAAGAAGTTAATTAGACTTCTGTGACTGAAACAATCAAAATTCCTTGGGATTCAAACCCGGGACCTCTCACAATTTACGCAATAATAATAATAAACCTTTTAATTTATTCACAGATCCACTGTGTTTGTCTGTTAGTTGTAATGTTCTTAAAGGGAAATGCTATACACTTTAAATATTTTGCTACAAAGGCGGTTGATATTGCCAAGAAGGTATAAGAAAATAATTTGTTTTAGTCTATTTTTTTTAAGTTGCACTAAGCATTACTACTTTTTGAATAGTCAAGAACGCCTTCTAACAAATAATTGTGAAAATAAGAAAGACACTAAAGATGGAAGAATATAAACCGTACCTAAAAGGTAAATGGCAGTGATCCTTGCAGTGTGTTCCGCCCTTAATGCGATATTTATAATTCACACGTCACCGTCATTATATAAAAAGTGTTGAGTAGCTAATGATTACGCCAAATAGTAATATTTCGCCAATAAAAATAGTTAGTGAAGTGGGACGGATATCTTATTGACCCCACATCGTCTGGAACCACCAGGTAGGATAGATGTAAAAAATTTAGCGCAATGTTTATTGCGTATAGTTTAGTGTGTGTGTATAAGTTTGATAAAAAAATATGATATTATTTATTCACTTATGCCTGTAACATTAACCTTCAAACAATTTTTAAATCAGGAATTTCACTTATAACCTAAAACGTCATTATTATGAATACTAATAAACTAAAAGTAATTCAAAATATTCAGAAAACCTTTTTTTAATTGTAAATCCTTACAGCGTAGGTACCATAGAGAGAGTTTTATTATCTGCTCAAGTGTGTTATCACAAACAAACTTAAAATAAAAATATTTTTAGTAAAACATTTCTAACGGTTTTTATACATTTATTTCTGGTGGTGACTGTCTGTCTCAATTAACTAATATATTTCAAACCGTTAAAAATATTTTATTTCAATGTGTACTACTTGCACTGAAGAAACAGTACATTAAAGTTATTTCCGTGTGTATAGCCCAAAAATGACGCTTGTCGAAGACAGCCAGACGTACCAGCTTTCGGCGAGGCTGATCTTCTACCCGCTAGTACTGCTCGCCACAGGACTTTGGCTTCTGTACAGATGGCAGCAACAGTCCAGACTTCACAAACTAGGCAACAAATTGCCCGGGCCCATGCCCTTGCCAGTTTTTGGTAATGCACTTTTGGCCTTTGGTAAAAAACCAGAAGGTAAGTTTTGTCATAACTATTATCAAGATGTCGATAATTTTCGAATATTATAAAATTAGCACAGTAAGTACTGTTTTATACTTATATTTGTCTCCCTTCACTTCTTGTCCCTTTTTTATTTGTTAATAAATTTTTATATTTTTAGAGAAGTAATATTTTCCAACTAAAGAATTAATGGCTAAATATACGCTTTTTTTAGAATTGGTGAGATATGCTCTAGGATACGCCGAAATGTACGGATCAGTGGTCCGCGGTTGGCTCGGCTCCAAATTGTTAATCTTTTTAACCGACCCTGATGATGTTGAAGTAATCTTAAACAGTCAAGTGCACATTGACAAAGCTTCAGAGTACAGGTTCTTTGAGCCTTGGCTTGGAGAAGGTCTGCTTATTAGCTCAGGTAATTATCATATGACTAACCAGAAAAATCTTTTGTGTCTTTAACAAATGAATAAGAAGAGAGTCTCAAATATGAGCACAGTGTACACTTAGTAAAAATACTATTAGACTAATAAAAACCATATGGAGCATCCATCATAAAAATTTAAGGATAACCTGTAACTAATAACTAATATTTAAAAAATCAGTCTTTCTTTTTTGATTTCTGAGTTTTATATCATTCATTTTCTTATCAATGTTAACCAGGTGAAAAATGGAGGTCCCACAGAAAAATGATTGCTCCCACATTCCACATCAATATCTTAAAGTCCTTTGTGGACACGTTTAACGAAAACAGCAGGGCTGTTGTCAACAAGATGAAGACTGAGATGGGAAAGGTGTTCGACGTTCATGACTACATGAGCGGTGTCACTGTCGATATTCTTTTGGGTAAATGTTTCAAAATCTCATTCCTGATGTGCTGTTTATAAATCTTTATCTAATCGTAACCGTATCTAGAGTTTCTTTAAGTGTACGCAACTTTTAAAGGGCAAGTCCTATTCGTGCAATGGGATTTATAAATTCTGAAATGGTTAACAGACTCCTACAGTCCTTTTTTAGTTTATTTAGGAGTCCTTTAATAGTTTGGATTCATGTAATGTCATTATGAAACTGTCAGTAATTTATGCAGATATAATCAACAATAAAATAAATGAAATTCATACATACGTATAAAATACATTTTGTTAACGATATTTGCATATTAATACCAGGTCTCCTATGACCTCTTGCAATTGTTTTTTTTTTATTAATTCTACGTTGTTTAATAGTGTTAAATTATTCCAGAAACTGCAATGGGAATCACAAAGGAAACCCAAGATGAATCCGGTTTTGACTATGCAGTAGCTGTAATGAAGTAAGTCTCGTTATAATCAAAAACTAATATCGTATCGGGGATAACTTGTTAAAAAAAAACAAGATCTATCAATCTAACGTTTAAATACTTTTTAAATAAAGAATACCTAACATAAATATATTTCAGCTCATTAACATTTTATATTTCGAAATTAATCAAAAATGACTTGCAGCTTTAAGAAATAGTTTTCTATTGATTGTTTTGTGAAGCTTAAGCATTTGCAAAATTCATAAGTATATAAATATGAATAATATTTGATAATTGACATTCAACGGTCTAAAACACAAAATATTTTGATTTAATTCAACTACGGCCCGACGTTTAGGTGGAACAGCCGTAGTTACGTGGGGACTAATCTTTGCATCTCTGTTTTTTTCAGGATGTGTGACATCATTCACCAGAGACACTACAAATTCTGGCTTCGATTCGACTCTATCTTCAAATTCACTTCCTTCTTCGAAAAACAGAAGCACCTCTTGGGTATCATTCACGGTCTTACAAACAAGGTACTTTTAACTTTGAATTTATTACATCTTTACATTTATATTGTAATAAGTGCTTTAGCGATTTAACAATAAAAATTTTCTTGTTATATTTTAGGTTATCAAAAACAAGAAGGCAAAATTCATCCATAATAAATCTAAGGGCATCGTCACTCCTGGTATTGTTGAACAAAAAACGTCCTCTGATAACGACACAGGATTGGCTAACGTAAAGACTTTAGCTGACACAGTCTTCAAGGGTTATCGTGATGATCTGGACTTCAACGATGAAAATGATGTCGGTAAGTTAACTGTTATTATTATCAGAAGTCGACAGGATACTCGTAAGGATAAAATTTAAATGTATTAAAAAGTCAATTCTTACAATAAAATAAATATAAATAAATTAACAAGGGAATTTTTTTTAGGTGAGAAGAAACGACTCGCATTCTTAGACCTTATGATTGAGTCCGCTCAAAATGGTACCAACAAGATCACTGATCATGAAATTAAAGAAGAGGTCGACACAATTATGTTTGAGGTAAAAATTTATTTCTTTTTTTGAGAAATCGTAAGGTAAAACAGGACCCTTTACATAGACAGATTCGCACTTTTTTTCTAAATTTGGATATCGTAAAATTCTTCTTTCAGGGACACGACACAACAGCAGCTGGTTCAAGTTTCGTTCTTTGCCTCCTCGGTATCCACCAAGACATTCAGACCAAAGTGTACGACGAGCTTTACTCTATCTTCGGAGACTCGGACCGCCCATGCACCTTCGACGACACTCTCCAAATGAAATACTTGGAAAGAGTTATCTTCGAATCTTTGAGGATGTACCCACCAGTGCCAATCATCGCCAGGAAGTTGAACCGTGATGTTAAGATCCGTAAGCGAGAGTTTTAGTAATTACTCTTATAGTTAGAGTTTGAACAAATCAATAAAAAAAAACTAGTTGATGTCCGCATTACTTAAAACTTTATGAACTTAACGACTAAAGCCAATTTTTCATTCGCTTTACTTGACTGACTACGGTAGGTATCCCAAATGTCAAAATAAAAACTGCTATTCTAGCCCAACCTGTGTTTTCGTGGAGAACTTAAAATTTAAATTGGATCATACTACCATGACCACATGTTTTATATTATTCTAGCAACCAACAACTACGTCCTACCCGCGGGATCTACAGTTGTAGTCGGTACCTACCAGATTCACCGCAACCCGAAATACTACAAGAACCCCAACGTCTTCGACCCAGACAACTTCCTACCAGAGAACACTCAGAACAGGCACTACTACAGTTATATTCCATTCAGTGCTGGACCCAGGAGTTGTGTCGGTAAGGGATTAGTAAGAAGTAAAAATACAGGGGCTTACGATGTCTTAACATGTCTTTTAAGCAGCGATGCGTTATTTATTTATTTTTTTAATAATTGTAGACAAAGCTCCACTTTCATGTATTTTTATAGACGTGACAGCTTTTAGCATGTGAAATGTGAAATACCCTAATATAACATCTAAACAAGATGCACAGTCAACCTATTTGGCTTTGGATATACTTATTTTCATTTTTACGATATAAACCTATCCGATTGGTGATCTGTTTACCATGATTCATAATATGTATTTCATTTCAGGTCGCAAATACGCCTTGCTCAAGCTCAAAGTTCTCCTCTCTACTGTCCTTCGTAACTACAAAATGGTGTCTGACGTCACAGAAGACCAATACGTGCTTCAAGCCGATATTATATTAAAGAGAAACGATGGCTTTAGAGTACAAATTGAGCCCAGGAATCGGGTTCCTTCTACAGCTTAATTCAGCCAAGAAGATCGTCAAATATTTAGTCAGCAGAGAAACAAATGACTAACAAGGCTGAAATTCTTTCAGATCATTTGTATAACTTATGGTTATTTTATTTATTATATTTCTGACTGGTTGCGATAGGTGATTTCCATATAAATTGAATGCCCTTTAAGAAATCTACGTTTTATTTAAAAATCTCCAATTCTCGGTTTAACTCAAAAATCAACTCTGTCCATACAAAAAGAGAAAGAGAACGTTACGGTGTAATGATATGAAACAAAATTTCTATATAAAAAGATTCTTATTCAATAACAAATCGAGTACCTTTCTTAAACTTCAATCGTTATTAAATATATCATAAATTAGAAGTTACTTGAATAAAGTAAAAAAATTGGTTTACATTAAAATTAGCTTAACAATAATCCTTATTTTGTACTTTTCGTATTTAATTTTAGCTATAATATAAAAATCTTAAACATAGGCGAAGTGCTCGTAAGACACTCACACAATATGGCAATATAATCGACAAACTCCTGCATGTATGTATATCAAGCCAAATACCAAAAATAACTTATACATAGGTATATTTATATTTCAAATGTACTGTATAGTCCAGAAGTCTCTTCATTTACACATAAATAATATTAGTGACTCTATCAATTTGGCATTTAGATTATTTATTTATCTTTGCGTCCTAAATACAAATGTTTTATAATTATATTTGATTGGAACATTGATGATACAAGTTGGTCTTTAACTCACTGTAAACAGCGAACCGTACTGTTGAAGAAAAAAAATATTATTTGTTAATTCTATGAGCGATATAACTGCTCATAATAACTGACATACACAGACAACATATTATTTAGTAGACAAGTATGTAAAAATGAAAAGATTTTTTTAACAAAATTCTAACTTATACAACGAACACTTTAACGGTTTCAGACGCGATATATAATATATATAAGCAAAATCAACTCGTGCCTGCTGATGCTGTTGCTGGCACCGGAACCTCGGGCCGTAATTTAAATAAATTTCAAAACAAGTTTAACTAATATATATCGCGTTTTAAACCGTTAAAGAGTTTTATTTAAATTTGTACTACTCGCACGTAAATGCAGTCAGTACCTATTATTTTTTTTACTTTCTTCCTCTATTACTTATTTAATAGAAGTTATCTGACATACAATCTAAAATCTCTTAATTAAATGTCTCTTTATGTATGAGTATTTTAATTTCAACAATAACATATTATACTATAGCGAATAAACGTCAAAACGTTTTATATATGTTTAAACAATCTTATTTAAAACTAATGGTAACATTTTAACTTACTTAATTATATAAAAATCATCACGTTTTCTTTCGATATACAATAAATTCGACTGTCCAAAGTACAATACATACTAAACAACAGAAGCTCATCGCTATAAAACAGTTCACATAACTCCCTGTTGCTTCGTAGATGACACCTAAAAAATAGAAAATTATGTTATGTCTTGCATTTAAAAGTACATATCTTTGTTATCTATACTTAACGTTTAAAATTAAATAGTTTTCTTGTTTTTTTTCTCCCCCCTTTCCCCCCTCTCTTTTTTTCCAGGTAAAAAAAATTTTTTTAAAGAAGTGAAGAGGATGTTTGCATTAAGAAATATGGATGCCCAAAATTTTGCGCGAACGAAGTCACGGGCACAGCTAGTACATTAATAATTTAAGGCAAAGCTTAAGGCAGACAATGTCTATATGACTATTTTGTAGTAGATGAGATAATAAACTGTGTTTTGAAATTATATATTCTCTCAAAATATTATCTATATAATTCTTCTGGGTTAAAATTTAATCAAGTTTTGGTTAGGCAGTATACTATCCTACCTTACCTTACATGCTCGTAAAGAAATGAGTGAAACAAAAACAAAGGAGATCTGCGACACTTTAGAAAAAAATATACATATATTTTTACACTACTGTTAAGAAATACTTCGTACCTATCATTGGATCTGCCATTAACATCAAACAACCGGAGAATAAAATATGCAGAGCGAGTGCTGCAGGAAACCGATCTGGAGCCGCTGTGACGAGGACCAAAGGAAACAGAACTTGAACAGAACATCTGACTAGTCCAGATATTATCGTAATAGCGAACACAAAGGTCACATTGTCAGATGTCACTAGAACTGAAAAAAAAGTAAAACAATATTATGGGTGGCTGAAAAAATTATTAACACAGATAGGACCCCGATCCTTAACCCTACTTTTACTGTAGTTTAATCTTAATTCGCTTTTAATCTGTGGATTTCCAAATGTCCAAACCGGAAATAGATTATCGATCTAGTTTCTCTAGTCTACCATCTTGTTTAGTTGTATGGCTGGAGTATATTACCTTCTATCAAGTAAAAAATAATTCAAGTATAGTTCGGGTTAGCTTTGTATGTTATGGGTTGATCAATCTTTTAAATACATGTTTAATTTATAAATCATCTCAAAATAAAACTTTCGTGTTTAAATAGAAAATTTTAAATATTTTGTAGTCGATTCTTAATTCAAAAAAAGCTTTATATAAAACGAATTGTATCGCTTAAATAACCCTAAAATGGTCGAAATACCGAATTAAAACATTTTTGTAAGTTAAAAGTCAGATAAAATAATTGTGGCAATTAATAAGGTTTTCTATTCGAATTATAAGGGAAAGACAGCATCACGAAATCAAACTGGTTGAAGATAATATCTTAAGGCGCTAAGTGTTTGGAGTGTTTCTCAGGCTGTTTTGATCGCTATTAGAACGCTTATGACGTGAAACCAAAAAGCATTTACATAGTAATATTATTATATTATTTAGCTTGCTTCGCGGTTCTACTTGGCTTTATATTGAAACTCTTTAAGGAATGATATTTATATATCTTTCCTTCCCTTAGCAGATTTTGGTGCGAATTTTGAAAGGGAACCGATGCTATACAAAGTTTGGGTAAGTTTTAGTTCCCTAATATTAGCGGCTTGTTGTTTTGCTACATCAATCATTTTGTTATTAACAATATATATATATTATAGTTCACTTCGAATATAATCGAAATTCATATAAAATGAAATACAAGAAAATCGAATTAATCGATAATTAATCTTGATAATTGATTTACAAGCCTGTGGTTTTTGAAAAAAATCATTGTACAAACAATTTTTTTTTTTTATTTTAATAATAAGAGTAATCAAAACAACTATAAGTTTCTAAAATGAAGCGTTAACTCTTATGTTGGTTTTATTTACAGACCGATAAAACGGATATGCCCTGCCCGACTGAAACTTTTGTTCCCAAGGCATCCGAACCCAAAACATCTTGCACTTGCATTTTCAATAATGGTTGTTCGAAATTCATTATATCTCACTGTCGAAAGAAGAAAGAAAATTACCTATTCGTAATATCATAGTTATAAATGTCCCGATGAAGAAAATTTTTCTACTATCCACAGTGTAGAAATAGGTGAAAACTGCCAAGAAAAATCTGGCTGCTAAATCGGCGATAGCGCCAGCCATAACACACGTTGCCACTTGCATCTGAAAGAACAATATTTGGCATTTTATTTGCAAAAGGAGAAAATAAGGGCGACTGCATAAGAATAACAAAATATTTAAAAAAAACGGCGCATCTACATAGTTAACATGAGAGTAAATAGTAGTGCTTATGTGTAAATATAACGGTTTTAACGTATCTAACGTTTAACGTAGCTTTGTTTCGTCGGGTCCTAATTAAAATCACGTAAAAACGTTACGCATTTTAACCGTTAAAATGTATATGTTTCGTCTTGAAATTTGTTAACTAATTTCGCGTTTTAAACCATTTATAATGCTTTTATTAATGGTGTAATAGTCGCGTAGACTAAGTAGCTATTATAGTAAAAATAATTAATTATTAGTAAATATATTAAACGATTTAATAAATTACATAACGAACCTTAGAATATTGGTATGAAAACAACAGCATAGGCTCCATAGCAAGGTATGTGACGTCAGAGACGAAGGCAAATCCTAGCCCAACGAGGGTGCTGACAAATCTTGGATCCTTTAGGAGATCCAGCTCAACGTTGTCATATATAATTTTTCTGAAAAAAAAAATATTGATTATTATATAAAATGAATACTCTTATTCTAAGGGAATTAACGCATGCGGTGTATGATCGATCAACAGTTCAACTCACTGGAATTCTAAAGTTTCTAAAAACCTTTTATTTACCATTTACGATTTAATGTTGGACTTTGTCTGTAAGTCTGAATACTAAATATACAACGATATTACAACGTACGCAGATGGAAAAGCAATCAGAAAGAAATTTAGCAACAGTCCTTGAATTTCCATATGTTCAAAATTATGATATGCCAGTACATCTTGTTTATGTGGTATTTTACCTATCGAGTGAACACACCAATGACACTCTGACTTTAACACGGTAGCTCAATTGTTTAGAGCAGCAGCACAGAACGCTGTGGATCCAGTTCAAGCCCCGTGTCTCAATTTTTAATCAAAGTAGATTTTTTTTTACATTTTCAATGGTCAGTCATTTATATTTAATTGAACCTTCATAATAAGTTGAAAAATCTGTTATTTAACCTAATTTATGGCTTCTCTATTAACCCTCTGATAAGACTTACATCTCTATTCAACATTCGAATTATCTTTATAGCACTTCTCTTATCAATTATCACCTACTTACTTATCAATTTATTAAGGCGAACAAACAAAATAGAACAGACGTAGACAACATTTCTTTTTTGAACCTAAAAATGGGCCACAGGTAGACATATATAGACTGATAGATCGATAATTCATTTAGGAATTCAAATCTTATCATAAATAATATTTCTACTCACATAATACTCTTTTGTATAGACTCGTGTCGGATCGGAGATTTCTTAATTTCAACCGCGTCTTCACCTGGCAACATTTTTATTACTGCTTCATCAAATACATCCTTATTTTTACTTTGAACGTCACGCAATGATGAAAGTTCTGTAAATGAGATGCGTGAACACACAATAAGCACCAACACAATGAAATATGGACATAAAACATATCTAAACATATATGATTTTGAACAGAATCCACTTTCTGATTAAATATTTTTTTATCATTATAGTAAATTCTCCGAACAAGCTGTAATGCGTATATTTTTTATGATAGAACGACAGATAAGCATAGGGTCACTAGATGGAAGGTGAGATATCAAAGCCGTATCACATCTAGAGAAGATGCGCGTCCAAAACGTGATAGAACTCACAGCCTTTTCATCTGAGGAAGGTGGTTCGTAAACAAAACGGACTTCCGATAATTCTACCATTGGAAAATAATCATGTTGGACCTGGACGATCTTTTGAATAAAAAAAAATTTTTCAATTTGAACCAGTAGTTTCTGAAATTAACGCGTTCAATCAAATTCTTCAACTTCATAATATTAGTATAGATGGTACAATTTACCTTTAAAACTTTCTTGTGGCGCCTTGATCATATGCCACTCCACGGGGTGCATAACAATCATTGCGAATAATAAATGCAGGTCAATGGCCATAACCAAAGCAAGGGTCCATCTGAACCCATACTCGGACAGCAGGAAGGTCACAAGTATAGGGAATGTGATCGACGCCATACTGCTCATCGTCTGGTTTGCGCTCATCATAGCCGTTCGCTTTTTCGTAAAATAACAATTAAATGCTGTGAAACTAACTGGTATCATGACGCCAAATCCAGCACCTAGAAGTGAATATATTCAGCATCAAACTTGACTCCGCTTTATTAGTAAACGCGTTGACGTTGAGTTGAAGAAGGTTCGAATCTCGGGAAAAACAATAATTTCGAGTAAACAAGATTAAATTATCTTATTAAGGCAAAAAACTTATAACGGTATAATATGCAAAATATATTAGTTAAATTATTTACAATTTATTTTAACTACAGGCTGACCGGCGGATCTCGTTTTAAATCGTAAGTGTTTTATTTAAACACGGTTCGTCTTCAGAAAATTTAGCAGTAATATTATATTATATTGCATAGATAGGTAATTGATCTATAATTATGAATTCCATTTGATTATAATCTAAGGAAACGGACCAAATTCTTTCGTTGCTCCATGGCCCACATACAGTGTAAACTCCATGTAACGTCACTCTATTTAACGACAAACTCTCTTAAGCGTCGAAATTAATTGGCTTTGGTTGGTTTAGCTTGTTTTTCATACAATGTTTCTTCACTCCATTTAACGACAACTCTCTATAACGCCATAAAATGCACAGTCCCTTCAGTGTCGCTATATAGAGTTTACACTGTAATTACATTTCTGTAAACATCATGTTTGTGTTTAGATAATCAATTAGAGGTCCACATATGCTAAAATATTTTTTATTTGTAAATAACATAATAAACGTACCTCGTATAACTCCAAAAGTAAAAGCCAGTTGATACGTTCTTTGAACGAATATCGTGAGAACATCTCCAAGTACGAATAAGCCAGCGCCCACCAAACCGACTTGTCTAAAAGAGTACTTCTTAAGTGCTATACCGCTAAGGAACCCTGAAAAAAATAACAGTTAAATACAAATAAATCAAATTAAAGTAGTGAAGATTGATATAAAACTCTTTTTACGGTTTAAAACAAAAAGTATATTTAGCAGCCATGGTCATGACATCCGAACCGTTGGGTCATAGGTAATATAAATTAAAGCTAATTTGACTAACATATTTCGCGTTTTAAACCGTTAGTACGTTTAATTAAATTATACATTTTATTCCTTTTTGGTTTGTATTATAATAAACTTTGCCTCTCTGGCAACTCTGTAGCCAAATGGGTAAACGTATTGCCTAGCATTGTTCTCTCTCGTTATGCGCGAGAGATCCTGGGTTCGAATCCCAGGAGAACAAAAACAAGTTGTTCTGGTCAGGTAGGACAGAAGTTTGATCAACTACTTGTTCAAAAGAAAGGATCAGTAAAACGGACACAGATATATGTTCGCCTCACGCCCCACTAGGGGATTTCACACTCTCTCGCCACTCTTACGTTATTAAGTTTTATTTGTGGAGGCAAACTTGTCTTGTGACGGTAAGAGCGTTTAAACTATTTCGATCATATATTTATTACTTATTAAGCTATCATTAATGTTAACTACAATTATGGTCGTAGCAGTGTAGGGTGAATGCTACGACTAATTATACATTTTGAATTTGTTGTAAACCATTTTTTTGATACCAAGTTGCGGTAAATGAGAACAAGAAGGCCCCCTCCACCCTTGACGTTAGGTAAAGCCGTCCATTAAATGTTTGATAACTTTCTATAAATACGCAAAAAACTTGTATATATTTAAATAAAACACTGTAACGGTTTAAAACGCGATATATTAGTTAAACTTATTTGTTAGTCTCCCCGTGACCACGGCTGCTGCAAAGCATCCGAAACGTCGGGCCGAAGTTAAAAATCATTTCCAAATAAGTTTAACTAATATATCGCGTTTTAAACCGTTAAAGTGTTTTATTTAAATGTGTACTACTCGCGTAAACTATAGACAGTATTTAACTTGTAAATATAACATAAAGACTCGCATCTCACAATGAATAAATCCTTCGGATGATAACTAACCTTGCGTTCAATTAAAGTTTTCAGTTATGCGTCATCTAATAATAGTAAGTAGGAAAATAGGTCATCCCTTTTTAATTTCCATCAAATATATCGGTCAGATCAATCAATATGTCGTATGCATATGAAAATGACACTGACATTCTCTACTCGGCTTTTAATTCCGTAGATTAAGATTATAGAGATATTGACCTTTGATAGATTAGGGTCGGCTCGCTGTAATTTGAACTCCCTTCAGTGGATTCCGCGTAATGCCGTCTGATTGAAGCCGCATCTTCATAATTTTGTTAATACGCGTATCTAGTCGTGCGAGGATTAAACGTCGAGATAAAAATAAGTTTAATCCATCATAATTTAACAAAATTTTAATGTACTCGCGGAATCTACAGCCAGAACTTAAACAAAAGTGAAATTTCATAAATTGAAAGTTTCTAGAGTCATTCTGGTTTACTAACTTACGTCTGAATCTTGCACATTTTGAACGATTTAAAACGTTACTTTATCAGATACTTTTGTAACCCTTTGCCACGTGACTACATTTGAGTCGTACTTAAAAGAAGATAATAAGAAACGACGCGTTTTAAGATGTTATTTATCAAATTATTATTAATATATTACCTGCTATTGAAAGGGCTCCGTTGTACACTCCTATCACTAAAGGTAGACCACTGGCTCCATCTTGCTCCATAAAGAAACTATTGAAGAGTATTCCGAACGCATTTGATGATCCAAATCCAAGCATCTGTTAAACAGTAAACGTGTTAATAATTACAATATTAATAGTATTAATAATGATAGAGGCAACTGGAAGGAAGTTCCTTTATAATCTCAGGTATTATTTTTTGATATTTCGCGAGATCGTGGTAGATATTGTCGTTGTATTTATGGTGTTTGATGAAAGATAATTATCATGGGGTACTTTGATATAAATTCTGACCTAGAAAGTAATTACTTTCTAGGCTATCAATTTTAAGAATAATAAAGACGTAGGAATTGTTTTCCATTGAGTTGAATTGTCCCTAAAATGTTTTTGGCAAAATGCCTTTCGATAAAAAATTCTTTGTGTCTCGTAACAGACAATAATTTTAATTAAAGTTACGTAATATTTAGAAAAATAAAAATTAATATAAAGTATATCATCAAATTATATACATCTTTATATTATTACAGTTGTCTATAGCGTATCAAATAAACTAAAAAAAAATAAGTAGCAAACTGTCAACAATCACACAATTTATTGAATATTGTTGGCGCAAATGATGGTCAAATTTAACTTAAATACCAAACCTTTCAAATCAGTAACCTATAACAGGTTGAGTTATTAATACATGGGGTACAATTATAACCAACCAGTAGTTGTAGGTTGCACAATATTTTGTAAAGAAGTTTTTATACACGATTCAATAGGAAAATTATTGATTTTTCGTAACATTTCAAACTAATTTATTGTATTAAAAAAAAGTTTAATTTGACGGGCTCGTTGGGTAGCAATGTTAATAATCAACGAATCTTGAGTCCGATCCCCTCCAAGACCAACATTATTTCTAATCAATTTATATTTTTTTCGAAACATGTTGAACTTCAGCTAGAAATCTGGATATAAAATGAGTGGTACAGATATCGAAATTCTATCTGGATTAGGAACCACCGACCACAGATAAAAAGCCGCGAAGTTTAATGGCGTGGTTTCAGTCTGTGGATTTCCGAATATCGGTCGACAGCCTCCCATGCTTGAATGTCAAAAAAAATCTCTTTTCATCCTTTGCTGCATGATCAAACATAGTTTTAAATACTGTCTATAGTTTTGTGCCCCTATCAATCATTGATGTCATTTACTGTTAAGTAGGTGATCGGACTGCGCTGCCTGAACGAAACCATTCTTATGTGAATTCGATCCCAAGACCTCCCTTGCTTAATGCAATGCTAGGGAACGCGTTAACCAAAGAGCTACGCTAACGACCAATTAGTATATCAAACCGTAGCAACAACACGTCATACTAAATTCAGAAGGAAATGCAACACAATACGATTAAAAGTGGTTGGCGTGTATAATAAAGAACTAAGTATAACTTACATATAATTATGAATATATCAATCAATACTAAAATATAAAACTGAAGAGTTCCTTAGTTTGTTTGTTTGAACGAGCTAATCTCAAGAAATATCGGTTCGAATTGAAAAATTATTTTAGAGTTGGTTTGAGCATTTATCGATGAAGGACTATAAAACGTCGCCCTGTTACTAATAGGACATTTACAAAAACACATTTTGATGCCCGAAATAACTATACTATGCGGACGAAGTCGCTGACACCGCTAGTCAATAAATATAAATGAAGTCATTAAATAATTCAACGTACATTTTATATAAAATAATTCTATGTGGCAAGTTCGCCATTGTATTTTTTTACCTTTATATTATTGATATGAATTTATAATAATAAAGCTTTGGGTCCCCCATTTCGAGTAAAAAACCTACTTAATAATATTTACTTAAGAAGTGTGTCATAATAATATTAATAACACATTCTCTTATTGTATGTAATCAATAAGCAATAATATCGCCTATTTTATGAGACCAACCGATTGTACCCCTTCATTCTCGAAGCTATTGCGAGATAAAGGAATACGAATTTGAGATAATGTGAATCATTAATGATACATCGTAAATCATATTTAATTTGTCCGCACTATCACTAACAAACTCGACTGTATATTAAGATATTTTTTTCTCATAATCATATAAAGCACCTTGCTTTTAATTAGACAATAAACACTGAACATCTAGATGCCCAAGATGATGGAAAGATTCATCGTTATTCTGAAACTATAAAATAAGCGAGCACATTTTAATATATGTTATTTGCAAAAAATACTATAGGCATATTTAACATTTGTGTATTGTTTGGAGTAGTTTTATAAAAAACTAGCTGTGCCAGAGGCTTTGTTCGCGAGAATCGTTATTTTGGGCATCCAAATTAGCTTCCAACCTAAGCTGTTAGCCCCGATCGCGTCCCTTCCCGTCGTTCTTGCAAGTTAAACTTAAAAGATAGACATATAGCGTCGCGTTTTTTTTAGATTATTTAAAGAGGAATAATTCTTTCATACACATTTTTTAGTTATCTTGAACCTTTTTCGCAGCGTACGCAACTGAAACTTACAGAGATGAAAAATGTCCACCGTTTTGTTCACTTTTCACGCTATATCTCCGCTTCTATTAGTCACAGCGCGATGCTTTATAGCCTTCCTCAATAAATGTTCTAACTAACTCAAAAATATTTTTTCAATTCGAACTCGTAGTTGTTGAGATTAGCGCGTTCAAATAAACAAACAAACTCTTCAGCTTTATATATTAGGATAGATAAGAGACCAAAGTGCAAATTGGACTAACGGTCGGTCGATTCCGTATTAGTTAAACTTATTTTAAATTGTAACCTTGTATTTGTAGAGCTGCAATTTATTTGTAACAATAAAAATAAAACACCGCCCTTGTTGTACTGGGGCCGTAACGAAAACATTTTTTTAGTAATCAGTCGTAAATCGGCGATATACATTACTACTATAATTGTGTTAATCACACCTGTTTAGCTATCGTGGTTCTAGCTATGCATCTTGGTGCCTAAGGCGACAAGCGACAAGTTTTTATTCTTCATCTAACCCTAAAAAATCAATCAATAAAACGGAGTAGAAAACTAACTACTAACTTTTAAATTTATTACTCAACTATAGGAAACAAGAATTTAAATAAGGAACATTTATATTTTTCAATAAACTGATTGATAAGTTGAAGAGTGAAGCTTGACGAAAACTGCACAGTATTGATAAAAATTATATTAATGTGCAGTAATGTCTGAAGTTGATAACATAATAACTCGATTATTTATTGATAATAAGCGATCGCATGCGCATGAAAAATTGGTTTTTATTCTATTATTTGTTTATTATCCTTATCGAATAACGATGAAATCCCAAGAAGCGCGAGATAGACACATTTTTAAGTTTTTTTCATTTACACGCAAGAAGTTGACCGACCCTGACCGACTGAAGCATTTTTTTCCGTATTAGAACCCATACACCTCTTGCGCTTAATGCAAAATGTTAAGGCAGTGAGCTATTTATGTATCCAGACATCAAACTTATGGCACGCACAGTCCAACAAAACAAGACTAAACCAATACGTTGATTTGCCTGCATTTAACCAGCCTTATTAAAATTAAAAAAAAATTGAGGCCCGAGCCCCGGCGTGGGACGTGGGACAGTACATTCACCCGTGTAAGGATAAGTAGAACGTTGTCTATTTAATATTAAAATTAATAAGGTAGTGATAAGAAAATCTAGAAATTGTTATCTTGCCGGTAATAAAACTGTTGTTTGTAAATATTTAACACAAATTATAACGGTACGAAAATACAAAGAAAATATAGGACATATATGTAAAGCCAATTTCAAAACATTTGTAAATATATATGAAATAATAATGAATATAAAAAATGTGCGTTTATTTAAAGCTATGTATTATATAATATATAGTATAAACACTTTGTTTTGTCTATAATTTACGCAACTAGTAAACAATTAAATATTTTAGTTTTAACGATTTAAAATGCAAAGCATGTTAGTTAACTTATTTACGGTTAAAATAATTAGAAATAAGCTAACTGATATATTCCGCGTTTTAAAACCGTTATTGTTTTATAAACATGTAAATACTTTTTTCTTAATCAGCTGTCAGTCATTTATTGTATCGGAATGTATGAATTATGGTAAAGTCCGTTTCTAATGGTAAATTGTAACTGTAACTTCACAATTATGTCAGATTTGTGAATAAAATCATACATATTTTTCATCGGTCTGATGTATAAAAGTAAGAAGGCTTTATTAAATATCTAGATCCGGCAAGACTCTATAGAATATTAAACATATTGATGTTTTATAGCTTTTCATTTATAATAATACGGTGTAGCAAGTACTGTAGTTTACGCGAGTAGTGTACATTTGAGTAAAATACTTTTAACGGTTTAAAACGAATAATTTATAATTTATTTTAATTGCGGCCCAACGGATAATTTGCAACATGACCACTGATGCTACGTTCTAAACCGTTACAATCGTCAACAATGTCAATGTCATAAAATACTTACGAAAGTAAATCCAACCCCAATACAAACAACATAGCCCCAACCCCCGTCGGGCGCGATGTAAGACTTTTTCCCAAGCTTCTGAGGATTTCCCTCTAAATGTGCGAAAGCTTCATCCATATTAAAATTTATATATTCACGTCACAGATAAAAAATATTTAAAAATAAATGAATGTATTCCACTTCTGTACTAATATTAGAGTCTGTTGTTAAATTCTCAACTTGTCATAAGTCCCAAAATCGTACTTTTGAGAAGGCGACTTGCACGCGAAGCAGACTGGTTGCGTCTGTCACCATTTTATACAGCTCATTCGTAGTGGAAAAATAAGGCTCCAATTTAGCTTCGATCGTAAGGCAAGCCATATCCCCACATATGGACAAACATATTGTTAGCATTTTATAGAAAACATACTCTATAGTGGGAAAAAAAGAAAGACTCCCCTAATAGTATTTCCTTATACAATTACACAAAAAATGGACACAATTATCCATAATTATTTAGTGCATGTACGTATATACTAATTACATAAATAACTAATAAATGGTAAAGGCAGCATAGGATGGCGATACTGGCCGTTTCCCCAGTTCTTTACATTAATATCAGAGGCTCCCATCTTTAGTCTGCCCGTGACCACGGCTGCTGCAAAGCATCCGAAACGTCGGGCCGTAGTTAAAATAAATTCCCAATAGTTTGACTAAACCGTTAAAGTTTTTCATTTAAATGTGTACTACTCGCGTAAACTACAGACAGGGATTGATTTGCTTTATTACAACAAAAAACAAACATCAGAAGATACAAATAAAATTTTTAACAATAAACACTCTATTAACATCATAGAATTAAAAATATAGCTAATGGTTTTTATAGATATTTTATTAATATATTTTAAATTGATTATGTATTAGGACGATAATAATCTTGCTTCTTCCCAACTTGTTGTAGCTCTGACGTTAGTGGCGAAAAAAATTGTCTCGCGTTGAACGAGAACGAGTTTTGTTGCAAATTTATTTAGATCCGACATTTCTCCCAATTGTTTTTGTCGATATTATTTATACTATTATTTTATTGTATGGCCTGAACCAGTGTCTTTTTTCCGCCTTCATTTAATACTTTAACTTCTTTCTTCTTCTCTCTTTGTCCAGCATTTCATAAAGTCGTCCTGGGATCGAATCCTAGAGGCACAAAAGTTTTATCAACAACATCCTAACTGACTAGTGAAGACAATACAAAAATATATCTACCCGTGGCTCATATAGCAAAATGAGATATTACTTTCGTTATTACAATTTGAATCACAAAAAGAAACATGGGTCTTGTAGGAGCCTAGGAGACTTATACGCCATATTTCTTATACCTAATCCAGGCATATTTTTAAATTACTATTCCAGATTTTAAATTTGTAGGATTTGCTTGTTTCTTCTAAGTTTTATGCATTAGGTCTTCTAAAAATAAACTCGATAAGGTCGTACAAACAATATTTTGATTAGATCTATTTTTGGATCTGGTTTTCAAGGGCTTGACCTGCGACGACATTTTCAATTCAATATACATTTTATTTAAGTTATTTAGTCAGAAAAGGATCGCTAAAAATAACTTTAATTTCAAAAAGATGTTATTTACCAATTTGAATAACAATAGGATATTATTATATAGTACACAGGGCTCCTTGGTCTAATGGTAGCGGTATGTCATACAAATAATAATTAATGGGTCATAGGGTCGCCCCCCCACAGGGTCCAACATTTTATGAAAGATTTTTCTGGTTATACAGATTAATCTTCCAGTAGTTTTACTAAACAGATGGTAAGAATATCCAAAATAGTTTTTATCAAAACACCGTCCACAATAGAAAAAAAACACGACGTACTCACGAATCTCGTTTCGTTTTCAATGTGTGGATTACGAATGTCCAAAGCCAAACTAAGTCAATAGTCGAAATTGTTAGATACCATTATTATTATTGTGGGAAAAGCAAAGACCAACTTATATTTAATTTTTGTATTTAGTCAAACAGAAGCATTTATCTTATAAAATGTTTCCCCTTTTTACTGTTTCTCAATAAAATTGTACATACATATTTAATTAACGTGGTATCATAATAATATTTTTCACATGTTATTTCATATGATGGCATTATATAAGTTACAAAAAGATTTAAGATTGAAAAGCACGGATCGTTGCGGGGGCCAGTTCAAGTCTCGCCCGCGTCGTATTTTTTTAAATCTTAAATCAAATTTTAATTTATATAACGCAAGTATTATTGGTATACAGCTGATCGCCTCCTTAAATCGCTGATGGAAAATTCAGTGACTATCCTTTTTCAGCCAAAATTTCACGTATGTTATGACGTAAATATCCGAGCTCTTCATTACAATGATAGAAACGCTACAGTTACAATTTGATACGCGTTGCTAATAAATCATTTAAACAATAACATGTTGAGTCATGGGCTCGTGGCTAATAACGAATGGGTCACGGGTTCAATTCCCACAGGGAGAAACATTTTTCTAACCAATTTAATTATTATTAAGTTTCCTGAAACATGATAGATTTCCTCCGGAAGTATGGTTTTTAAATGGTAGGAATATCGAAATACCGTCCGAAGCACGAACCGTCAACCGCAGATGAAAAAGCCGTCAAGTTTAATCTCGTTTCAAACAGTTACTAGTAGATTTCCGAATAAACAAAACCAAAATGGGTCTTACCTTTTTTTGGGTCTTACTTAACTCACTTTAGGTATGTGTATTTGTTTTTTCTATTCTATAATTAGACTTTAATTACACAACAATTTATAATATGGCGTATGAAAACGTAAAAAATCTTTTATGATTTTAAAACACAGGTAATAAATATAAAAAATGAGCTACCTTAAAACATTATAATTCGTAATTACCCTGTAGTACATAGCTATTTTTAACTCAGTGCGCTTCAAAGTTTTGCAACTTTAAATGCAATATCACATTCATTTATGGATCTTTAGTAAATAGTCTTAATTTTTGGAGAATGTCATTCTATTCTTTGCTTACTTAGACCAGGTCAAAGTCAAAAACATTTATTCGCTTAGGTACACTTATGAACGTCACATCAGTTGAAATATAAAGACTAAATTTACATTTACTGCCAGTCCTCAAATCATGGGCGTAGAATGAACGAGAAGAAATGGCAAGAATCTCCGTGCCACTCCTATCGCCATATTTCAGTTTACAGTCGTCACGTATTAGTGCACTACATATTTTTTCTTAATAGAGCAGGTTCCTCCAAACCCCAAGCATTAATATCGTTTAATTATATTATTAATTAACGCCATAATAGCCCTTTTCACGCAGCTTCCGTTTTACGGACGATTTAAACTTATTTATTGACAATAGACATATATATGGAGACCCAATAATTATTGATTTATGGCACGTATAACCTTTGTTTTGTTTTACGTTCTTTACGTAGCGTTACACCTTATAAGTATATCGTATAGATACGCTGAGAGATGGTTAAAATAAAATGCTTTTTTAATTATGATCGTCAGTCTGCCCTCAATCTTTTATATAACTAAATAAGATAAAGTAGAAAAAGTACTTGGTCTATAATCTATATTGACTACGTTTTTTGCTAAAATCAGGCAATATTATTTTAATACAATGTGCATGCTGGCTAAAAGACGATACAAAAATTAAGAAATCATGTAAGAAAGTCTTGTAGAGTATTCGACGAAGCGATTAAATCTTAAACGGTTTGCGAGTAAACGTAGTACAGGTTTAAGTATTTAAAGAACACGTTTATCCCAAAATGTTATTTTTAGCACAAGAAAAGGGCTGCTTCATACAAGACGTGTTTAAAATTTAACTAACTGTTTACAACATAACTATAAGGAAGAAAATCTTCGTTTTAAAATAAAAACGGCTAAGTGTGTGTTGGATTCGTGCACTAACCATTTCGTACCTACCAACTAGGATGGAGTAAATCGTGAATGGCGTTTACAAAGGTGACAAACATTGTAATATTTGGTTTATCCTTAGTGTTTTTGAAACAGAAATACTTGCATTTGTTAAATTATGCGCGACCGGACTATAATAAATGGGTTGTGCTGTTTACCTATTTTATTTTATTTTATTTTTTAATTATTATCTGCATTCTTTCATATCGACTATCAGACGGACAGAAAGTCAAAATTGTTAATCCATTGATTAATATTATATCTGTATTCAGTTACTCTTTTAAATAAAACACTTTAACGGTTTAAAACGCGATATATTAGTTAAACTTATTTGAAAATGATTTTTAACTTCGGCCCGACGTTTCGGATGCTTTGCAGCAGCCGAAGTTAAAAATAATTTCCAAATAAGTTTAACTAATATAGCGCGTTTTAAACCGTTAAAGTGTTTTATTTAAATGTGTACTACTCGCGTAAACTATAGACAGTATTCAGTTACTCTTATTAAGAAAATATTTATTATAATTTCATACTGATCACAGTTCCTATGATACACGGACAGACAACGTAGACAGTAGTGGTGGTAGTAGAATCGTTATTTTGCCCTTTGGATAGTCTGGACCCTAATGAGTCATGCTTAAGTGTCATTTGTTCCACTGGTTTTTCTTTAAAAGGAAGTGGGTCATATTTCTAACCGGATTATTATTATTAATTCTTAGATGAGACCTCAACCTTCGTGAACACTTATCGAAGTGTATCAATATCAAGCCACAGAGTTTCCAGGTTTATATGAATTATGAAAAGTAGCTAAGACGTCTACTTATTATATTAGGCAGTTACTGAGTAGATATAAAGTGACAGTAAATATATTATTTAATACGTTGTGAAATCCCGTCTTTCCTCGTGGGACAAGGAACGGACACGTTTCTGAGTCAACCTTTCAACAAACAATCTATTATTTCCCCAGGATTCAAATCTAGGACACCTCTTAAGGCAATGGTAGGCGACTCGTGTACCCTTAAGCTACAGAGGCCATGTCATAGAAGATTATTTTTTTTAATATTCATTTATTTCTATTTTATTTTTAGATTTAAAAACTTGAAAACGATGAAAGAACTAAATAAAGTGAGTTTAGGAAGTTTCACGGTTAGGTCACGATTTAGGTTACAATTGAAGTAAAGATGATAAAGAATGGTAAAATCTTTGAATTACAGGAAAATATTACTAGGTATCGTAGCTTGAAAGGTGCAACGATTTGTTATATACTCAAAGGTTTATGAGAACATTTTGTAAAGAGTTACCATTTTATTGTATGGTAAACATAGCTAAATAAGAAAATATACTAAGTTATTTAGAGATTGTAAGAATGGAAATATTCAATACTTATCCTAAAAAATATCGAATATTTTCCGTAAAATATCTGCCCAGTAGTTATTGTAAAACCTAGTCTAATTTATATCTTTACACTACTGCTTTCTCTCAAAAATAAACTGAGCTTTATCTACACTAAAACTTCTACTCGAAACGTTTTCTTCCAAGACTTGAATTTACAGCCTTTTACAACAACTTATAACAGCTGTTTATAAATCGCCTATTAAAAATGAACTGGATGAACACCACTAGTGTGAAATGACCATAAGATCATATGGAGTGCGGATTTCATAATTGATTCCATTCTAAAAATAACTCAAGGGTCGATAACTTGAAGAAAAATTTTGTGTCAGTAGGTGTTACTGTAAGAATAAACTAAAAACATATAATGTATAGACATTTATAATGGTCGCATGCGCAACTAAAGCTTCTTTGGTAAAACGGTATGGGTACAGTACGATAGGTCGTAGATTCGAGACCTGCCGTTGTTTTTATGCGTGTTTTCATTACATAGGTACTTTTCCAAGAATATAACTAGTAAAAACCCAAGGTAGTCTAAATCACTGCTTAGCCTAGGAACTTGCACTTAATACTATGCGTTAAGCAAGTAACAACAAACAGACACAGAAATATGTCCGCCCCATTCGGAAAATGAGATTTTACTATTTTAATGTTAATAATATAAATATTATAAAATGTAAAATTAAATGTTAATTCTATTTGATATTATGCCAAAGAACGAACAAACATGGCGTCCACTTAATAAAAGAAAGAATCCTTAATTACATTTTATTCGATCTATGAATGCTGTGTTTGCCGGATATATGTCTAATCCCGGATATTCCTGATCAAATTATTATATTGTTAATAAGTATGGCTACATATTATTACAATATATTTCAGCGACTTCGTCCGCTAAGAATATTTATTTTGGGGATCCAATTTAGTTTTTGCAAACCCTTTATAAACCTAAGCGTCCCACGACATCGGTCGCGTCCCTTCCCGTCGTTCTTGAAAGTTAATCTTAAAAGATAGACTTAAAGCGTCGCGGACTTTTTTTAGGTATAAAACATGAGGCAATTTAATTAAGTGTCCAAGCATATCAAGTTTCACGAAATTAGATCACGTGGCTGTTGAAGCGTATTTTGGGAAACCAACAAACTAAAGTAATCCGTTCTCGTACTATATTGATTAAAAGCTTACAATTCTAATATTTCGTTGTTGCTGGGTCCAATTTTCTCCTATTTTATACACCCAGGTATTTTAGGTGATACGATTTTGGTTAAGAAAAAGTTGCTTACAAACTTCAAATCCCTTTTCCAAGATTCTGTACCCAGAAAGATAAAAACCCTAAGTAACATTTGAAAAATATTAAAGTTTTCAAACATTAAACTCCGTAATTTCATCTTCAATTTTTGAGCTGTAAAACATAAGATACTAAACTTCAATACGTAGGTGGTAAGGATGAAATTACAATGCACGAGGTTGCATTAATGGATTGAAGAAATAAACGACGACGTGTAGGACACGGTAGCTAAATTGGCACGAAACTCTAAAGATGCCTATTCAAGACTCGCTCATATCATCAAATTGTTTTAATCGGTCGTTGTATATACACACAACAATTTAAGCGTTGCTCCCATTCACCTAACTTGTCGATACCAATAATGTCACAGGAATTCAAAAAATACTTGCGTTAAGGTTACAGTATAGTAAAATGTGTACACCTTATTTTGTTAGCCTAGTCAATGGTACTGCACAAATGCAACTCGGACTTAACCGATTTTTAATTTCTTTTATTTCAAATACTTATAACTAATTTTTTAATAAAACACTTTAGCTCTCCCTGTGACCACGGCTGCTGCACAGCATCCGAAACGTCGGGCCGAAGTTAAAAATTATTTTCAAATAAGTTTAACTAATATATCGCGTTTTAAACCGTTAAAGTGTTTTATATAAATGTTTACTACTCGCGTAAATTATAGACAGTATTTACTCATAACGTTGTCATTCAAGCTGAATAATTATAGAAATATAGTAATAAGTATTATCTGCATTAGAAATGAATTATGGAATTTTCTCGCTGCAAATGTGGAAAATAAAAAACATTCATTGATAACCAAATAGGGTTTCGTTTAATACGTCATTTGTTTTAAATTTTACATTGATTATACAAAATATCATGGAGATACTGCAGTTAAACGCGCACTTTGCAGTAATCCTTTAAGTTTAGTCATGTAGTCTCGTACGCAAAACGCCTTTCTATCAACAATTTATATCAAACTATAAGATACTTTAATACGCTAAAAAACAATAGTAGTTTAACACAAAATTACACATAAAACAATATTTTAGTACAATTTTAAGTGAGTTAAGTAGGATGCTCTGTCCGCATTCCAAAAATAAATGAGACTTTAACTTGTCGAAAAGATTACAACACACCTTTCAAAACAGGCTTTAACTGCGCTCTACGCTACATTAACATCGATATTTATGATAACATTGTATATATTGGCACATTCATTACATTTCCTTAATTGAACTACTTTTAGTTTTCGTCTGCTTCAATAAGGTTAGCGCTAACATTTTTGGTCACATTTGCAGTTTATCTACGAAGTTTTCAGGGGGAAGACATTTTTTAAAGATATGAATTGAAACCGTTTATTGTACAAAAAATATCACTGGAAGCTTATTTGATTCGAGTGCAGTTTATTGCGTAACAAAACGTTACGTGCTACTTTTGTCACGACATTTCAAAAGGGTAACTAAATGAAGGTATACCATTAAAATGGTTTTAAAACCGTATAAAACTAAACTCTATTTTCAACGTACGGATTGAAGAATTGCGATCCTTGAGGTTATTGAATCTTAACATAATTTAAAATCTTTACAGAGTAAAAATTAGATCTTACGCTACATAAAACTTTCAAAACGTCAAACAGTCATCTAAAAATATAATCATTATACTACTAAGGTTAAAAGGTTCTATAAAACGTTCATACAATTGAATAAAATAAGTATAAGCGGTGTTACCTACTTTAAATAAATTATATATTAGTATAAGGGTCACCAAACACGGGCCACCGAGCATAGAATGCCGATGCGCAGTGCTCACCAAACTTTATGGCCGGAGTGAAGTTAGCGCGGATGGTTGCGCAGAACGCAAAAAGCAAGTATCAGTTGCGACAAGGGGGGTGCGCGGGTGCAGGGCGACTCGAGTTTTTGTTTAAAATTGACAGTACCACGCGCAAGATGGCGGTCGTGCTGACTTCAGCACGGGCAAAAAGTTTGAAAAGAACTGTACTTTGAGTTATACGTTTTGAGTTGTAGCGTCACCAGCGTCAAAATGCAACGTTTTGACAGTGTCCGGTTGTTCCAGTGCCGGTTTTATGCCGCTTGGAAACCATTCAACACTTTCAAATACTAAGAAATTCTCTATTTTCCTAAATCTATTTAAGAAAAGTTAGAAGAACACTACATAAGTATTATTTAAAGAAAAGAAATAGTATAGAAATAGAAAAAAATATATTTGAAGCAGTTAAAAAAATATCGTTGTAGTCATGGATGTTTAGAAATTTAATTCGGGTTATATATATACTAGTAGTACATATATGTAATTTTAGGACGTGTGAGCCTAAATAATATTAGCATCTATATTTTTTCACTAACACTGGGCACAATAGTTGAATATTTTTTAATAATTAATTTTAACTGAAAATAAATAAGTGAATTAATAAGAGCCCGACTTATTAAAATGGTTTGGTAAAAGTAAATTTATAATTAATACATAAATAAGTAAAAAGGTTATTCGTACAGGCCTTTAAAGTTATGATATGAATGTAAAAAAATCCCACATTAGAGTATATTCAGTAACATTAATATAAAACGTCAAAAAGAGAATATTTAAAGTTGGTAAACCCGTAATTTTTAAAGTGCAAAGCTCTATTTGTGCTTTCACTGGAATTTAGTTCGTTTTTTAATAAAGGTCTACATAATTATTAACCAGAGAGTTTCATGTCATTAAGAAATAATCTAACTTATACAATTAAGTATCAATCTAAGTTCTGCTATTTTGGCAGTTAAAGACGATAATTGTCATGTCTACAGCTTAAACCAAGGAGCCAGACATTATAAAAATAAGGGACAACGAAAAGAGACCAAAAATTAAAAAAAATAAATATTTAGGATACGAAACATTCATCTTTTCTAAGATATGGTTCTTTGCGAAGATCGTCATTTGTTACCAAATTCGGATAGAAAGAAGTATGGAATGGCATGTGTTTGAAAGAGTTTGACACTGCAGACATTTTTTTTTTAATATTTTACATCCATATTATATTCGACATCACTTGCCCCTGTACTAAGAATCACAGAACGACAGTTTGTCGCCATCACTGAATCCTAAAAGATTTTTTTTATCTCCTCTCGTTATCCCTACAATAATAACAAATTCATACTCATCCAACGCATTTTCATAATACTAAGTATGTACTTAATAATGTACCGTATAAGTACCTACTAAATTTGTACAATTTTACGTCGCCGTGTTAAGTTGTATGCGTATTCAATGCCCCAGACGAGTACGCAGGACATAATTAGAGCGTTCTGTACGTGAATACATATAGCAAAACTGCCTGTGTAGTCCCTCACGTAACCTGTAAAGACAAGAAGACATTAAACTATAATTATGATAGCTGCAACTGTCAAAATAAAGGATAGCCACGAGGCCGTATGTTGGAAAAGAGACTATGAAGGAAAGTGCAATAAGAAGTATGCTTATAAAATAAAATAACAGATTTCTATCAGTAAACTAGAAAAATAAATTTCTTTTGCACAAAATAAACGTATTTTTTTAAATATAAATAATTAATATTATTATTTTTATGTCGGCGCCAAGTAAAACAATACGAAAATCAATTTTCAGTTTTGGTAGTAAATACAGTATTTAACACAGATATTTAACGATTCCAAAATGATATTATAAAAATATATAATATATATTAGCGAAATATTAAGTATATTCTCGAATACGACCCGACATTTCGCATGCTTTGTGACCTTTTTTAAATTTTAAACGATTATAAGCGTTTTATTTAATGTACTAGTAACTAGACTATACGTTTAAATATTATTAAAATAAACTATTTCTAATAAAATCTAAATCTAATACAAAAAAAAAATACCAAAGACACCGCCACAGCGATAGTACTACTATATTATCGATCTTTTTCCTCATTGCTTTGCGGTTCGAGGTTCTTCAGTAAATTGTTTTATACGAAATTTTTGTCACATAGTTAATACACAATTTTCTTATTTTAAACAGGCTTAAAAGAACAAAGAATATGGAAGTGAGATTCCACATGTATAAAACTGTGTCTCACCAATCAGTGGTCCGATTAGCACGACCAGCACCCCCTTGCTGACCATGTGCAGGCCGAAAGCCGCCGGCAGCTTCTCCAGGGGGCAGTACTCGGATATCGTTAGAGTGAAGTTGCTCAAGCACATCCCACGAAAGAAACCGCAAATAGAGAGCCACACCATCAACGGCACCCATTCTGATTGTTCCGCCAGCACTGAAAATATATTACTATATGTGTAAATAATCAAATTAGGTTTTTAGAAACTAAAAATCGATTTTAGATTATATTGTGTAAGGCTTTAACGGCCATTGTTCAGCATATCATTGTTTTTCGGGCTGTTCGGCTGACGTGAGCGAGAAGAGGTTCTCGATGTTTCGCCATTACGAGCGGACCGCATTATCAGGAGGTGTTAGCTGCTCGAATGCTCGAAGAATCCGAACAGCACGAAGAACAATGATATGCGGATTTTAGATTGGAAAAATGTATGACAAGGGCAGGACTTGAAACGGCATCGTCAGCTTTCCGTGCTGTTGCTCTCGGTAGCTGATTTGGCAGAGCAACAGCACGGAAAGCTGACGATACCGGTTCAAGTCCTGGCCGAGTCGAAAATTTTTTCAATTTATTTTCGATTTTTAAGTTATATAGTGCCTTCATGTGCAATAACATGTGAAAAATATTAATGTTTTCATAGCGTGGATATACAAAAATACACAGATCGGGACTGAAACGCTATTAAACTTTTTTATCTGAAGACGGTGGTTAGTGAATCCGGATGGAATTTCGATATCCTTAAAGTGCATTTAATACCGAAATTTCCAGACGAAGTCTAAAATGTTCCAGAAAAAGAATTTATTATAAACACGTTGGACTGAGTGGAGATCAAACCCACGACCCGTTGATTCTTAGCAATTGCTACCATTAGACCAACGAGCCCGTCAATAATTAATAAAAGTAAAATGCAATACCTGATCGTGTCGCCGCCAAAAAGAATGAGGAGATAAAGAATATCATCTTCTTGGATATCGTGGTCCTATCGAAGATCGGAGGCAGCACCAGTCTAACTCCGATATCCGTGATCGCAGTCATCGAGAGGCAAAACGCTGTCTCGTTCATATTATAACCTGGAAAAAAATTAACTAAAATAAAAAACATTTTACTCAGTAACAAATAAAATTAATGTCATTTTATGTCCCTATGTGAAATCATGTACAATAACTTAAATTCTGTTATTTCATCTTAAATTTTCTTACGCTGCATGCATAAGACATCGAACCTTAATCTCCAAATGCTAAGGTTGAAATTACATGCGCAACAGGTGCTAGTATGGGTTGAAAAAATTTGATGATTAGAGCAACAGCATGGTACAATGTGGATGCCAGTTCTAGTCCTGGCCGTGTCGTAATATTTTGTTTTATATAGTCATGTGCAACAGCATGAAAAATATACAAGATTTAAAATTGTATGTCCTAGTTCTTTGTACCCTACGGTACAAATGAGGTGTTAAGAGAAAAGAGATGGGGTTAAAATACAAACCTAAACTTCTAATAAAGAACGGCGTCAACATCCTAAACTGCAACTCCCCGCTCCAAAACAGCGAGAGTCCGAGTAAAAGATTCAGAAAAGACCAGTCTTTTAGCAAATCTAAGTCCATTAGAGCTATAAACTTTCTTATGAAACCAGCCTTCTTCTCTTTCTCTGGTTCAGTTTTCTTTATAGCTTTCATTTGTAGCGCGTCTTCGTCGGCCGTCTACAAAATGAAAAGGCTTTTTAAGTTTACTATAAGGGAAAGGAGAGTGTATAGTAATAACCTCATTCTTTAAAATTCTTTATATGGATATAGAATCAATGTAAGTAGGTATCCATTTAATATTTATACTTTGTTTGCTTTAAAGCCCCAGGGACTATCGCTTTAAAATGTTTTCTGTTCTTAATATTGGTGTGTTCTTTATCTAATAAAAATAATCAATTACTCGCTGTGACCCATATAAATGGCGAAATAGTTTTAAGATGTCAAAAATGCGCATGCGCATAGGAAAGCTATGACTATAAATAAGGAATACTCACATCTAAATACAACTGAAAATAGCTCCCAGTAAAGTCCATATTAGATATATTGGATATCACAGACACTTTCCTCTTTCTAGCAGCTTCACTTATACTACCACTAGACTTAACCATAGGCATCGCCGCCAGAGAAGCAGCGGTCGTCAACCCCGGGTCTAGTTTGGACTTCTCAAACTCCTGCAACGGTTTGTCGCAGGTCTTCGCGCGCGGCAGACCAACGGTTCGCACCGACGGATGATTCATGTTATTGTGGGACCTCTGCGTGGTAAGCTTTGGCATCGGATGACTGACGAGTGGATTTATTTCAAACTTATCGTCATCTTCCTCGTCGCTTTCGTGAATGCATTCCATTTCCTGAATCAAACAGAAATACACTTAGTAATCCTCATTTAATATTTTGTATTTGTTCGTGCAATGAAGTGTTTAATTATTATTATTAAATATAATAGAAAGTCATTTGAAGTGAAAAATCATTATTGTAATAAAAGTATTCCTCACCTTCACGGGCTGCAATTCGCAGTCAACTGGTTCGTCAATCAGATGCCGTTTGACTGGCTGCAGTAGCGTGGACCCGAGGACCGCGTGGAACGCGAGAGCTCCCAGTATCACAACTGTCCATCTGAACCCAAATTCTCCTAATAGTAATTTGACTAGTTGCGGCATAACCATCAAGCCGAACCCTGTACCAGCCATAGACAAGCCCACGGCTTGACCACGTTTCTTTGAGAAGTAATGATTCAGTGACACGAACGAAGACGATGAAGCTAAACCGACACCAAAACCTGAAAAGAGAAATTATCTCGTTTGAAAACTTTAATATGTACATGTATTTACATGATGGCATGTATAAAATTAAACATCATGGGTAGGATTTCGGAAGAGGTGCACGATATCGATGGGTTGAAAAAATCCGACTGTGTAGGACACGGTAGCTCAATTGGTTAGAGCAAATGCACGGAACGCTGACGATGCCAATTCAAATGCCCGTGTCGTGCCTTTTAATGTTGTCGTAATTTAGAGATTATTTCGTTAAACAAATTAAAACAGTTTGCGCTATAAAATTTGTATAATTTTTAACAGTCTTAGTCATTTAGTTAAAGGAAAATAAAGAAGAAATAGATTAACTAACGGCCTATTCAAGGTGAAAATATAATTGGCGTAGTTATCCTGTCAATTAGGTACTTGCAATTAAAGAAAATCATTTCAGACTTAAACACGTTCTGCAGTTACACGCCAGGTTATAAAAGCAGCGATAAGGTAACGAAGTTTAAGACTTGTCGTTAAAAAATATTTAAGCATATTACAAGTTATTTAAATTAACCGTAGCAAGTAATATCATGTTTTAGCAATAACATTGTATATATTTAGATATGTGTAGTATGTTAGTAATGGTAACAATCAACTGCTCGTCGGTTCGTTGTCAAACATGCTTCTAATAATTTTTTTCTGAAATATGTTGGCCTTCGTCTTGATTATCTTAATATTGAATAGGTGTAAGAATATTAAAATTTCACCCGGGTCTCGAACAACCAATTGCAGGTGAAAAAGCCTTGAAGTATGGAAATTTTCAAGTGTTACAAGCCAAAATAGGTCGATATCGTATTTGCTTGTATTTTATGGAGTATTTAATCTTCCAACAAGCAAACTTGTCGGCCTATGTCATAAAAAGTAAACCTAACGTGACCTAATGATATGTTATATATCTTGAATTAAAAACAATCCATTTTCATATAGAAATAAGATATGTCCCAATTAAACCTAGCCTTAAACGGTATGGCTTAGTAATTATAACAGTTACAAGCAATTGTTCTACAAAAGCGATCACAATGATGAGTAATGACCCATAACATTTCCATAAAATAACGCTCCTATTATATCATGGTCTGAAATAATGAAATGCGAAATTAATAATAATTTGTTAATTATGAACTGAAGGTTTAACTCTTGTAATGACGGTCGCATTTAATTGTCACTTTTTCGTAACCAAACCCTTACATAACACATAAATATTCACTAAATTAGTTTATACATAATTCAAGATTAAATGTGATGACTTCTGGCGGATATATTTCAATGGCTGTTTCATTATGTATATGTAACATTTTCTAAAAAAAGTGAAATCCCCCTTTCATCCGCGTAGGGCAGATAAACATATTGTTATGTCCGTTTCACTGTGCGGTTTTCAGAAAAGTAGAAGATAGGACTTCTGTGCCAAGACTTGGCATCGATTGTTTCCTGGGATTAGAACCCAGGGCCTCTCGCGGTTAACACAATGTTGGGGATGCAAAATATTATTTTTTAATATCTCTCACTTAAAATCTTATTTGCGTTTAACCACTGGGTCAGACGGTCATCATACAAATCGGAAGGTTGTAATAATACTAATTAGTATACCAAATGCCATCCCTACATTGATGGTTAATTAAAACTTTATAGTTAACCACAATAACGTCACCCGGTCATGGAAATGTACAAGCTACAAGGAATCCCATTGAGATAGTTAATTTATTCTGAAGCCGTACGGCGAACAATCCACTGTTCTCAGAATGTACTTGCTCTTCAATCGCGTGCATTATGCATATTTATTGTAATTTTTAGTTTTTAGTGACACAATTCAGTTATAAAATTCTCTCGTGGGTGGATAGTTTCACAGAATAGGTCAAAACATTTTAAAAAATCCTTGGCAATATAACAGATACCTAATAATATAATATAAGAGGGACAAAACATTAAATTAATAATTATTACTTGTCAAACCTTTCTAGTTTGACGGAAGAAAAAATGATATTTTTTTTTATTATTATAATAATTTTAAATTTAATAATTATTTTTTCCTGCGACTGTAAAATAAAATAAGTTCGCTTGGCCGGGTAATTTTAATACGACAATTCGGGTGACTTTTTGCTTAGTAACTAAAACCATGGCTGATAACGAATATTGTGTTAAAATAGTTCTTTTAACTCTTAACATATCCGATAACATGCCCTGATATACAAGGTATGTTTCAAGAGCGTTGACCTTATTATTACAACAACAATTACTCATCGTAATTACAAAATAAAAACCAGCTGCGTAAGTGTAGGATGCAGCGCGTGAGCAGCTATTTATCGATATTTCATAATTTGTCCACTTCACTGATTTCAAATAAAACCCTTATTGGCGGTTTGAAAAACAAATATTTGTTGAAATACTGTCTGTAGTTTAAAACGTGATATATATTATTTAAACTTATTTGAAAATGATTTTAACTACGGCCCGACATTTCGGATGCTTTGCAACAGCCGTGGTCGTGGGAAAACACAGGGGGTCTATACATATATAATAAGTTTAACTAATAGATATCGCGTCCTAAACTACGTATATAGTTCTAGAAGAATATGTAGGTTAAATAATTAATCTCGACCTATTTTGGCTTTGAATATTCGAAAATCCATAGATGGCAACTGAAACGCGATTAAACTTCACGGCTTTTTCATCTGTGGATGGCGGTTCGTGACCTCGTCAATTGTCGATATATTTACCTATTTAATATTCAGATTCCAGAAGTCCAACATGTTTCAAAAAAATATAAAATTAGAAAAAGATACCTGGTGGGTAAAAACCCGTTGACACTAATTAACAACAATACAATTTTCCCATGATTCGAACCCAAAAGCCACGGAAACACAATCATATCGTATGGTATTCTAAATAGTCAAGACCTAATAGTGTATTAATATGTCGACATAGATCAACTTCATCAAAGACTGTATTATAAGTTTATAACAATAGAGTAGTTAACTGCATCGCTTATCGCGTAAGTTCAGCGGTCAAATTCCCCTTGTTTTCGAGTATATTAGTCATTTATCAGCGTTACGTGGCACAGACTAGAAATATGAGTTTTACAAATATTTTAATAGTTCTTAGGTGTAAATGTCCAGATTACTTACTTAAGCCGTTTTATACTGGGTAATGTAGATTAGATTTTTTTACATTATTAAATTTTAATTAATATTGGTGTCTTTGTGTTTTGATTAACGGAAAAAACCGTGACAACGGTATAAAATATGTTTGTTTTTTAAATTATATTAGTTATTGTGTACAGAATTTAAAAAAAACGAATATACCGATATAGTGAGGTACAAGAGTATACAATTAACGTCAAGACGTTGGATATAGAAAGACATATCTATAACCCATCCATTAATATCAGTGTTGGGACATCAGTCTCAGCGAACATGTGTGGTTTTGTCATATTTAATTAAAATATAAATTAAATTTGAACTGTATAGTATTTTTGCTAGAATAAGTTTTAATTGTAAATGTATTTCCATTTCTATCTATTTGATATTCATTGGCATAATACACACACAACACATAATAATGTTGACAACACTATCGTTTCCGCTCAATTCGAACTCAAGATTACAGAATGAAGTTAATCCCTAAATAAAATTGTGAACTTACCTCCCATTATACTGTAGGTGGCTAAAATATGCGCCATGCTGTTCGCGGGTGCGGTAAAGAGCAGACCTAGGGCGCATATCGTCGAACCCACAAAGCAGACTTTCCGATAAGAAAAGGTTTTGATGACTGGGCCCACGAAGAAGCCGGAGAAATTGACTACGGAATCGAGGGTACTGGCGATCACCGACGCGCCTGTCGTGTGGACCCCAAGGTCATCGAGCAGATCCTTGAATAACAAACCGAACGATGGTTCCAGAGAACGCGTGGAGAACTGAAAGATAATAAATATTTAATTAGATCAAGTAACCCAATCCAAAATAGAATCAAATATCCAAAACCAAATTAGGTCAACATCGCTTCGTTTTTAGATGATATGGACTGGTCTTCCACAACCCACCCCCCCCTTTCCCCCCCTATAAAAAAAAAAAAAAATTTTTTTAAAAATTCCCCAAAATTTTAATTTTTTTAATTTACTTTAAGTTAACGTAAATTTAACATATTTAAAATTTATTTCATAATACAATAGTTGAATCCGAATAGAAAGATTTATTCTTATTTTACTTTTCGTTTTATACATGAGCCACGGAGGCTAAAACTATTGTACGGCGATAGTATTCAAATCTTCGGATTAAAATTCAATAGAGTAAAGAACAATGTACAAGAGCTCTAGAACAGAATTCAGAATTTCGCAATCGTGTTCTTTGTATACGTGTCACTTGAATCTCATATATTTATGCAGACGTTCCATTTTCAGTTTCGAATTTAAAAAAAAGAACATGCAGTGCATTTTTAAATACTAGCTGACCTGAAACGTTCTCTTCCATATTAAGTATTTGGAAGAAGTTATTTTACAATGAAAACGGTTCTTGTGAATTAATCTTAAAGAAACATTATTTAAAGAACAATTCTTCCATACATATCTTTTGAGTATCATTAACCGTTTTCGTAGCACACGCAACGGAAACCTGCAAAGGCAAATAATTTTTTCCAATGTTTTGACATTTCCGTCTGTTACTTCACTTCTGTAAGGCGCAGTCTGATGTTTTTTTAGCTGAAAGCCTACTTTGATAATTCGTCCAATCAACACAAACAATATTTGTTCCTGAGATTAGTGCGTTCAAACAAACAAGCTTTCTCATATTACGTAAAGCAAGAAACTAATGTTAGACACAATTATAGTTTATGATTAAAATGAATAGTATTAATTAATCCGCTGCAACAATCGACCTTTCGTAATTATCATGAGACTTAAATAAAGGTCGACAGATAAAAATATAAGTACCCAGTTGTTTAAATAGAGATAACGATCGAATGCATTCTACGAGTTATATATAATTGTGTCGTTAGAAAAACATGTGACTAGTTAAGTGGTCGCTATCACAAACGCCTGTTGTCATACAAGTTGATAGGCGCAGGCCGCAGACACACCAGTGTAATACTAAACAATTGACTGTCCAAAATTATTTAAGGATTATAAGTTATATATTTAGAGAATTTTTATACTTATTTGTATAGTATTACCACCTCGGAGTATAATGGGTTTAAAATCAGCAAAATAAAGACAAAAATCCATAAAGGTTTGAATAGAATGCCGTACGAAACAGTCAGATATTTATATGTCATAGGTAGACTAAGAGATATTCTCATCAACGTATGCCGCAGGGGATACTATTAATAGTATCCGACAAGTATATTGTGACCCTAATTAACTTAAGTAGTATTAAAGTGCATACTTTATTAAGTTAAATAGACGCAGCTACAAATAACTAAGAGTTATTTTTAAAACTAGCGCGAATTTTTTCGCAGAGTAAAAAGTACAACAGAGTAAAGTTCGCGAGAATCGTTATTTTGGGCATCCACATTCGTTTTTGCAAACCCCTTCATCTTTATAAACTTAGCTATTACCTACGACGTCGGTCGCGACTCGCGTCCCTTCCCGTCGTCACTTACAAGTTAATCTTAAAAGATAGACGTATAGCGTCGTTGACTTTTTTTTTAATAATTTAAAGAGGAATCAGTCTTTCATACATAATTTTTGGGTATATTTTTTATTTTTTTTATTTTATTTAACTTCTACGATTTTAACGTTTTGCAGCGTACGCCTCGAAAATTCATAACGATTAATAATATTTACAATTTTTTCACATTTTCACTTGTATTAGTCAAAGGACGATGCTTTATAGACTATATCTTTCCTCGATAAATACTCTAACAAAAATAAATTTTCAATTCTAACTCATAGTTCCTGAGATTAGCGCGTTCAAACAAACTCTTCAGCTTTATAGATTAGTATACTATATAAAATACTATTGTCGTCAAGGAATACGTAAATGAGTTTAATCAAATACGATGGTTATTTTTCGACGTCTTTTTCATCTCTTTTCACACATGAAGTTCACCTAAGTGATAAAACGCATTTACATGCTAATAAGTGTCAACCAAAAGATTATTTAGCATAGCAATGTGTTTCGATCACTCCGTGACGTATAGAAGATATTATTCAGTTGTCAGACTAGATCGGCTAAACATATATATGTCTTTGATGTCTCCTAAGATGATGCATTTGTTTATTCATGACTCGTTTCGCTCTGTGAGTAAGTACTTACTTCAAATGCGTTAAAACAAGGTTAATAGCTAGGATTCCTTGTTCTCTTTTGGCAGAGCGTTGAATGTGTCGATGTGAAGGTAAGAAGTACGATACGTAACTTTGTAAAAAAACATCTTAAATATGTAAATTACACCACGCGAGAGGTGCATGTATCAAGGTTGAAAAAATTCGACGATGACTTGTAGAATACAGTAGAGGATTAGAGCGGCAACACGGGACGCTGTAGATGCTGGTTCAAGTCCCGTCCGAGTCGTATATTATTTTTCAAACAGATTTTTAATTTTGCTTTAAAGTTTTTATACCATTTACATTACGTATAAGTAACGGTACAATTTAAAATATTACAATATGAACATTAGTCACATTGACTAAGCTGACACCTAAGCAGACCATCCACGCCCATCCTCCATCAGGAGCAACCTTTCGCGTCGCTGGCTGCGCTGACTTCGAAAACCCTTTGCTCTTCTCCACAGTCATTATGCCTTTTGTCACCTACGTACCTGCAAGTATATTAACCTTAAAAATTATGTAATAACTAATTATATATAGTTATGCCTACTTCCAGGTGACTAGGTACCTACTTCTACAACAAAAGCTTAGTGGTGTCTCTCCACATTATTATTTATGTTATTGTATTTTAGTGTTATTTTTGTATTTTTGTGTGTGGAATTAATGGATGTCATGTATACATTTGATGTATAGGTTTAGTTGAGATGGTATAGTTTGTAGGTGTACAGTAAATGTACCGTAAAGATGTAAAGTAAAATTCCATCATAATCAACTATGTATTCAATGAGAATACTACCTACTATAAAATCTACTATAGATATTTGGAGAACAGCTTAAATTAGATGAAACACTTCAACGGTTTAAAACACGATATATATTAGTTAAACTTAATTGGAAATTATTTTAACCACAGCCCGACATTTTGGATGCTTCACAGCAGCCGTGGTCACGGGGAATCTCCCCGTACTATATTCGCGTTTAAAACCGTTTAAAAAAAACATTTTTGTTTTATTGACACACCATAATGTATACTTATTACATCGAATAGAGTAAATTGTGTAACCCATAAATAAAAACGGCTCTATGATGTATCTACGCGGAAATCCACCATAATAAAGCTGTTAATATAAAGATATTCATCGTATACCATCAGATCATTTCAATACTCGTATATGAACGTTGGCCCGCCTTATCATTATCGCGAGCTTGTTTTGATTCGCAACCGGTCGGCACGCTCTGCGATTTAAAAGCCCGCACGAGAGTGGCTAGGAGAACACGCAAGTACCACGTGTCTTGGATAGGGCAAACGCCACGTGCGCTTCCAATCGCGAGGTCAGAAGCGGCATAACATCCTGGCTGTATGCTTTCGCGAGAGCAATGACTTTGTTTTTCTTGCATGATGTTGTATAGCAACAGCACTCGCGCATTATTGAATTACGTTTTACCCCTATTGAGACATACAACCTGTCTCTTGTACATATGAGTTTATTACAATTATCTAACGAAGAAGTTTTGCCAATTTTATTTCAAAAATTTCAATACAATTATGTTGAGCGCTTACCTAAGTTTTGATTATTTGAAAAAGTTAATTAGTTTCATTTAGATATTATTTCGTCTGATTGGATTTATTGATAATCTATAAATATACAATTGCGTAATAAGAATACTTCACTTTAAATTTGCTTACCAATTAGGTATCTGATCTCACATAAAACTTATCAATATTCGATTTGAGCATTAGCGCCCCGGTTTCAAGTGCCATTTTTGTTAAATCTCTGTGACCTCTATGGCTGAAGCTAAAAATATCACAGTATTCACGTTATCAAAGAATCATCGCGTTTGATATTCTAAATATACTGCAGAGACACAAATGAAAATGTCTACGCTTTTAGAATAACATACATTCTGACGATACGATAGCAAAATACCGTAATAAACAGGAGATAAACATTATATATTTGTTTATAATTACAAACTATGATATACAACACTAAACAAAACGTATAGGCTATAGAGGCAACAGGCGGCCTTAACCCTTCTAGTTAACAAGAAAAAGATAGCAGATAAAAATTCTAAAGATGTTACATTGTTTCTTTAAATTCAAAACTGTTGTAGGTGGTAAGTAAAATTCCTAATACAATTTTAGTGCTACATAGTATTATTACCTCTAAGTAAAAAATAGCACAATCATTATACAAAATATTATTCCTATCTACAGATACCCATCAAGATTCACCGATATAATTTATTTTATTATGTAACATTGACCAAAATTCTAAAATAGTGCATCATTCCATGTCACACTAACCTATATTATTTAGACCGAGTCTATAATTATAATGATAGAGGAGGACAGACGACCGTCGACCACTGTGCTCACTTGATGGTAGGTAATATACCCCAGCCTATAGCATTTAAAAAAGATGCACTGTCGACGGCTTTGGATAGTCCACAGACTGAAACGGAAACGCGATTAAGCTTGACGGCTTTTTCATCTGTGGACGGTGACGTGAGCCGGACGGAGTTTTCGATATTCCTACCACCCATTTAACATCCAGATTATCAGACGAAGTCCAACATGTTTCCGAAAAATTATAGATTGAAAAATTAAAAAATGGTTGGCGCCGGTGGGGATTGAACCCACGACCTGTCGCCAATTTTTTCTGTTCTTCGAAAACGACGCATGATAATATAAGATGATACAAATTTAATTCGAGGCAAAAATAACTTGATATTTTTATAAAATTCCGAAACATAAGTTAACAAGCATATGTTGACGTACCTTGACCCTGTCTGTGGGCGTAAACAAAAAATGATGAAACAAAGCAATGACCAAAAAGGTTTACAAGTTTTTAAGTACTAAGTATATTATGTTGGACGTTGACTTGATTATACATGAGTACAGACATGAAATTATGTTTTGATTCAAGTACCTCTACATGGACATCTTGTTTATTTTGCTATTATCATTTAAAATGGATCTAAAATACTTTATGTATACATAAATGGGCCCTACAAAATTATAAAATTTCCTCTCACTTTCAAGTTAAAATAAGTCTGTAAATATGTTTAGAGATTTTCTTAAAGATTATTACTTAAATGTGGGTCAATTGGATCTTCAAGTGCTGCACCAAGGTAGTCGAGATATTATTTTGTTGTCAAATACTTGAATCCTTATAATCTTGAAAAAAATTGCAGAGTAACGTGTATGAAACTCGATTAAATCGTATTTCATATTATATTGAACAATGACGATGCACTATCGCTAATAATAGAGATATTAATCGCTGTTTAATTATCACGTGATATTTATTTCTATAGCATGAAAAGAGTAGACATAGTGGCGAGTCATTTTTCGTCGATTACTATTCAGAATATGACCTCCTTTGTAGCCAAATGGAAACACTGGCATCGAGTTAAGAGAGGTCCTGGATACGATAAGCCCAGGAAAACGATATTTGTTTTGGTCGGTTCGAGCACTGAGGTCTAACTACCTGCTTGGAAAAGAACCTATCAGTGAAACGGACACAGAAATGAGTCCGCCATATACCCACGGAGACATATATTCACTTTTGCTGAATTAAATTATTTAAAACGATTTCGGCAGGATAAATCACATTCTGTATATACGTAAACTAAATATACAGTACGAGACGTCGTGACCAGATATTAATAGCACCAATCAAGAACAGTCCTAAGTTCGAAAACGTAGTTTAGTAGAATAGTTTCGATAAGGTTAACCACAGAAGTCAAATACCTAATTTTCCAGGGCCCACAGTTTTTACAAGAAATTATTGGTATAAACTCTTCAATTAGCATATTAACGCTACACTTGAATGTACAAAAAATGTGTCACGATGTTCCGTTGTATTTAATGTGGCACACGTGCCCGAGAATAATCTAGGGCTCCTAGATACTTCATGGCTTTCTCCAGCAAAAAATATCTAGACAGCTGTACATAAACAACATCAATCTTTGAAGGTCAATCTAATGAGGTAATGCTTAAACTATTATTTGAAATACCTGGCTTTGAATCAGTCTGTTGCTATGTATATCCCAAACTGTATTTCAATGGTACGCAATTTAGTCAGTTTTTTTTCCTAGTTATTTAAGAGACAGTCATGTTCACAATACCTAACATGTGGACAGATATAATCGTGAACAGATATGACGTAAGACGCTAAAAATGACCTTTAGATTTTAACATGCTCCATACAAATGATGTTGATGATACTTGATGTTTTTAATGATAATAAAAAAAATGCAAAAACATACCTACATAGTTTTGCAATCAAACTTAAAGCTTTCATATTAGGTGTTTTAAATTATGGGTTTGATAAATAAAATGTTCAACAACAATTTAAAAGTGTACTAGATCATCGATAGATCAAAGCAGCCTAGAATTGAAAATAAAGGCCCAATAATTATGAGAATAGATGAACAAAATATATGTACTGATTTTTGTTTTAATTTACAGTAACTTATTAAATAAAAGTCTTACAAATTCACAAGCATGAAGAAACATTAAGAATTTTTCAATATGATTTTAAATACTTTCTTAAGAACCTTTACTGTGACATATACTATAGCAATAAGCCGGATGATTATGTATTACTAACTTATCCAAAATACAATAGGATATGACACGAATAATAATGGAGTAATTGGTAAATTAATTCAGTATTACTCAACATGTGTTGTAAAAAGGAAATTCTCATTAATATTGTATTCAGACAACAAATACAACATACCTAGTTGGTTTTATATTGTTATATACACAATATTATATAATTGTTTACTTCCCAATTATAAAATACAAAGTTCTCTATGGGCCAGTATTAATTGTTAGAAGAACAATAAAAACTTAAATATTTTTCACATGTTATTGCTAATGATGGCATTATATAAATTAAAAGTTGATTATAGATAGATAAAAAAGACATGGTAACTCAATTGGTTAGAGCAACAGCACAAAACATTTGGATGCCCGTTCAAATACTGCCCATGTTGTAAAATTTTATATATAATCTGAAGTTGATTTTTTATTTAAGAACAATAAAGTCATGATATGTAATAATTTCAATTAAAGTAAAATAAAAAGTATTTTTTGCTGAGAGTTTGTTTATTATGTAATGTGTGCAGTGTGAATTGTTATCTAAGTATGACCCTTACTTATACATTATTTTTGCAGATCTGTTTTTTTTTCTTGTGTGGGTGTGCTATTTTAAATTGTTTTATTTTATTTAAAAACGATGTAAGGATGTAATTTACTAGTTTTAAGTAATTGTTGTAAATAAATAATAATATAAAAGAGGCACCCTTATTTACTCAATAATAACTAAAAAGACCAAATTAATAAATGTGCGAATCATATGAATAAAACGGGTACTTACTCTGTAAAAATTCCGTCCCATAAATGCAGTTTCGAAATTTTCTCAGTTTGACAAAAACACCGTTAGCATTGTTTTCTCACCTTCATAGCAAATAATAAAATGTTCGTCGATATTTCGAAATAATTTAGAAAATACACAAGCAAAGTAACTTCAGAACTAACAAGTAAAGTGTGATTTAACTTAAATAAGTACAATGCACAAAAACAACAAAAAACGAAAGTTGAAAACAGCAGTGTGAGCGGACTGTTCCCTTTCTTTGTTATTCTCTTTCACAATAATTTATTTTCCTTTCCTCGCTGTGCACATTTTTGTGACTGGGCCAGAGCCAATCGAATTTGTTGAAGTTTGACATAAGTTTGACGTGACGTTGACTGACACAATCCTGCATTGTAGATGTCAATGTCAGGCGTTACGATGTCAATTATACGTCTATGTTAATATAGATATTGACAATAAAAAAACAATAATATCCCGCCCTTATGTCATATTTGTAATTCTGGCGCGAACGTATCTTCATTTAATCTCAATCACTTTCTGTACGGTACTCATATTTATAAAATGATTCGCAAATTAGTATACATATTGATTAATTAAATATTTAAATACTGTTACGGGTTTGTTTTAATTTAAAAAGAAGTGCCAGCTGCGTTAAGACGCCTATGCATCTTCAATTTCGAAGCAAAGTGTATTTTTAAAAAGTGATAAGAACGCCCTAAGTTTTTTCTTACTGGGATTGATGTTACCACTGAATATTGGACAAGACAAACTTGATTTCCTTGTTTTAAAATTGAACACTTTAGAACGATATAATATTTCTTTGAATCGCATAAATGTTTGATCTACCCGCAATGACGTACTTATTCATACAACATTATTATGGTTATAACCTTTATTATCCGTGTAACTATGGTGCAATATAAATAAATATAATCCCAGCTCTTTAGTTTATAGCAGATATAATAAGTACCGCAAGCTACCTTTATTGTTTTAGTACTCATTCTACATTGATCACGCGCTGGGTGGACCGCCTTGTATTTTTATTTCAAAATAATGTAGTAGTAACAAAATTGTAGAAAGTGATAAAGTAATTAAGGTTAGTGTTTAATTAGTATACATCTATTCTGTTTAAACATAATTTAGTAACAAAGTATCGTATTTGTATTATTGCTTAAAAAAGAAAACTGTATTCTGTGTTCTGGGGATTTAAACCAATCAAATGATTATTTTTGACGGGCTCATTGGTGCAATGGTAGCAATGTTGGGGAGTAATTAACGGGTCGTGGGTTCCATCGGGTCTAACATTTTCAAAATAGGTGAACAGCGCAATTTGTGTAGATGCTATATGGCTGGAGTATTTCATCCACCTTTAAGTGGACCCCATACTTGCCTGTCCTTCTCTGTCACAAAAAAATAATATTTCACTTGCGTCTTAAAATACTATTACAAAGGTATTCGTCTCGTATCTCTCTTGGCAGAGAGGGCGCGATCGTTATGTAGTATTGTAGGAAGGGGTAGATAGTATTCGCCTCACTATTTCTCGCCATTTGCAAAGGTGTAAGACGTCGGAAATGTCCAGAATTGCTTCGAGAAAAGAACGCAAGCAAAGCTGATTATGGTTTTGTCAATTTATCCATTTCACCTATTCACACTAGCATGTCTTACACAGCCTCATAGAACCTACCCCAAATTCTTCAGATTGACTTTACGTAATAACTCATGTAGGTCCGGTTTAAATATCTGTTACAAATTAATTTGGGCTCAATGCTATATCAATATAATAAACCGTCTATATAAATAGGTACATATAGTTAAATCGTGTTTGTAAAGATAAGCACGTTGCATAGTCTAGTGGCTTCACGGCACGACGCGTGCTCTACCAAGATAACCAATCCAACACTTCATAATTATTATGCTATTGAAATGAGAACCGCATTATATAGAGTATAAAGACTACTTATAAAGGTCTACGGTTTATCTCAAATGAATACTCGATTAAAACTGGCTCGTATATCAATAAAGCATCATTAGAATTCACTGCGTGCGATAGGATTGTTGTGTTGCAATTACGTTTACGATTTCAGTATGAAGGCGAAACTTAAAACTAAATTGCTGAAAGAGAATGATTTCGTACCTCCTGATGGCGGGTGGGGCTGGATGATAATATTTGCAGCAGGATTTTCTAATGTAAGTATTAAAATACAAGTATTTTGAGGGGTTCGAGGGGTCGTGGGATTCCAAGATATTTCTGAAAATCGATTTACATATTTTTTGCATCTACTAAGTAATGAATATCACAATTCTGCATGGATTTAGGACCTCCGTTCACAGGACCAAATAGGTTGATAATGCATCTTGTATAGGTGTACATGGCTGTGGTATACCACTTTCCATCAAGAATTCCTCCATGCATGTCTGTTGCTTGCAACCTCTTTATAAACTAAATAGAGATATAATTTTCTGAGTGTATGCGTCATAATAGTTCTAATATTTTCGTAATGCAATATAACAGTTACTTCAGTATAACGATAAATTCTGATTATTTCCATTGATAGCTACGTTACTTACCTGATGACTCGTTTAAATGTAACGGATTGTGCAATGAGTTATAATTTGAAGCCTTGGTACATTAAAATAGTTTAATTGTAAAGGCTTTATTTGAAAATATATTAGTCATCATATTCCATAGACAATTTCATTTAGGGATAAAAATTGATCCTTTTAGCCAGACAGAAGAGCTTAAAAATAAAATATACCTAACTATTTAAAATTGGAAGCCAGACAGGCTGGTACCGTAACCGTACCGTCTCAAAAATAAACATTGAGCAGCAAAAAAGAAAAAAGTTCATCTTGACATTGAACGGACTTCGTAGTACATAAATCTAGATTTTTTTTCAGCTATCAGCTCTACCAGTGCTACAGCAGTTCGGACTACTTTTCCGCGACAAGTTTGCTCAGCTAGGCATCAGCAGTGCAGAAACGACTACCATCATCAACATGAACTCAGCCCTGACGTCTTGCGTCGGTGCGTGAAGCGCCGAGGACGGTAACTCTAATGTACAATAACGCCACAAAATAATATCGTCTACCAAAGATAAAAAACAGACCAAGTCCGAGTCGAACTCGCGAGCATGACTACATGAGTTTCGTAACATTAACATAAAATCTTTCAAAGCGGACACGGTAGCTCAATTCGTTAGAGCACGGAACGCTGATGATGGATTCTTGTTCACGTTCGGCCCGGGTTGTATATTTTTTTCAATCTAAATAAATATTTTTTTCAATATAAAACAAACTGCTGTAGCTTACCTCTAAAAACATTTCTTTGTTTACTTACAATAGAATTGTTGGTTGGTTTTAGTAGAATTCCAATACAATACAACAAAAAAATGTTAGGAACTTCTAAAGCATCTTATCTTGAGGTTTAAAAAATCCAATATAATTGTAACAAATCCTTTTAAAACTTGTTGTAGAATTTAAACAGACGCGCTGCGTTTGCGCAGACACTTAACGGTTAAAGGGTAGTATGAGACAGAAAATTCAAAGTACATTTTACATACATATTCTTAAATATTTGTAGTCTTTTATAATAGTTATAGTTAGTAAATTACTTAGCAGTTCTACTTTAGCTGGTCCTAGTTTCGTGTGTTTACTTTTGTTTTTAGTCCATGTGTATATTTACGTTCGTAGGTAGGTAATTTGAGCTGTGATTGATAAGGCATTTAAATATGTTTATCTACCAGAGGTCATGATTTTTTAAACAATGGAGTTTTTATCGTTTCCGTGCTTGTGTATATTTTAAATCTTTTGAACATATACAATCCATTGTTATAAAGGAACAATAAATCGAAGTATTTATACCTTAAAGGACATTTGATAAAAAAGGAAAGAATTTTTTTGAAATTTAGACCCAAGACGATAGAATCAAACACGATTCATTAGTCCAATTTGAACGGGTTTAAATTTTAATAATATTGTGGCTTACTCCCGGCGCTTAGAATTAAATATAATATAATAGTACATTTTTTCAAATACTTTTCAGGATTAGCCAATGGCCCCGTCTTTAAGACTTTCACATACCGAAAAGTCTCTCTCACAGGAGCAATTTTCGTTTTCACTGCGCTTCTGCTAACTACATTCTCCTATAATTTTACTTCATATTTGATCAGTTTCTCTATATTATACGGTTAGTAAAAATATATTATTACATTCGTTAAAATTATTCATTTTATTCTCATAGTAGTACATATTTACTATCGTCTTCCAGGTGCAGGATATGGCATCAGCAGCTCTGCCAACGCTCTCGCGCTAAACACATATTGGAAAAACAGAAGAAGACTGGCAACAGGGTTATCATGGACTACGACGGGTCTCGGTCCAATGTTGTGGCCACATATAATAACAGCATTATTCTCTAGTTTTGGTGAAACGGGCACTCTTCTCATATTATGTGGATTTTCATTACACGCTATCGCTTGTGCTCTTCTGTTGCAACCAGTAGAATGGCATGCAAAATCGCGTAATTCTAATCAACAGGATGAAGAAAATGTCTTGACATCAAAACAAGCTAATACCCAAGTCGCAGAACAAAATAAAAAAGGAGAAAGTGGTTACTTCAGTCAAGTATCTAAAATAAAAAATCTTAGTGTTTTTTCTAGTCAATATCTGTATAACGAGGACGATCCTATAAACACTGGTTACGAGATAACAGACCCTGGTGTTCCTATGATGACCCGTGCAAATGATGGTTATTTCAGTCAGTCCAGGCAATCAAAGAGTAGACTATCGTCCAGAGATGCGTCTGCTAAAGCGTCACTTTTGAATTCCAAAAAGCCATCGATGTCCAACTTATTAGAGAATAGATCAAGAAAATCCTCAACATTCTATTTAAATGAATCTAAGAAAAACTCTTACGCAAATCTGGGTGCTCTAGCTCCTGAAGCAAAACCAGTAACGAAAACAAAACGTCAAACCTCTGTAACAGTAAATATACAAATTCCTGAATCAGAAATAGAAGATTGTCCTACTTTGAAAGCTCCGCAGGACTTAAAGGCGGAAGAAAAAGCAGTCGTAGAAAATATTGACCCAGAAAAGGCAAAACACATTGCAGACAGAGCTGAAAAACACTATGTTGGGACAAGAAGTATAAAATCTTTTAAAATGGATGGACAATACGGGGAAAATTATACTAAGAATAATCATAGCAACATTTCATTTAAAAACCAAGAAGACAACGAAGACAAGAAGTATTTAAAAGACAATCATAGCAACCAGTCCAATAAAACTAAAGCCAGACGAAAGTCTAATAATTTTAATTATGAGAGTGAAGTATTAAAGCAAGCTTCTTTAAAGTTAGAACAGTACCTGAAAGATAAAGAAGAGGAAGATGAAACTGAAAAATTTATGCTTTTAATGAAAAGTCAACAAAATGGCGAAGAAGCAAAAAAAGAGGACGTCGATGATGATGATGATGATGAAATAGATGAACTGACGTTTAGTCAAAAACTGTCGTTGTTTTTTGATCTAGACCTATTAAAAGATTTCACGTTTATCAATTTGATGCTGGGAATAACCCTTGCGAATTTTAACGAACTTAATTTTTCTATACTTACTCCTTTTATATTAGGAGACTATGGTTTGACTAAACCCCAGATCGCCTTGTTTATGTCATTGCTCGCTGGAATAGATATTTGCGTTAGATTCTGTGTCCCATTTGTCGCTGGTAAAATTGGTTGGGATAATAATTCATTCTTTTTATTCGGAGTCATGTCTATGGCAATGGGAAGAATTGGTAATAATTTATAATTTTTTTGAATTCGCTGATTGTTACGTCTGATGATGACATTTAACTGTAAAATCTGTTTCAGTGTTAGCTTATTGTCAAGACTATGAAGTAGTGCTTCTGGTAGCTGTAATAGTTGGTTTTGGCAAAGGTTTAAGAACAGTATTTATGGCGCTAGTTATACCCACTCATGTACCTCTGCACAAGCTACCTGGTGCTACAGGCATACAATTACTGACAGCTGGAATAGTATATCTAATTTTAGGTCCTGTAGTAGGTGAGAAGTTTATAAAAATATGTAATTTTTTTCCAAGAAAATTGTTTGCCTACTAGTAAAGACACAACAAAACTTGCATTGGACATTTATGGTGTTAACACATTTTGCTGTATAATATTCTTCAGGCGATTACAAAAACAGAGGAATATAGTGAACAATGTTTTAATTGATTTAATATTTTGCATCTGTATTGCAGGTTGGATCAAAGACAATACGACAACAGCAGTGACTCTGCACTGTCTCAACATATTTACTTGGCTCACAGCCATCTCGTGGGGCTTAGAGAAATATTTCACAATGCGCAAACAAAGTGACGGCGAATTTGTTAAGTCATGATGTATTTTGAGTGTTTTCATTCATTAAAGTTAAATCTAACATATGTTTAATGCCTGTGATTTCTTCTTAGACATTATGTTAATGTATGTACGAGTTTTATTTAAACACCTATTAAAGTATTAACCAATAATGTTGATCGGTCGACAGCTGTGGTGCGGAGGTCAATTCACTGCCAGTGTCATTTCAACACCCGTGACATGTGTTGTGATAACAGTCCTCTATTTCCGATCATTAAATATTTGTTTACATAACAATAAAAGTTTCTACAAAATTCTAGTTTTCCGTGGCTCTAGTGCAAGTTACAAAAGTGTCAAATCTATCATTTGGTGGATACGATATTATTTAAATAAAGATTCCAATAACGGAAACGTGTTCCAGCTACTTATATCAGTATGGAATCGTGTTAGTTATTTTAGTAAGCTAAAGGTATATATAAGGTATTTAGAATTAGTAGAAATTAATTTAAATGCAGTTATGTTACGCTTATTTGCCAATTCGCAACGACAACGTATGAATTGATGAATTGATCAAGGCTAAAGAAATATAATTTTGAAATTGATTATGTAGGGATTATCTTTTTGCTAAAATTTCTACGTTAATGTTGGTACGATTAGAGATATCTGCAAAGCCGTAGATAAAGCATAACACAATTACAATTATCCGATTATAATCAGTGGGTTCGGATAATCACCGCAAAAATATTAGGTCCTGTAACACACATAAAACCATTTTCTTTCAATCATACACTGTTACATTTTATTTGATTCACACTACTAAGTAATAGCTGATTGATTTCTTGTCCTTTAACACTTTTGCTATAATCCGAAAACCGTTATTTTCCTTAATATATAAATATCGCAGAAAGAAACGCTCGCAAAATTTTGAATTTTTACATGAAATTTTGCTTTTTACCTTCAGTTTTCGATGCATTAAGTCTCATATAATAAACTTAAAAAGTTTTTTTAAGCAAACTTTAAATCGAGGGTCAAAATTATATAAGCAAAGCCAGAGCAATAGAGTTTCCTAGAACATTTTGGAACACAAACGCTGTAACAATCTACGTCTGACAGCATGTAAATATCAAGTGATTAATAAATACTAATCATCAATATGTATCTAAAATACAAAGTAACTTAACAATTGAGTAAACTTTCTCTTTCGAAATAATGCAGAAATAAGTTGCAATCAAGCCCTTAATACAAAATTGTAAGACTTGCCAAAAACAACTCGTACCTATTTTAGAACTGAAAACTTATTGGAACTTCCCCAAACCTCGATATAATTTTTTGGAAAAGGTTTCAACTTTTACCTTTATATTACTTTTTAAACGTTATAACGTCTAATATTATACAAAATTAAAAAGTAAAATGGGGGCGATTTCCTAAAACGCCCCCATCTTCCCCTGAGTCCATAAGTATCCTAGATACGTTACTGGACTTAGGACGAACGAAATAGCGATTATTATGTTTTCATTATCCACTTAACCCATTTATTGACGATATAACCGTCGTTATCACAATCGAATAACACTATTAATTACGTAACCTTTATGTAGATATAGTGAAATATCGACATCATATTTCAATTTAAAAATACTACTTACTACTAATATACTTTTTCACATATTAAAAACCACTAGCTGTCCCGCGACTCTCGTCCGCATGGAATAGTGACTTTGGGTAGAATTTTTAATTATTGAGGCTGTTTATTAATTTATGTAAGCGGCGCATTTAAGGCAGACAATCTATGGTAAGTGCCACTTGGCGTAACACTCTCATCTCACATCACTCCTTCTCTAACTCCCACTCCCTCCCACAATTCCTACTCTGTATACCAAATTACATTCAAATCCGTTTAGTAGTTTTGGCGTGAAAGAGTAACGGACAGACAGACAGACTATTAGTAAAGATTATAGTAATTTAAAACTTAAATCTCTTTACTTTTAATTATCTTACTAAATATTCTCTAGTGTAGTATCTATTTTCGTACTTGTAGAATTTACGATAATTCAATCAACAAATATAAACACTAAATGTCTACAAATTAGACCTTTTTCTTCAAATGCCTATTAGAAGATACTTTTTTGGTTAAGACTATTTTAGACACAATACAAATAATTAATGCATGTGTAGGCTACGAAGCCAACGTATATTTTAAAAAGATTACCAACGAATTTCTTGAGTAAACTTAATAAAGATTATGTAGATATATCTCTCGACCAATAAAACTTCACTGTTGATAATACACGACATTTAAGTCATTCCGATAACAAGTGTCGGAATGTCTACTTTTGTTACTCGCTACCGTTCTTCGTTGCAAGCGGGTACTGTGCTATTTACTAAATTAGAGTCAATAAACTGTTAAGTGGATTATCGCCGGTCCACATGAGTCGGAAGTGCCCTGTATTTAAAGTTATAATGAAACGGACAAATTTCGGTGCTGTGAACTTGGAAATGTGATATTTTATAATCGAGCAATACTATGTCTCGAACTAACAAAGTTCCACCTGATGGAGGGTACGGCTGGGTCGTCACTTTTGCTTATGCGTTAAACAACGTAAGTATATTATAATAAAATAGTCTGAAATTGATGCCGCTCAATAAAATGCTTTAAACGGTTTAAAATGCTCCATGTATTAATTTTTTATTTAGCTTCGTTTCTGGTGCTTTAATGCGACAAGTGATATGAGTGTGTATTTCGCGTTTTAAACCGTTAAAATTGATTTACTCCTTACTTATTAGTACGCTAAATCAACCACAAACATTCTAGGCATATCAACTATCAAGTTTCTTCATGCAATGTAGGTACGCAAATATGAACAAATAGACATGATAAGATTTTAAATATTTTTTTGTAACTGCATACTATTATATAATTTTGAATTAAAGGCTCTAGGGTGTAGACTTAAAAAAGATGACCCTTTTGTACATGACCAAATCCGAAATATATAAAATTTTCCATCGTCTATTCAAGTAACAGGAAACGTTGAAATGTAGAGTTTGAATTTCGATAAAAACGTTGTGCCATACCTTTTTTTGTTTACTTTGACTTGTTTACTAGACAAAAAGATTAAAATGATCAACATAATTATGTCTTGTATGTATTTAACATATGTTTACAGGTAGTTGTACTCCCCCTTATTGCAGGCTTCGGTCTTGTGTTTCAAGAGGCTTTTGAGGACACAGGGCTATCTGCAACACAAGGAACACTTATTATAATTTTAAACCATGGCTTCGGAATGCTTTTATCGTTTTTCGGAGGACCAGTACTACGAAGGTTTGGATATAGAAAAGTAGCCGTAATTGGAGCTCTACTTGTATCTGTTGGGCTTATGCTAACAGCGGTCTCCTCTAGTTTCTGGCTTTTCTTACTTTCTTACAGTATTATAAATTGTACGTATTCTTCCTCTTTCTATTGAATAGTATTAAAAAATATTATTTAACATAACCCTGAATTACTTACAGCAATGGGAGTAGCAGCAGTGATGGCAGCATTTTCGTTAGCAATTAATTCGTTCTTTAAAGAAAAGAGAGGAAGAGCCATAGGTGTTGGAATGTCCATAACGGGGCTTGGAGCTATTTATATGCCTTTAGTAATGAGTGTACTTATGTACGCATATGGTTGGAGATATGCTGTCCTTATTTTAGGTGCTATTTGTATGCACTCCCTTTTAGCAGCGTGCTTATTAAGACCAGCAAAGTGGTACTTAAAGGATGCCCCTAGTTCAGAAGAAGAAGAACCTTTAAATAAGGATGCAGACGTCGAACTTATTAATGGAAGTGTTACTACTCCTACGGATATTGGTAAGATCTTTAAATTGTTTTCTGACGAATTTGGTGAATTCTCAAATAACTTAATAATGGTACAAAAAATCATTTCTTCTGCAGTAACGGCTGTGTCTTCCTCAATAAAACTAAACGAACAAGATAGCATTCCAAAGAAAAGCACATCCCTACATGTTCTAACCACAAATGGTTTGCATAATAGAAATGCCACTTCACAACCCGATATTCGGAAAAATAATACTGACGAAACGTATTTAACAGAACAAAGATATAAGTGGTGGGAATCTCAAGAAATCAATCTGGGTAGTTCTATCAATATATTTAGGGAGTCGGATTATCGGAAAGAGAAGATAGCGACTAGCGATACAGTAATAGAAGAGAAGACATACTTCCAACGGTTTATAGATTTCTTCGATTTGACGTTGCTCAGTGATCCAATTTTCGTGAACATTTTAACTGGAATGTCATTAGCTTCGTGTGTTGAAACGAATTTTTCTTTATTATTCCCGATAATTTTAAAAGACATGCTTCAGTTTGAGACAGCGCAAATAGCAAAGATTATGGCAGTGATTGGATTTTCTGATACATTGTTCCGTCTACTGTCGCCTTTTATAGGGGAATGGTGCAACAAGCCACCTCGTGTGATGTATATGGTCAGCTTGCTGGTCATCATCTTCACTAGAACAAGTAAGTAATCCCATGAAGTAAAACACTTTTAGACGGCTAATAACAAACTTGACTTATTTAAGTATTTGCCAATATTTGATTAAAACACTTTAACAGTTTAAAATACGATATATAGTAGTTAAACTTATTTGAAAATTATTTTAACTATTGGCCCGACGTTTCGCCAAATAACAACGTTGATAGCGCTAGCATAGCAGTTTTTACTTTGACGACCTTAGTCTCCATCGGCTGCAAAGTCTCCGAAACGTCAGGTCGTTAAAGTATTTTATTTAAATGTGTACTGTTCGCGTAAACTGACAGTAATTAGTTGCCAGTAACCCTCTGTAAACACGGCTCGTTCGCTAGAAGTTAGTATTTAATTCACGAATATTGTTCGAGTTTTGAACCGTTAAGTGGTTTATACAATATTGTATGATTTTTGATGATGATGACACCTAACAACTTTATAATTGCAATTTCCTTAAAGCAGTAATTAAGATAATAACCTAATACATAATCAATACTAGGTACGTTTTTGTAGCTTAAGACTGCTAAAAACGAAGGCCGATTGTAGATAAGATAAACAGTAGAATTGTAAAAGAATGAATAAATGAAAAATATAACATCTGGATGCTTAGTGTCAAAGTAGAATTTAAAAATAACTTAGAATTCGATGTTGGAAGAATTATTAGATTACTTAGGTTATAATTTTATATTTAGAACACTATTGTTGCTTACATTGCGTCGATAAAAATATTGTTATAATTAAGTATTAGTGATAATGTCAGTTTAATATGTATAATTAACTGACAAGAGCAAACAAATGTTTGGATCAAAGGTTATTAAGAGAGTTTATTGGCCCAAGGTAACTGAATGACAATCTGATACAGTAATGCCTACTTAGATGTAGATTGACATAAGTTCTCTCCTTATTTACTTAACCAGTATTGCGTTATTACCACATCTAGGCTATCTCGTCTTTTAACACAATACTTTGTGGACTCATGTACTCTGCATAAGTATGATACGAGTAGCTCTATTAATCTTATTTGATCTTAACATGGGGATACATAAATTAACTAATACTTTCGCGTTTTAAACCGGTAAAAGTGTTTTATTCTACTACGTATTACTCGCGTTAATTACAGATCAAACTTCTTTATGCTCTCATATAAAACAAAGCAAAAAAACGCATTTCATAACGTACTTATTGAAACAAAGAAAGTAAAATAATACTGTCTATAGTTTACGCGAGTAGTACACATTTAAATAAACGGTTTAAAACGCGATATATTAGTTAAACTTATTTGATGATGATTGTTAAAAATCATTTTCTTCGAGGTATAAACCGTTAAAGTGTTTTATTTAAAAGTAAAATAATATTAGATTATTTTAATACTACTATAAAATTCAATCTACATTGGTTTTCCTACTTGGCTGTCTGTGTTCTTCCCCAAGATTCCACTGTGTGATAGTAAACCTATGTACATTTATAGTAACAATGGCTAAGGTAAATTAATTAAATTCAAATTAAAATAATTCAGCCACCAAGTGGTACCAGATTACCAAAAAAGGTGTGATCTTCTCTCAAACTAAATTCAACTCAATGACAAAAATTCTCAATGTTACTACCCAGAACTACCTTACACTTGGCCGGTTTCTTAATTGATAATTTCAAATGAATTCTGTTTAAAATTTTCAGTAATGCTATTCACGACGTCGTTCCTCGGAATGGTGTTTGTGGGTCTCGCTATTGGAATCACCAAGGGAGTAAGAACAGTGTACATGAATATCATAATACCAAGCTATGTGCCCCTCGAGCGATTGCCGTTCGCTTCGGGAATCCAAATGTTTTTCAATGGTATTGTGATTATTACTATTGGATCTTCGTTAGGTAAGGATTTAATATTAACACCGTTCGTTTCTTCAATGATCGCTTGCTTTCAAATGAGTAGGTGCTCACTTCAAGCTTCTTTCTATCCAAGTGTGTGTGCAATCCCGTTTCCCTGGTTGGGGCATGGGACAATCCATTTACTGTATCCGTTTCACTGATCAGTTATTTTAGAGGAAAATTGATCAGACTTCAGTACTCTCGTTGCTCGAAACGATATATTGATTCCCCTAAATTCGAATCCGGGACTTTTGGCGCTTAACGTTCAACCCTTTAACTACAGAAGAGTCTTTCAATCCAAATAAATAACCATTAGACTATCTTTATTCACTCGTAATTCTTCCACAGATAAGGAATATTTTTTTTACAACTCTTATTCAGTTCTTTGAAGTGTAATTACTATTTTCTAATAGCTTAATTTTTAAGTATCAATTTTGTAGTGATTTCCAACCTTTACTTTCAGGTCACATTCGAGATTTGACGGGGTCATACTCAGCACCCATAACAGTACTCAACTTTGTTACCTTCCTAACTGTTATACTGTGGAGTGCAGAATTTTTATACTTTAGAATTACTAACAAAAACACAACTAAGTAATCTTTATAAATTCTTATATATTATACGTAAGATTTGTATATATTTGAGTCAAATGTGTCTAGAGATAATGAACATGTATGATAAAACGTTTACTTATAATATACTAGTAAATTAAATTTTAATTTATTTTACTCCTACTTGTACTAAAATATGTATTTACAATGCTAGCTAGTATTTACAAACTTGCTTTAATCTTAGACTTGTATAACAATTCCAGAATTTACAATTAGTCAAAAGGCAGAAAAGAAAGGCTTATTTTAGTAAGATATATAGTGTAGTATTTTTTGTTAATTAAAACATTACATGTACATATACAAATAAGCACTTTTTATTAGCTTACAAAGTGCTTAAAGATTTCTATATATTTACACAATTCTTCAGAAATACAAAATATGTATGTTAAATAAAAAGTCTACGAAACTATTTTTTATAAATCATTATGTAGATATTATTCATAACTCAATACATTCACAATATACTTTAATAATATGCTTATCGTTTCATAGAGATAATTATAGAATTGATACTTGAACGATAAGCAAGTATAACAATTATTTTATATGAATATACATACAATTAGCTATAGGTACTTATTGTTTAGAATTTAATTTAAGAATGACGTAAAACTTCTCATTCAGTCTTTGCAATAAATCTTAGTCCACTAATTGTGTTCATTTCATACAGTCACTTATTGAAACTTTCACTACACTATCACAAATAAAAAACTTTAAATAATCCAAATATATCTTGTCCTTCTTTAAAGTGATTTGAACTTTTAATGGGAGGGTATACAGCTTCGTAACGTAACGCGTTACGTCATCAGTCTGTCAAGTTAACACTTCTGGCTGTTTTGATACGCGAACGTATGCTTTTTACAACTGGAGTTCACCTGCGTGACTGATCGCTTGTTGTCTCTTTTTCGTCCTGAAAAATATTAAACACTATGTGAATATGCAGTTTCAATAATGCATAACACGTGACAATACATTTTTAATTTTTGCAAAGATAAGGTGCCTTAAAGGAAATAAAATACTCAATTCATATCATTTTAATTCTTTAGTTTGACTGTGTAATAATTATTAATTAGGTAAAATGTTGCGCTGGTCTTTCCTATTAGTACATTTCTTCTTTGATTTGGAACCACCCATTTTCTCGTATAAAATACAATTAATAACTATAACTTACAGTATTTTCGTCTTGTTTCGAATCTTCCAACGAAGAACCGTCCGTGAACATGCGGCTCTCTAGGTTATTTACTGCAATGCAAAATATAATGTATTATTGCCTTAATTCCACAATTACTTGACATTGTTTGTGAAAAACTAATACTTACTAGTTTGATGCCACCCTTTAGAAAATATATTTGACTGATCCTCCGTTGAGGGACGATTTGAAAATCTAGGAGACGTGAATGGTAAGTGATCTTTAGGCTTATCATCAGGTAACAAAACTGACACTGGTTCCAAGTCAGATTCATACTCATTTGAAAGATTTAATTTCTCTCGCCATGGCTTTGATGTGACTACATACACCTTTTCTTTTGTCAAAGGTGATATAGATGTTTGAATATATCCCCAAGGAGGGGGGTGGTGGAAGATTTTCGAAACTTAGATGCCGCTGTATATACGTGAAACTTATAGCTATCCTTTTTTTCTTCATTCTTTCCGCTTTGGTGGCCAGCCTTACTACGTTCTATAGAATTGTATTGCATAAACGGCTTAGGCATTATATTTCTGCTTGTAATATTTTGCCTTACTACATATTGCACACTGCTAGACCCTTCGTGGTCGTATATTTCAGAATTATAGGTGTAAGGATCTATAGGAGTATTGGTAACTGGAGTTAATGTAGTGAAAAATTCGTCTGGAATTTGCTTTGCATACTTTTCATTTGATCTAATTTTTTCATTTATTTTATCCTTCGAATACTCTTGCTGTGTCCAAGCATCTATCGTGTGCTGTAATTGTATAATATCAAACGGAGGTTCTTTTACGTCATAAATATCACTTGGTTGCGTAGTCGCGTGTTCCGAGTTGTAGTACTCACTTACTGCAGATGTGGACTGTTCCGTCGTAGTCATTGAATTTTCATAGCTTTCTGTCGAAAGATTGTAAGTACTCTCAGTGGGGCTTTGCACTTTTCTACCTTGAACATTTTTTTCTAATGAATAAGGCCAGTCTTTTATGCCGTAAGACTTATTTGTTTCTCGGTCTATAGTGTAGGGAACAATGATCTGTATGACTTTAGCTCTATTTATATTTTCTTGTTTTTTCACGGGCAATACATCTTGAGCATAGTATGTTCTACTTTCATCCCAAGCACTTGTCTGTGTTGATTCTTGGGGTGATTCCGTTGACGGAATTTCATCGTATATTTCATATTCATGTGTATTTTTTGCAGTACTAGGGGTAAAGAAGTTAGCATAATTTTTATGTGGAGCACTAGGTTTAAGGTACAGGAGTGGTGAATCGATGTGTTGCAAATTATTTTCACTTCGATATTTGTCAATATCTTCATCTTTCAATCCTCTTAAATCAGCAAAAACTGGCCTATGATTTGATGGCACACCCAATTCTTTTAACTCAGATGGTACAGCTGTATCATAAATGTCGTTTGCGTAATCAATGCCGGTACTTTCGAAACTAGCATCTAAGTGTGAGTTAGCTGCTGATATGTGATCTTCTGTAGCTTGTGGAGAAATATCCCGAAGGTGATCAATGGTGAAAATATTAGGAATATTTCGGTACGATTTGGTTCGGTTTGCTGTTTTACTAGCTTCAATATCTATCACTGGAGATTGTATAACAGTCGCAGGATATTCTATAGAGTGGACAAATTCAGCTATAGGTATACTTTTGGCTATGTTAACATTATTTGAATGGTCTACGTTGTTAAGCTCTTTGTTTACATTATGTATCGAATACTTTGATATAAAAGGTCGAAAAGGTCTTGCATTGAAAATCGGTGGTAAGGGTGAAACGCTTAAATTAGGCAACGCTACAGGTTGTAAAGTATGAATATTTTTAGCTTTACTTAAACTAAATGGTGCTGGATTGGCTATAGCTACAGATATGTTGGGCTCACTGGAAACATGTTTACTATCTGGAAGAACTTCGGTATTTATCTTATGGGATTCGGCACCTGCTGAGGTGAAAGAATATGGTATGTTTAGTGCGTAAGTATTTACAATCGGTTCACCATATGAATTTTTAAACTGATTTGGTTGTTCCACCTTTGGTAATTGCAAATCCTGAGCTGGAGGAAACGTTGAAGAAAAATCAAGATTGTTGTAACTTGGGGAATGACTTTGAAATATTTGTGATTTGTAATGTGATAAACTTGGTGCATGAGTTGAAGATTGCGTCAAAAATATCGAGGAACTCGACGTTAATGAAGAAGTAGGTATCCCTTGGGTATTGGTAAACTGGTTAGATGATGAAGGATTATAAGAATTGCTTGACACGTCATAGGAAGAAGTTACCACTGGTTTTATACTTGAGAAAGCGTTCGAAACCGGCGTTCCGGGGGTTACAGTGATAGTATGTGTGGGACTTGGCGGGCCATATGTAGAACTCAAACTGAAAAAGTTATCATTTGTGGCAAAAGTCTGTTTTGGAAGACCATACGTGACATGTGTACCTTCACTTGAAAAACGTAACTGATCGGCATTTTCAAATCGCTGGGGCACGTGCTGTATGGAATTAAACACATTTGATGAGGCAGTTGGTTGAGGGGGACCATAAACTGGTTTTATATTTTCCCGATTATTTTTAGTCAAATCATATCTTATAACTGGTATCCACGGGGAGAAATTACATGGATTGCAATCTTTTTTTGAGGGTGGTATACTATAACTGTTTATTGAAGTTCCACTATTGATATCATCAGCTATCTGTTGCGAGGGAAATAACCATTGAGATACTTTTTGGAATATTGTAGGAGACGGTGTCGTCGTAAATGGCTGGGGGTGGGGAACGAAATCAAAGTTATACTGTCTGTAAAATGGGGCTGGAAATTTAAATTCACTTGCCGCTGTTATGGGAGGTAATGGGGCTTGTGGAGGAGGGGGCACTTGGTATTTATATGTTTCTGGATTTTGATATCTCCCTGATCCTCTGTGGAATGGCACGGGGTATATTGGCAGAGGCGGAGGCGGTGGCGGCCTTAGTAGTTCGCCAAATTGTGAAACCTCGCCTTTGTAGGTATATGAATCTATGGTGGCTTCACACACTGCGACTGCGATCAGCATAAACATAACCTGAAACGAAACATTAGTTTAATACAACATAACTAAAATGTGGCATATTTTAGTTAAAAATGAATATGAAACGACAAATATACATAACATAGGGTAAGTAAATAATACTGTAGATATGTATTGTATATATTTATATTTATATAAAAAAATCTTGCTAATTTTATTTATGAAGTAGAAATTGCGATAACTGTTCATTTTGTAATTAGTTAGAAAATTAGAGAAACACGCGGTGCGCCATTGTAACTACTTCCCACAAGTTATTCTTTACACTTTTCTCTTTCCCATACAATACTGTCGATAGATGCCGACGGAAGAAATTGTTAAAATTATAATTATCCCTCTTAACTTAACTAGCTTAACCTAGTCATAATCTATTGCGATAGAAGAATAATTAAGGGGAGTTTTTTATTAGTCTCCACAGCGAAGTGTAAGGTAATATTCTAATTAGGTACTCCAAAATAATTACGACAAAACAAATAAAGCAACAATTGAAAAAGTGTAGCTCAAGGGTATTATTTTTTTGAAAAATTTAATATTTTCAGATGTCATGTGCAATAATATCAATATATGGATTGACTGAAAGTAAAAAAATCGACTCGGGCAGGAGTCAAGACTGAGGAACAACAGCACGAAGCGCTGACGATGCCGGTTCAAGTCTTGCCCGAGTCGAAATTTCTTTCAATTTATTTTAGATTTTTATTTATCTATATAAGGGTTTTTTCTATCCCAGAGGGGGAAAGACAAACAAGGCGTTCCTTTGACGAAAGGCGCGCTCCAGGCCAATTACATCAAAGAAAGATAGATTTTCGCGTGATTTTGGCTTTGGAAATCCAAATCCGCGATAAAAATTTACGGTTTCTCTATCTGCGGATTGATACCCACTACTATCTAGGTTTTACAAACGAATGAAATTGGCCGTCATGGGTATGGAATCCACGAGCCGTTTATTATAAGACATGCAATGGAGCAACAAGCCAGGGGCTAAGTTTTTAATGTTGTTGAGTATTTGTAAATCAGTAGAAATCTATTCGCCGATAATAAATATATTCATTTCTCGTATTGAGAACATATTACAAAACCCATGCCATTCGTTTGGGCACATCACTTGAATAAATATGCATGAAAAGTGAAATGCTTCTCAATGTACTACTAAGGTATGACGATCACGTATTGCAATGTTATCGAAGGATACTTTAAAGAGTGCATTTGACTATAACTGCGTTTTATTACCAATTGCATTATGGTGTCTGAAACCACTAGAAGTTACAACAAAAAAGTAAACATACAATTAATTTTGCTTATCATTGTTTTTCGGGCTGTTCTGCGACGTAATCGAGAAGAGGTTCTCGACGTTTCGCCATCACGAGCGGACGATGATCAGCAGATGTTTGCTTCTTGATTGCTAGAAGAATTAACGTCGAAACAACGACCGAACAGCCCGAAAAAAAATGATTAGCTGAACGATAGCCGTGCAAGCCTTGCACAATTTATACAATTACTATTTACAATAGCAATTAAATTTTGGCTTTAGACAATTAATTTCGAACTGAAGCAAATCTATGGAGGGTAAAATTAAATTTATGCAACTAATTAGTAAATAATAATATAAATTTTATTTACTTAACTTGAGAATTTTACAGATTTATATAAACTTAATTAATACCGTTGTAAACTTAGATCTTAATAAAAAAATCTCAAGCCAGGTCTAAAAAAGTATTCGTTTATGTACATGAACATTTTTAATGTATTCATAACTTATTAAAAAAACGTAGCTGCAAGTAGAAGCTAGTATACAAATATTGGGTAAAGGTCAAAAAAGAGTCCGATGACCTCTGTTTGTTCGCACGCTTCTTCTGTAACTTTTACTTAATTACAGTACAAAACGCGAAGCTCCTATGTCACAAGATTATGCTCTCGCGAGAAAGTGAAAACTGGGGCATAGAAATAACATTTTTGATCATATTATACAAACAGTTGTAATAGATTGATCATATTAAACAAACCAAAACAAAGCACTCGTTTTATTAAGTAGTTTTGTTTTCCTTTTTCACGTGCCTGCACCTAAAGAACTCTTAAATAAAGACGCTTCTAGTCTGTCTGACACCGTTCTGTACAGAATTATTAGCGGAGTTGTAAGAACGCTGTCTTTTTTTTTTAAATTTTGCTCTATATTGTTGACAACACCGACACTTGAAAAATTTCAAAATACTCAAATAAAATTTTACGTAAATTATAAAATAAATATTAAAGTTATTTATATATATTTTTGGCCATTTTCGCTGAGGGCGTATAAATCGGTAAATTTTAAGTTACTAAAATTACATTTTACAACTTAAAATGTTTTTTTGATAATTACGATTAACTCCTCATGCGATAATTCAACTCATACTTGGCTAATTTATTTTTTTATATTAATAACAACTTATTTAATAATAACATTTTTAACGATAGTAGATGAGTTCAAAGATAGATAATTACTATCGTTGCAACAGAATATGTTAGTTCTTAAATATTGTCTATAGTTTACGCGACTAGTACACATTTAAATAAAACACTTTAACGGTTTAAAACGCGAAATATTAGTTACTGACCCTACTGTGATGTCTCCCCGTGACCACGGCTGCTGCAAAGCATCCGAAACGTCGGGCCGAAGTTAAAAATCATTTTCAAATAAGTTTAACTAATATATCGTATCTATCTATTTTAAACCGTTAAAGTGTTTTATTTAAATGTTAGTTCTTTAAAAACTAAGTAACATCGTGGAGCTTTCATGAGATAGAAAGATAAGAACGACCGGTCTTTAGTCTAAGCACGACTAGGGCAAAGGGCAATGCAGAGAAATCAAATCTAAGTGCATACAAGCATGCTTTATTCCAGGTAAAATTATAATTAAAAGTTGCGTCTTTTATTTTACTAATACATTTTTATTTCAAAAAAATATTAATTGGAAGCATAGAAAAACTGAAGTAGATGGTGCATGACAATTTTAATTTCTGTCTATCGTGATCTGCGAATATTAACCCAGTCTGACATACAAACTTTTCTATCGATGACTGACCGAAATATTTCTGATAGTTTCTAAGATAAATCTAGTTATTGAAATGAAATTAAAGCCATTCATTTTGAACAATAAAAAGAAAATAGTATAGTAATAAGTTTCAATTAAAAATCGATTGTAGATAAAAAAAATACGTTAGGAGCAGGACTTGTATCATCATCCACAGCGTTTCGTCCTTCCCGTGTCTTTATTTTTTTTTCGATCTAAAATTGATTTTAAATTTATATAGTGCCAGCATGTGCAATTACATGTAAAAAATAAATATGTCTACAACCTGTTTTTTTCCTTAACATTTGTCTTTATTAGCTGCTACCATGAGCCTACTTGCAGGCATGATTAAGTAAAAAAAACAACCATAGTTCACATTCAAAGTTAAAATAGAAATTGAAAGTGACTTAACGCATTCCTGCTTGGATGGTCGGCGATATTGTCAAACAAACTAGCTGACTCATAAAATAAATCTTTTCAACCTCTTTGCCACGAATACTACGTTTTTTGTTGTCATTCCCATGGCACAGCGATCCCATATTTCCTTAATATTAAACCATAGTATCATAGATTATATTCTTATGTTTACAAAGACGATATAATAAAAGTCAATTTAATTTATGTAATAGCAAAACGCGCCCTTCCGGCTTAATCTGTAACGATTCTAGATTTTTTTTACTTATAGTAATTAGAATAACTTCCAGAAGGAAGATGGCTTTTGTAACTTTTACCTACTGTATTATACAATTCATAAGACATACCTATCTTCATATTTTTTACATGTCATTGCACATTTAGGCACTATATAATTTTAAAATCGAAATAATTCTCGACTCAGGCTGGACTTGAACCGGCATCGTCAGCGTTCCGTGCTGTTGCTCTACCAATTGAGCTACCGAGTCCTACACCTCATCGTCAAATGTTTTCAACTTATTGATACATGCACCTATCGCGCAATGTAATTTCAACCTTAACACTTGCGAATTAAGGTTCAACGTCTTATGCTTTGCAACTTAAGAAATTCATTTCAAATCCGTTATGAACTGTATGAAAGAACGAAAAAGATCATTTTAAGCCCAGAATGTTGCACCAGATCCAAATATATAGGAAGTACACGGTCTATAAAAATGTAATAAACCGTGGGACATAAAGGTTGGTAATGATTCGTGAGTGGCAATAGTAATAATCATTATGTTTCTCTAAGGTGAAAGGTCCACGCAACTGACATAATATTTTGCTTATGACCGTAACATTTAACGATATTTATTTAACTCTTCACTTTCCATTGTTTCTTTAAAGAAAAAAACATGACAGATAATATTACTAACATTTGCGTCAGAAGAGAGTAGAAAACGGTGGAAGAGATCAGACAAACATGGGGTGCATTTGATGGAAAGTACCACCATAGCCTTATAACATCTTAACAAAGTGCACTGTCGACCTATTTAGACTTCTATATCCGGAAATCCACAGACTATCTTTTTGATGGTTTCTATAAAAAGTCTGTGGATTTCCTGTGGCTGAAGGAATTTGTAATATTAGAAATTAAACAACAATTAAATATCCAGTTTTACAGACGAAGAAAAATTATAGATTAATAAAAAACATGTTGGACCGGAAGGGGATTGAATGCACAACCCGTTGATTATTAGCCATACAGCCATTGGACCAATGAGCCATCCACAATTTGTCAGACAAGTCGTAAAGCCATGTACCCTAACGGTCATTGTTTTGAGCCCCAATTCAGTTATGGATGAAAATTAAAATTCATGCTGTATTTAAATTATCTTAGCTATGTTTGTTTATTTTAAACAGATTCAAAAGTGTATTAAACAATCAATAAAATATAATTATATTAATTTTTAGGCGTACGTTGGTACATTTATTATATCAATGTAAAAGCGGGAACCAATTAGTATAATTATTACAGACGCGTACTATAATTGCGTTATTACATTACTCCACATATTATTATGCATGTATTACAATGACAATAATGTCATACCACTTTCTATAGCGATGCTATTCTAATTACACGTGTTTTGATACACTTTATTTAATACACATTTTGTTATTCGCGACAAAGTAATTTTGTTTGCCGTCGTAGCTAAAGATATTTTAATTCTATAAATTTAGTAGGGGTTACTTAATGACCAAGCTATGCTTATTTGACGAATAATAATAAGAATTTCATTTAAAAAGATATATTAGATGATAGATTCATAGATGTTATATATAGCCAAGCTATTTTCAGTTTTTCAGTAGTTGTGACCTCTACCTCAAGAGTCAGTTGTGTTATTCAACATCCCGGGAAAACTAAAACTAAACTAAAGTGAATTAAAATAAGTAAAATAAATTGTTTCTGTCAACCAGGACACAGATGTTTAACTCGCCTGTAAATATAACTGAATACGGACATAGAAAAGCGTTTGCTCTACTTTTTTTAATTTCAAAATTTGCATCTTCGTGTCGAGCGGAATTTTTAGTAAATTAGTACTTTAATACGTTAGTAACTCACTGAAGGTGAATGTATTTAGTACAATAGTATGTGGGACTATCAACTGAATATAATAAATAAAGGGACATATAATCAGAGCGGAAGTGGAAGTGTTCAGGGTAATTATAAAAATATTTAATTGTCATTCAATTAAACACGGCAATTAGCAGTGTTCGACTGAGTGCCTGAACATTAAGCATTAAAGCAGGTTGTCTTTGCACACGCAAAATGTTTAATACATACAGCAATATAATATAATTATTTGTGTTTTACGAGCCGGGTGAGAAAATACGCTTTCACGAACTTTACGCATTCTCAGATAAAACAATTGCGCAGAACAATGATCGGGTTCCATGCGCCCGCGCCGGGTTATGGCTTTGTGATCCAAGTTTGAAGTGACTTCTCGTGAGATAGAGAACAAAAATACTAATAGCAACAACACGAATCAAACATTAAAAGACATCGTGGTGATCTATAATCGATTTCTACTAAATTGGTTACAGTGACGTCTTTCCAATAGGAAACAATTAAAGAAATCTCTTTCCTTATATATTAATTATTGTGTCAGCATAGATTACTGTCAACGTACATTTTCATACACTAATTGAAAAAAATACCTGCTAATTTTTACAGTTGGTCAGAATTAAATACTGTCTATAGTTTACGTACGTTAAGTAGTACACATTTAAATAAAATGCTTTAACGGTTTAAAACGCAATATATTAGGTAAACTTTTTGAAAATGATTTTTAACTTCGCCCCGACGTTTCGGATGCTTTGCAGCAGCCGTGGTCACGGGGAGACTAACTAAAACGTCGGGCCGAAGTAAAAAATATTTTTTAAATAATTCAACTAATATATCGAGTTTTAAACCGTTAAAGTGTTTTATTTAAAAGTTGGTCAGAATTGTATGTTACCCCAGAATTTTATTTCAAGTCTTCTTGTGCGCGCATTTCAACGTTCAGTATTACTTAATCGTAGGTGGGTGACGATTGTAAGACTAATTTATGCAGAAAAATAATAAGAAATCGATTTTCCTTTTTTTTTAGTTTCATAATGGCTACATTACCGATACAGCGCATCAATACGTATTAACTCAGATAAATTATTGACTCTAAAACCTAGAATAAATTATTATATCTATATTTTTATAATCATAGTAATTAATACTGCTTACTTCGTTTAAAAATACAATTTTTGAAATTATGCAATTTACATGTTGTGACTCGGATGAATTGGCGCTTTTAAAAACTGTGTAAATTTCTCTTTTAAGATGAATGTGACATAAAATTGTTACAAATCATGTAGATGCGATAAGTCTTATGCAACATGACAGACATTATCTAAAGCAAGTGGACTCCCACTTTTTACATTGCCTCTTCAATTAACTTGCAAGAAAACATTGTACACACGTAAAGAAAATGTTATTTTTAAATAAATATTATTTGATTTCAAATCTCATTGTATTATTAGAATTTATAAAACGTTACTTCCAGCCTCATTACAGGCTGAAGTATTTAAAGCTCTACACAAACATCTTATCTTTGCTCACGAAGCGCTCTTTATCTTTTAATTCAACATTAGATAACAACGTATAAAGATAAAATTCACATAGAGCCCCATAGAACTCTGTTATCTATGTAATTAAAAAGTCTCACCGTTAACACCGCCATAGTCACCTTGATAACTAACGAAATATTCACCAAATTCTGTTCATCACTTTTCACTTAAACGTTCACCTTACATAATTGTTCATTCTTTTTAATCATATCACTAGCATTCCTCGCGTTACGTGTTATCAGTCTAGGCTCTGAAGAAGAACAAGCTCGCGAGTAAAGCACGAAAAAGTTGACGCTTCCCACGCAAGAGAAATGCGTTTAAACGAACAATGGTGGAGGCTGCGCGTAAGTCGAAAGGTGGGCAAAAAGTGAATGAGCGCAAGGTGAAGCGATGCGCACGAGTCGATCGGGCGGGGGTTTATACCTGCTGACCTATTTCGTTCGTGCAAGAAGCCAACCCTTGACCACAGAAGTGAACGATTTGAAGATTTTAAAATTATATCATTGAGGGAAAGCTTTTTAATTACAAACTTTAATATTTTTACGTGGTATTGCACATGATGGCATCATTTAAAAATCGATTTTTGATCGAAGAAGGCCCTGCCCGTATCGTAAACTTTTTTCAATCTAAAAATTATTTAGCTTTTTTTTTATCTGTAGCTTAACACGTAATTATCTTGAACGTATCCATAATTTAATGTAGTTATTCAGTTTATGTTGTAAATTTAACAGTTTACAGAATATATGCATCAAGCGTTGAATCCTCAACAACTGTATTTAATACTATGTTGTTAAAAACGTAATAAACTCACAATTAATGTAATCGATTACCAAGAAGTGGAAGTAAAAACATTACAGTTCTCACAAGAGGGTCATTAAAAGAAAAAAAGCTTAACGTATTAAAATTCCTTAAGTACTTAGTGGGTAGATGTTTAAAACCCCATATATTTATAAAAGAGACAGTTTTTCTTCGTAATAGCGTAATCCTTTTTAATGGTCCTACTACACAGTAACAACTACCCACTCTAGAGGGCCATTAGAAGGTATAAACAGGCAATATACGATTCTTACTAGACCACTAATGTGACGTCATGGAAAAGGAATGTAATGAGAGTAAAAACTAAAAGGTCATGAACCTGTTTTTCGTTACCTTTGAATTCCTAGACTTAATTTCAAATGTGTCAATCAAATCGACGTAGATAAATAATGGATACCCTGCACGCGATAGATGTTAAATGATTGACAACTGGACCAATGAGATTTCTTTTTAATATTAAAAAATATGGATCTCATCTTCTACATAAACTACTAAGTTTGTGACTTTAAGAGCTCCAAATCCATTGACTAAGAATATTATTTCCTTCCGTTTTCGCGTTAAGGTAACGATTCCAAATTTCAACGACACTCATGTCCTCTATATCTTAAAAAAAAACTTTTATTTGACATAATCGTGTATTTCGTTAAGTGCTAAAAAAAACATAATTAAGTAATATTGAATGGGTTCTGGAATACCATGTACATACGGAACCCTTCGCCCTCTATTCCGACTCGCACTTGGCTATCTATCACTATTAAGTGTTAGGTTGAGTACAGTGCACAACCGATGTTTAATACATATAGCGGAAATACTACCATTATAATAATATGTACTGTGTAGTTGCATTTAGCGAAGATACTCGTAATCTTCTGCTTTCCCGATTACTTGCACTTTCCTTCTCATACATTCTGTCACGATATATGATGCATGATTACTAAACAACGTTTTTACGATGTTATGTTTATTATTTATGACATGTTCCGTGCAGTCCGTCTATACGGAAGAAGCGATCAGCGCGATTGCTGTGTCTGCACGCATTTGAGTAATTTAAGTTGCGATACGTACTCGTACATGTACTTCAGCATCAGTTTCTTTGTTTTTCATTAAACAACAAACGTTTTAAAAAACACTTTAACGGTTTAAAACGCGATATATTAGTTAATTAATGTTTTAAACCATTAAAGTGTTTTATTTAAATGTGTACTACTCGCGTAAACTATAGACAGTATTTATGATAATATTTGTTGATCAATTGGTAGAGGGGGAACGACAGTTTACACGGTTATGAGTAAGAGTTCGTATCATTTTATGTTTTTTAGTTAATGATTAACGATTAGACCTGAAATTGTAGTGTAAGTAAGTATAAGAGTAAGTATAGATCTGAAAACTATAATGATTCAAGCATGTAAATGGTTTGAGTTTGAGTCAAATGGCAGTACGTATTACGTATGTATTGGAATCACTTAACAGTAATTGGGTTTGCTGGTGGACCTGATATACGTAGGTTGATTTGTTAGACTAGGTCGGTTCGGCTGCTGCAAAGCATCCGAAACGTCGGGCCGAAGTTAAAAATCATTTCCAAATAAGTTTAACTAATATATCGCGTTTTAAACCGTTAAAGTGTTTTATTTAAATAAATATTATCATAGTTTACTATTTAAAATCAATACCATATATACCATAAAACTATTATTCCGTTTCCCCCATTGAGCATGGGGTGAACACACTCGTCTCTGTTACACTGTTCTTTTACATTCAAGTAGTTAATCAAACTTCTGTGCCCTGCTCGAACTACCTGTTGTTTCCCTGGATTCAAACCCAGGACATGCCTATCACAATTCTAGGAAACACGTTTAATCATTTGGCAAGAGCGGCGGTCAAGAAGAAGAATAGAAAGAAGAATATTTGTTCATATTATGTAGTTATACAGGCCTCCGTATAGTTCAATGGTTAAAGACGTGGAGGAGCAGTAGGTCGAACGTGAGAAGATACGATTGTGAACGTAAAAAAATGTTCCCACTGTCTAGACACAGGAAACCGTTTCCTGATTTTAAATAAAAATCCCGCGATTTCAAATAGTTATAGCTAAACTAATATATTTCGCGTTTTAAACCGTTAAAGTGTTTTATTGAAATATGTAGCACTCACTTAAATTATGGACAGTATTTAGCTGTAACTGTCACATTTTTATGAATTTTAAATCTATCTAATACACACTTTGAATACAAATAAGAAGTAAGTAAATGTACAGTAAATTATAAATACAATACGCATTCTTATTGCGAATTTAATTCCAAATAAGTGCAAACTGTCGAGACTATAAAATTTAGTATGCACTGCCGTTGGACGTTATTCAGTGAAATTGTACAATTTCAAAGAGGAGTGGTCCGTTTACTAATCAGTAACTTTGCGAAAGCACCACAGATGTTATTCCGTTCACGTATACTTGAGAAACTTTCCTGCATCTGTCCAATATTGACGCAAAATTATGCTTATTACGAAGTATAGGCTTTGCCCGCGGCTTTAATTGCGACAAGTTCGATGTTTACATTTATATTATGCTCTATTAAAAGTAAAAACTTTAGTTTTAGTTAGTAGAAATCTATTTATGTTCTCATTTCACTACTTCAAAATTAGCTGCGATGTGTTTGGATGGTTTGACGTTCAATAATTAAACGTTGAGTCATGCGCGAGAGTCTTGGGTACCATTCTCTGATCGGCTATCTTCATTTTGTTAAACAAACAAACATAAACGTATTGATCAGATATCTCTAGGGAGGCCGCAATTTTAAAATGTATGTAGCGTATAAATTAAAATAAAACATTTTAACGGCTTAAAACGCGAAATATATTAGTTATCTTATTTCCTGGTTTTCCTTAAAATCACCAGAAACATATCGGGCTGTAGTTAAATTAAATTATAAAGAAAGTTGACATTTCTTGTTTTAAACGCTTTAAAAGTGTTTTATTTAAAGTTCTACTATTCGCTTAAACTACAGACAATTTGACATATTGTAACAATACTATAATAGCTGATACAATGTAATCTATTGTTACGTGTTAATTGTTCAATTTTAATCCTTTGTTAATCCGATAACTTTAATAGCGATTAGAATTAGCATCGCTTTAGGGTGATTTTGTTTTAATATATTTCGATTTAATCGGTTATTAAATCTGATAGGCTATTTGTGTTCCATCAATTTCAGATTACTATCTTTTACTTGGATAGATTATTTTGTATCTTTACCCAATTTGTAATATTAAACGTCTCATAGATATTGATTATATATTTTTGTTATTGTTACTAAGAGGGCATTTTAGTTCTTATTTATATAAATAATTCGTGATTAAAGAAGAGTTTCTATATTCACTAAATTTCTTGTTAATATGTATCTGCCAACAAAAATGTTTTTTTCATTCTATAAGAGTCGAAGTACCTATTCAACACTCCGACTTCTGAGACATGCAAGCGAACAAATAAATCTTTCTCGTACGACTTTCCACAAAAACTAGAAACACAAGAAGTTGCTGTATAGTAGAGGATGTATAAGACAATTTATAATTGTGCAAGTTTCAAATCTTTATATTTTTAAATAACATGCATGCATATAGCAATAGATCGAAAAAATCGAAGATGACGTGTAGGACAAAGTAACTTAACGGATTAGAGCAACAGCACAGAACGTTGTTGATGCCAGTTCAAGTCTCGCCCTTTTTGACATTTTCTTAAATCTAAAATAGTTCTTTAATAAATAAATATATATCCAGATTGAAGGAAATCGATGAAACGGGACTCAAACATCCACATCAATTCGTTCTTCTACTCTCACTGTGGATATACATCTCGCCCGTGTTATAGTTATCTCTATGTTACTATTTCAGGCTCAATAGATTTGCAATATACGTATATATGCAATAACAGATTTATTGATCACATCACTACTAAAAATCTAGTGGGAAATAAATGGATTAAAAACTCTTCCGAATAACAATCTTCTATCTCCAACGGAAGTAACAATTAAGATGGCTTTGCACACAATAATATCCGGAGCGATCTCAGCCTAGTTTCCGCGACGATTCACTTCTAACATGGATATAGTTTTTTATATGATGTATTGTTGTAACCTACTACCTTAATCAATAATTAATCAATTAAAAACGTTCCTATCTAACTTTATACTATCCAACCCAACATCTTAATATTTTCAAAGGATTTTCACCGCTATAGGCCGCTAAAGGAAGAGTAGCCTAACTGCAATTTTATGTCTTGAGTTATGTATATTTTCATAGTCTAAATTAATCTCAAGTGACAGCGACCGAAAATTTTTTACAGTAATAATAATTTAATTAAATGCGAAGTTTTATTTTCCTCCTTTTCCATTTAAAATCATGTTTTTTGTTATTAGGCCACTCTGTCTCTAGTAGCCTCATATATTGTCAGGCTTTTCAATAGGAAAATATACAATTCATATGTCATATTGACTCTAATGCGTTGTGACTGACTTATGTCAGATATTAAACACATCTTATATAAAGTGTCAACGAATAAAATGTAATGAATGTATTTTGTAAAATGTTTACTTTCTCACTATATTATCACTGTTTTTATTCAAAACATATACTGTGTCATAAACTATCAAGTTCGCCGCATCAACGACACCACTTACCTGGTTACCTGCTACCCTGAAGTCGATGATTGCTTTGATCACAACGGAGTTATAGCTGTGAACGATAAAAGATTTACTTTCGATGCTAAAGATTCCACAACAATTAAAATAGGTGAAAAAAATAAAAACAAACCAAACGTACCAGCGTCTTTTATAAATAAAGTGCGGGAGAATTATTTTCGTAATTATTATTCCACGATGAAGAAAACACCAAGTACGAAGTCCTTCTACTATAGTGATACTGAAACAAACAAAAATACGTATGATGAATACGTTTTAGTTGAGCGTAATCTACAAAAGGCCAGAAGGTTAGCTTCTAGGCTCAAAGAAGAAAACGAAAGTGATTATATTCAACCTGTTGATATGACACATGTAAAACTGTTGAGACAAAGAAAAAGGACGTTATCAAAACTGTTTTGAATTCTCTTAATTAAATGGTGTAAGGTTTTAAATTAAACGAAAGTTTTATTCATCTGTTTATTTGTACATGGATATTACATCCAATCACAAGGATCGAAGTATCGATATAGTTCGTAGTTATGATAGTGGATTTAATACAAAAAAGATGCTAATAAACGATTATTAGAATTCGGCCAATTTTTGTTTAACATGATATTGTATGTTATTATGTTGGACATTGGTAGTCAGAAGTACAGACCCCAATCTCTGGATTAAATATTGAGTACGACGGGCATGACTGCGGATAGGGGACTATTGTACCATCAGGCGCTTCAATACACATAAAATAATTTTGACACGTCGTATCCGTCGAATCTGGAATACGACCGGCTGTCTGACAGGTCACAGTATCATTACCAGTAGGGCAATCGTAACTAGCGGAACAAACTTCTGACGCAGGATCAAAATATGTTGTCTCGGGGCAGGTGTAGTTGTAAAATTGGTATGAATTATTGCTCGCGACGTAAACGCATAGACCGTAAAGTTTACAAGTTGCATCTTTCGGGTCTGGAAATCGGCCGGCACCTTTTTCTGTGCAGTCGATAGCTCCAAATGACATTCCGGTGAAACAGGAAAACTGTAAAAAAGGTATTAAATAATCATTTTGTTAAACTATTTTATACGCAGTACAGTATTTGACATCTTCTTTAGTGCAAGGCGAAGTTGCACTAAAGAACTCGCAACTTCAAAGTCTAAGCTATTAAATTTATGCAAGATTTCGGTGAAAAAATCAATATATTTTAAATAAACGAATTTCCTTTTTTGGCACCTTATCAGGACTGCCCAATAACTATGTGTCAAAAACATATAAACATAGTTATTTATTTTTAAGAACTTACCAGGAACAACACTAAATACATTTCTTCGTTCAATGTCCGGTTTTCGTACTCAATAAAAATTGGTACGAGCTACGTTATTTATACTTGGCAATAGGATTAATCTTTACAGCCCTAATAATAAGTTATGGGAAAATTTCAGGTTTACTTTACATCGAATCATCTATCTTTAACTGAAGATTAACTTTAGGTACCTAAATACTGTCTATAGTTTACGTGAGTACACATTTAAATAAAACACTTTAACGGTTTAAAACGCGATATATTAGTTAAAGCCGTGGTCACGGGGAGTCTCTCCGTGACCACGGCTGCTGCAAAGCATCCAAAACGTGGGGTCGAAGTTAAAAATCATTTTCAAATAAGTTTAACTAATATATCGCGTTTTAAACCGTTAAAGTGTTTTATGTAGGTACCTAATTAAAACGGTTATCCTTGTTTAAGCTGTAAATTCTCCTAGCCTTTAATATATTTTCCGTCATTTTGTTTTAACAACTTTTTTTATACACGTTATATCATAGCTTCAACTTTAAATGTATTATTGTCCTAAATGTTTTGGTTCCGCAATGTTTGGAAGAGGGGTTGTAAAGTGATTAACACTTCGACCCACCACGCTTAACCTAGACGGGTTGATAGGCTTTAATTATTAACAAGTGATAACTAAGACATAGCTTAACAAGTAGTAAAGATACGTGTTAATTGTAAAAAAATATTTGTCCTTTTTAATTGAATTTGTGATAACTTTATTAAATTAACGTTTGAAAACATTAATATTTTTCACATGTTATTGCACATGAAGGCACTATATAATTTAAAAATCGAAAATAAATTGAAAAAATTTTTCGACTCGGGCAGGACTTGAACCAGCATCGTCAGCTTTCCGTGCTGTTGCTCTTGACTAAAAAAAAAAACTAAAAATTTTTTCAATTTATTTTCGATTTTTAAATTTATTAAATTACTTTATATTATATAAGTGTTTTTAAAGAGATAGAATTTTGATCTCGTTTGTCTTTTTAAAATACTGTTACGACTTCTATATTATACAATAAAACTATGAAAAGGATGTAGTTCTTTATTACTATTAAGGATAAATATTGAATCAACAATTAACATCTATGAAGGGGTCGTTGTAGGTAATCAAGTCCTTCCGAAATACACTAGGTCGGACAAGTATAATTAGTGGTACAAAGCCTTGCAGTGGGACTAAAAACTGATGTCGACGGACAGGTGTAGTTATATTGTAACAACGTCCCATTAGTTGTAGCGATACACAAGAAGTATCTTTGGCATGTTGTATCCGTCGTATCCGGTATTCTACCTGCCGATGTACAAGTCGCTGTTGGGGTCTGTGTACAATTGTAGTTGAAATCACACAGCGTTGTATTTGGGTTATAGAACGTGTTATTCGGGCAGGTGAGAATGGATTGATCGAAAGTTCCATTAATAGAAACACACTGGATGTACGTAGAACAATCTACCGCGTTGGGATTTGCGAAGAATCCATTAGTTGTGCATGTAAACCCAGTGGAGTTTGTGGGAGTGGTGCTGTTGGTGTTGTTACACACGTAGCTGGTCGTGCATTGTCTGGACACTGGACTGAATACGGATGTCGTTGGACAGGTGTAGTCGTAGGATATGAAGGAGTTATTGACACTTATAAACACGCAGAGGGTGTAACGTTTGCACGTTGCGTCTGCTGGATCGGCATAACGGCCTGCTGATGTACAATTGACCGCGCCGTGAACTTGCCATGTGGTACAGGAGAACTAAAAGAAAGGAATACATATGTTTTATTGGAACTTCAAATTCCGACCCTATTTGATTGCGTACGCGCATGCAGTATTGAGGATTGACGAAATACACATATTCGTTTATCAATAAAAACCTATTTTATTTTGAGAAATTTTAAGACAAGTGCCAGAATTCGAATTCGAACTGTGGTCGTGGCTCATGACTCATTGATCAATATTTCTCATTATATAATATATTTTTCATTTTTCATTATCATTTGCATTTGCAGTCAAAATAACTATGTATTAAAAATCTCGTTTAAATTTATTATAAATCGGTTCTAGACAAGCTATTTTTATTAGGTAACGTGGTTATTCAAATGTTCAACAGCTTTGTGGCTAGGTTTTTGTAATATTTTTTAAATGTAATCGGCTATAGTCACTTACCAGAATGACTATTACACTAAGCTGGGCTAACATTTTTGTTCTTACAACTGAGTGGAAAAACGAAAATTTTAGCTTTATACCCTAGGATCGGAGTAAAAAGTTTACAATACCAATCGACAGTATTGACTTTAGTACTAGTCACTCTTGGTAAATGCTTATCGGTTTACAGCTTTAGCTTGTTAACCTTCGTCAACTAATAACACGTTGTAAATACTGCATTTGACAAAAATTTCCTACCATGACCATTTGTCTACGAGTAAATCTATAAAAATAGAAAAACTAAAATAAATAAAATAGAACGCAAATGTGATAGTCATGGGTACATTATCTAGTTAAATAAATACCTAAATCTACAAACAGCGAAACCCTTTTATCTAAAACTAATATACGAATAGTGATGTTCCGTTGCTTATGCTAGATATCGAGGTTTTTATTCTAATACAATGGTCTATATTAGTGTACATAAGCAAAATTCGTAGATGTATCAGTGCATCTAAATATTATACGTACTATAGAGCGAATTATATAATAACAAGATCGACCACGAAGCCAACTAAATAATTTTAAGTGAGAATATTCACAATAAGTTAAATTTTAAAAGTTCTTATCGCCTATTATTTATTGCTTTATAAAGCAAACAGACAAAATCACATAAAATGATCCCACAATGTAGCTAATGTCAAATTTGTATGTAGTGCACTTAAACAACGTGAAGTCTGTAAAATCAAACTTGGCGATAAAAGGAGTGGCGGCGAGTTTCTTCTTGCACCTACTGTTTACCTAGTTACCTACATTAATTATTTTTTTGACTTTGTGATCTTTTGCCACCTCCTTACAGTTAAAATTTAAGACAACACTTTCTTACTCTTATTTCCATATAAGTTCTTACAGTATTATTTAAGAACAGCCATTTAATTGGTTTCACGTTTCTAGAACTGATGTTAACGGGATCTATTTCTATCGATATGTAACTTATGTGCCCAAACCTATCATCTCATTTGACTTGCGGCTGCAAAAGATGAAGACATATATCACAAGAGTCGGGATTCTACTGTACTACTAAGATATAAACTATCACAAAAATATTTACTCGTGGTGTTTTAACTGATGCTTAGTGAAAATGAAAGGCCTTTTCTTTTGCGCTATTTTATTTTCTGTAAGTATTTATTTAGAAATTAGTTTATTGAAATTTTAATTTATTTTAATGCGTTAAGTTATCCGTTTTTATCAAACTGGTCTATAAGTCATATATTCATAATTAAAAAATATATATTCAAGAAGGGCTATGTCATATGAAAAGGTAGTAAATTATACGATTATTTATTATGTATGTATTTGTGTAAGTTTTTTTACATAAATGTTTTTTTCGAAAGGTGATCAATATATTATAACAAAAAAAAAGTTTAAATGCCGTTAACCCTATTTATTAAGAGTTATATATTTTAAATAATTATTTCGAGGTCTTAATTATTTGTGCTTGAATTTTCAGAGCGCGCAATATGCAAAAAGCACGTGTTTGGACACTGGAAAGTTTCCGAACAATGCAGAACCAGACTGTCGAGGGTTCACCATGTGTCTAAAAGGAGCCGCGGGATTCATACAATACAGTCTTGTTTGTCCTGAAAATTCCATTTTCAGCCACATAGACAGCCAGTGCTCGAATATCACAGAGTATAAATGCTTGCCGAATTATAATTGCTCTCAAGTGGACAATATTCCTCAACCCCAAAATGAATGTACAACCTATATATCATGCATAATTGATTTAAACAACGTTTTCTCTGCTCGTCTCATTACATGTCCAGTCAATACAGTTTTCAACGGAAGCCTATGTGTCGAGAAAGATTTATACCTATGTCCGTTTCTGCATCAACAAACTACGGAAAAACCAAATGCAATTGACGTGGTCATAAATAACTTTGAAGCAAATGCAACGATTAGTGCCGCTGTCACCTTACTAAGTTCTCATTTCCTTTATTGTGTCATTCTCGCCTCTTGTTGTTACTCAATAATGAAATTGTGATCGCGTCATATCAACAATGGAATTATTGTTATCATGTCATTTCCTGCGTTTATGTTTACTTAAATATCTAAGTGATCTAGTACAATGAAATGAGTCCAAGGCTAAGATGAAATCACTTCTTTGATTATGAAAACAAACTATAAAAATTAAATATTGTTAAAATAAAATACAAGCCCCTACTTAATAAGCTAATTTATCATACTTTCTGGAATCTAAATATTTTAATAAGCATAATATAATGTTGCAAATTTTATGGCAACCATTCTAATATTGTGATTGTGTTCCATTACAATTTAAACATAAAGATTTAAGTTAAATGCCTGTCATTAAATCTCTTTGTTATTTTAAATCTCCCGCTACACAGAACGTTAGAACGTCAAATGTCATACAAATATTATGGCGATGTAACACGGGGGGCGTTAGCATAGCAAATTTTACATGAGGGATATTATGGAGGAATATTATTATACCATGAGCGTGACCACTTTTGTAGTTAAAATTTATTTATAGTTTGCCCTGCCTATAGTTATTAATTAATAAGTATTAATTAATTACATAAATATTTCTAAGCATAGAATACGTATAGATTTTTCTTTAGTACTAAATGAAAAGTATCTAATTTGTGCAAACTGAATTCTGAACGCACTCAATAGATTTGACATATTTACATTGAAATGTCAAAGTCAATAAAAGTGACAAGTGAAGTCCATACGATATTTTTTGGTTATGTTATGATTGTGAACTTAGAAATTGTAATTTTATTTAACCACTATTATGAATTTTAAATGTTATTATATTAGCTAATATATTGTTTGTAAATTTGCAGTAAAAGGTTACTCTATCTCTTAAATACATTAGTCTATTAAACAAGATTATGTATTCTAATATAGTGATACAAAGGTAAATTCGCTAATGTATAAAAGAGTAGTATAATCTTTATTAACAAATATTAACGCCGAAATATATAATTGTGGGTATAGTAATAATCACGATTATTGATTTCAGACAATGGGCGCGTCTCGCGGGTCTCTTTCGCACTTTATCCTCATTGGAGGGTCAAAAGTTACCTGTGGGTAGAAAATCAATAGACGGTATTTCACCTCCAGTGCGCATATCCCGGTCGTCTACCGACATATTGCAGGCGTTGGCTGCCACAGTCGGCGTCGATCCAACAGCTCCGCATTTCAAGTAAGTCTTATCCTTCTATTTTAATATCCTTTTATATCTCATTAATCTTCTTTTAATATAAATCCTCCATACATCATTTAGAATCTTTTAAAATAAGAGTTTTTAAAAATTTCATCATTTCCTTTGTTCTTACTGGGGTGTGGTCATCATTTAATAGTTTGCAAGTCAATGAAAATCTTATGGCTTACCTTACTTAAATGTTTACAATTCATAACATCTATGTGACATTGATATTATATAATTTTGTAAAAAAAGTCTAAAATTACCTTTTCTTGTATAAATTTAGCTCGGGTGTAAAGGTCGGGTTTTCTATTTTACATATGGGTTGATTAAAGAAGGAATTATAGTTCACAAAACGGCAATGTTATTTCTTGCTTTTCCTTTAAGAACAAAACTCATTCCTAAAACAATTTTATGAATATAAAATAGCTGCTAGGTAACAAAACTATTGGCTTACAAAATTATTGATTTCTGAAACAGTTGAAAATCTACTTAGTGTTTAGTGTTTCCTTACCTTGAAATAGCTTGTTGTCTTATAGACTATTGCCGATGAGCTATTTTCAGAGAACCATATTTATTATAGGTACCATGATGATCCCTTTCTCATCCCTCAATCAAACTACCGTAAAAGGGCATATGCCCTGTCAGCGGAAGCCGGTCGAAAAGCTGCTTCTTGGATTCGAGATGAGCAATCACAATTATTCACAACTCGAGAGTGGGATCCCCCCATGAAAATGAAAACTCCTTATCATAATGCAGATCCACCTATTGATGCATTTAATCCTAGACCAATTTATAATGATGAAAGTAAGGTAGGGATATATGAATTTGTTTTCTTTTTAATAAAAATAAACAATTAAAAAATAAAAGAAAAAACATTACATGACATTAAAATTTGTAGGTAACTGAAGAAGACCTGTTATACACTATACAAAATGCCCTCTTAGAAGATGCTATTAGGGTTTATCAATTGTTAAGTGCATCTGAAGGTGTAAACGATGATTTAAAATTAGCTCTTTTGCAATTATTATGTTTTTACAATGAAAAAGAGCCAATTGCAGCAGAGTGGTTGGAAGAGAGATGGTTTGCTGCAGCCACTAGGGAACGGCAAGCTACAACATGGAGGTAAGTATTATTCTTCACTATCTATGACATCTTTACATTTTTTATTTTGTTTTTAACCTTTACATGTTATTTGTAGACTTGGAGGATTAGCAGATAAAATATTTAGCGCCATGGATCCGAAAACACCTGAGGCATATTGCACTGTTATTCAGGGCATGGCAAAATATTATCAGGTATGATTTGATACTTCAGGACCTACTTTTTTTTGTCAAAGAACTTAATAAGGAAATGTAAATTTTAGGCAGAACGCGCTCATGCATTGGCGCAAGAGGCGATGGAAAAAGGTATACCATTATCAACAAGTGTATATAATGCTCTACTTAGTTGCGTTGGATTCTTAAAAGAGGGTACTACTTTACGAATTGAGGCATTGAAAGCATTGCTTTCCCAAATGAATGAACAGGTATTTATTTTTTTTTAAGAATCTGATTTGAAATTATAATCTTTTTTCTAAGATTTTTTTTTTGCAGGGAATTTCTCCAAATAGCGACACTTTGACGTCGTGTTTAAAGTCGATTTCTGCATGGGGTGGTGGAAAAGCACTACAAACATTTGCTCTTCAAATTGTGGCAGAATTTAAGCAGTTGAATATACAACCAGGACTCTCGGCATATTATTACCTTTTGTGTCTGTTCTGCAAAGAAAGTGAGAATTCTTACAACTTTGATACCTTCCTACATATTATAATTAAACGATATTTTCCTTAGGCCATATGAGAAGAGAACATTTTAAGTAAATAAAAAAAAGATTACACTGACATACTAATTTCAAGTTACAAGACACATATATATTTATACACATATACTATTTTAATAAAACTGGAATCACTTATTAAAAATAAAAATATTTTAGGAGGACCCCGTATTGACGTTTTAACGACCATACTAAATGACTTAGAAGGCAGAGACTCCCTAGAACCAACTGACGCGATGGATACCCACTTCTTTATTACAGCTATGGGTGTGTGTAGTGAACACTTACAGGTAGGTTGCATCCATACAGTGCTTTAGAATCTCGTTAGACAACGTTGACCTATTTTGTAGATTACTGGCGTCTTGACTGCCTATTGCTAGGCCATTTGCTTCTAACATAAAGTATACTCTTCAAAATTGTACGGCACGGTCCTACAGGTGGCGTTTATGTTTGGTAGTGACGGCGAGTTTCTTGCTAGTTCTTCTCGTTCCTTCTTCCTCCTGATTTTGGAAATTGTTAGTAAATGTAGATTAAGAGTTTTTAACTGGATTTGCGTTCATAAGTGTACTACATAAATAAATAAATAATTTTGGATTTTGAACTACCGTCTGACGGCAGCATATCGTAAGGTCTCACCTAACATCGGTTAATTCGTTTTAAAAAGCAAATTGACTGAGAAATGTTGAGCCGTAGTTAAAATAAGTTTAACTTTTAACTGATATGTTTCGCGTTTTAAAGCGTCAAAGTGGCTTATTTAAAAGATTCGTTAAGGAAATTGTTTTATACATTTCCAGAATATAGATTTAGCGGACCGTGTTCATGCACTTCTAATGAAAGATGACAACTACAGGCTGGTAGGCGATGCGTACAAGGAGAGCATTTATTATCGACATTTAGTTTCTGTTGCGTGCAGGTAAACTTATTTGTTGTTATTATTATACGTTATTAGTATTTAAAAACTGTGGTATACATTTTCTATTTTATTCTAGGCATGCGCCATTTGAAAAAACAGCGCAGCTTTTGGATACGCTAATACCTAATATTTATGTACCAGAGCCTTCTGTTATGGAAGAGGTAAGTAAATACAGAGAAAAAAAGTAATTATACATATGTATATCACTAATATTATGATTTGAACATTTATGTATAAAACTAATACTGTCGACAAAGAAAAAAAATAAAATTTGTTTATTTCAATTAGACTGTGCAATATTCTTTAATGTATTTCTTAGATGCTTCAGTGCAAGCGCAATTTCTTTAACACAATTGATAAAATTTCATAAGATTTAATGAAATAATTGATCCTATTAGGTTATATGATAAAGAAATAACACATTGTTTTAGATAATAAAGACACTAGAACTCGCTGGAGCTGGTGACAGACTGGCGGAAGTGTGGTCACAACTGGTGGTGTTTGGTCTGGCTAAGAGGGTAAAACTGGTAGAAAGGCTACTTGATGCTCTTTGCAACTGCTACACTTACCAGGGTAATTTTTAAATAATACCAGAATAATATAATTTCAATGAATTAATAAACTCTTTGGAAACGGTGTCGAAAACTTATTAGATCATCATTCTTCGTAGATTTGAAACATTTTATAAATTTTAACAGTATTGTGGACAAATTTTAAAAGTCGGTGACACTATTATGTTGATTATTAAAGAAGATTTTATACGTTAAAGTATTTTTCAGATGAGGAAATAAAGGAGAAAATTCGAAGTGCTGCAGCCGATATGCTGAAATTTGGTCAAATGGTTCAAGAACAAAATGAGCCTGAATCTAGAACACCCATTCAGAAGTATTTTTTTTTAATATTCAATATTTCTTTGCATTTCTTGTTTTTTTTTATATTTTGAAAAAGCATCGTAAGTAGCTATAGTATTTCATTAATGTCTGAAGAATTTTAATGATTGTCTATAGTTTATTTTTTTGCTTTGCATGTAATTTTATGTTTGTTATTCGAACGTAGGTTATCTGCGTCAGCGCTGACGAATATAATAGAATTGTGCGCTGATGTAAAAGACAAGGCGGATGAAAGCTGGGAGGTTGTTGGGGAAGCATTGGCACGGCTTCGATCTGAACAGGCTTCGGGGTTACCGTCTCGACCCGAAGTTATTTCAAGCGTTGCTAAGAAGGCCGCTACATATGGCAAACCTGGTCTTGCAGCTGTAAGTATGTCAACTTAATATTTCTGAAATGTTTTCTGTAAGAATGTATATCGCTATCTTAATAGACTAAGGTAATACTTGTTCATAATATCCACAATCTCTTGTTTGAATAAACTGTGGGGTGTATTGTTCTATTGCTTTTTAATGTAATACCATCTATACGTATGTCCTGTTTTTAATATAACAGTATCTGTGTGTGCAAATGGCTACCAAAATGTTTTAACATCGCTTCGGGGCCGTTGCATTGGCCATTTTAAGTTGAGCCCATGTAATGGCCCAGAAAGCATGTTCGAACCAAATCCACCTTTGAGATTTCATCATATTGTGAATGCGAAGTGTTTTTGTGTGTTTTCTGATTCCTGAATGTTTGGTCATAGCTTGTGAGCCGCTGCATTGGCCGTATAACTCGCGCCCATGTAATGGCTCACTGAGCATGACTTTACTAAAACCGCTTTTTCAGCCATGGAATTTACTTTAAAATGTTAACAATTTATTAAAAACTTTGTATGTATTAAATAAGCATGTTGACAAAGTTATTAAATTGTGTTACACCAAGATATGTGAATTGTGAACTTTATTGTTTAAACATAGCTTGTGAGCCGTTGCATTGGCTAAATTTTAAGCCATAAATGAAACGGCTCACTGAGCATGTTTAAGCACAGTCTTCGAAGATTTTCAAGAGAGAAGAGAGAGAAAAATCCTTTCCAATCAAACTACATTTTTATTAGAGAAACTAAAAATGCTTTGTAAATCCAACACTAACTATTACTTAACCTTAACTTAGAAAGATTAATATGTGTAAATAGATACACATATGTTAGTGTTTTACAGAGCTAAATACAAGTAAATAAAACCATGTTTGGATATAGCTTGTGAGCCGCTGCATTGGCCGTTACTAACTCGCGCCCATGTAATGGCTCACTGAGCATATTCAGATACAACCCATCGTAATAGCCCAAAAACATCAAAAACAACTTCTGTGTTTTGTCTGAAAAAGTAGATATAATGTTTGGACGTAGCTTGTGAGCCGTTGCATTGGCTAAATTTTAAGCCATAAATGAAACGGCTCACTGAGCATGTCCTAACAGAGACCGCAAATGATTTTTTACATCAAACCATCGTGTACTATTTTCGACTTTGTGATTTGTGTGTGATCGTGAAGAACTCTCATTTTGCTATGCTGTGTCATTTCTAACTGGTTTTTCGTATGGCTTGTAGCAGATGCATTATTAAATCAAACTAAATTACCAAGAGCTAAGTAATGGATATCTTTCCACTATTTATCATTTGTTCGTAGTCTATTTACAACTGTATGCTATATTTTTTTTCTTAAACATTGTTTGGATATAGCCTGGGAGCCGTTGGATTGGCCGTTTCCTATCGCGCCCACCTAATGGCTCGCTAAGCATAGCCAGACACTTTCGTCGTATTTTAGAAGATGATCTTTTTAATAACTAAAATGTGTTTCTGTATCAGCTATAAATAAATAAAATTGGAGTGTCTGTTTGTAACATTAAAATAACCGCTTTTTACTAAATGCATATGGATGTATGCACGGTACACATACCAAAACAACATAAAAAAAAGTTGTCTGTCTGTCTGTTTTTTCCGGCTAATCTCGGAAACGGCTAGACCGATTTTCACGGAACTTTCACTGACAGAGGTGAGAGTGTTGTGGCAAAGTAGCACTTACAACATAGATTGGCTGCGATAAATGCGCAATTACATAAATTTATAAACAGCCTAAATAATTAAAAATTCTACCCCAAGTCACTATTCCACGCGAACGAAGTCGCGGGCACAGCTAGTATATAATATGCAAGGAAACTGAAGAAATATGACTTTTAAGACGCGTAATAATCTAATTGACGTATTATAGACAGCGGTTACGTATCTCGCTGAATGTGGCTTTGAAGAGGCAACAACAGCATGCGTGGAGACGCTGGGAGTGATGCTCAATCGGCCCACGGATGAGGTTCAAACACTCTTGAGAGAGCCACGATCTTCTCTAGAGTCTTCGTTGCACCCCTCCGCCCTTGTTATAGCAGAGGCTTTTCATCTGTGAGTATTATCTTTAGTTTACGCCAGTAATATACACATTAAAAACGCGACATATATTAATTATGCTTATTTTAAAATTATCCGTAATCTCCCCGTGACCTAGATGCAAAGTTAAAATGTTTTATTAAAAACGTTAATACATTTTTTATTTACATTGTTAAGATATTCATGCACGTACATACATTAAACGTTTATTAATTATTATGAGGCCGCTAGAGGCAGAGTAGCCTAACTACAATTTTATGAAAATGTTAATCTACAAGAGCAATTTGATCGGAAATTGTTAATATAATATTTTTTTAATAATAGTAGAAATTATTGTTTCAGTCTCATATATAAGTTACTTTATTGATTTAATATTATTAAAACTGGTGCTTCTTTCATCTACAGAGCCAAAACTGGTGCACCAATAGACTCTTCGGCAAGTTCGGAAAGCGACAGTGAGACATCAGATGACGATTAGATACTGAGATATAGAACTTATTAAAATAAGTATTAGTCCCTATGTTAGTGTTTTATTTATTTCAGTTCATTACTTTTTGAAAATATCCTCTACCTATAGCGTTAGTTATCCTTTACTTCGAAATATATAATTGTTAAGTGTGCTTATCGCGTAAACAACAGACATACAAAGATCATAACTTAATATACGTATCGCAACTTACAGAACTTAATCTCTCAATAATTTATATCGTGTAAATGAAATTAAAATAGTTAAACATAATTAGCAAAATTGACAAGTTTCTCTCCTAACTACCACACCTATTCTAAAGATTTTCCATGTGGAGTCGGAATACAAAGACAAGTGTCGCGTAATGACCCAAATTTACACAAATAACAGTGAACTAAAGACATGAACTCATTTCTCAAAGTGTTAAATATGCTAATTAAATGCTTAACTGAAACTTGGGAAGAAAGGCTTTCGCGCCGTTAGTACGTTACTACACGTAGATGCCATAGTGTCTCTCTCGTGTAGGAATCAATACATTGATTAACATGAAAAGTTATTTACAGTGCGGGATATTATTGATCATGGTACGTCAAAAATATTTCAAATATCTTATTTCTGTAGAATTTACCAAAATACTGTCTATAGTTGAAGCGAGTAGTGCACATTTAAATAAAACACTTTAACGGTTTAAAACGCGATATATTAGTTAAACATTTGAAAATGATATATACTTCGGCCCGACGTTTCGGATGCTTTGCAGCAGCCGTGGTCACGGGGAACCAGTTAAATAGTCAAATAAGTTTAACAATTATTTTAAACTACGTTATGTGTAGACTAAAAATGTCGAGTTGGGTGCCGCAAAGCAGCGTTTTAAACCGTTAAAGTATTTTATTTAAACACTTTACCTTGCATTAAGTAGACCTAAGATTGAGTCTGAGAAGACTATAATTTTTAAAAATTAAAAATAGATACAAAAATATGTCTGCCATAACCCTAGTTTTTTAAGTTTATTGGCATCTATGTTATTTCGAATGTAAAACAAATTGATATTCACTGAAACATATTTTTATAGGTCCTACCATATATTCAAAGTAGAGGCGTCTCTCGTAATTACTTTTCAAATAGAATACAATGCGGGCCATACGGCTTTGTCTGCGACGGGATTTCCAAGCTGCGATTGTGCGAAGATGGAAATCTGTTAGGCCCCAGTTTCCGGTGCCCCGCTAATACCATTTGCAACGAAGAATCCGACGAAGTTTGCGAAAATGCAATTAACTACATCGATCCGGCTATAACTAGAAACATCCGGTGTTATCGCAACGAGAGATTGGCAGATCCCAGTGTACCTGGCTGCAAAGGTTACATTATGTGCATTCCCAATAAAAACAGGTTTCAGGGGTTAAAATTTCATTGTTCAGGGACTACAATATTTAATGGGTTCACACGAGCTTGTACCTCACCGGACAAATATAAATGCCCTCTCGGTAACAGTACATCTAGCCAGAACAAATATTACTCAGATTCTAACGGGAACCGAAAAGGAGAAATTAATCGTGGTGGCGCTGCAATATCGCCGTACGATCGTCTACACAACCCAATCGAATGTGAAAACTACAAATTTGCTGTGACCACCGATAACAGTCCTGCTCACGTAACATACTTCTGCCCACCAAGACCAGCTAAAGGTGAATTCAATATTCGATGCACAGTATTCTCTAATAACTTTTGTATTTCACTTGAAAAGGACGAGGATTGAGGATGAAGACCAGTTTTTGCAAGGCGCTGGGTCAGCGTATAGAAAGCCCAGAAACAATAGTTAATAAATAACAGAATGTGTAATTTTAGGACTGAAGCATAAATACTACAATTTTATAGTTGTTTTACTCAAATAATCCTCATAACTCGCATTGTTCTCAGTGAAACTTGTTCAGGAATTGTCTTTGAGTAACTATATACAAATATTTAGATTTCGTTTATAAGGAAGTGTTATTTTGGTTTTTATTTATAAGGGACAGCTGTGTTTAGTATCTCAAATAAATTAGCATTCATTCATTTCTTCTAAGCCGTTGGGCCTCACTACTGGGCATAGGTATCTCTAAGTTCTATTAAAAGAAATAAAACAATATAATAAGGAGAAAACATTTATTGTAGGTAATGACAATGACTGATCAATAAATAAAATTAATTAACAATACTTTTAACTATTCCTGCTATGACTACACTTTACATTCATAACTTTCTTCATCCACACATTTTTTCTTTCTCTTGTGGTAAACTTCGTCCGAATCACAATTTTTCTTTTTACGACGAAACTCACCTTTTGTTTTTGAGCATATGTAATATTTTTTACAGTCATTTGGATCAGGGAATATGCCCTCTTTGACGCATCTGAACTCTGGCCTTGTTTTATTTGAATTTTGTAAAGACATTGAATCTAAACTACTACTACTGCTAGTAATACTAATCGTAGAATAGGAATCTATAGAAGTTGAGGCCGTAGGGTTTTCAACACAAGTAATCGACTCCCTGTTAAGATAATAGCCCCTTTGGCATTTGAGTTTAAATTTTATGAATCTATTATTATATTTCACACAAATATAGTAAGCCTCACGAGCGAAAACATCGATAAACCTGCCAGGAGATATGCATTGAAACTGATTGTTTCTAACGCAATGCGATAAGTTTCGTGTACATTGTTTCAAGATTTCACTAAATACTGTATCGGTAGGACAACGGCCGATAGTTGCGAATCCCCCGATACAAATATAAAAAGTTTGACAATTATTATGATCAGAATATTTACCTCGCGATCGGTTTCCACATATAAATTTTAAAGGCTGTAGAGTAGGAGTAGAAACAGTGTTAGTGTAAGCATTTGTCCTACTCTTAGTTATAGAAATGCCGGATTCATTTTTTGGCAGATACGCAACGTTATCCACACGTAACTTTTCGGTGCTATTTAGTTTTTCTGACTTTTCAAAATTTATATCGAACGCCTTAACCTCTTGTTTTTGGATGTATACGCCATCTCCGCTTTGAGTATAATTTAAAGCAGAATTGGGAATTGTTTTGATAGACGGCTTCGTACTTTTCATATCATAAACATTGGCATTCTCTTGCAATATAATTTCAGTTGGTGCCGAAGTCTCAGCTGTATTGACGTTAAAGTTTTTGACATTTAGATCAAAACTACTTACACCTTTCACATCAAATTTTGTATACGAGGTTTGAGTTGCTGATTTATCATTAATGTAGTCGAAAAATTCTTCATGAATCTTATCGTCTCCTAATGTTACTGTGAAGTCACTTTTATCTGTTGTAAAAGAGTCGTATGCTGTTAAAACCTCATAACTCTGTTTTTCTGTTATAGTTTTGTGACGGATTGATTGATCGCCATTATTTTTCAGAAAATTTAGTTTAGCATCATTAGTAACAGATCCATTGACATTGAAATTTTTCTCTAAATCGTATATAATTTCCTTATTTTTAGTATTGGGTAAAACAGTATTTGTAAATCTGTTAACTCCAATCGATTCAGATGCGTTATCAACAGTATAGTTTGATCTTGTGAGCGCCTCGCTATTTTTATAATTTTTAGTAGTCATAATAGTGGAGTCAGATTCAATATTTTTCCCAGAAATAATATTTAGAAGTGAATTGGGATTGACGTTATTTGAATTTGTATTAAATATATTGGACATTGTTGAGGTTTCATCTGCGAAGTCTTGCATTATCTTTAATGTTTTTTCACTGTTAAATGTTGTTGTTTTACTATCTTTGTCTTTTACGTACATATTATCCCCTTCCCATACATTACTACCATTAATAGGGTCTGGAGCACTAAATTGTATGTTATTTGTAGCTGCTGTCTCGTCAACAAATTCATCAGTTTTGTAAATACCTGCCTTCGTAATAGATTCAACATCATCCTTCTTCAAATGGTTGTCTAACTCAAATAAATTGCTTATTGTAAAATCTTCATGATTTTCTGTTGTTATTGTGTCAGCAAGGAAATTAACATTCTTATTTACCATAGTTGGCAAAAATTCACCCGTATCTTTAGATACAAACGAATATTCTGATGTCAGATCAGTATTTTGTGTCGTTTTAATCTCCTTAGTTTTAGGACTAACGTTCGATACCATATTCGTTATAATATCTAAGTCTTTAAAAATAGTTACATCGTCCAATCGTCCAGATCCTGTCAATGTAATATCCTTGGTAAAAGAATGTATATCTAAAATCTGTTTCGTGGTAACGTCAATTTCGTCTGATTTAGAAATGTCAACCAGTCCTCCTTCCGTAGTTGAATCTGTTGACAGTTTTTCTATCGAAAAGGAAATCGTGGGAATTTTTATATAATTACTTGTCCTTATAGATTCCGTACTTGATAAAGTTTGATCTTCTAACGCGTTCGTTAAAATTTCACCCACAAAATTGCCTTCTTCTAATTGTCTTATCGTCGTTTGCTTCATGGTACTTTTGGAACCCATGATAGGTAAAGTTTCAGTTGTCATCACGTGAGTAGAGAATTCACCAAATAAAGTACTAGGCTTCAATTGTCCCATGGTCATTATCTTTATATTATTTTCGTCTGTAATGGCACTTATAGAATCCATGGTAGATAGAGTATTATACTCCATCTCTAAAGTAAGGAATTCGTCCAAATTACTAATTTTCAAAGTGTTTATCGTTGTTAAATCTTTATTATTACTATCAGTACTTTCAGAATCCATACTAGATAATGTTTTATCCGTAATTTCGTAAGTAAGAAATTCACCTGACAAAGTATTTGTTTCCAATTGTTTCATTGTGGTTATCTTTATGTTATTTTCATCAGTATTTGGACTTGTAGAATCCACACTAGATTTTTTCGCTTTAGTCTCTGTAGTTGGAATTTCACCCAGTAAACTACTTTCTTCCAACTCTGTAGTCGACCGCCTTATATCACTATTAATAGTGCTTGTTTTATCTTCGATCTCTCCAGTCCGTAATTCATTCGATACAGTACTCATTTCCAATGCATCAATCCTTGATATAGTACCCATGCTAGATAAATATTGACGTTCCGCCTCGTGAGTTAAAAATTCACTTATTAAATTACTTTCTTCGAGTTCTGTAGTCAGATCGAAATAGGTTGTCTGTAAATCTCCATTATTTGTGCTACTCTTTATCTCAGAACCAATTGTGGGATTATTAACAGATTTGACACCTATCGTTTTGGTAATGGTTGCATCTATTTTAGTAAGTAACGTACTATCTTCGACGTAGTTAAAGGAATTTTCAGTGCTGTCTATTGGTGGTAATTCTTTAGTTGTATTTTCTTTGTAAAAATAGGATAACCTGGTTTCCGTCGTAAAATCTGAGATTAACGTTTTATTTTCTTGATGATTTTTTGCATTCGTTGAATATGTATTTAACTCATATGAATTTTTTTCAGTTGTATCTACTGTATCTATACTCCAAACTGTATCTTCTTTTCTAGTTACCATAGAGCTAAATGTTGTTTCAGCAATAGAATACTTTGAATTTAAATAATCTGAATCCGTGGGATTCAATGAATTTATTGTTGTCACATCTTCTGATGGCTGATTAGTCGTAGAACTAATATTAGTATTAGAATTGTCTAGAAATGCAACTGACGAACTAAGAGAAGTACATTCTTTACAGTTTTCAGAAAGTGTAACACTTGGCTCTGAGTCGTTGGCGTCGCCTGTGACTATTTTAAAATCGTTTTGTGTATATTCTGTTGTTAACAATATGTCCACATCATTATAAAACGATTCATGTGACAAGTCAGGTTGGTTTGTAAATTCTTCGTTAATTGAAGGTTGATCTGTTGTTGTCAAAATAAAACCTTCGTCAAACATTCGATCTGAAGAACGGTTTGGTTGAGATTGTTTGATATTCGTTTTTTCTGAATTAACGTGAATATTTTCTGCTTCATTCATGTCTACAATATTTGTGTATTTTTCTGATTTTAGAGGATCGTCTCCTTGCAGAAATGGTACATTGGTGGAAACGTCAGCATCGAAATTTAAAGTTTTCACAGTTGTTTTTATAGTTTTAGGTGTTTCTTCGTGAGTAGTCGTTGATGGCGTAGTAGTTGCCGCAGGAAATTCACATTCGAAATCATTATGTTCAGTGCACACTGTTGGTTGTGGACAGGGAATAACAAAGTCTTCAACCGCCCTTGAGATTCCTTCACCAAAATCCACACATATCATGAAGTGAGTTGAGTTTAAACAATAGAAAGATTTGCCATTACAATCGTAGTTCTTGGCATTACTAGCAGTCACTGTGTTGATGACTGTTGCCTGAAATTATTTTAGAGTAATGTGTTGAAGTTATTATGTGATTGTTATAAATGGCAATAGAAATATTTTTGTACTCACCAGAAATAACGTAATAGCACAAACAATTGCTTTCTTCGAAAAAGCCATGGCCACATTTTAGATGTAATTCTATATTTTATATTCGATCGTTCACTACATTCGTTATTTATCTCGCCGATTTCAGTCGAATGTCTGTCTCCAATGTTGAACTAAGATAATATGAACGGCGTCTATGAATCTTACAAGGTAATTATTAGCTGAATCTCGAGTCATTTACTCTATACATAGATTACGTCTGTTAAATAAATAAATCTTGACATACAATTTCCTGTGAGAAAAGGGTCATTATTCAAGTGTGCTAAACGTAATCGAAGGACTTACTTCAGGCACATTTTCAACACATACATAAACAATACATAAATAGTAATAAACAAGTTATATCCTCTCTGTAGTTTACGCGAGTAGTACACATGTAAATAAAACTCAAATGGTTTAAAACGCGATATATATTATTTAAACTTATTTTAATTACGGCCCGACGTTTTGGACCCCGTGACCATGGCTGCTAAATAGCATCTGCGCTTTAAATCGTTAAAGTGTTTTAATAAACAAGTTATTTAAAAATAAGTTTTAAGTATGTAAGGGAAACTCAAATTCATTTATTTATAAGTATATTCTGTTGCTTTGAAATAAGTCCTATCCATTTTGGTGCCAATGCATTATCTTCAATATTGTTTGTAGTTAGAAACTGTGAAAGTATATCCTATCAGTTGGGAAATTCCGATAATGGGAGTTCATAATCATTTTGTTTGCCGTATTGCTTATCACGAGTTTTACAACATCATTACAAAAATATTTGTAATGAATTTTTATGTAAATCTTTTTATAGCCTTATTTAAAGTAATTTTTAAATCTCAGGTATTGAAGAAAAAAACAAGTTCAGATTTTCGAAATTGTATAATGTTCTATAGACTTATTTTTAGAGTGATTACGTTATAAATATTTACACCGACTAAATAACCTATTTGACGAAGCCACGAACAATCAAATATCAGCCTATTTATTCATAGAATTTGCACATGTCATGCGTAGTAAAACTAAAACTAAATAACAAGTGTCTATAGTACTCTAGTCCAGACTGACAATTGTAATTATTAATATTAGGAGTATCGTTTGCTCTTATGAGTTCACAAATCAACTTGTTCCTTCCTAAACAGGGATTTTTTATGCAGTCTTAAGGATTTCACTTTTGTTAAATATATGGACACAGCTCCTATAACTACCCATAAAATTGTTATCACAGCCAAGGTAATACCTAAAATGAACATGACCAATTTAAGTCCATTTTCTTTTTCTACGACAAAAGAAATGCCTGCCACGAATACAGCTAACAGGGTCGCTGATAGAGTTTCCAAAGCACTGTGGACTTTCGGCCATTTTCTTGCACCGACATAGTCTTGTACAGTCCCTTCCCAGCAAGATGTTACTGCACCATATCCAAAACCTGCTATGACGCATCCAATGGAATATGAATCGTGGTTATTATCGGCCGCCAAAACTGAAAATATATTTTTTATTTGTTATATCTTACGCATTTCCTACTACAGGCTATACATTATATAGTGATAATTATGTATGTTCTTACTGTTATGGGTAGGTAGGTACTATTTTAAGCTATTATGCGCTCTTTGATTGATTCAAAGTCGACTTAAAAATTCTTCGTATATTTAAGCATTATCTTATCTTGTATTTATTCTTCGAATGAACACTTACCAAAAGCGGATGCTGTAGAAACGAGGAGGCCGAATATTGTAACATACTTATAATTTCGTTTTGGGGTTTGCGCAAGCCACGGCGTGCACAACAAAAAGCAAATCCATGTAAAACCGTGTAGCGTCATCAAAAAGTTCATTTCGAGAATAGAAATCTTCGGTTGAACTTCTGACGCCAACATTGGCAAAAGAACTAAACAAATTGTCAATAAACTTAATCTGGAGAAACTAAGGAGCAACGCTGGGTAAAATTTGGCACACGACAGAGATCTAGTTAATGGTTTTATAAATGTATCATTTATGCTGTACAATAGGTATGTTAACCTCCGTTTGATTCTGTACATTCTGTATGACGGAATCCACAATTTTCTTTTCACACTTCTATACGCAGATTGACACCTGAAGCTAAACGTATTTAATAATTTTTCTGTTTGTATATCAGTCATGGGAGTGATTGTGTCATATTTAACTTCAAAAAATTCTGTAGATGCATTGCTGTCGTTGGTCTCTCCTTTTGGTTGTGAATCTTTTCTAACTTGATGCGTTATACATCCGTCTATACTATCACCTAAAGTGCTCAGTCTTTTAATTGCTACACTGAGACGTTTCTTATTATTATCCGTAACAGGTACAATTTCTTCGGTATCGCTCTCCTCACTTTCTTCAGGTATTTGTGGTAATATATCAATGCCAAATATATTCCGCCGCTTCTCCTCAGGGCTAGGAGGAGGTGTTATAGTTTCCAAAATAAATCCATCGTCATCATTTAATTCGACGTCGAAACGCACATTATCATCAGAGGGATTCTTCCAAGATTTATTATTTTTGTGATGCAATTGAAGTTCTGTGCCGTAGAAATGGTCCATCGCTTCATTTTTGTATACTATGTATGCTTGAGATAAATCTTTATACCTAGAGAATGTGGCTGGTCGTCTTACGTTCTCGTCTATATGTAAAAACATAATAGCTACGAGTGATTGAAGCATTATACCCGCGAGCACAACATATGCGTGACCGTAACCGTATGTATCGATCAGGGCTGTCAGAATATGAGGAAATATTGACAATCCAACAGCCTGTCCCAAGAAGCCCGAGCCCCTCACAATTATGATATGGGAGTCGTAAGTTTCAAATATAACTGCGTCAACTTGTGCTGATATAAGGGATGAACCCAATCCTGAAAATGAAAAAGGTGTAAAATCTATTGTATTTAAAGATATTTTTAGGTGGGTTGTTGAAATGTTTAAGAATGTAAAATCTACTAACCACAAAGGACACCATAGACGACGGCTTGAAGATAATATGGTATAAAAGCACACAAAATTAGGCCTCCGATCACAAACAAGAGGCCAATAGATGCCAATACTCGATAGCCTACCGATCCGCCCCACGAGTCTGCAGCTTCTCTGAACCAGCATTCTGGAAGATAAAATGTAAATAGTTTTTTAACCAAGCGGATTAAAAAATCAAATTACATCGTCTCATACATATTGAAGGGTCAAACTCCAATCTGGAGAGACACTTACGTGTTAGATTATAAGTGACCATGAGGATAGAAGGAGTAAGAAAACCAAGCCATAGCGGTGCTTCAAAATTTGATAAACTGTGCACCCACAGAACTCCATATGATAACACTAAAGCTGGCAAACAAATCTGTAACAAAAAAGCTTCATCAAGTCGAGTAAATACGAGTATTTCAAAGGACTGATTAAATACGCGATTTGTGATGGTAGGTAACCTAAACTTTCGCCATCGGGGGATTTATCATTCCATCGTTTTTATCATCGATCTAAACAGTGTCAGGTAGCCTAGTTACGAATGTGTCAATATCTATGTATTTCTACGTCTACAAATTGTTTTAGTGATTAAGTATCGAATTTTTATCTAATTAGTAAATTTACCTTCCTACGTCATTCTCTAATCAAAATATTATAGCGATATTAATTATAATCAGTGCAATGTTTTGAGTACCTATTTGTTATTGTTATGTGTAGTTAACACGTGATTAATTACCGATAAAATAAAAAACGCTGAAAAGCTAATTACATAGTTGTATTATAGTACATTGTGTAACCCAGTAAAATTGTTTAGAAGGGGATATTTAAAGCGCCAAGTATAGACCAAAGACTGCTATAATTATAAATTCTCGTAGAAGCCGTCTATAAAACAAATTTAAAACATATTCGGTACTGCCGCCTTTACATATTATAATGCCATATTCTTTATACCTACAGTTTAAAACATGATTCATAATTTTGTTTTCTCTTTCTTTATCCCTAAGCAAATATCTTCAAACAAAACGATGTTTTCTCGATCCTCCACTTGTTATCTGTCACCTGTGCCTATTGAGTATTGACGCTCTTTTGATAAGGGCCAACTTGGTGACATCACGGCCTCGTGGATTGAAGCAACTGTCCTAATCAGACATTCGGATAAACAAGTCTAAAAACCTATTTTATATTTTACTCAATTCAATATAATTTCTTTGGAATTGCACACCTACAAGGCGAAACGCGAAATGAGTTGCGATCATAATACAATGAATTTCACTTTTATTTAGTACAAAAGCTTAATAAGTTTCACCAAAACATACATAACCCAGTCTGGAATCAACACTAATTCGATTTTATCTCCCTACAAGACGTCCGAAACAATTTATAATTAACTGATTGTAAGAAACAAAGGAAAAAATTTTTTTTGTTGAATTTTTTCCCTTCGTCTATTTCCTTTTGTTGTTCCCATTGTCCTTTTTCCCACTTAGAGTTGTAGTAAATAAGATTTGATATATTCAGTTTTCCTATTTTGTTTTGTGAAACTTTGGCGTTATATTCACGTATGTATGACGCATATTAGTTTCCGTTGACGATCATAAAATTATATTTGCAAGGGAATTTGCTGGTTTACATTGAAATCACTAAACAAATATTTTGCAACACTGATGAATACTTACATTCAAGAATATAACAGAAAGGATGAGCGGCCAGCGCCACCCAGCACCTTTTTGACTGCCATCAAAATCCATTCAGAGAATTATCAAAACCATGTCTCAAACAAGTATTTTCATGCTTTAGTTGTCACGGAATTAGCGTATAACTGTGTTATTTACATCATTGGAACTATATACTATTAAAAGAAATATACAATGTATCACTAAACAAACGAGAGAGCATGTCGTCGTAATGACAAACTCTTTGAATGCATTGACAGAAATATCGAGAGGCCGAACACGGCTACTTTGTCTTATCTTATCGTATAATTATTATTTTGTACTAAACGTCTATATAGTGCATAGAAAGAACGAAAGCAATCATTGTTATTGCTTTAAGTAGTAAAATATTGCTTCAACTTATATGTTAATGAAATTCTTAAGGCTTTTCTGCAAAATGTTCTTTTTTTATTTCCATAAATTCATTTGATAATTCTATACCTTCAAAGGGTCATTTAACAAAATTACTCATGTTCTTGACATATCGATTAGAATAGTCCAAGTAAATGTAAATGATAGCAGTAAATATGTATGTACTCTTTTTAGTCCAATAATTATTTTTTGTTACTGCTTTTAATTATGAGTGTGTGATAAATATAATATTTTTTCATACATGAGAATTACGTATTACCTACCTATTCGCGGTGCGTTTTTTTTTTTGGGTTCTATTCAAAGTTATTGATTAACTATGATTCACTTTACTCGAAGAGTTTATTGTTTAATTTAAACGAAAGCCCCAATAAAAGTCGGTTTAATTATTATTATTTAATTTTCTCTTATTTCTGATCTATGACAAGTGTTAAGTACTGTACGGCCGTTGTAACTTGGCAGGCCTGATCTAAGCGCGAAACGCTGCGCAGAAACGTTCTTTACGATGTAAACGGTAGTAAGAGCGAGGGACGCGGGACGAAGATCTAGGATAGTGATTGACTCAATGCTGCTCAATTGACACAATCGACTGCTTATTCTATCAAATTTTGTAATCGATTTTTATCGATTTAGATTGTGGATTTTAGATCGTATGAGATATTGTACTAAATGGATTGATGAACACAGTGAATGGTGTTGTTAATAAACAATACCATGTTTACTTAAAGGAAAATAAAATCATTAAAAACTTTTTTCATTATTGAACTACCTGATTTAGTTAAATATGAGTTATTATTTATATAATTACTATTTATACCTTCTTTAGGGCTTTTTATAAAATTATATTTCTACGATCCAATTTTGTCTATTTCAATAGGAATATTAAACGACACTCACAAGGATCGCGTATGGACATCTCTATTTGGTTTGAATTAATTAGTGGTATTTTACTTTTGAGTATATGTAATAATAATATGTAAAATCTTTCATTTATTCCAGTAACGAAAATAAATGGCAGTATTTCGTTTTCTATACGAGTGTATAATTTTATTATCAAATTTTCACAATTTTAATAGGAATCGATTAAACGATACTCTCAAGGATTACGTATGGACATCTCTATTTGGTTCTTCGTACATATTCGGTAATGTTTGGTAAACAGTAGTGCGCCTCGGTCAATCCTTGGTGTTAATTTCGTTATTTCTGTCTTGAGCGCAGTCCATTAGAAAAGTGATTGTTTATTGTTAAATTTAATATTATTATTTATCTTTTGTTATATTTTTGTTTTGTCTCTGTGTTTTAGTGAAAGATAATTGTTCGTAGCCCTTATTCTCTTTGAATCAATTATTGGTATGTTACTTTTGCTTGCTATAGGTAAAAAAAATATTTATCCCAGTAACGAAAATAAATGGCAGTATTAGTTTTCTTTACGAGTGTACATGCGCCAAAGTTAGTCTAATCTCTGTTCAGAGCTGCCAAGTTACGTCGGCCATATTATATATTTGGTTGCATACGTCAAACCTAAATGTCAAAAGAATGTCATGTGTCAATTATTTAACATACATTGTTATTTCACAAGTCAAAATATTATTATATATTTTTTATATCTTGGAATTATTGCAAACACAATTAGACTTAGAAAAAAACAAAAACTTAACTTAATATTTGCGAATCAGACTCATTAAAATATTGATTATTGCAGAACTATCTCGTTTTTTAATTGAACTTATAAAGCCAGTAACTTCTATACAATATTATGGAAGATCATTTGCGAGAACATGCAGAGGCTCTAAAGCGTTTCAAAAAAGAATGTATGGAGGCCGGTATGAGTGAACAGGAATTCAGGCGGTTTTATTACGAATCGTTTGAAACCTTTAAAACTAAATCCAATGAATTGCTAAATCGTCAACGTAAACTTATAATCGAGCTTTTTATTATGGGATTTATTACTGTTCTGTTAATATTATTTGTTTATTATTATCGAACAATATACACTTTTGTTGTTTGCAATGTTCAAGAATATATATACCCTGGACTTAAACTTTGGAGGCAAATATCAATCCCTTTGATATCTGTGTTTCCTAGGTTAACAGGTAGATAATAGATTATTTCTATTTTATTACTTCTTAACATACAACATCAGGAGTAATAAAGATAATTTGATATTATAGATTTGCATCAAGAGACATGCTTACTACAGAATCCTTTTTTTACGGTGGTTGACATGGATTGCTCCCCATGTAGTAATGTGCAAGAAGTGAGAGAACTGCAAGATCCAATATTAAGGGACACACAGCATGCTACTCCCCTAACTTATAAGGTTATGGTGCTATTCCTGTTTGTTCTATTCTCATATTAAAATGTATATTGAATTTATAATATTGACTGTTTATTATTACAGACAACCCAACTACCGGTGTCTTTGGACCAGTTACATGATTTATATGTGAATAATAAAAAAGAATTTGATGCAGAGGGTTCTAAGATATTAGTCAACAACAGACATGAGTTAATGCCTAAAGAGTGGTTCAGTCAAATTAAAAAAGACAACAATCTCTACATGTGGTCAGTGCTAGCTCAATTATTTGTATTTCTTTACAAAAGCTTTATAATACATATTGTATAACTTGACTTACAGGAAGATAAACACATTAAATTCAGCAAGAATTCTACGGCAGCTTATACCAAGACCAAAAATTGTTCCTAAATTTGGTCAAGCATCAGAAAGGTTTATCATAGTCGATACACAAAGAACTCATTTTGAAATACCAGACACAGAATGCAACTACTCATTTCTTCTGGCTCTTAGTGGCAAGAGAACAATATTGCTAAAACCGGCACAGGAGTGCAAACATCTTTGTAAATCTTTAAAAATTGATTTAATGGAGTCACAGTTGTGTTAGTATTATTTTTATCCAACTCTAATATATTTATTAATGTGTTTATTACTCGCATTGTTTGAAAGTACAGTCATTAGATAAGCAAATACTACAAAAGTGTTACTTCTAAATTCAGCAGCATTGGTACTTATACTAGCTGTGACTTATGTTATTTAGTACTTAGTAGATTTTTTTTTAATTTTCAGTATGGTACAACTGGTGGTACTGGAGACCATTAGCAGAGGATGCTGCAAAAAACGAGACGTTTATATCCCAACTGGGATCATATTGTTAATCAGTATTCAAGTTTAAATAGCTGGACAGTGTTTCCAAACATTTAAATAATAGAAACCAAAGATTACCTATACTTAATGGTAATGCAATTATTATTAATCAAACCGATCTCAATATAATCATAGAAATAAATATTAGTCTTAGTTGTTTTCGTTTTTGCATTAAAAGCTAATGATAAGATTTTTATAGTGACAGACTGTCAACAGCATTCCATGTTGGTGAGTTAACATGTCCTGAATATATACCATGTATTTTCAACCTTAAGACTTGAGTATTGAAGTTCAATGTCTTATGCTTTACAGCTTAATTATTAAAGAAGAATTAACAGAGTTTAATGTTTGAAAACTTTTAAAAGACTGACAACAAGTATGGGGGGAAGGGTTTACTTAGAAACACCACTCAGCCATAAAGTATTTAAGCAATAGAGTGATATTCATCTATTTTCGCTTTAAACATTCAGAAAAATAAAACCATAACTCGATTAAACTGCATGGCTTTTCCAACTATGGGCGGTGGTAAGTGATCCAGATGGAATTTTGATATTCCTACCAATGACCATATATTAAATGGGTATTTAATATCCAAATTTTTCTGACACAGAGTCCAACATGCGTCAGTTATACTTTTACTAGCTGTGCGCGCGACTTCGTCCGCGTGAAATAGTGGTTTGGGATAGAATTTTTAATTATTTAGGCTGTTTATTAATTTTGTAAGGGCGCATTTAAGGCGGGCAATCTATGTTGTAAGTGCAACTTTGCCGCAACACTCTCAACTCACATCACTCCTACTCTTATTCCTCACTCATCTCGCTCCCACTTCATCCCCTATCAACCCTTATTTGGCATATGTCCTTTCTCAGGCTCTAAAATATCTGTGTACCAAATTTTATTTAAATCAGTTCAGCAGTTTCGGAGTTAAAGCAGGACAGACAGACAGAGAGAGTTACTTTCGCATTTCTAAATGGTATGGATAACACGGTTTGATTTTGTTCGGCATTTCTATTAATTTGTTAAATGTAAAAATGTAGTTATATTGACGTAACTACAATAGTTAGACATAATATGGTCTCGCAATGTTTTTGTTGATATTGATATATTCTATAATATTGTCGAACATTTTTTTGTCCTATCATTAATACTCTTCGTAGTATACGATGCGATGAAAGACATTTTATGGAAAAAAAATTTACACCTCCCGTTGCTTTTTATAGAAATTTCTAAAGATTTCTATCGCAATCTAGTACTAAGTATAGTCTATTTTACTCAATGATAATGTAGCTGTCTAATGAAAAAAATAATTTTTAAAATCCGGTCCAGAATTTTTTGAGTTTATCCGTTACATACAAAAATACAAATCTTTTATCTTTATAGTATGAGTCCCGTCGTTCGGACCGTTACTTGCAAGTTAATCTTAAAAGGTACGACATGTCCCGTCGTTCGGATTTCTTTTTATTTATCTTAAAGAGGAATCATTTTCATACATAGTGTTTAGTTATCTTGAACCGTTTTCGCAGCATACGCATCTGTAACCTACAGAGATGAAAAATTTCCCCCGTTTTGTTCATATTTCTTGCTGTATCTTCGCTTCTATGAGTCACATTGCAATGTGTTTTAACCTATAACCTTCCTCGATAGATGCTCTAACCAACAAAAAAAAGGATTTTTCAATTCGAATCCGTACTTCCTGAGATTAGCGCGTTCAAAAACAAACAAACTCTTCAGCTTTGTATATTAGTATAGAGTATAGATTAAAAACATGTAACATCCAGTTGAGATGGAAACCACAATGCATTGATGGTTAGCAATACATTCTTACCAATAGCCCATTGAAAGTTCCTCATTTAATTTTCAGTAGGGTGGACATGGCACAGGTACTTTGTTTCTATAAAATATCTTCATTACAGTACTAACATTTTTAAGAATAAAACAATACATTTAGAAATAGTTCATTCCCTTAGAAATGTCAATAAATATTAATCAAACTATATATTCAATTCATCTAAAATAAATTAACTAGAAATTTGAAAATAATCATTCAAATTTTTCCTTTAGCTTCTGCTTGAGCAAAACTGGTATAAGTGATATGATAGCAAAAAGTGATAGCACTGTGACTGAAGTCCAAGACCACGCGTCTCGTGTTGAGGTCAATGTGTGTAAGGTTTGACCCGCTTGAATTGCAACGAAGGATGGTGGTGCTACACCTAAAAAGAAAAGAAATGTATAATTGTAAGAATCTTGAAAAAATAAAACATATTCAACATTTAGAGCATTAGATTACTCTGTAAGGAACGAATCTAACAAAACCAGTGAAATTTAAGAAAGTGAATAATGTGAGTTCTGTTTTTTCTCACACAATTTTAAAATGATTTCATCTTGAGTTGCCTATACTTACCAATAAAGGTCCCCAATGCAAATGGAAACAGTGGTACACCAATTACGGGTGCAGTCAAATTTATGAACCAGTTTGGTAAGAATGGTGTTACCCTTAAGAATATCATATAATTGAGCAAATTGTTTTTGTGCTTCTCAACAGCCTTTGACCACTGTGCTGCTCGCTCAGGAAAGAATTTCTTCACTACCTTTTTACCAAGTATATTAGATAAAAAGAAACATAAACTTGCTCCGATTGCAGAACAGCAACATACAAGTAGTAAAGCAAAGTAAAATGGAAATAGAAATCCTGAAAGTATACTCAGAAATAAGGATCCTGGAATTGCAAAAGTTTGCAGACTGATCTTAGAATGATGGAATATTATTAAACTTTTGTACAGTTTAAACAAGCTAAATGAGTTTTCAGCTGTTCAGTTGTTTTAAGAAATAGTTCTTGTCGTTCTGCTATAGCAAGTAGATGGCATCAATAGAAAAAAATGCTTTCCTTAACTAGGCAAAAGCTGGAAAGCAATAAACTTAGTTGAGGAATGGACAACATTTGATAAAGGTGATTAGCAGAAAACCACTACCGAACACCTCAAACCTCAAATAGCTTTGCAAATTGGCAGTGATAGCTAATACATTGAGCCATACTCTTAAAAATATTCAAAGGATACAATATGTACACTAAAAATACTCCTAGTAGTACTTCATAAAAGTACTTGTCCTTATATCTGTCTAAAACAAGACCTAAATGTTTAGCATCTTCAAGATCCCATGGTAACTTTAAATGTTGTCTTTCATTCCTAAAAAATATATTGTATTAATGTTATATTTCTATATAAAAAAAATATCAAAACAATTCTGTGCCTATTGCAAACAAGTTAGTGATTCTAATTTTTCAATGTGTGAAACAGTAATCAATAAGAACATATTAAATGCAATTTAAAAAGCTTACTCTTCTAGGTCAGGAAATTGTCTATATACAAATCCTAATGCAATAATGGAAGATAAAAATATAAATCCAACTATTATAGCAGCTTTAGATGTTGACAAGCCAGGAGATTTTTCCACAACCTCAGAATCTGCAAGAGGAATTATAAGAATAAAAACATATACCACACACTAACAATGAAGAAAGCCTGAGTCATAAGGAAAATAATTTGCGTAATTAAGCTATAACTTTATAGAATTGGGAGAGGAATATGGAACTATAAAAGGAATATGATAGGTACTTCGCGCAGGAATGCGTAATAAAATTATTCCAATGTCTTCCTGTTGGACGGAGGATATTGTTAGTTTCTCCACAGTTGACGAAATGGATGGATCTTGTATGGCATTTTCACCTTGACTTGGCACTCTTTGGTAATTTCTCTGAATTGTGGCACGCATGTTTGAAATTTTAAATGTTTTTTTATTAATACACCAAAACTGCTAAGAAATCTACCAAAATTTATAACGTTATTGACTGTATGTTTGAAAGTCAGGACAAAACTAACTTTATACATTAAAATTGAACATAAAAATAATGTTTGAAATTTAATAAATTATAATAATTGTTTAATTAACAAAAGTAATGTCAGTATAAAAAGTGCCCTTATTCTAGCCCTCGATTGTCATTATGACAGTACTACTGTCAAAGTAGTATGCACATTGAAGTATGTAAAAATAATGATCTTATTTGATATAGTTAGTAGCTTCTACCTAATAAATTGGTTTTATACTAGAAACATTTATATTTTATTTTATTTATGACAGTGTTCAGTGCAATTTTAACTTTTAAGGAATACATTTTGCGGAAGAATGCATCAACATAGATTAAAAATTCAACATAGCATTGGACAGGCCACAGAGCATTGTTATGCACGAAGACATCGCGAGAGTTTATTCTTATTCCAGTCCATCCAGTGTACCGATTTTAACTTTCGAGCAAAGTCGTTTGATTCGTTCGTTCATAAAAACCTCGAGAAGTACTCTATTTATTTAGACGTATGAATCTATAACATAATCAAATTTATGAAAATAAAGAAGTTTTGTTGCTAAATCGTTGGATTCCCGGTGCTAATGGTAACTGAAATAGTGATATAAATAAATGAGTGCCGAGTAATTTAATTTGAGATGCGGTCTTTTCTAAAGACATAGCCCATCTACATGAATCAAAGTTGTAAGGTAAATTGTATTTTAGTAATATATGTAAATTTATTGTGTTAAGCAAGAATTTTTCATTAGATGGAAAATAATTTTGTCACTTTGATGTGTTTATTTTTTATCGAATAACTTTCTTAAAAATCTAATCATAATACACAGAAAAACCCCTACAGAAATAAGTTTTTATATAGCAATAAGAAAATTGGTGTAAGAAATGGTTAAAGATTAATAGATATCTACAAAATATATTATATTGCATTAGAAAGTTTCACTTAGAGAATGTTGATAGTACCCAAGTGGTATCTTACGAAATACCTACTAACTCTTCGAAAACCTGTCTGATGTGAATTTGCGAGGACACTGGTGCAGTGTACTTAGTATTCTGTATCCCAGCAGCGGCACTTGATACGCGGGAACTCACTCTACTAATCTAGTCACTGACCACGTTGTCATTATTTATGCCCCAAAACACATCTCTATGTCGATTATCAGTATAATATGACATGGTCTCATTTTGTTATTAATCCGGCTTGCAGAATAGTTTTTAATTGCCAAAATTTTAGATCCTCAAAAATGATTACTTTATAAAATTCACAAATCTTAAATGAGCACTAAATAATATTGTATCTCACCAGTTTTTCGGAAAAATTACGTATTTAAAAACTTAAGTTAACGGGTTTTAATTACTTAATTCTAATTATTACAATTACACTTTATTGATTAAAATATATTTACCACCTCCCTTAATTCTAGTTCAGATTTTTTAGATCATTCCAGTGTGTCAGATAATTTAAAAATGTTACTGATTAAAATATTTGCTGGGGCGCGAAAGGGTAAGAAAGATCCACATTACCAAACATTTAAAGTCTCAATAATTGTTCGTTTACAGGTAATGCGAGGAAGGACTCCGACGCTATGCTTCCTGATAGCTGCCCTGACGCTGGCGCCCGTGTTGGCCTTAGGTAGCGGCGCCTGCGAACGTGGGAAAACGTGGTGGAATCGGGAAAATGGCGTCTGCATGCCATGCACACTCTGCGATCCCCGACGCCTCGCTGTCAAATATCCATGCGAAATACACAGGGACACAATCTGCCAACCGCTTTACGAGGTTCGCATCTGGCCCTTCAACACACCACGCAGGAATGACTCTACGAGTGAACTTTCTAGTGATTACGAATATTATGAATATTCGGACTATAGCGGAGAAGTGACTGAGAGTAGGGATGATATAGTGTGGGACATACAAACGTCGACGTTGACCCTAGCGGTTAGTGGTTGCGTCGTTTTCTTCGCGGTGGTGCTAACGCTGTCTTTCTATCATGCAAGACAGTGGCGAGCGCTGAAGCAAGTTCTTAAGTCAGGTAAGGAACGTTAATCTTGATATAGCAACAAATCTCAAATAATTTAACTTGAAACAGCTGAAAAAAATTTTGAAAGCTTTTAATATCAACGGCTTTATATGTAGGCTTTGTGTCTTCATAATTTCTGTAATACAATTTCAGAAATTATGTTTAAAACTTAGGTTTAGCCTAAGTTTTAAAAGTTGCTGCATAACCATTGTAGTATATACAAAAATCTGAAATAAATACTTCAACGATATTGATATTCGTTCTTAAAAATAAATTATTGGCTATGATCCATATTTAAGCAGACTTATTTATCTGGAAAAGGCGCCAAGGAAAACTTCGTTTTGCTGTAGAGTAGTAAAGTTTCAACGCCATTATAAATTATGGTAATAAAAACACGTTAACATCTTCAAAGATGTTTGTTAGTTTATATGCCTTTAGCTTAAGACTAAACATAAACTCTAAAGTAAACAGTGGAACTGCAATTATTACTTTCATGATACAAAAGCGAAATTCTGGATCCTCTATGTGTTGCATAGGGCAGACATAGGTTCACTTACCGATTTTTATTCAGAAGTAAGTTGATCAGACATTTGCGTCCTCCACACACTATAACTGCACCAAGTTTCGAACCAGGCTTAAAGATCTAAGCGGCATTATTAATTAACATAGCATGTATTCTCGGAATCTCTTTATCCAACCAAAATAGTGAATATCATTAGAGCATGATTTTGGTACCAGCACTTTATTTATTCAGGACGGTGATGATCGAGCGACCTCCAAGTATTATTGTGGGTATGTGGGCGTGCTCGTATGTAGGTAACGTTAACGAAATGGTCGCGCACACGATGTCCCTTGAATGTTAAAGATAACTATTAAATAACCTGCAGTTTCTATCTGTTACAACTCTCTAAGACAACCGACAAATATGCGCTCTTTATTATAACGGTTTAAAGGTAGTTCTATGGGTCATTTACCATTGGTTCAATAGTTAATTAAGAAATTAATTATTGGGTTAAACCTCGCCTGAAAACAACCTGAACCACTATGCACTGACGAAAAAGTCTAAATCTGAGTTTCGGTGACAATCTGTAGATCTCCAAACGTCTAAAATCATTATAGTCAACATCGCATCTTAATTAGAATTCATAGAGTTGGACTAGGTATTTAAGTTTCTAGCGAAACTTATGCCTGTCTGTTCTTCGGCATACAAAAATCCATCAACGTACACACTGTAAAAATGTTAAAAATTTACCAACGTCGATCTTATAACTGCACTATAATCTATATCTAACTACTACTACACTATATTTAATTTTGTAACCTTTTTACGACAATTAACAAATGACGTTAAAAATTACACACGTATATCGTAGCTAGGTAGTTGAACACCTAGTTCAATACCTAAAAAGGAAGAGTACAACTTTGTTACAACTTACAAATTAATAAATAAAGAGAAATAAAGAAAATTTATGTAAATAATACAAAACACTTAATACTTTGCACGATAATATTTCCTTTGTTATATTAAAATTAATGAAGTAATTACTGTATGCTTTTACATAATCTTTAGTTAAAACTACCTACCTGACCAGTAATTAATAGGTTCTTATCAGACAGAGTTGCAGACGATGGAGACATGTCTTTTTATAAGATGGGCTGGTGGCCAAGTTGGCTCCGTCGTGGCGTATAGAAGCCGGCCTATGTAAACAATGCGGGTTTATTTGAACATGTGCGCTACTAATTTCGACCTGTTCGCCCAACCGACATCATAACAAAACTAACGGCGTTTTTATACGCATCGTATTGTACCAAAAACAGGATAACTACATTGTATCTTTATGGTTTGTTGAGATCGAAAACTGTAAATAGACCGTAATTATACGTCATTGTTTGAAAACTTTATTATTTTTTACATGATATTGCACATGAAGGCACTATATACATAACAGCACAGAACGCTGACGACGCCGGTTCAAGTCCTGCCCGAGTCGAAGATTTTTTTCAATTTATTTTCGATTTTTAAATTCTACGTCATTGTCTTATTCTTTAAAATAAGTGTGCATTTTAAAAACTCAAATGTAAATTGGTAAACGAGATCAACGTTAAATGTGACCACTAAAACTTGTAGAAAAAAGTACGCACGTATTATGAAGTTCACATTTTATATAACGTAGGTAGGTATATAAAGAATACTTACGTTAACTTACAATTAAAATGATGATGTCTGTTTACAAAAGCTGCTTTCACTGTATCAATAGAAATAATATTACTGTTTTTATCTATTTATACCTGAAATGTCTTCCGCAGATGTCCACGATTTATCAGCAAAGCTGAAATTGATGGAATCAGGAGGAGAGGCGCCGGCGGAACCAATAGTGCCCACACACCACATCTACTGTAACATACACATTGGCAAAGATGCTTTGCTTGGTAAGTTAAGAAACAGCCTCTCGAGAATAGACATGAAAATTATATTTTTAAGACAAATCTATTGTCTAATGTAGATAGTCCAAGACAAGAGAAAGTGCATTAACCTACAGACCATAATAATCCTAAGCCGTTAGCATGCGTGAACTATGAAGGTACAAAAAAAGAAATCCTAAAAAGGAATGTTTACCACGTCACAGTCATAACTTTCGTTAACTGAGAGTTCGTATGCGAGGCATCCCCTGGCCGCATGCCAGTGTGACTGGAACTAACCCGGTTAAAATATAGACAGGCTGACTTAAGTACTCGAAATATTTACAGACAAAATTTAGTAACGAATGTGCATATCGGGTTCAGAAAAAATAACCAGCTAAGCACTATTTTTTTAGAGTCTTATTATTGGTCAGAAAACCATTGGAAATATGGTAGAACATTTACTATTTTTTTATTTGCTGTCCTAGTGGCTATAGATAATAATAAATATTTAAATTCTTATAATAATTTAAACCGGGACTTTCGAATCTCTCAAAGTTAATCAAACTCAAAGAATATGTATACATGCAATTTTTTTTTAGCCTCGTAAAAGATCGTTTTTTATTAAACTTCGAATCTCGATTCAAATCAAATCACGAAGTTTAAATAGTTTTTATTTGCTTATTACGAATGATTTGCAATTTTGTGCTTCCAACGTTTTTGTAGCTTCTTCGCAACGTACCGATTTATTTTATAGAAAGTTGAGTATACGAGTAAACATTGTTTTCTTGGAACTAAATAGCGCATCATTCATTACATCCTGCCCTACTTAATAAATTGGCTCATGCTAAATTGATTTATAGACTATAATTTTACGGGGTACGTATAGCTCACTTAAATTAACTAGCTGTGTCAGCGACTACGCCCACGCAGAATAATTATTTTGGGCATCCAAATTTGTTTTTGCAAACCTCTACATCTTTATAAATTTAAGCTGTTCCCATCGCTTGCGACCCGTCGTTCGGGTCCCGACCTTATTGAGAATGATTCTCCTATAAATGGTCTAAAAAAAAGTCCGCCACGCTACATGTCTATTTTTTAAGATTAACTTGCAAGTACGAAGGGAAGGTACGCGATCGACTTTGTGGCTAACAGCTAAGTTTATAAAGATGACGGGGTTTGCAAAAACCAATTTAAATGCCCAAAATAACGATTCTCGCGGACGAAGTCGCTGGCACAGCTAGTATAAAATAAAGTCGCTTATTCTGTCCCCATGTGCTTAAATCTTTAAAACTACGCAACGATTTTGGTGCGGTTTTTTTAAATAGATAGAGTGATTCAAGAAGAAGGTTTTTATATACAACATTAACAGTTTTGCTGTTGTATTTAGTATCTGCATTGCACCCGAGCGAAGGCGGGGCCGATCGCTAGTACTATAATATAACCTCAGTATTACGTTGTAGTTAAAAGACTGTAACTGGAAAGTTAAAGGTAATAAACAATATTTTGCCAATATTGAATTCTTTAGAAAGGTGAAAAATTAGAAGAAGACGCACAATTAACGTAAAATGATTGGACGTTTCATTAAACATCATTATGCCTGAGTGTATCAATATCAGCAGTGCACGTGCTTTCATTAAGAAGTAATTTGTAATGCAGTCTTGTCGCCACTCGGAGCTCACAGCACTTCCGCTGTTGAGGTTTTCACTCGACCCGCCGGGAAGCCTCTCACTTCCTGCTCTTCGATTTTCGACCACTAACATAAATAATGGTATCGATTCGGTGCTCATTAGTTCATTGAACTGTTTGTGTTTCGATAGATATAGATACGTTTGTTTTCAGTTGCATACACAAAAACAATAACTAAATCTTTAACAAACAAAAGAAAATAATCTATACTTAATATTATAAATGCGAAAGTAACTCTGTCTGTCTTAACTCCGGCTTTATAACTCCAAAACTACTCAACTGATTTAAATGAAATTTGGTACACGGATATTTTAGGGCCTGAGAAAGGACATAGGCTTTTTAATGCCAAAAAAGGGTTGATAGGGGTTGAAAAGGGGATGAAAGGTGAACTTCGTGGTTTTTGTAGCTAGAACAATGAAACTTTCTTCTTTGGCTTTTTGGGAATAGGAGTGGGCGTGGGAGTGCGTGTAGGAATGAGAGGAGAGAGGAGTTTGAGTAGGAGTGATGTGAGTTGAGAGTATTGCGGCAAAGTTGCACTTACAACATAGATTGCCTGCCTTAAATGCGCCCTTACATAAATTAATAAACAGCCTAAATAATTAAAAATTCTATCCCAAGTCACTATTCCACGCGGACGAAGTCGCGGGCACAGCTAGTAATTATATTACAAAAATTATTAAAAAAGCCTATACCGAAAAGGGCCAATAGCTTAGAATCATGCTTAAACTTTATAGTTTTTTGTTTTAGCAGCGTTGGTTTTAAGTGAACTAAAAATGAGAACGATCATTCCATCAGCTGTAAGGTCCAAAAATTTGTGCTATAAAATTTAAGTCACCAAATGAATTAAATTAATCGTTACTTTATTGCTACACATATCTTAACTAAGGTTTTCAAGGTCGAGACAATCTTAAGACTTTTTGCATACACACGATGCCATAAAAAATTAATACGGTATCTAGAAATTCTCAACGTGTGCAATTTTAAAATTCACTCCACTCCGCTGCCTAACAAACAGGTTTGTTTCTTCTTAAGGAATGTTTATTTATAGTCATGAGGAATGATCCATTTTGTTTATGTGTTATCTTAACATAAAACTAAATAGAAATGATAGCCATTGCCGTGAGCATTGAACTCGAGTAAATTATTATTCAAGAGAGTGCGTCTCGCGTGGGATAAGAAAATCAGCCGCTAGAACTACAGAAGCAGGTTCCATTCTGTGAAATAATTACAAATTCACACTCCATTCTCGCTCTGTTTAAATATATACGCAATTTAGACAATACCTGCTTAAACATAGGGGAAAAAGACAGTCGAAAATGCAACGCGACATCAGGGAAAGGATTTTTACTGTATTAATCTATACTCATATATAAAACTGCAGAATATGTTTAACTGTTTATTGAACTCGCTAATCTCAGGTACTCCTGGTTTGAATTGAAAAATTATTTTTGCGTTGGTTAGGGTATCTATCGAGGAAGGCTATAAAAGATCGCTGAAGAAAGCGATGTGACTAATAAATAAAAATTATCAATAAAACAGCGAGAAATTTCGAAAAAAAACGGGGAAACAGTATTTAGGTAACTTAGAGGGTTTCCGTTGTGTACCCTGCGAAAACGGTTCGATGTTGTCAAAAAATATATATGAAATAATTATTCCCTCTATATCTATATGTCTTTCCTTTATGATCAATTTGCAAGACCGACGGGGTAGATTACAGCTTAACTTTATAAAGATGGAGGTTTGCAAAAACAAATTTCGATGCCCAAAACAACTATTCTACGCGGGCAAAGTCGCTGACACAGCTAGTCAACTATAATAAGAAAAAATGCAGTCGAAAATGTAACGCAACAGCAAAGGATGCATTTTGACTGTATCAATTAGTGTAGTTATTGAGAAAAATTCGACGATTTATAAATATGGACGGATGTAGAGGTAAAAACGTGCGTCACGGCTCGGCCCCATTTCTCCGCCAGGAAACGAGCCGAAAGCTTCCCTTCAAGATGTTTGCGTAGACAATAATAGACCATTCGATACACTCCGTTATTACCGATCTATCAACCTAGCCGCTTGTTAGAGTGGCGATCTTGAAGCCGCTACAAATTTATATGCGCAGCGTACATTCAAAATAAAAGAATTCTCTTAGAGATTTACGAGTAGATTTTACTTGATTTTTTGTGCCATTCGTATAGCAAGAGTTAAAGATCAGATTAGCGACATATAATTTACACGGATAAAAATAATCACTCGTACACAACTTAGTACTGTACTGAAACTACAAACCAAAAATTACTACCGTTACCGTTACCGTCAAGGGTTCGTTTAATTGTTTTTTTATCTTGGTGTTACTTCTTATTTAAATTTTGATCTGGACTTATCATAAGCAATTATTAAATGAGTAAATAAAGTGATGCACATAAAAAAGTACGTGTGGTACTGTAGTAAGATATTTTTTTTGTATTCGACAAAGAACGTGCATCTCCATATAATTGCTAATTCACTCGTGAATTTCCTTTCCTTTTCGGGCTACGGAAGTTGCCGTGTTTGCGACACAGCCCTTTTAACATGCGGAACGAATCAATCGTCAGTTTATTACAGGAGCCATCGATATCTGATCGATCGTTTTCAAAATTACGTATTCAAATATCGGATTTCATAATGTCATTAAACCTAACGAATAACATAGTAAATTCAAAAACAATTTTAAACTAACGTAGGACATTACTAAAAAGCGGAATCAAAGAAGTGTTTACGTTTAGAATTCTCATCAGATTTTTACGAAGACCTTACTTTCATTATCGATACTAGATTTTTCTTAAACATGCTGACTGGTACTGGTACTGGTCGAGCAGTGGCCGGCAATAGTGCTATTAAAAACCATATCCGTCAAATAAATTACTATGTAAATCATATTTGTCGTGTATTTTTAAAATGTAACGATCTTTACTCCGCAACTTGGCGACCAAAGAGGTAACTTATCAAAGGTTTCATTTAAATTTAGAACTGGCTTGCACATAGGTTTAGTGAAAAAAGGACTTTGGCGGCACAATAACTATTGTTATTAGTCGTTCGTTAACTTCGTCATTGATTTAAAAGTTCTGAATTGTACTACTTTTTATTGCCGCGCATCATTTGCGAAACAAGCCTTAGTCGCAACTGAGCATTGATGGACTTTCACACGTTCGCCCATCAATGCCTTTCTTGCCGGCCGCTGCAGTAATGTACTATTGTGTGTCGATAAGTCGGCAGCTTTTAATAATACATTTTACCAGTCGTGTTAAAGCTAGGGTGGTCGTGGTGTGATGTGACGTTGTTAGTAGGGTGTCTTCTATGTTCCAACTTGCTTCCATTACTGTCCCCCTCTTTGACTGTCTGGCAAGATTCAGGATAAATATAAAAATGAAAGTGTTTAGTTTTAACTATCAAACATTTTTTACGTAAAGTCTAAGGTAGCCCTAGATACATTCTGAGTTTACTCTTAGAGTTTAGTTAAATAGTTAAATACCATCATACAAGTTATGTAATACCACATTAGGTGTTAGCAATGACGGAGGTCTAACGCATCTGTAGTATTGATATTGCGCATTAAAATGCATTGATTCTTGTTCATTAATGTTCCGAGCACGTCCGCTGCTGTTTTATACTGAGGTGACAGAAACACGACAGAGCAAGCGCTAATGCCGTACAGCCCAGTGATGAAAACGAACACGTTCGACTTATACTCTAAAACGTGAACACGATTATTGGTAGTAAAGAATACCAATTGTATTATTTTACTTCGTTTGATTCTGAAAATAATGCGGGTCGAGACAGGCAGAATTAAATATAAGCTATTGAGTTCTCTGTCGCGTATATTTGACTAGCTGACTTGGCAACGGTTCTAACGCCATATTGCATTTCGACCAAAAGTTGATTACCACAAATCGGTTGAGAGTTAATCTTAAAAGATAGATATTGACTGTCGCGGATTTTTTTACATAATTTAAAGAAGAATCACTCTTTTAAAGATATTTCTTAGTTCCTCAGCCGATTTAACAATTTTGCCTGTTTTTTCCACTTTTTCCACTCGTTTTCGTTTTCGCTCCTATTGGTTGCACCTTCATGTTATATAGCCTAAAATCTAAGATAATTGGTCCAACAAAAAAAAAATTTTTCAATTCGATCTAGCAGATCTTTAGAAAAGCGCGTTTGAACAAACAAACTCTTCCACCTTATAATAACAGTATACATTTTTGTTTCATTCTGAAAATAAAGATCGTCCATCCACGCAGAATGAACGAAGAACCAAGAATGTTATCTTGGACAAAATCTATTGAGTCCTCTATCGCATATATTTAATGAATAGCCCTTAAAATCAATCATGCGAAATGTCTGACGCATTTTGTCCCTTATCGTCTTAAAATACAACATCGATGTCAGACAGTAGACACACAGAAAGGGGAATGATTTATTATATCTTCACAGATCGCGTCGTCTCCAAAACCGTCTGTCGTTTGCAAATATCGTTTAAATAGTCTCGCAAACGAGACGTAATTTAAAGAGCGTCGAAGGTTAAATCATATTATTTGTATAGTTTGTTTAGAAACTTCCTGGAAATCCAGACAGAAATAGGCGTACGTTCCCAGTACTCTTGCCAATATCACGAATGTTTATAAACACAACGCCAGCCTGGTTTTATAAACTATGATCTGTGGATAGAATCAAGACGAGAGTTGTATTCATGTTCGTCGTAATTACGATTAATATGATTTGGACATACCATTTTTAATGCAGTAACAAAGAAACAAACAAAAAATACTTCTTGAGCAAAAAAAACATTATTTAATAATTATACAAAGTATAAATATTAAATAATATTAATTTGTTATGCGGTAAAGAGTGTTTTATTGAGTAGTGACGCAATCTCGCAAGTAAGTTATCCGTATTTTTTTTAGCAATACTACAAACATAAATGCTGCCAGTATTATTATACCTCGGCCATTATTATTTATAATTTCCAATTTAAACCTGGCTTGGAATACATTAAAAATATTATGTAGGTACCAAGTTAACTAGCTATAAAATAGCTGCAGCGAGCAGCTGCGAACCATTTTAGAATTCCGTATGCAAGCATGCACATCGTAAATTCAAATATGGTTCCCACAAACCGTAATTAACATTGACTCTGCGAATGAGGAACTTTTTATATTCTCAACGTAGTTACATAAGACTTATTGCAATTCATACGACATAAGTGTAATGTTATTTTTGTCATTGCAGGTCCACCTTCAGCTAAGGGCTTGGGCAACGTATACACACAAGAAAAACACTCTGCTTAGTTACAACCACCGAATCGAATCTATAATTCTTCAGTACAAAAGAACCTCGCAAATAATTGAGACGTAACTTTTAAGATTATGCAATATTTTATGACGAAATACCTAAATCCTAATACGACATCTTAGCATGTTATCATGAGACTGTATTTTGAGTTGTTGAATAAAAGTTATACACAGCGATTTCTTTTTCATTTTTGCCATATATTTTATATTTTTCATTTCTTTTCTTTAAAATAAAACACTATTCAATTTTAATGTATTAGTAAATAAATACGTTTACTACATTGGTATACTTGCTTGTAAAGAGTTTTATTTAAATGTGTACTACATAATGTGTATAATGTTTTTTATTTAAAGTAGAGTACTTTTTACTTTCTCTTCTAAAAATAATCCCAATCTTTAATAAATTTATTTGACCACTATGCAGGTAGACAAGTGAGAATAAAATTATAGCTTGAAGGTCATAAGATCAAAGATGAAACGTGACTAGACGCGGTTAACAGATTCCAGTTCTTGGTCTACCTTGCCCAATTCCATTCGTGTGAGGCTAAAAATTTGTTAGTTTATTGTATTACTTCTATTAACGTGGCTTAAAATAATACTTAAAAATTCTCTTTAGGTACTTATTTTATTTCTTTCGGTTGTCGATTGACAACTCCTTCATGATGAATTCAAACTGACAAGTTTTAACAAAGGGGTTGTACACATCTTTGTAAAAACTTTGGCTTTGGGAGATATAGTTTCCGAGTAAAATTCATATTTACAACAATATTTATACTTAACCAAAATAAATCACTACACTGAAGCCGGGTTTTAGTGTGTCATTGTCATATTTATTTATTTTTTCACGTTTTTCTTATTTATTATCATAAAAGGAAAAAAAATCAAACAACAATATATTTTATTACTACTATATATTATCACTATAAATAGGTACTCACACTTATCTCCGCTCGAGGCGGGAGAATAGAAAAATAGAGAAAAAATTGTTTTTACCGCTATATTAAATTACATTAAAAACTACGTATCAACATAAAAAACATACCTTATATCTCAAAAATAATAATAATTTACTAACAAACATGTAATATGCACTAAAAGAATTGGCAGTTTAATTATCAATAAAGGAGGCACACTTTACCATAATTGACAAAATTAAGTCCAAATTGTACTACACTAAACATTGTGACGACTTAAATAAATCTATCAAGAAGTTGTTCCACATTACCACATACCTTGATAAACTACTCTCCGATGTGTTTTAATATTTGATTATTATCGTTTTAATAGAATTAGACTATTTTTAAGTTAAGAGCGTCGAACTTGAAATTCATATAGGTTCAGATAGGTACATAAAGATTTACAAAACTAACACACTCTGAACCATTTATCAATTAGACAGAGCGCTACATTTTAATTATTCATATGTATTTTGAACCCTATTAAAACTTGTCATATTTTGTTTATGAAATTCGAGTATTTTGCATATTGCAATTGTATTTTTATTTTTAGATTATAAGGCCTAACAATGTTGTCAGCGAATATAATAGGAACTAACGGCGTACATATACGTCCTATCAATAGAGGGCCTTGAATTTTGCGAATGGGTCGTGTTCTTAGTTGTAACAGTCCGGAAATACTAGGCAGTACGCGCGGGTTCATTTGGTCTAGCGGCAGTAGGCGCTGGGGGTTGATACTTATTCACAGGGTACATAGGCTTCGGATCAATTGTTGAAACAGCATCGTACCTGCAGAAAGATATTATAGTTTAATATGTCGTTTTTTCAGCAAATATATATCTATAGCACAAGTCTTTTCTTTCACAGATGAGCGGATTTAAGTGTAACATAGATCCACCACACTGCCCCAGTGCAGGTTGGAGGTTTAAATGGCATTAAAAAGTCGGTGTAAAAAACTATTTACATCCTTACTGAGTTGTATGTATATTACAGAAAGTCACTAACTTGTTATTCTTGTACTTGTCCGGAATAGCGCGGTAGGGCTGTGCAGACGCATGCGCATGAGACCTCGCCAACTCACGTAGACACGACTCCAGCTCGCGTACAGAATATCCAAAGCTCTGAGCAAGTGCCGCGGGCCAGGCTAACAAACATATCAAGTTAACGTTAGAATTAACTGCTTAAAGTCAATGAATTCACGAGACATGCCATCAACTGTCTATTGCACCATCGTAGAAATAAGTTTATTATACAAAAATATATCACAAAAAATATTACAGGCCTCTAAATTAGGTGATTAAAATACGATAGATTGGGTTGTAACATACCGATGTTAGCGCAATGCGGGCGTAGAGACAGATCACCATCGGAAGACCTTTCCTGGCAGTCACTTCGTTCACACAGCAGGCAGTGGCGAGCTGTCGCTAGAGCACTCGCCGCGATGACCGATGGCTTGAACTTCAGATAAGGGTCGGCTTCCAACAAGGACAGTTCTGCTATGTACTGTAAAACCATTGTGACATTTAGAAGTGATGTTGATAGATAATTCTTGAACTTATGTTAAGATATTTTTATTAAACATGTTAAAAAATTACGTAATCTAAAACATAAAACAATTTTAAGGAATGGAATAGTTGAAAAATATTGAAAAAGAAAACCAAGCTCAATAATATGTAGAAAATATGATTTGCAACTTATATTTAAATTATATATTTAGTCTTTGTACTTACAGCAGCCAAATGGAATATTTTTTTGGGGAGTCCATTAGCTATGCAATGGAGTGAGAGGAAAGCCAAGGATGTGGGTGTGGATAGGTCGAAAGAGAGCACTTTCAAGATGAGGTGTTCCATTCTGAGGACTTCCTTCTTTGTGTATGTGTCGTCAGTTATGTACACAAACTCGGAAACTTCTGGCGGGTACACTTCTTCATATTTTCTGCTCAAAGGAAAATAGGTGCATTATTTCAGGAATTAATATACAAAGCACATATGATCATGTATTTAAAAACTTACGAGGCTATGTATGTTGCGGCTGTTCCAACAAGCTGAAGTTTCGTGCGCACTACACTCATATAAGACAGGAATCTATCAACATATGAAACGGCCAAGTGCAGTGTTTCACTCTGTTGATTGTACTCATCACACACTTCAACGAGCCAGTCAATGAGAATTGATCTCATAACATGCGTGATGTCTGGTTGCTTATTCATGTAGCGAGGGTTAGCTCGGTTCTTAACCTAAACAAAAGAAAACATTATTAACCTCCTATAAAAATTTAAGTAAGTTTACTATAACCACAAGTACATTACTGTACTTGTGGTTGTATCTGCGCTACAGTGTTGGTCAATATTGACATGGCAATGGGAAATTTACTTACTGTCTTTTATGTCAAATTGAAGAAATTTGCCAATAAATAATTGAACAAAATGCAAGCTAAGCATTAAAGGCATTTTAAATAATTAACAAAATTAAGTAATTTTTATTCTTCATAAATAATATAATTCTGATTATAATTTTTAAGTTTCTGTGCAATTTTTTTTACTTAAAAAAAAATATGTTTTGTAATGTAGGAGTTTTGTGAGGATGGGACCTTTAAAAAATATATAGTAATTAACCTCTATCTGCCTCATGTAGTTGTAGATGTCCTGTCTGTATTCTACAACATGGAAAAACATTTCCTTGTCATTGCGAGCTGTAACCTGATCTTCCTCGATATCTTCTAGTAACTGACTCTCATTCTTGGAGATTGACATGGAAAGAATGCTTGAGTCAACAACTGACATTGGTGACTCCACCACATTTTTTTCTTCTTTCTTAACCTCCTCAGCCTTTTCTTGCAATGGTTTTCTGTACAATAGAAAGATTTGTTGTATATGTTACTATTGAAATAAAATGTACCCATGTAATTTTACAAATCAGGCACTATTAAAATGTATGTACGTGTATGCCCTTTTCATGTGCAATGAAGTAGAACCAACAACACAATTATTACTTTATATACTTTTACAAAAGATTGTTGAGTAGACAAAATCTTGGCATATTAACCCATATTGAAGATAAAATGACTAATCAGATATAGATACTTCTAAGATTAATCAATAGCTATTTCAATTGTAAGGTAGACAAACATTTACTTAAACTGTAAGTAAAATAAGAAAGAGACCTTTGGGGAGCATCTTTTGGTTTCTCATTTTGTTTTTCAACTTGAGCACAGAGAGCCTTGACATTTTCAGCTGCATTAAGGAAAAAGTTATCCTTCTTCAACTCCTTAGCGATAAATGGCTTGAAAGTTTCTTCCCTTTTCTTCAATTCTGCTTGCGACGGCTTCGATGGCTTGTCTTCATAAACGCTAAAGGCGCGAAACTGAGCCACGGGAGGCACGATGTTCTTTTCATTCTTAATATTTCGCACTGTTCTTTTTTCATCTTGAACCTTACACGGTCCAGTCGTTAAACCAACCTAGACAAGTCGTAATGTGGTATTAAAATACTGAAAACTAGTACCCACGCAATCAGAATGAAAACCCAACTTACGTTTTTAACGTTGCGGGTCTGGTTGCAGGTGAACTGGCTTAGGTCACCCAATGCACGCCTCTGAGTTGCAGCAGCAAAAACGTCTGCATCTTTCCTCAAGGCTAGTGCAGAATTTTCTTGATCCTCGTGAATTCTAAAAGATGCCATTGCCCCACTGTTTCCGTAAACAATAACCGTTGAGCTAAATTAACCGAAGCGTGGGGGTTCGCAAGCAGAAATATTTAAAATTTGCAGTTTAATAGGTGGGGGTAAAAATTTAAAAATGCATTTTGAAATTGAAAGAAGTGTAGACGGCAAAATACTTCCGCAAAATCGTTAAATTCACCCCCAAAAAGTGGTTAGCGTCAACGGCAAAGAAACATTTTGATAGATTCAGCTGTTGTAGATTTTGGTTCTTCTATTGTTTATTCTTTTTTAAATTTCCACCAATGAAGAGGCGTCATACAAGCAAAAACTACAGTCCTTATAACAGACTATTGTTGTATTCGTGTAACTGTGAATGATGTTTTTAATATACTCTGCACGGATACAGTAGAAGAATATTTTCAAGTTGACAGCCAATGATGCTGACACGTTTGTTTGTGTCAAGCTGTTGACATTTATCACAGTATAAATACGGTATATATATTATATATTTAAAGTTTATATTTATTTAAAAACATTTGTTTTAAATACCTTAGAAAAGCCCTTTTGCCAAATATTTGAATGCTTAAAATTAAGACTTATTATGTATCAACCGTAATATATAAATTATTTAATAGTTACAATTATTGGACATTATTAGTGTCTATGTGTATTTTTGTATTATTTACTTATCATTTATAATTTAAATAGAAGTAAGAACAGATTACTTTCATCATACAATATAAAGTGCAAACAAAAACTTTGTTCATAATATAATTTAAATTAACCGGATGCTAACAATGCCCTCTTCACTAAAATTTCTCGTTTATTTTGTTACATTTTTAAGTTTATGTCAAACATGCTATACTATAAGAGAGTACAACAAGGAGGATATTTTAAAATTACGGTAGGTCGTTGTCACATAGACTATTTATCTTCGTTATTTTCGTTATTTCTAACTAGTTATTCATTTTAATAGGGAAGAAGTCAGAGAAATGTTTCAGCATGCTTATGATAGTTATTTAAAATATGCATACCCTTATGATGAACTACGTCCTCTGAGCTGTGATGGTGTTGATACTTGGGGCAGCTACTCTCTTACCCTTATTGATGCTCTGGACATGCTAGTTATAATGGGAAACTATACTGAGTTCAACAGAGTGGTAGATATTGTGTTAGAACGAAAAGACTTTGATACAGATATTAATGTGTCTGTGTTCGAAACAAATATCAGAATAATAGGAGGTCTGTTAAGTGCTCATCTTCTGTCTCATAAGTAAGTCAATTAACTATTAAATTTAGGTATTGAGAAATAATGAAACAATATTATATCTAGGTATGTTACATACTATTATTAGTTTGCTATTAGAGTACATTATGATAATAACTGCCTCTATAGTTCAGTGGTAAATCACTTTTTCTTATGTTTAATCCTCTAGAAGGCATAAGGAAAAGTCCCAAGGCTCCTAACCATGATATTTTTGTCAGGCGGAACTAAACTTGCCTTTACTGATCACTTACTTCCCTTGAGATGAAAGATTTGACATAGAACTGCCAGTATCTATGTAATAGTTTATAAATGTAAATGTAATAATAAAAGACATACAATTTCAGATCTGGTATGAAATTAGAGCCAGGTTGGCCCTGTAATGGACCACTGCTAAGATTAGCTGAAGACGTAGCCCAAAGGCTAATAGCTGCATTTGACACCACTACAGGTATGCCATATGGAACAATTAATTTACGATCTGGTGTGCCACCTGGAGAAACAAGCATAACTTGCACAGCAGGAGTGGGTACTTTTATTATAGAATTTGGGACTTTAAGTAGACTGACTGGTGACCCATTATATGAAGAGGTTAGTTTTTTTTAATTTTTCATGAAACAAAATGATTTATCTAAAAGTACATAATTTTGAAAAAGATTCTTAAATTAAATCCTTTTAACTGGTTACTTTTTTCTGTTTGGCTGTTGGTCTTAAATTTTTTTATGTCTTTTAATTATAGCCCAACATTTTAGATGCTTTGCTGTGGTCATGGGGGGAAAGGTCCAATGTCATAGTTACAATAAAATAAAAATACTGTAACAATTAGGTTTTGCATTTGAAACCGTTGAATGTGTTTCATTAAAATATGTAAAAAATAGTATATTAAATAATAATTAATGTTATATGTTTCTACTCCATATGGTTATCACATTAAGTTAGTGACAGTCCTGGGTTGGCCAGGAAAAAACGTTTCATATGACTCTACTGATTTAGTTCTTTTTTGCCTATATAATAATTATAATTTTCTAGGTAGCATATAATGCGTTGAAAGCATTATATCACCACAGATCACCTATTGGACTTGTGGGGAACCATATAGATGTGATGACAGGTCGTTGGACTGCCCAAGATGCTGGTATTGGTGGAGGAGTTGATTCCTATTTTGAATATTTAGTCAAAGGTACTTAGATTTTTGAAATGCAGTGTAAAAATATATTCCATAGGCTAATAAAACATACATTCAAATTGAATAAGTATTTATTACAATGACACACTCTTTATAACAATTTAATTAAATGTGTAGCATATTTTAGTATTAGACTTATTAGGCAAATATTTTTCAGGTGCCATATTGTTAGAAAGGCCAGAACTTATGTCCATGTTTACCGAGGCCCGTTCTGTTATTGACAAATATCTAAAGAAAGATGATTGGTATGTATGGGCCACTATGTTGCGAGGACATGTCACATTACCAGTGTTCCAGTCCCTTGAGTCGTACTGGCCTGGTGTCCTCAGTTTGATTGGTAAGTGTATCTACTTGTATGCATATTATAAACTAGTAAAAGAAATGAATGAGAAATATATATTGTAAAGCCAATTCATCTATTACTTATGGATCGATAACTCTTTACATGAATAGTAGAGTCTGTGGACTATTTACTGGCCTGAACCATTGGTTTATCAACGACTTACTATGTTTGTATTCTTCCAAATCGTTTATTCTAAAGGACCTGTGCCTGTAAATTGTATTAGGTCGACATTAGAAGTCTTGCCTTCTTTATGCCACTTTCCAAAAAATAAAATGTTTAAATTCCAGGTGAAAGCGATACAGCTATGCGTATAATACATAATTACCACAGTGTATGGAAACAGTATGGTTTTACTCCAGAAGTATATAACCTGGGCACAGGAGAGGCTTCCTCGTCCCGCGAAAGCTACCCGCTTAGACCTGAACTCATTGAATCGATCATGTACTTGTATAGAGACACTCGAGATCCTATATTGTTGCAAATGGGCGAAGATATTTTGAGAAGTATCCAGCACAGTGCAAGGACACCCTGCGGTTATGCCACCGCTGGTTATAGGAACCACGTATATTTAGGCTACAAAAAAGTTCTTAACAAAACTAAAAAAACTTTCAAGGCGGTTCATACAATAAATTACCGGTTTACTTTTGAGAATTATAGGAATTATTCATCATTTGCCTATAAGTTTTTTTGAGTATACTTTCATATAGTTAAAAAATATATACGTACATTCATTGCTTTGACCGCCTCTGTAGCTAAATGGTTAAATGTGTTGCTGCAGTGTGTAAAGCGCGAGAGGTCCTGGGTTCAAATCCTGGGAAAACAATACATTCGGTCGGTCTGGGCACAGAAGTCTGATCAACTACTTGCCTGTAAATAAAATCGATCAGTAAAACAGACACAGAAATGTGTTCGCCCCCATGCCCCACGAGGGGAAACGGAATTTCACACACACATTCATTGCATTGCAAAATGCGAACATGTGGTGATAGGTTTTATAATTATGTTTTAGTACAGTAGTCCTAGAAAGTCAATAAAATTGTTACCTGTTTTATTTCAATTTTTTATTGTTTAAAAATTTACTAATACAGCTTAAGACAAATAAATTAAAACCTTAACCAACAAAATTAAAACTAAATAGTAAATTATTGCAAATAGTTACAGTTTTGAAGGTATTTACGTTTTTATTTCAGATTAAAGATGTACGAGATCATCGTAAGGAAGATAGAATGGAGTCGTTCTTCCTCGCTGAAACTACAAAGTATTTGTACTTGTTGTTTGATCCCGATAACTTTATTCACAATCCTGGCGTTCACGGTACTGTCATAGATACGCCTAACGGTGAATGTATTGTAGATGTTGGAGGTTACATCTTCAATACAGAGGCTCATCCTATCGACCCTACCATGCTGTATTGCTGCCATGAAGCAAGACAAGGGTGAGTTTGTAGTTAAGAGATCTTTCCCGCGAATGTTAAATTATCATTAATAATTAATTAGCAATATATATTACATTAGTCTATAGTAAAATTTCGTAACATTGAGTCGTAGGTTAAACATTTAATTTACAGATAATTAGATGATCAGTGTCTATGCCCCGACCAACTTACAAATTTAGGATATTTGCCTAAATCAAACAAAGCGCTTTTATACTACGTACACAACTAACAATAGTCTGTTGTAGCAATAATATGATCAACATGTTTATCCAAACCAACTGTTACCAAAACTAAAATATGATTTCAGAATGAACATTAGCGAGGTCCATAGAGTATATCAAATGTTAGAAGAGGAAGACAATATTCACTTCATGACAATGATAGATTCGACTGTAAAAAATAACAAAACTGAAACTGATAATAATAGCAATATGAGTGCTCCACAAGAGGAAATGCAAAAGGATGAAGATAAAGATCAAGTTTTTATTAAAACTGAAACAAGAACTGGTTATGTTAATATTGACGGAACAGAAAGAGAGAAAACTAAGAATGAAACAACTTTAAGCGAGCTTTTGAAGGAACGGATAAGCAATTTTTATAATAAATCTGATATCATTGACAAAGAATCTTTGGATTCGCCATCTGATAATAATACAGACAAGAAAGTGGAGGTAGACGACATTATAATTGCGCAACCGCCGCAAGAGGAGAAATTAGAATTACCCAGTACAGCGCGAGCGAAGGAAACTATGAGACTATTACCTAAAGTCATTCAAGATTTTTTAAATAATGATTGGAAGAAGAAGCCTAAGTGTGAACCGCAACATATGCTAGAAAGAATAAGAAGAGAAAAGAGATACCCAGATCATTTAGATGTAGACAAATATGAGCTTTTGTTGACGCCAGCGCCATCTTTCCTACAACGAATATCATTGGCGGGCGAGTTTCTAAACAAGAAACAATTAGAGGTGTAGATGTTTCAGTGCTTTTCAGTGGTCGTATTAATGTATGTGCTCCAAGTACAATTGTGTGATTAAAAAACATATGTTGTTTTGTTTTGACAAGATATAAATAAATATTTATTTTTTGTTTCTTAATTTAAAATTTTATGTCATACATGGTGGTTTAATATAACTACCGAGATATCCAACAAACATATATAAAACTATATCTTTCAATAGTAAACAAACCTAAGGTTATTTCTTCCAGCAGTCATTATATTACCAATATGGATGGATTATTAAAAATATATACAATATATCTATATTATATTATGTCTATAATTGAAGTAGTGTCAGTAACATAACAATTCTTCTTTGGTATAACAGAAAAATAAGACAATTTCATTAATACTTATGTGAAAGAAGCATGTCATACGTTGAAATGTCAAAATATTAGGGTAACATGTTTAAACAAAATTAAAGTAAAATCAAAAAATAAATGTAATAAATTTAGAACAGCATAAAGATGTCCATGTTCTCTGACTCATGCATGCATGCAGTGGTAGGAGTGAGCGGGGCTCGTTCTCTAGCCACATGCGCGATTTATCATGACCGATCTGAAAACGACTTCATCCGAAGAGAATACTTTGTCTACTAAAGGATATAAGTTAACAAAATTTGTCGGCGAAGGTGCCTACGCTAAGGTCCATAGTTTTATTTTATGTATTTGTATGTCTGTTAGGGTCGTTTAATATTAAACTTCTCTGTCTCCTTAGGTTTATCTGACAGAATACGTTTCCAAAGAAGGCACCCACAAAATTACACTCGCGTGCAAAATCATAGAAACGTCTAAAGCACCGAAGGACTTTGTTGTAAAATTTCTACCTCGCGAAATCGACGTGTTGATACGGTTGAACCATCCCCACGTTATACACGTGCACAGTATCTTTCAGCGCAAAACGAAATACTACATTTTTATGAGATACACAGAAAATGGGGATCTTTTGGGGTACATATTGAAGAACGGTTGCGTTTCCGAGAACCAGTCGCGGGTTTGGTTCCGTCAACTAGCATTGGGGCTGCAATACCTCCACGAGTTGGAGATAACTCATCGCGACATTAAATGTGAAAACGTACTGTTAACAGCGAACTTTAACGTGAAGCTTTCAGACTTTGGATTCTCGAGGTCCTGCATCGACGATGACGATCAGCCCATACTGAGTGAGACTTACTGTGGTTCTATGTCCTACGCGGCACCCGAAATTTTGAGAGGGAAGCCATACCTACCGAAACCCACAGATCTGTGGTCGTTGGGAGTCGTGTTATTTGTTATGCTTAATAAATCTATGCCCTTTGATGATACACGAATGCGAAAGCTGTATGAACAGCAAATGGGCAAGAAGTATCGGTTTAGATCACGAGTAGCGAGTTTGATATCGTTAGAGTGCAAATCTGTCGTGAAACACTTGTTAGAACCAGACCCGGGCTTGCGTCACTCGGCAGTGCAGGTGCTCGGCTCCGATTGGATTGCTATGGACAGTAGGCTTACAAGTAATGCACCCTATACTATCCTCTTTATTAAAAAAAAAAACTTTAAACGGTTTAAACCGGCAGCCGTGCACCACAACCTTGCAAATTATCCGAAACGTCGGGCCGTAGTTAAAATACATTGTAAATAAGATAAGTAATACATTTTGCGTTTTAAACCGTTAAACTAAACTCGAGTATACACACAATACTAGATCATTTTCACGTTTCCTAATAGCACTAATTAATAATATTTAGCATTAAACGCTGTTGAAGCAGCTGCATTGCAACGAGCGAAAGAGGAGCGACGAAAATTGTCCGATTCTCATCGCTACCCTCCTAAACGGCAAGGTGATATTTTGAGCAGAGATACTAGAGAATCTTATCGGGTAAGGACCGAAAGCGTGTATATTACTATTTATAATATAATATAAAATACAATAATTAAAAATTTCTTCCTAACAGGCAAGTGAAATGATAAAATCTTTAGCTAATATAACAGCCAGACAAAAAAAGCAAGAGTAGGTAAATGGAGGGAAAAGTGAAGGTAGTTAAAGTTTTTTCATCAACTAGCATGTTCTAAGCAGTAGACTTTTACGTCTGTTGTATATACAGGTACATATTGAAGAAGATTTAAAGTTATCTGGATCTGAACAGTTAACACTAGCTACCAGAGGCTATAAAATGATAAAAAAGATTAACGAGGGCTCCTACGCTAAAGTAAGGTCATTTTGTGACTTTTATTGTTTTATTTCTCTAAAACAATGACTTATTTTAAATTTATTAAAGGTGTATCTAGCGGAATACAGAAATCCGAATAAAAACGATCGACTATCAGTACTCGCTTGCAAAGTAATAGATACAAATACGGCTCCAAAAGATTTTGTTAAGAAATTTCTTCCAAGAGAAATAGAAATGCTAATCAAATTAAATCATCCGCACTTAGTGCACACGCATAGTATATTTCAACGACGTTACAAATACTTTATATTTATGCGGTATATGGAACATGGAGATCTTTTAGAGTATGTTTTGCAAAAGGGAGCCGTACAGGAAGACCAGGCGAGAATATGGACGAGGCAACTCGCCCTGGCTATCCAGTATATGCACGAATTGGAGATAGCGCATCGCGACATCAAATGTGAAAATGTCCTCCTCACAGCCAACCAGAATGCCAAGCTATCCGACTTTGGTTTCGCTCGAATGTGTGTCGACAAGAAGTTTAAAGATATTCCTAGTGAAACGTTTTGCGGTTCCCTTTCGTACACCGCCCCCGAAATATTACAAGGCTCGCCGTATTATCCTAAACCCACTGACGTTTGGTCCTTGGGAATCGTCCTATATGTTATGCTAAATAGAGCCATGCCTTTCGAAGAAAAACACATCAAGCAGTTATACCAAGCTCAAATAAATCGAAATTGGAGATTCCGCTCTCGCTATAACGAAACTTTATCTGAACACTGCAAACGTTTGGTTCATTTGATGTTAGACCCTAATTGTAAAAATAGAATTAAAGTTGATAGTATAATTAATGGTGAATGGATTGCAATGGACGCGAGATTACTTGGTGATATTTCTTTTATCTACGTTGGTTTTACTTAAGCGTTGTTGGCAAATAACGACATAATGGTTACAGAATGGAATGCACAAGAGACGTTGGCATTCAAAAAGGCTCGAGAAGAAAGAGTTATAAGTATGCAAAAAGTTGAGGTGACTGATCCAGTTGGTAAGCCTGAAAAAGAGTCTTGCCTGCCAGACCAGTCAATAGTAAAGGCTACATATGATATCGATGGTTCTACTTCTTCGTGGTAAAATCTTTTTATACTTCCCGATATAGACTGTTCTTTATTTTCTTGCTCTATGCTTAATGACGGTGTCAATTTTGAGAGACCAGCGTCAGTCATTACAAAGATGTAGTTTAGATTACAGGTTTAGTTATAACTTCCCATTTTAAAATATTAAAATATTCTGTAAATATGATGATAAAGGTAAAAATAAAGTAATAATGCGCGCGTGGCATGAGTAGTCGCATAAATGCCAGCGAACGAAAAATTAGAACTCAGTGCCACACAATCCGATATAGCTGTACTGCAAGAAAAAGGTTTTATATTGGAGAAAATAGTGGGAGAAGGTTCATATGCGAAAGTAAGCGCTGAATACTGGCTCTTCATATTTCATACCACTAGGGTTTATGGAACCTTCTTCTTTCAGGTGTTTAAAGCGACTCACATGGTCGATGAGACCCGGCACACAGTAATGGCATGCAAAGTGATAGATACCGCGCAGGCACCTCGCGACTACCTCACCAAGTTCTTACCGCGCGAACTTGACGTACTCATTCGTGTCAATCATCCCCACATCGTGCACGTCTCTAATATCTTCCAACGCCGCGCAAAATATTTTATTTTTCTTCGTTTCGCTGAGAATGGAGATCTGTTAGATTTCCTCACGCAGAACGGAGCCGTCCCCGAAAACCAGAGCAGGCTGTGGATGCGTCAGATTCTCTCCGGCATTCATTACATACACACACTTAACATCGCGCACAGAGATTTGAAGTGTGAAAACATTTTGATAACCGCTAATTACAATGTTAAAATAACAGATTTCGGTTTTGCTCGCAATGTGAGGCAGAGGGATCGGGACGTACTTAGCGAGACGTATTGCGGTTCACTGTCTTATGCAGCCCCGGAAGTGTTGAAGGGTGTACCGTATCTACCGAAGTTGGCGGACATGTGGTCCATCGGTATCATCATGTACACGATGCTTAATAAAGCACTGCCGTTCAATGAAACTTCAGTGAAGAAATTGTATGAGAAACAGGTAAATATTGTTTTGGTAGGTAAACAAATATTAGGATTTTGCTAAGAACTCTTCGTTATAATGAATACCATTAGGTGATGCGTAAGTGGCGATTCCGCACGGGTGTCGTGAACCAGCTTTCAACGGAATGCAAGCAGCAAGTAACGCAGTTGATGGAGCCTGAAGCCAAAGCGCGTCCCACGGCTGGGGCAATTTTCAACGGGGCCTGGATCGCAATGGACACCAGACTTACGAGTAATTTTATATCTTTTATCTTATTTTATAGATGTCTTCATCACCAGCCCTTAAAGATGACTACAACTGGTAGTATGAAATTAATCATCATACAAAGCAAACTTGACATTTTTTAAGAAGTTTTTGCACTTCGTTTCATACAGTAAGAACAATTCTTTCAAATGGGTGAACATTTTTAGAGTTGACCTTCCTTGAAGAGTCCTTACTGAAGCAGGCTCAAGAGGAATCCCAAAGGAGGGAAATGGAGAATTTCGAAGAGGAGAGCGAAGTTGAACGACTCGCGGAATTGCGGCGCAAGGGACGAGGAAAAGGTGATAAATAGCCGTATTATGCTTAGTGAGGCTGTAACCAGTTAAGTTTAGACAGTTAAAAGATATTTACAATTCGCTTGAATGAACTTACGACTTGTTTGTATAAATTTATTTTTTTTTGTCTCTTAACAGAGGGCTTAAAAGTATTAAAAAACGCAGACTCAAATTTCGCCAAATCACAACACTTGTTCGAGGACAGAGAATGAAAGACGGACGTGATCAATCAATGTTTATTAATTTACACTTTCTATCCACGATTTTAAGTTATTGTAAAAATTATTTAATATATTTATTGTATAAACAAGTTCTTTTGTATTGTTTTCACGTTGGGTTATATAAAGATTAACACTTAGTCCCTATAAGTATTACATAGCTATGGAAGACAAGGGTTCATTATAACGGGCATGTTGATCGCACAATTATTTGGCACATTCGCTAGGAACAGGATTTGAATTGAATTAAATCAAATAATTTTACAGAAAAAATATACGTAATACCAATAACTCTAAAAAACGATAGGTAGGATAAAAATAGGATTATTTAAATAAAACACTTTAACGGTTTAAAACGCGATATATTGAAGTTATTTCAACTAATATAGCGCGTTTTAAATCGTTAAAGTGTTTTATTTAAATGTGTACTACTCGCGCAAGCTAAAAGTATTAATAGGATTATTCTTCAGACCCTAAACATGTTGTACACAAGAAAAGCTAAAATATTAAATTTCTTTAAAGAACCCTCAAAATGCATTATCTATTGTGCGATAATACTCAATTACTCCAGGATATTTTCAATTGTTAATATTAATCCATAAATACAGTTTATCAAACGCTAACGATGAAAACTCTCGAAAAACTCAACACTCACGTTGGTATGAGGCGGGAACACCATTTCTTGGAAACATGTACTTTACGATAAAGGCAAGATAATATCATTGGAGACAAGAACTAATGCTGTTTATCATGATATTCTCAATCGCAACTATTAGACGAAACACCGTCCCCACCTCATATACTAACATATCACTTATAACAAATATATTTTGCAGTATTCAATAAATAGCAGCAAAGATAACGTGACCAGTTATAATATTGTCGTTAATCAGTCGTTTTCTAAGTTATTTTTAAATAAGTACGAGTGAAAAACAGCTGTAAAACTACATGGGTCCATTATATTCAACGATTATTATAATTACTATGAATGAAACGTTTATGAGATATGCTTAACTTAATAATCACTAAACATTCTTTTCAATCGAGAAGAATGTAAGACAATTACTCAAATGATAACATTTATGGATCTGGTAAGATTCTTTGTATGGAATGTAATTCGTTCCGTAGATATTTCCGAGTGTTTTGTGCATTGAACAGATTTAAACCTAGATATACTACTTAAATTAATACTTTTATTCAAAGCATTGATAAGGAAATAGTTGGCAGTATATTTTTACCACAAATACGTAAAAGTTTAAAATAAAAAATTCTTCAAATACTATTTTCAATCAAGAAGGTTTAGTAAAAATGTTTTTAAATTTTTATCCTATGTCAATAATTATAAGTTAGTTGCCTTATGAATCGAATCTTTGGCTTAGCCAATTAATGTAGATTAGAGTAAAAATAAGCTGCCGATAGAAATATAGTTAATAATGGTTAAAAAAATTGTTTTGTATTAATTACATAGTATATAAATTAAGGATTTATGCACCAAAAAGTATGTATAGATTTCCTTTATATATACTGTAATTTGAGCTACCGGCCTAGAGAGCGATATTTATTACTGAGTTTTAGTTACAGGGGCAATAATACAACATTTCAAAGTGCACCGATGTACCTTTTTTTAAAACAGATAATATTACCAGATTTTTATTATAAATATTGGTCAGATGGTCTAAATCTTAAGCAGTAAAGCTTAAACCCCTTGAGATAAAAATATTAGAGTCGACAATTCGACGCAAGATAACTAAATAGTTCCGAAAGTAATCGTTATTATTATTAAAAATATAATCGCTTTATCTTAAGTTAATAATCGTCTAAAGTATACCGTATGCTCAAACGATTTAATTTATAAAATGTTATATTAGACTTCTTTCTAGTCCATTGTTAAATTGAATCCTAAAAGAGGATGTTCAGAGCACGGTCTCCGATGCCGCGAGGAGCGCAAGGGCGGAGCCGCGGGGCGAGCGCTAGTGGCCGCGAGTGACGTCACGCAGGGGACAGGCACCCGACTCGCCGTCCGCTCCCGCTGATTTTACTCTCGTCATCTGTAAATGTTAAGTTGCTAAGAACTAATCCTATAAAATATAGTTCATACAACCAACTCTTTATTTGTGACTTCCCATTGTTTTCGCCTTAAATGATATTTAGAGATGCGAATTATACGTTTAAAGCAAATAAATTTATTTCATTTAAAAACTTTAACATTTTTGACATGTCGACAGCATATGTCATTGTAGAAATTAAAAATCGATTTAAGATCCAATTGTATTGCGCAAGAGGTACATGTGTTGCGCAAGAGGTTGAAAAAACTCGACAATGACACGGAAACCATATTGGTTAGAGTAACTGTGTATGCCGGTTCGAGCACAGCCAGTGTCGTATTTTTTTCAATCTAAAATCGATCTTTTGATGCATAATACATATCACTGTAATAAACTTTTATATTTCACTATAAAAGAACGATAAAAGAACTAAGTCACTTTTTTGTGATTGTTACACACCCCACACCCTAAAGAAACAGGGAAATAATATGAGCGTGTCATTCATACAATTTATAAGCGACTTATAAAAAAATAAAGCTATAATCATTAATTCACACACGAATATCAGTTACAACCCACACCAATTTGTTACCCTTGTTATAATTTATTGTTATAATACACATCGCGAATACTACCAGCTAGTCATTTCCAGAAATATTTTTTTAGTGTCATTGCCGCCGTTCCATTGATTTTGTTTTTGTTATCACCGCACTAAATTAATTATTCAATAAAACCCTTGCCCTGTAAAATATATAATATACATAAAAAAAACATTAAAACAATCACCAATCACCAAATAAGCATGTACGGTCAAATACTCTAACGATAAGCGCGTAGCTACTTTATATCAGTTGCATTTTTTCTTACTAATAGCGCTAAGTCTAAGCGCGAGAGGTCCTGTGTTCGAATCCCGGGAAAACAATAGATCGCTAGGGTCTAATCGACCAGAAATAAGCTCGCCCACGGGGGACACGGGATCACTTTTACTAAACGCCAGTATTAGAAGCTGAAATTGTACCCTATCGTAATCACTAGACTCAACACCAAAAAATCGGGATAAAATATAATAAAGATATCAAAATCGGTTACAGTTTGGAAGCAAAAGACTACCAAACATTCAGCTATCATATTCATATAGTTAAGAGTATCCGACACGGTTAGTACTGTTAGTGCGTGCAACTTACTGTCTCGCTAGCGTCACCTGAGCAGTCGTCGTGCAGCGGGCACACCAGCTCGCCCAGGTCCAAGTCGTCGCGACTCTTCTTGCGCTTCAACGAGAATTGACTCTTCTTTGGCACCTGCGCAGTTTTTAACGTAGTTTTAAGATAAATCAAAAATTGATTTTTGATTTATATAGTGACACCATACGCAATGCCATGTAAAAAATATTAGTTTCCAATAGTTATACTTATATTTAATATTATTATTATTATTGTTAACATGAATATTAACAATAGTAATATTTTGAAATTGACCTAGATTTTTTTATAAAAATTTAGGTCAAAAATGGTCACACTTACAAAATGCACAGTGATTCAAATATAAGGAAGATTACTGAATTTACATTTTAAAGCAACTGTCCAGTGCAATTTTAAATAATATAAATAAATACATGAAATGTTTTATAAGTAACCCACTCACTTTATATTTGGTAGTAGCTGTCAATGGCTGGTAGCCAAGGGTTTGTTCAGCGTTTCTCTTCTGTTGTATAACATCCCGACCCAGCAGATCATTAAATCTATAAGAATGGAATAACACTTACATTTACTAATTAAATCACATAAAGGTTATATATAGCTTAAAACATTACGAAGCTTTACGTTACGCACACAGAGTTACATAAAGTCAGCTAGAGTCTGACCAGCTTTCTGTAAAAAATAGCTGAAACATGTTTATCGGTATAAGTACTCTCTGTAGTTTACGCGACTAATACACATTTAAATAACACACTTTTAACGGTTTAAAACGCGAATGGTTTATTAGTTTAACAGATTTAACTACGGCCCGACGCTTCGGATTGCTTTGCAGCAGCCATGGTCGCGGGAGACTAAAGATTGTCTCTAATGGCAAAGTAAAAACTGCTACACTAGCGTCATCTGTTCCATCGTAGTCGGCGAAACTGGCAGAATGAAGACATGCAGAATTTACTAACGCGTGTTTTCGCGTTAGCCGATATGCTGTCTAGTGACTTTATTATGGCTTTGATTAGTTGAGGCCCCCTCCTATTATGTTCCGAAACTAAAATAATTTGTAAATAAATTTAACCACTACGCATTACGCGTTTTGAACCCTAAAGTCAAATCAACAAACAATTTAATAGTATGTTATTTGAATGTTTGTTGATATATTCAAAGTCTAACAATAAAAATTATTGTTTTGCCCACCTTTGTGTGAGATGTCGCCGTAAGAGCGTCTTGTTAGCGGGAATGTTAAGCAACGCAGCTAGAAGTTCGGCTGTGAACCGGGGCTCGAGTAACATTAGTCCACCGTGAACGCCTGTAATAATTAATAAATATTTATTTTATTATAGTGTTTTAAATTAGCCTATTTTAAAATTTTATACCTACCTAACGTATAAGATTCATATAAACAAATAAAAATGGAGATAAAGATACAAGTAATACATGCGCTTTTTTAACAAGTTACGCCAATTTAGATTTAAGAGAAACTTCTTGGTAATTTATATATAATAGTAAAGCCATAATAGGTCAAGGGCCCATCTTATTTAGATGGTATATGGCGGGGACATCATGCTTATCTGTTGTCATAAAAAAGTAACTTGACCGGCTCCGCGAAGATTTGGTGCATATTCTGCTAAGTCAATTTCTTTCAGCCACTGCATGACACGATGTGAGGACCAGCGTGCCAACTCTGCACCAGGGGTGCTACCTGCTCCTCCTGCCCCCAAAGTTTCCCCTTCAGCACTGAGATCAGCTCCAACCAAAGACACCTCGCCTTCCGCTGCACGCCGAATCATGGTCTCCGGATTGAATTTGTTGTCACGTAGGACTTGAATACCTGCACCAAAAATAAACTTATAATACTAATCAATAATAAATGATGCATGAAATAAATGTTTTAATATGTACACTTCCATAACATAAAAGTCACCGCTTCTATAGCTAAATGGTTAAATATGTTGCCTAACATTACATTAACGTCGGGTTTTGGTCACGCAAGGCACAGAAGTCTGACTACCTGCTTGCTTGTAAATAAAAGTTGTAAGTGAAACGGATACAGATATATAGATGCCTCATGCCCCATGTGGGGATACTGGATTACACTTATAACATGAATGTGCGATTGAATTAATTGATTTTCAAGCTTCGTTCCTTGGTTGAAAGTAAAAATGGAAATGCAATATTTTTGTCTTTTCCGTATTTATATTATACATGACTATTAAAATAACAAAACATCCGGCTTTTAAAGACTTTAGGACAACACTTGTAATGTCGTAGAAGTTGGATGTATGATAAATAATTAGTTTTTTCATTAATTTAAAATCTCGTCTCATCTTCAAAACAATGAAGTTTATAACCCATTTATACCTCTTCGTATCGACAAAGCGTGTAACGCATGCGTAACGCGTAGATGCGTATATAAGTCAGAGTGAGTAAGACGATGCACCATCCGCGCGTCTAACGCAGCTTCTGCGGCAGCTGCGCGCGCGCCACAAACTCCCACGTCCTCGAGCCATCTCAATGTCCACGCACTGTCCAGCCTTCCAGCCGCCGTCAGCATCGAGTCGCCATGACCACCCTAAAGAGGTAATTAAAATAGAAAATTGATGCATTTAATGAAACGTGGGTTTTTAGTATGCGACTGAAAATGTTACCAGGTTTAATCAATAAAACATTTTTAACTTTCTATTACTCTTTTTAGTTGCTTCATTGAAACATCGGGCCTAATTAAAACGACTTTAACTTACATATTTCGCATTTTCAACTGTTACGGTTTATTTTTTGAAAGTGTAAGATCCGCGTAAATTACAGACAGTCCTCAAATACAACCTTAACCCAATGAATTGAATTCATTAGTGTAAAAATTTCCTTATCCAGGGGATAACAAAGTGGAAAGGCCCCACTTTAACGTGCCCAGACAAAACATTCGTTATTTATATTTTCAATTAACAACGTATTCTCATAAACACATTATTTTAAACGAAAAGTTAAATTGTCCACTGAACTGGGCATTTATGCACAAATAGTAAAGTGTAACATACCAAAAGATCAGTCAAGGCAAGCACGATCTTCTTCTTATGCATCGGATGTTTGATGGAGAGTTCTTTTTCGATTGAATGATGGGAAGCGGCTGCAATGATGCCCCGAGCGTCCGAGGTCGACCCAAGCCACGAGCGGGCAGCGGGTACGTATATCTCGAGCCCGAGGTGCTCCAACCAGCCACACGTTGTCTCGCAGTCCCACTGTCGAACATCCGTGGTTTGCCTGATGGTATAAAATGCCCTGTTTTTATTATCTAAATATATAAAAATCCACAAAGTTTTGTTAGCGTTATTGATGTTTCAAATAACATGTTGATCTCGTATGTATCATCAATTGTTCAGTCTGTGGATTTTAGAATATTCAAAGCCAAAGCAGTCGACAGCGCAATTTGTACCTCAACTTGACAATCAAGTGAAATAAATGCTTGTCCTCCTATATATTAAAAAAGCTAATCAATATTTAAATAAATAGTTCTTACCACGGCATAGTCTGTGTCTTCTGCCTGGGTGCGGAAGCGCGAAGGGAGGAACGGTTCAACTCGTCTCCCTCCAATCTAACACCACCGCTTCCTAGACGAGCCCGGACCTCCCGTAAGGATGGTGATGGACTTCCACGTGGAATCACATCGTCCTTCTCCGCTGTGAACAATAATTTGTACTAATGTAATGTACTTACTGTACAAGAATTTTTTAAATTTCTTATTACATCTATGAAGCTTAGGAATATAGTCATAAAAAGCCTTTTTCTTAATTCTGTATCCCGAACATTATATATTATATTGCATTTATAAGCAAACAGATACTTTATGTTTTATCTTAGCCTAGTTAATAATTAAATATCCATTCACCATGGCAGACAATCAAGTTTTACATCATACGAGTTATTAATGACTAAATGGATTTTTAAAGCGTTTGTATAAGCGATATTAGACTTAAGCATGTAATAAAACACGTCATCACCTGGTCCAACCACAAACACAATTTTTTTTAAGATACACCGAAACATAGGCAGGATGTTTTTCAAATCCTAACTTGGGAAATATATAACCAAAATGGTTAGAAAAGTTTAACAGATTGATTTACCGCAAAAGAAGAATAACATTTTATTCACGTCAAAGCATAAGCTATGCATTATTTTTCGGAATTTTTAGTGTGTACTGGCTCCGTAGCAGAGTAGGAAAAAATATAATAATGATTAGCTTGTCTGTAATTTATGCAAATAGTACAAATTTAATTGAAACACCTTTAACATCTTTATCCGCTCATGGGGAGACCACGGCTGCAAAGCATCCAGACCGTCGGGCCATAGTTAAATATAATTCATATATTAAAACCGTTAGGAGTGTTTCATTTAAATCGAATGGAAGGCGTCATCTACATGCATCAAAGGGGAGGGGCTTGCAAGCGGGGCTGTAGAGACCTAGATTGGGTACGGATTGTCCGCGTCCACGAGCCACCACCATGTTGTGTTTACCGAACGCCAGCCGAGCCTCTATCGCACTCGAGGGCAGCACAGAAGACCGCGGCAGCGAAGAATACATGTGCGTGTTTCTCTCGATTTGACGCCCGTAGTTCGCTGGTGGTGTCTGGAATGCATTTAATAAAATGAATAGCGTGACATGACGTTTAAGCTAACCCTAATAAAATAATTTAATTTCGTTCTTCAGTGCTTAAGTAGCAAGTTCACTCGACAACATAACGTTGTTTCCATAGTAGAAAGTCTATAGTGACACCATATTTTGAAAATGTATCAAACATATATTGAAAACTTTATTATTTTTTACATGTTATTGCATATGAAGGCATTATATAATTTAAAAATCGAAAATAAATTAAAAATTTCAGCGTCAGCGTTCCAACAGCACGGAACGCTGACGATGCCGGTTCAAGTCCTGCCCGATTCAATTTATTTTCGATTTTTAAATTATATATTATGTACTATGTATGCATCGACAACTTTCGCATTGAAATATCAGTAGGGTACCTAAGATTGCCCATTCAATTGGATTTTGAAGCGGCCATGTTTTTATGTCAAATGTCCTTAAGGCGTCTTTGATTTGCGAGGCTTTGATTTCTATGCTTATTTAAAGATTAAATAAATCTCTTCAATTTTATAAATAAATTAAATGGTTTTATAGATCAGAATCTAACTGCAATAAAACGCTGAGTTGCGACATCGCCCGTTTGACCTCGGAAGGCAAACTAGAATAATGCGAAAATATAATCCATAGTAACAAAAATCTAGGTTAGTTGGGGACTAAAATCGTCGCAAACGTCTCATTAGGCTACCATTTGAGTGCAGAGGGGCTCATTAGTCCCGCTTATTATGTCCTACGTTCACCCCATTTGTTTACTGATAACTCGGTACGTATTCCGATAGGAACCATATAGATCCTGTCTATACGCACGTTAAATAGAACAAATTTATAATACCTTAAAATGGAAATAATTAAAGATTTTTTTGTGTTTTACTATGGCAAGGTATAAAATATTTTATCTAACAGAAATACACCGCTATGACCTATATACAATCCCGCGTCGACACCTCGTTCCTCTTGTTTTCTAAATTACCTCTACACCTTTAAACGTCTTTTTAAACGTGAAACACCTTAAAACAGTGTATTCTACTTCTAAATCTAAAAGTAGAATAGAATAGTTAATTCGTTTTTTAAATATTTCGATTTTAATTAGTGTCTTAACACTCTAGTCTTTCACTTACCCTTGGAGGTGCAGGCCTGGCGACGGGTGTGGCGTCTGGCGGTGGAGACCTCTCCAATACTCCGCGCTCAGCAGCACGTAACCTTACTTCGCTTAACTTAGACAAGAGTTCCAACTTTTGAGTTTCCAGCGACGACCGCTGTAGCATTTCCTGAAACAAACGTCTTATGCTCAGCTATTTCTAGTTTGTTAAGCAACAATGATATTATCTACTTAATGTTTACTAGTCTTCGCTACAGAAGTCTAATTTATGTCTGACAGTTCTAAAAACGAAATCAGTATTGTTTTTAATAGTACTTTGTTTTTTATACCAACAAGTAAAACGAAAATCTGCCTTTGTATAAAAATCGTATAAAAAGTTTGGCGTATAATATCACTATAATATAAGTTATCTATGTTTTCTCAAATTGAACAGATAATGTTCTATCTATAATATTTTAATCCTGTATGGTTTGTTTGTTTTTTGAACGCGCTCAGAATAGTGATTTGAATTGAAATGCTTTTTTTGTTGGTTGAACCACGATTTATGAAGGAAGGCTTTAGGCTATCATACATTAGTCTGTGACCAATAGGATCGAAAGAACAGAGAAAATTGAGAAAAAAACGAGGAAACATTTCTCGGGGGGTTTTTGTTGCGTCCAATGCGAAAATGGTTATTATACCCAAAAATATACACAAAAGAAATACTATTCTTTAAATAATCTAAAAAGATGTCCATGACGGTTTATGTCTATCTATTACGATTAACTCACAATAATAGTTTTTATAGTAATAAAATTTAATCGAAACTTGTCATATGGCAAAAGAACGTTTGCCAGGTCAGCTAGTCATACATAAACTTAACTATAGTGAATTATAAAATGTATATTTGAATTCTGATTAATATTCAAGAATTGAAACATAACTGACCGAGCTCCCAAATACAGACAACAGGGAAATTAAAAATCTTTTTGGCAAGGCAACACACTGCAGACTGACCTATTATTTTCGACTTGAAACATAATAAAAATGTGCCAGAATCCACGGAACAGTAGCGGAAGCAATTAAAATACCCACTGCGCACTTCACTAGCTATGAAACTATAAAGCCTCGCTCAAAATGCTTTTAGTCCAGTTTTATTTTCTTTGTACACATAATAAGAATGTGCGCACTAGAGCATACGTTCAAATTATCGTCTATGGTATTGTAGAAACAATGATATTAATAATTAAGAAAATAATAAGCTACCCTGGATTTTCCTCATCATAATAAGCTGAATGAGGCAGAAGCGGTCATGGCGAAGGACGTGACCCAGGTTTGCGACTTTGCGCTGCTTGATAGTCCGTAGCAGCATTCTTGTCATACCAGTGCGTTGAAGGACCACATCGTTTGATATTCGTTGGATCCAACTGATCCGAAGCATGCGACGATAACACCACATCTCAAATGCTTCAAGGCGTCTACGACTTCTACGAGTGTCTTCTTTTATGGTCCATGCTTTACAACCGTAGACTATTGGCCATATGTAGCAGAGGAGAACTCTTATTCGGAGTTTAACGCTCAACTGGCGACGGCATAGAACTTTCTTCATTTTGTTGAACGATCCTAGGGCAATTTCTATTTGGGCCTTGATCACTTAGTCAGGATCCCATGTTTCATTAACCCAAGTCCCAGTACTTGAATTGTTGCACCTGTTCGACCGCTCTTCCGGCTACTAATATGTTTTACTAACATAAATTAAATTAAAGGTATACAATTAAAGTTAATTTTATACTGTAAGTTATTTTTCCGGATAAAAGGATAAAATGTATAATAATTGTCCTAACTTGTCGAAAAGGACGAAAAGATTATGAACGGTTTAAGCATATTGTAGTAGCTTATAAAATACTATTTATATATACATTCAAATTTTGTCAATTTCAAAATATTCGGGAAAAATATAGTTTTTCTAAATGCCTTAAAAGTGTAAGGTAGAGTATAGTTATTATTATAGTACGTTGTCTACAACGAGAACATGCACAATGTATAGGGAATTTTACTTTAATAACACTCCATTACTGTTAACAATCGTTCATTAGTAACCCGTAACCGAGAGCAGATGAAATCCGAAACAAATGAGGATCTCATCGATTTTCAAGCCATGCGTGCTTGCTGATTTTCAGTTCGTATTTTTATGGGTTTCCTTTATTACTCCTATTAGTAACTTATATTTAACAGTAATAAATAGAGATGGGCCGAGTACTCGGTTGAAAAATATGAAAATATAGTTTAAAAATATACACTAAAAGAGGTTATTGATGTGTGTAACACTAGATTTATAATTCAGATGTGCCAGGATATGGTTAAAAAAAATGTAATTATCAGAACACTAGTCCTAATGTATCCTGTTCTCACTTAGGGATTGCATCACTTCAATTATAAATATCTAACTATAAAAATGAGATGATGACGAACATATATAGAGTATTTAAGTAAGTGTATAGGTCATATTACTTAATATTTGTAAAGAGCGTCCAACTTAAAGGTGAACGCCTTTTAACATAATACATCTATACATGCCGTCCTATCTAAAGTCCACTTGAAGTTTATGGAGCATTTTTCACTGATCCGTGCTTAGGCGATAATATTTTATATCTATAGAATAAACTGCTACAAAGGCTGTGAATTCATCAATAATGTTTGTATTGAACTTGAAATCTACTGTTATTTTCACGTATTTTACTTTAAACTCAATAACGAATGTGTTTTGTATTTATTTTATAATTTAACATTATTCGCATTTATTAATTATAATAGATAATAAGATTTCTTATCTATCTATACTAATATTTAAAGCTGAAGAGTTTGTTTGTTTGAACGCGTTGATCTCGGAAACTACTGCTTCGAATTAAACAATTTGTTTTTGTGTTAGTTAGAACATTTATCGAGGAAAGATATAAGCTATAAACATCTAATAAGAGCTAAGAATCTGCGGGAAATGTGAAAAAACGAGTTTTTTTTTAAATCTCGGTGGGTTTCCGATGCGTACGCTGCGACAACGGTTCAATACACCCAAACAATATGTCTGAAAGAATGATTCCTATTTAAATAAATAAAAAAAATGTCCGCGACACTAAATTACGTTTATCTTTGAAGATTAACTTGCAAGAACGACGGGACCCGATCAAAGGGTCGCGTGCGACGGTACGCGTCCGATGTCGATGTCGGATAGCAATTTAAATTTATAAAGATGAAGAACTTTGTAAAAACACATTTGGATACCCAAAATAACTTTTTTACGTGGACGAAGTCGCTGACACAGCTAGTATAAGATATAAATGCAGCCTTTATCATCCTTTGTCGAATTATGTATTCAGTCAGAATACTTCCCCTTTTTATAAATTGTATTGGTTCTTGTTATTGTAAAGTTTTATATTAATTCAAAAATGAATCGCGAAAGCTTAACTATCTTTTTACCTATTAATTTGACTTTTTAACTGTTCATTCGCCTCTATGGTTTAATCTTCGATTTTTTTTGTTTAATTTAATATAATTTATTTAATTCTTATTCGTAATGTGATATATTATGCAATATTAAGAAGCTATAACTTTTATTAAATAAATGCGGTAATATTAATATAAGTTGATAAGAGAAGATATTTATCTTAATATATGTCAAAAGAGTTCATGTCTTCAAGGAGCAAATTCAAAAACCGATTAGATACGAGACCACTGAAGAAGAAACTTTATCAATCAAACATTTTATTCCTGCATTTACTCTTATCTCGCTTAATAAAACGCTACTGTTGGTGGGCGGTAACGAACAAATATACAACGGCATTAGGCTCTTTTCAGACTACGGTTGAATATATAATTGAATTTAAAGCGAATAAAATCACATTTTCCCTCGCATAACGCTAACAAATTTCTGTGTCTGTTTCATTGATCAATTTTATTTATAGAGATGCAGTTGATCAGACTTCTGTGCCCAGCCTGACCGAAACAATTTGTTGCCCAGCCATTCTAAGCTTGGACCTCTAATTTTATATCTATACTAATATATAATTATATTAAATTAGATGTATATCATTTGTTTCAAGACAACAAAACGCATGTTTTAAAGAATTATTTCTTTTTGACTGATTAAAAAAATAGGCAACACAATACGCCTATCTTTTACGATTAATTTGCAAACAGCGACCGACGTCGTAGGTAACAACTGTAATTTTGATGCCAAAAATAACTGTTCTATGCGGGCGAAGCCACTGGCACAACTAGTAAGGTATATAATGCAGGTGATTATTATTATTATATAGTTTATATCATCAATATGTATTTTCTGTGGTGTGTTTTATAAATAATAAAGCAATAATTAATATATTTAATTGTATGGTTATTGGGGTTCCATACATATACTTCGACATTGTAAAATAGAGCTTTAAGTTGGTACCAGCGTTCATTATCGAATTATTTTATATAAAAATATAAATTGTAAAGTTTATATATTACCTTTTACATTCGCTTCCAGAAGATATGTTTTAAACTAAAGGTTAGCCTGCTCGTGTGTTACGTTTACCTATGCTAAATAGTAAAGTTATCTATAATTATCAAGAAGTACCAGCTAATTACGCATGACCTCACTGTTCACTTGTAGTATTACAATTAATCACATTTGTAAAAATTATGAAAAGGTATTTAGGTGATTAAACTCGTCCGCCTCTAACGACACTGTCTACCTGCACAGTTTACAATTTACACGTTAATATTTTGTACACCGACGCTCATTAGCTTGCACTGAGTCATCATTACTTTTAGTTGTACGTGGGCAATGAACAGCAGAGGCAGCAGTTAAATTGACGAGAAGCAGACGTTTTCTTATCTAGAATAATATTGCTCGTTTTAGGGTTCCGTAGTTAACGGGACTCTGTTACTATGACTGCTGTTTAAACGACGGTTACCTGGCGTTATCTTTCGAACCGAATAGTTTGGTATTACAAAGACGCATTAGCTAAATTTGTACTATATTTAAGCGGCATGAAAGGAGTTTCAATTTGTTCTTTTCAGTTCGATATTGACATGGACACGTGTTACCCTTCATATGTTCATTGAATATATGAAGGTTTAACTTGTTAATTAACAGTAAAATAATATCAATACTTGATACAACTAGCGTGCTTTTCAACTGTTATTACCATTTATTGAAAACCCTTCGTGGACAAATCCATCCTGAACTTGACCATTTCTTACCACTAAATAACACAGAAATAACTTTGTTATGGTTTAGAGATAGCTTCAATGATAGTTTCGTTGTTTGAACAAACACCAAAAAGTCTATAATTTACGGAAGTAGTACATTTTAATAAACACTTTGAACGGTTTAAAACGCGAAATATTTACTTATTTTTAATTTATTTAAATCACGGGCTGATGTTTAGGATGCTTTGCCATAGCCGTGGTCACGTGGGTTTCAATTCTTGACCGGAAAAAGAATTATCAGCGTGCATTACACACAAACAAATACATTTTGTATTCAGCGTAGACATGGTTCACAATTACTGAACAACACAAATACATTATGAAGCGAGTTAGAAATTGTACAGCCTACGCCAATCATGTTTATTCAATCACTATATTCTACTGGGTATAGCTCGCTTTAAATGCTAAGCAGATTTACACCTCGCTTTGAATAATTCAGATGTGCTCGTCAGTACCGTTGCTTCTCAATCTAATTTTCGTATTGGAAGTACTTTAGATTATTAATGTTATTAAAATTTTAGCGCGGAAATATTGTACGACTATTGAAAATTAAAACGATGATGACGCAGGCGGGGATCGAGCAGCAACGGTTCCATGATGAATCAGCTACTGTTTGAAAAATTTTAATATTTTTGACACATTACACATGATGGCACTATATACATTAAAATTCGATTTTAGGTGAAAAAATCGAGTTTATAACAACAGCTGGAACGTTGTGGATGCCGCTTCAAGTCCTGCGCGTGTCCTAAAATTACTTCAATCTAAAATCGATTTTTAATTAATTGGGCGACTTGTTACTTCTATGTTTGTCGAATTTTTGAATGTTCAAGATTGTATCATCAATATTTTTCTACATTCGTCTATACTACTGATAATTGATTACCTACCTATATTATTTATTTTACAGTCAATTATATGTTTTACAAGCTAAAGTACTTCCAACACGAAAGCTATACTAGTTTAGTTATAAATTTTGCACCTATTTAAAAACATAACTTTTACATACCTTTTGAAGTCTCTGTTCAGTATCGTCTAATCGTTGTCTTGCATCGTGTAACGATCTGTCCAAGTCAGCCATTTTCTCCGTCTGTGCTGCGATTTGCTCTGATAACACTTGCACTTGCAGCTGTAAACTCTCCTTGTCTGATTCCAGACGTCGCACTCGGTCTTCAGCGTCATTCTGAAATAAATAAATATATAATACTGAATCGGTCGTCGCACACGACTAAATAGTGAAATAAGTTGTGTCTGTAAGTTTAAAACGCGAAATATTAGTATTAATATTATTTATCGTATCCCCCCGTGACCACGACTGTTACAAAGCAGTCGAAACGGACCGCAGTTAAAATGTTTGCCTCAAATTTCGCCTTAAAAACCGTTAAAGGTGTTATTTAATCATGAAAAAGTTGTTATTTATATTTGATTACTTTTATCAATACATATTGTAGGTAATATGATTTTTATTAAAAGAATACATCATTAAAAAATATCATAAACTTTTATCAGCAAAAAACATTACAGTTTTTTTTTATTATTCAACGGGCGGTGAAGATGTCCCATTACGAACTTTAATAGTGCACCACATAGTATAGTCATAACTTTTTCTTTCCAGAGCAATCAATTAACTACTTACTATCCTTTCATATATTTTCGATATAAAAATCATAAACTGTTTTGCAATCTAGCCAAACATGTGTGTAAATATAAAGAAAATAATATTCCTAAATATAAAAATGTGTCAACATATCGTACACATTAAGGTACCTTTAAAGAACGAGACGGCATTGTCGAAAGAGAATGATGGGATGGCCAAGTGTTTTCTGAATGCATACAACACGGTGGAGGAGGAGGTGGTCCATGGCACCAACACATCGGTGGATACCAGCCGCCGTCTGGCCAACGAAAATGTTCGTAAGAGTTCCATCGCCTTTGCATATCTGGCTGGTTCTCTTCATTTCGAGAGCGACGTGGTTTGGGAGACACCCTTAAGCTCGAGGGATGTTGAGGCGGTTTTGTTGATAGTGAGGACTTTGTTTTACGATCGCGCTCACCTCGATCGCTGGGTGTTCTTCGTCGTCTCTCTAAACTGGCTGAATTGTAATTATTTTCACAGCGAGAACCAAGTGACTGAACTTCCGTATCATCCATTATGACACTTTTTGGCATCCATTTAAAATCATCATCACAGCGAGTACTGTTATCTGTTCTCCTTGTTGGGGTCAAGGTCCGGTAGTCGGCATCACAATCGCGGGTAACGTACTCCTGACCGTCGGAGTCATCTTCACTTGTAGAAGTATCAGACTCAGATGAATCGCCTCTCTGAGGTTGGACAGTGGTCTGGTTCGGCCACCCAGAGCATTTCACTGATGTTTCATCAGGACTATCGGAGTCAGCGCCTGTTATCACATTATTATGAATGACACTTGAATATATTTACGCTCTCACGAAGAACACACATTTTTCACCTACCCATAGGGGAGTACATGTAGGAACGCACAGCAGGATGCACATAGCCCACTGCTGCTCGTTCCTCATCTTCCTCCTCAAAGGGTTCCGTGAGAAATTCGTGGTCGGACATGAGGCACCACGTAAACGACACTGCGCGACAAGCTCACACGATTACGAGTCACAAACGCGTCTCTATTTTAGAGCTTGGCCGCGTTCCAGTGTAACCATACGTCATCGAAACGTTTACAAAGCGCGAATTACGTACTCTCGTGTAAGGGTGGCTCCTCGCTGGATTGAATAGAGACTGAATCATGCTCCGACGTTTCCGACGCCGTTGATAAGGGTCGTTCGCTGATTCCGGAGGCGCGTCGAATCCGATCGTCAAAAGTGTTATTCCTCGGAGACCGTAGCAGGTTCCCTTCCACCTCGATCGCCAGGCGTGGATTGACCACGAATTTCGCGTCGGTTGCCGAACGACTATGCAACGTTGCTATAGTGGCAGCCACGATTGATCCCCCGCGGCCGAGCTCACGCATGTTTTAGTTCGAAATGAGTGGCGCCTAAACGAATACGGTGTTCGTACGCAGTCAAAAATAGACTACGGTACATGCGCCTGATCTGTTCCACACCCTTCACGGAACACACTTTGATCCTTGTATTAGGCGTGAGCGTTAGATTTGTCACATAAACAAGCTATTAACTAGCGATTACGTTACATGTTACAATTTACAAACAATAGACAAAAGAAAACACACGACAATGCGTAAGCGCATGTGAGTAGCGCGCCGCGCGATGCACACAAGTAACACTCGCGCACTCACCGGTTGGTTAACGCCTTCGTATAGAGAACGCCGAACGCCTCGGCCGTCGACATCCTCCTCACGATCTAAGGTGTGGTGCACCGTGTAGCGGATTCCTCCAGGAAAATAGAAACTCGTTTTACTTTCAAAGTTTTCATACATATATTCGGGGTTATACGGAGGTTGTACTGTGTAGTACGGCGGTATATCTCTCTCTTCTTTACGTCTTCTGCTTTTCGGTGTTAAGCAATTCATTTTATTCGTGTTGATCTGGATTACGATAAAGACATGAAATACCAAAACCCATAGTCCTATATCCACTAAGAATACATATACGGGAGTTTCGAATAAGGCCTGTAGGCGTATAGAAATTAATTATGTTAGTTACATAGTTTATTAGCTTACAATCACAGCCCCGGAAACGTAGACGGCTGTTATGTATTGTTAAATGTTTCGGATACTAAGCCTCCCCTCGTGTCGGAAATAGACGACAGCTGTCTCCTCCGTTAATGCTTATGAAATACACTTTTAAACATGGAATCTTGGAAAACAGCTTCGAAGAAATATACGAGTATAATACAGTATTTGGAAATGAGAATGTGAATAAATATTACCTGACTTATTTAGATTACTTACGAAATGAATTGATGGAAATTAACCTTTTACTGTGTATTTTTACTAAACATAAAACGATTACACTTCACAAGAACAGTTTAAAAAGCGCAGTATACTTTATCATTTTCCATTATTCTCAATCTTAAGATGGAAAATGTGAAATAATTTAAAGCCAATTAAGGGTGAAAGCTTGTAATAAAATATTCTCCATTTAATGTTCCTTAAGGTTCAGCTCATAATAACGTTTACGAGGTCGTCTATTTACCTTTTACTTGACTCTGTGGAAATGGCAATACAATTTAGCAAGCCCAACTTAAGTAACTAGATCAAACGCGGGCACCAAAGTGCTTTAACTTAATAAAAGATGTAGGCTAGCAATGGGATTATTCTAAAGAAAAATAGTGTGCCTCACAGTATTGCAATTTACGAAGGAATATAAGTATAGAAAGTTTAACCTGGACTTGACAGCAACTGACTGCCTGCTTTAGCGGAGAACGCGCCGTCTGTATGCAAGACGCAATTTTTATTCTCTCTTGTACACTGGCGATATCGATTAGGACGACCCACTTGAGACAAACGCTTAGAGGCACATTAATGCCTGCAAAAATGCGATAGGAACAATTCGCACATCACTTATTCCGTATTGAAGTTCGCAAGGTTTTGAGCTAAGACGCTCAGTGCTCGGCACCAAGATCACGGAGTGTCAACGACACATTAATAGCTCGAAAGCTGAAATAAATTGGGAACAAACTTAATAATACATTTGTATTTTTGGACCAAATCCGTTGATTCCGGCGGACGTTTGAGTTAGAATCTTTAATAGAAGCAAAGAGTATTAGCAACTTTTTTTAGGGATAGTTCTAGTATATAAAATCAACTTGTAATAAAAAATGAAAAGTTTGTTTGTTTGTTCTTTTCAACGCGCTATGCTTAGGAACTAATGGTTCGTATTAAAAAAATCCTTTTGTGTTGGTTAGAACATTAATCGAGGAAGGCTATAGGCTAAAAAGCATCGCGCTGTGACTAATAGGAGTGAAGAAACAGCGAGAAATGTAGGAGAAACGGAGAAAATGATTCATCATTGTGGCCTTCCGATGCGTACGCAGAAAAACTGTTCAAAATACCAAAAAAATATATATGAAAGAATTGCTCCTCTTTTAATCATATTAAAAAAAGTCCGTGATGTCTATTTTTTAAGATTAACTTGCAAGAACGACGGGACGCGACAAACGTCGTGGGTAACGACTTAAGTTTATAAAGTTGAAGTGGAGATTTGCAAAATCTAATTTGGATGCCCAAAATGACTATTCTTCGCGGACGAAATAGCAGATACACAGCACAGCTAGTAATGTATACAAATGTTTTTATTACTTTATATTGTATGAAGATCTCGCCCGGGCCGTTATTGTAAATTGATGGATATTTTAATCAATAAATTGTGCTCAGTACTTTAGATTAGTACCCAGATACAGTTATTTCAGTCGCGTAAAAAGCTATATAATAAACAGATTATTACGTAAATGTTCGCCTAACACTCTTAATAAGATTACAAGAGCTTCCTTATCAGCGAACATCAATTGTATTAATTGAAAACAATACGAGAAAGTGAAATCCCGTTTCCCCCTCGTGGGTCATGGGGTGAAAACATTTTTGTGGCCGTTTCACTGATCCGTTCTTTTACAGGCAAATAGTTGATCAGACTTCTGTGCCCTACCCGACCGAAACAATTGTTTGATTCCCTGTGATTCGTATCCAGGACCTCTCGCGCTTAACGCAATGCTAGGCAATACGTTTAACCATTTGGCTACAGAGGCGGTAATGCTGCCATATTGTTTTGTAGTAAATCTCAAACAATTCGTAATACTTTTGGCCTATTCTATGTTCACATATTGAAATAAACAATTAGTATACCAATTTTAGTTTGTGTTCATTTCTATGTTTACACAAGCCGCATAGAATGAAGCAATCGGATTAGGATGTCCTAATTTCGGGAAAACATGGATACGCTATAACGTTAAAAATAAATTGGATTTACATTCGTGTACATGAGCTACGTAAAATCAAATATAAAATCAATATTAAGCAAGCGTTTAATTTTCTTGATCTTAAGTACATGAAAATATCAAAACTATTTAAATAATATATAGAGATTCAAGTAACGACTTATATTCACTCGATGGGAGTTGAAATATCCCAGCCATATAACATCTATCAATTTATAATGTTTCTGAAATATTATATAAATTGAAAAAATAGAAACATATTTGACCCGGTGAGGACCGAACCCACGACCCGAAGATTATTAGCATACATTACTATTACCATTAGACCAACGAGCCAGTTTTAAATATTCAATTCGTTCGTGTAAAATCAAATCTCATCTTAAAATCATCCGTATACGGGTCCTCTTGCGCTACACAAATATATGGATGTACGAGTACGTTTATTTATAGAATCCACGCAACGATGCAACCGTACTTTAAGTCTGTATCAAATATTATGATTCGAAACATATACGAAATGATGCTTTTGACACAGTTATTCCGATTCACATCCATTTTATACGGTTATTAAAATTATCTACGGTGATTACTAAAAAGCGGGCAAATAAAAAATATTAATAAAGCATATATAACATATATGTATATTTCTTTAGATTCCGATACTCATTTTTCTGTGGCCGCGACCACTGAAATGCTCAAATACGTGAAAATTGTTTTTTTTTTTAGTATTACTAAAGACTTGGTCCTTCTGTTAAAATAAGGAAACACGTTGTAAAAAATCTTTTTTTTTTGGACTAACCGATTCCTACCAATTAGTTTCTTGAAACAGGGTCTCAAACCACCCTCAAAAATAGTGGTACACGAACACAAATCTCATGAAAAACTTACCAATAATTAAACCTTGAATAAAATGTTTTAACGACTGACGTTTTTTCGTTTAACGTTGAATAATACTATTTTTATTCTCTTGAATTTAAATACTGTCTGTAGTTTACGCGAGTAGTACACATTTAAATAAAACACTATAACGGTTTTAAACGCGATATATATTAGTTAAACTTATAAGAAACCCCGTGACCACGGCTGCTGCAAAGCATCCGAAGCGTCGGGCTGTAGTTTTATAGTAATAGTAGTAAATAATTTTCAAACAAGTTTAACTAATATATATCGCGTTTTAAACCGTTAAAGTCTTTTAAAATTATTTATTGATAAAATCGCTTATCTACCGAACGAAATAAAGATAAGCAATATCACCTTCGATTTCGAAATTTAATTACAGAGCCTGCTGTGTTCCGTCTCCAGATAAAAGCAATAATGGGAGGCTCGACGCGACTGAACAGACTGAATTTTAAATTACACTTTACCCAAGCAAATTTGCTGAGGCAGCCTGTAAACAGATTCCGACGCGTTTCAGAATGCTACACGAGACTCGTACGAATGTAATAAGTGCCAAACAGTATCAACCGAAACGAACTTATCTATCAAATATACTTTTTTTTAATGATGGTGACATACCCCGGCCTATAGCATCTAAGCAAGATGCGTTATCGACCTATTTTAGCTTTGGATATTCGGTAATTCACAGACTGAAACCGAAACGAGATTAAGCTTCACGGCTTTTTCATCTGTGGCCGGTAGTTCGTGATCCGGACAGAATTTCTATATTCCTACCACACATTTAATATCCAGATTTCCAGACGAAGTATTAATTTTAATACGTTCAGTAAAATTATAGATACATAAAGAAATTCATATTATAGCAGTACTAATTGCATATTGAAGCTACGAAGCTATAAAAATCTTCAAGGGGTGGTTCTTCAAGGATCTTGAACGGAAGCGGGTGGCGACGGAAGCCACTCGTTTCACTCTACGCTGATAGTAGGGAGTTATGAAACATCAAGACAAATATAGTCATTATTCAAAGCAGATTTAAATACGACTGGAATTTTATTTATGTGAACTACTAAGACAGTAATCTGGTGATATCAATAAGACACTATATAAACTCTTTCCTATAAGCGGCGTTGGTCTAGTCTCTAGTGACGTGCGAAACGAAAGCTGTTTGAGATGTCAGAAGTTCAATCATAGTGTACATTCCGATACAAGCTTGTCAATAAAGCCATAGTAAGGACTTTGACGACATAATATGTCAGATAACATAATACATATATTTTATAATTATAATATCCAAACACAATATAATATATGAGGCCGCTAAAGACAGCCCAACTGCAATTTTATGACGTATAGAGTTATTTATATTTTTATAGTATAAAATTGTTAACATAATTCTTACACAAATAATAGACCAAATTCACTTTGGCCTAAGTTAGTTTTTTTTTTCTGTTATTAGGCCACTCCGTCTCTAGCAGCCTCATACTATTGCCGATAACGTATTTAAAATCTAAATTAAGTAAATAGATACCAATGCCGAAAACTAATAAAAGCTATATTTATTTACCGTAACTCTTTTTAAATTAACGCAGAAACAGACGTTCTAGTTTTTAAACAGTCAGTTACATTATGTATGTTTACTATCAGAAAATAGTTACTAACATATAAGAATGAGACGTATTAGATTATTTGAATAGTCTATTAAATTTTAATTAATATGTGACAAATAACCGTACTACAAAAGTAACCTATCACCGTTCAATGATATTCACAATTTCCAGGCTCGCCAATCGATGTTTTAATTAAACTTGTTTGGGCATTTCCATTAAAGTCGATTGTAACGAATTTTGACAGGAATTCATTTTCGTGATACGAAAATGTAAATTTCTGTCTTTCCGGAATCTCGGTACGTTTATGTCGTAGCGTTTTTTGGACATGTTTTGAAACAAGTTGACAATAGTTAAATAAAACACTTTAACGGCTGAAAACGCGATATATATTAGTTAATTACACATTTTAACTACGACGTCACCCCGTGACTACGGCTGCTGCATAGTATCCAAAACGTCGGGACGGAGTTACGCGTTTTAACCGATAAAGTGTTTTACTTAAACGTACTCGCGTAAACTACAGACAGTATTTAGGTTGTCAATACTAAACAATCTTATAAAGCGTCTATAAGACACGACGCTTTATCGAGATGCAGTGTCATTTTCAATCATATTTTCTCCTCTTTAGCCATAGTTCCTATAAAATAGAATATGAGCAACAACTTCCCTTAGATTGACTTGGAACTACGATGTAATTGGTTATCATTAAAACTCATGTTAGCTACGTAATACGGGAAGCTCCCTGTCTGAACTCTGAGCATATTCTAATTAGCACTAATGCATCGTGCGTTCACCTGGAACCGCCTAGTTTGCGGAATAGCCGGCTACCCCTATTAATTAATATTATAATAATTAAAATGGCATTATAGTGCATTGACCCACCTTCGCATATTTCCCATATAACCTCAGTTATTGGAGCATTTATTAGATAACGCTGACACATTTGCTCGCGGAATGGAAACTGGGGTACAGGAATGATTAATTATAATTCAGTGACCGAAGTTCTCATTATTGATATTAACTGAATACAAAACCGATAAAAGCAAAATCATATTTATTGAAATTACGGGATGACAGACAATTAATATGCCCGCTATTTGACACCTGAATTTAATTAAGGCTGGGAGCAGAGAACAGATACACAATTCCACGAATAAATTGATGGTATTATGGCGATGTTTTGACGTAGCCAGAAGGTTTGTACAGTGTCGGATTCAGGGCGTTTAAGCCAGCATTCAAAGTCAGTACTTGCCCGGGAGGAAGCCTCTCTCAATGAATGCTTAAGTGGTGCACACGATATGCATTCAAAGTGCACTCAATCCTTGCGTGTAAATAGATCCTTTCATCCAAAATGTGTCACTTGGTCCTGCTGGCCGAGTGCGTGGGAAATTTTCAATTCATCTTCCGTAGGCTTACCGCGTCACTCTGACAAACCGAAGCGTTGTTATTCCAAATATAAAACGGCGAAAACGATCGAGTTCCCGAAGTAGTCAAATTAATCCGGTCGAGGCTTAAAACTTTGTATTCGTAACGGGTCCGAGGGGCGAGCGTACCTAACGTGGCATTCTGAACTTGCCCCAACTTTTATAACGACGGTCTAGAAACGACCACAACGTCGACTTTTCAGTGCCACGAGCAGCTGTAGCATTAAATTTTTCCTGAACCTCATAACTTTGCTTATTGCTAAAACGGTTCAGAACTTTTCTACGCTCTATTTCGGTTTTATTGGTGTACCAAGATGTACGTGTATTTTAGTAGGAGTTTGCGCTAATAACACAAACAAGAGAAATTTAACGAAGGGAGCTTCGGTGCGTAACATAGTAAAATATTATCCTGTGTAAAGTTGGCGTGTTTTAATCATCGTAAGAGGCCAAAAATCTATTCAATGGCAGAATAAAAGTCTCTTCATCTGACGGAAGCAGGATTTGTTCAGAATAGACATGGGACAGTGGATCAATAACACGAGGTCGCGAATTGTTCGCGGCAAGCATTGTAATGCCATTCAGACAGAAGCCAGAGTACAGCGACTATTTCTGTTAAAAACGTAGGCCGCCGTCAAAATATGTACTAGAAATGCTGTCTTACGAGACATCGGTTTTATTGAAATTATACGTAAAATCGTAAGCTCCGTTATTACACCAGTATCATATTACATATAGTATTTCTAATTCATATGTTTTTAAATTATTATTTTGTTAGTAAAAAATTGGTATTGACTCACAAGTGAAAATACAGTACAACACGTTTGCCTCTTAGAAATATTTGTGTGCAACGGAATTCGATGCATGCGTCAGATTAAGGACTGCTAATTAATTACCATTAGTTCAACCACGCATGGAATAAACTCCAAATACCCAAACGTGGAATATGTGTGAGCTGCATCAGACCCTCACGGCAGCGGGCAAAGGTGCAGGGCGAACGCAATTAGTTCACTTCCATACGCTACTTTCAAAGCTTTTCAGCTCATGTAATGTTAAAATTTTAATATCGCACAGAAAAATTGGTGCTGTACATTTTTTGTACAACTCTATATGCTTATCGGAAATTTATATTTTTTTGGTTTAATATACTTCTCGATGCCAACATCCAAGCGAATGGCTGTTGGCATAGATGAAAGCTGTCGAAAAAATATAATAGTAATATATAGTATCAAGTGTAATATATAATTAATTGTACTTACAAGTGCGACAGAATTGTTGTTCTGTTGTAACCATCGCAGGATAGCACTGGCCGTCGTAAAATCTGGTCGAGGTGGTGGAGGAATGGCATGTTGAAGGGATGTGGCTAACTGCTGTGCTAACTCCAAAGCACGTGCTCTGGCTTGTCTACCAGGCCCCGTCGTCCCACCGGGTCCCGTTCCACCCGCCTCTAGAGCGATATCAAGAAAAACAAATAGCATTAGACTAAAAATAAAGCGGTACAAATTTAATTAAAATACTTTAACGGTTCAAAACGCGATACTAATTACACTTATTCGATATAAAAATAAAGCGTTATATTTAACAAAAGAAATGTATAATTAAATAAATTGTCTAAATTATTTGAATATTAATTTTATTCTCCGCTAAGACGGAAGGAGAAATGGGTGGAATGATCAAAGAATGATGTGGACTGATGACCTGGCATTCTATCAGTGTCCCCAGGGAAAATAATAATTATTATTACAATGTACTGTACAAATTCCTATCCGAATTATTCTACAGTAATATTAGTGCTCCGAAATACTGAAAAAACCTACGGAGTCTTCAATATAACTGCTTTCAACCTGAACTCCGAACTCATTACTCTGCGATATTCCAAATGAGGCAAAGCGAGTCATGTCCTTATTATGAAACGCTGCAAACTTTAGTTGAAGTTTAAAGTGATGTGTTCTAAATTAATGAACTAGCACAAATGCGCTGTCAAGTGGATGAAAATCGTGTTTCCAACTCCAGGATATAAGCTCTCGGCAGAAGCGAGACCACAAGATTGTCTTATGACGTTGTCACTTAAAAGGTGTTGTATCAATTTTACAACATTTTTTATCTATTGTGATAAATCATAAGCTGACAAGTTGATTCAAATAAAAATTTGGTTATGACTTCGCCTGATACGAAACAAAACGTCCAGGTATTACTTGAGTCATACTTAAAGCTACCTTAAAACTACATGTCTTGTCTCAGGAACCTTATTGCGAATGTTTGGTAGATAGGATTCCTTGCAATAAGATCAAAAGATAAAATATTATAAGGAACATACAAAAATGCCACGCTCCAAATAACACGTTCGCCACAATATATTATCTAGTCATCATTTTCATGAAACGAAAGAACGCCCACAAAAAGAAAACACATTGTACAAATGCTGTTTTGTGAGGAAAAATATACCAACAATAGCTTAATTATCTCTGGTGCTGAGGGCGGATAATGAGCAAATGGCAACTTCCCAATGGTTGCTAACATACAATACAAGTTAAACCATCGGATTGCGTTCACCATACAGTATGGTATACATTTACTGCGTATCGATCGCTTGAATTAAGCTATACCGAGCTATTGCTTGACGCTTCTGCATGCCTTGTGGTTAAAGATTCCTTTTGCGCCGCTATGAAGCTTTTTGCTAGTGCAACACGAAAATTCCTTGCTAACGAGAAATTCAGAATAAGGAAATTTGGATATATAAAGCAATAGAATTGAAATTTGAATATGGGTTTATTTAAAATAACGGACAACAAAACTAGTCTTAAATTGTGTAAGGCTTTCACGATCATTGTTCAGCATATCATTGTCTTTCGGGCTGTTCGGCCGACGTGAGCGAAAAGAGGTTCTCGACGTTTCGCCATCACGTGTGCATCACGGACATCATCATGATGCCGTCCACACGTGATGACGACCGAACAGCCCGAAAGACAATGATATGCAAAACAAGTCTTATTTGCCTGCCTGCCTCAATCACGTACGTGTGTACGTTTCTCGGTATTTTCTCCAATAGATAAACTCAACTTGAACTTTTTATAAAAACAAGAAGCTAGTGCAAAAGTTGCCTTCACTAAAAGCACCCGCAGCGGCTAATCAATCCTAGAGTTAAGGACAACTATAAGAAATTATTTAATTAATTAAATAAATTCCAATTATAATATTTATTCTTCAAAGTAAACAGGCTGGCGAAAGTCACTTTTTCGAGCAAAATCGCACGCGAGTGGTAGTTATAGAGGAGTCATGACAAAAAACTATATTTCAGGTACATTCTGTTTAGATCAATATTTCATTTGTATTTAACTCTTAATATTTTGAATTTATCGAAAGCAATTTACTATTTAAGCTCCGTACCGCAGTAGCGCCTGCCGAAAGTAATTAGTTAAAGAGAATGGGTGCAACTTTGAAGTATTATACCCGAGAACTCAATATTTATGTGCCCTTGTATAGAAAATAATTAAGTGCTCTAATTAATAAGGGACTTTCTTAGAGAACATAATTAAGACTCATAATAATAATGATGGCTATAGAAAAATAAAGAAAATTTAATATCTAGTATTTAATACCGTTTACCTACATCGTTTTAAAGATCTAAAAATATCCTATAGCTATCGGAATGTCGTCGAAATTATTGCAATTGCAGAAATACCGTGCAGAACGAGGGAATTGTATCCGCGATGGAACAATGACTCTTTCGCTTCGGGCACGAAAACAAAAACCACGCCATCAGTTTTTTCTTTTCATTACATAGCGGATATCTAGTACGATATTATTTTTAAAGGGAATTGTAGCAGCATGATGATTTACAGGAACGTTTATGTATTATACCTACATACTACATATATAAGTATATGAAATAATGAACGTTAAAGTTACAGAGCGCAATAATATCAGTCATATTAATATAGGCTTTCTTATGATTCAGATAATTGTGCCAAAGCCATCTTTTAAAAATATCGTTTATAAATTTGTTCTAGACACTTTGTAGCTGGTTGTAAATTAGTTCCCATTCTTTAAAAAAAAAAACAAGGGTCTTTATAGAAAGACATTCATCGCAAGATACCTACGACATGCAAGAGATACGTTTCAGATCATGTTATTAAATCTAAGCTATGAATCATCTCGATCAATTCAAAGCACTAATGATCTGATGATCATTTATTGTCTACGGTTTTATTAAAGAGGCTTTAGCCGCTAAGAAAATGAATTTCTCAGTAGAATCCAAAATGCATCATAAAACAATCGTAAGAACAAACACGTTGAACACACATACGTTGAGGTATTTGTGATTCCGCCTCGATGTCGAATAGACCTCGGCCACAGATGTCGAAAATCCAACATCGCGTCACGTGTTCGGGCCATTGCCAGCACCCAGGCATTGCAATTATAAATGCACCACTCCCATCACTTAAACCGACGAAAATGACGATATATGAAGTTAACTCTACACAAATGCTGTTAATAGTGACATTTAGTCATCTATAATTAAAAAAAAAACGTAAAGAAACATCAACTCCTAAAACGTAAATATAAAGAGCTAGAACTAAATCATAAGTAAAAACAAAACTATTATTACTCGTTATTAACTTCTGATAAGTTATTTGTTTAAGCTATATAAGATTCTATTCATAAAGGAAGCTGTATTTTACTACAGCTTTATAGCTTGCTCTCAACAGGCTGGCTAAAACATGAAACAGTAGACGTGTTACTACGGCTTTGAAGATATCAGACGTTTTCCTCATACTGAGTACAATAGGTGGCTTATCGAGATTACTCTTCCCTCTCAAACAAAGGGGGAGACTGGGGTCAATGGGGTGTTATCGAAATCCGTGTGAAAAATACGAACCTGTTGAATGGGAGACACGAGACAGACATTGAGATTTAAAACAAAAGAACATTGAAAAGCCACACGTTGTAGCAGCAGCAAAGAAATAAGTTCAAAAATTTCATTTGCAAGTAAATACGTGTCGTCTAAATTTTGAACGACATAATTTTATATTATTCTTAACATCAATACATACATAAATATATAATTTGCGTTAAAAATTAAAGTAAAAACAGAATTCCATTAAACTGTTAGGATAACATAATGTTTGCGAACTGCGATAAGAGGAGACGTCGGAAAATCGAGATACCTAAATTGAGAATGACATCACCTACAAAGTTGCTATTTCCTTTTTGGGTTTTCTCTTATTAGAGAAGCAATTTTCTTTTATGCCTTATTCAAGAGGTTCTCAGTATGCATATTTCAATAATAATAAATCATTAATTATCATTTAAACATAAACAAAAACATAAATGTTGAATAAAAATGTAATAATCTTTAAATAAAAAACACTTTTACAATGAGAATTTCTTCTCACACTTCGTTACTCTCATATACTATAAAGAAATATACTTTTGATTAATGATTGGAAATATATTAATTGAATGATATGTATAACATAAATAAATATGGCAATACAGGTAAAAAGTAGATATTAGAAAAAGTCGCGTAATTTCGCGAGCGGCGCGTCCTTGCGACACGCGTGTTGCGGCCGACTGGCGCCTTTTCACCCTCCGTTCAACAGTTAGCACCCCTTGGATCCCCTTACACACCCTTAGTTACAATTTAATATTTGACCACATGTATGAAACTGATAACGACAATCATACATACAAGTTTTCACAAACAGCTACAAGATAAATTTGAAGTATTCATGTTGATAATAATTCAATTTTATACACCTTATTATTTATTAGACCTTATTAGAATAATAAACTCAAAAGTAAGAAGTAGTCGTAGGATTAAAAATATAACATAAGGTTATTCAAAATATTTCCAAAAATAATTAAAAAGGTTTATTATCTTACTTCACGGATGGATGTGGCTTGAATTGCTCTTTTTAACAATTACATTTGCAAATAAACACTAACAAGATAAATATATTTTGGATCATATTATATACTTTCTAAAGTTACACAACTAGCAGAGAAAATCAAACATTTTCAGAGATGAGTTGTACCAATAAGATATCTGTCCTTTAACTTTAAAAATAATTAGACTAAAACATTTAAACAAAAGATGTGTAATAGGTCTGCAAATCTTTCATTTATAAAGATGTGTACTAAACAATACACAGAACCTACATAATTAAAATTTAATGATATCTTAGTTTGCATAAGTAACCCAGAGTTTAATATATATTTAAATTGTGATATATATTGACCTATTTAATAAGGTGAAAAGTAATAGTGATTACATATAAACTCACCAGCAATAATTCCATCCATCTGCTCAAGTGCAGCTTCCAGTAACTTTGCAGGGTCCGACTCTGATGTTGAATTATTATCGCCATCAACTTGTGTACTTCGCCCCATGACAAGAATATGTTACCCTCGTACTTGGACGATTGATTTTTTATCAAGATTATTTAACAGGAGAGACCGAAATAACTGAAATAGTTTATGTCTGACTTTCAAAAATAAAACTATATTCCTAGAAGTTAACTTAAAACTTTTTGTCAACAAAACTTTAGCGTAACTTTTGACGGTTGACAACTAACATACTTTTGACGTAAGGACTGACATTTGATATGACTGAGTTTTTACAGGTCCGATAAGAGTCTTTCTGCCGATACTAAGAATCGAAAAATAAAACTACAAAAAAAATCTAGAAACAAATAGCAGCGTCTTAAGCGTGCATTTTTTGAGTTTTAATAAAATAATTCGAATATTTTGCAGAATTTTGTTAACATGTCGAATAAATTATTCAAAGATCATATCATTATCGACCACACTCGTCGTTTGAGAGTATTATACTGTTTGATACTCGAAACGCACAAACATTAATTTATCGAATATTTTATTCGCTGATTAAAATAAAACAAACCATTTGTTTGATATTTTATTAGACCCTTTACCAAATTATTTTATTATAAGTAAATAAATATAATTATAATATTCGGTAATAAGTACCAATCCGTTTAAAATCTAGAAAATAAACAATTAATGTAACAAGATGATATACATATTAACTGCAAATAAACTTTACCATAAAAACAAGCTGAACAGCCATTTTGCAAATATTGCGCTATATTATAAATAAATAACATTTATTTTTTGTGTAAATATATTCTTATTGAGAGAAAAGAGTTTAACACACGCATCTAAATATTTATTGATATAATTTTCGAAAACACAAATATTTTATTACTGATCTAAGGCACAATCTGCTATAAATTGATATCATTTTTCTATCACTCAAAGTTACACGTTGCGATTCTCATAAATAGTTTACCCCTTTTAATGTTATTATTACATGTTATTTAACTAGAGTTAAGATTAATAACGCAATAAATTTAACAGCACAATATCAACGAATTTTCAATCTATCTACCACAATGATTGTTTTGAAACCTTAAACTACATTGTTATACATATAACAACTTAAAAACAAATTATTAAAATGTTGGTAAGCTGTATTTTGGTATTAAGGTGAGGACTTCTATGCTACAATACTTCTATTAATAAAATGAACATGAAAAAGGAAAAAAAAACTTGTTTAAAATTGTAGGGCTCTTAATGCTAACTTAACAAGCCCCCAAGTTGGTCTGGTGTTTAATGAAGTACCAATGGAAATGATGACCAATTACTGCAAACTGGCTTCAAAATAAGTCCGGTACTACCTATTTATCTTATAATAATTATAAACATAATCAAGTAGCTTTTAAAACATTTCAATCGATGCTTGAATACTGCTCAGTATGCTGCGCTATAAATTGACCTCTCTTTAATTTCATAATCTTATCACGATCGCTATTAGGGTACCATTACTACCACACAAAGTAAAGCATTTACATCGAAACTGCGTTAAACATGTCACTGAAGATTAAGAAAGAATCGAAGAGATTTCCTAGTTGATCCGATCTCGCTCGACTCTTTCGTAATATCACAATACTACGTAAAGTTAAATATTGTTATCTCTACATTTCATGTTAATCTGTAAACGTCTTATCGTAACTAACTCTTATAAATATATTATCTCTATTAAATAGTAAAGGCAATATCTATCTTTAGATGTGGACGGATTAAGTGAAGGCGCCCAATGGGGTTACCGATTAATAATATTAATTGTATCCAGGTAACCTACCCTAAGAGCTAAGTCGCGGCGCGTCGGTAGGGGCCAATAATTAGAACTATACGTCATCTCTAAAACATAATCAACAAACAGGATAAAGGATTCTATAATATAAATAATAATAAATATGTGTTGTTCCATCAGGTAACTCACTAGGTCCACTTTCGGACGGACTGCCGCCACCGCACGCCGCGACTCCTAAACTAATAGCAAAGTTATAACAAAACAATAGACGCGTCTTCGTTGGTAAACAATTTCAGTTCCGCCTTAATCATTTCGTTAACAGGCAAGACCACAACCGATATTAAGTACTTATCGTCTATATCCTAAGGAATTTCGAACTTTCGTTAGTCTCTCCTAAACAAACCAATTTGAACGTACTTACCTGCTTAGTACCGAAAGTACACACTCCGATAATTCGCTAGCAATAACAACAATCTTATAGTTTAGAAAGGAATGTTTAATATGAGCTAGTAAAGGAAAGAAAGAAAAACTTAGATCTTTGTGACCGCTAGCGAATACTATTAGAGTAAATAAAATATCTGTTTATTTAAAACTGCAACAATCGTTAACTTTTATCATTCTACTGTATATTATATTTTCTCTAATAAATAACATTCTTTTTGCATTAAAATATTTCTCTGTAGTTGAGCACATTTGGCGAATTTAAGAAACAATATTACATAAAATCTGTTTAGATAAAACACTTTTTCTTAATTATAACATTAAGTAGTTACGACATGATATCAACATTTTTTATTGATTCTTATAAAAGTCTTATTAAATATCTCTATATATGTAACGTTGATGACTTGTTACGACTTCAAGTCGTTAAATACGGTGCACCAATCAAAGCACGCGGATAAATGAGAACTTTTAATTTCTGGGTAATTTTGTGCGAATTGCACCCAATCGTGTCCTACGCCTCAAACTTCTTGAGCCTTGAAGTGTTGAGCAATACATAGTACGCATATTTATCTATAAATTTATCTTCAATTCAACTAACTCACGCTAGATGGACCATAAGGACAAAACGACGCCTCCGAACAACGGAGTCCGTCGCCGCATTATAGGAATATAAATATATTGATAACAACAAAATAAAAATCAACTTATACAATAAGTATATTAGTCGTGGACTTGCATCATATGCGTTAATAGAAAAAAAAATATAATTAACAACGGAATGTAGAATTTATAATTCCGGTCTGTCTCGATCACAATAATAATTAAAGTAAGAGTGAACAGGCTTTGCCTCTCAATAAAATCTTGTCCATGCCTAGTGAAATGTAAAAATATATTAATTTGTACACTATTTTCATCTCTTAAAACATTTGTAAAATTCACTATCGCACCACGCTTCTATAGATATCATTTGTAAGCTTTATACATATAAGTACTCGAAATTAATTTAATAATAAATAAAATCTTTTAAGATAACAATATAGTATTACTTTATTCCCCGCCTGAGGCTTTATAAAATTAGTCAATCTCATTAAATTGGAATGCACACGTTGCAATTCGGAATGTTAACGTTCATCTCGAAATTTTCCGACAGATCCCAAACATTATAAATATCTAATTAAAACCGCAACAATTAAGTACTAAAATATCCATAAAATATCTTCACACACGTCTAAGCCGGTGTCATTGCCAGACCCTTATGGCTTTTCAATACGACAATTTCGAAAAGCTAAAAATATTCATCTCCGTGTATTGAGTATGAATAAAAACATTACCCCATTCGGCATTAAATTGCCATAAGGTTCTCGTAAACACCATAAACTATTCGCGAATTTGCACTTTCAGCTTCGGGGGGACGTCAGCGCTAGCAATTCGAAGCACTTCCTGAAGAAGAAGATAATGAAAGAAGAAGAAGTACCTTCGATCGCTCACGTAAAAGTGTAGTGCTGTGGTCATTGGGTCGTCCCCCCTGCAAACAGTCATTGGTGACTCTTGGAGAGCAGGTGAGAGTTGAACTCGTAGACATTGCAGCACTGCTCGCCGCAGATGTTGCACTTCCACGGGTTGGAGTCGCAATGGCATCCCTTGTGCAGGAAGTACAGGGTGGAATCCGGGAATGTTATGGAGCAAAAGGTGCAGACGAGGGAGGAGGGCAGCAGCGCTGTATCGCCGTGCGTCGATGTGATCACGCCGCCTTCGCACGGAGAAGCGCGGGAAGCCTGAAGCACAATTTTCTATATTTAGTCATATTGTTATTTATAATTGAGTAAAAAATTTGCAGAAGTTCTCTTTTGGTCAATTATTACAGAACTTTACACAAACATTTAATAATGACAAATATGTGTACAAAATTACACACACACATCAACTAAAATAATTGACGTTTTAAACCATTAAGGGTTTTATTTAAATGTGTAGAACACGCATAAGCACAGACATACATAGAACAGACAATACCAGAATAGTCTTATTAACTAATAACACATCATAATTGATTAAATAAATAATTAATACAGTGACAATACGTACGTTGGAGCCACGCGTCCGTCCGCGAGCAGAAATCCTGCGGCGAATGTCTTCTCTGAGCAGACTTTTCAAAGGCGACACCTTTATCAGTGACGTAAGACTAGATGACACGTCTCGTTTGTCGCCACCGTTGGAGTCACTTTCACGCTCCCCTCCATTCCCATCTTCCCCAGCGTTGGGCTCCTAAAGGGTTTAAAAAGATACTTTCTAAGTACAAACTGCACAAACAATTTACTTCCTTCCTTGGTTCAAATAAAAAAAAAAATACTTAAACTCTGTCGTTGCATATTGAAATATTAGCAAAGTTATAAAATTTGCCCTCTTGATTCCAAAATAAAGATAATGTGGACCTGACCTGGACTGATAATAGATACATATCGGGAGCTAATTTTAGTGGTTCAGTTAGCATAAAAGTATAAACAATAACAGTAGGTAAAAAAATATGACCCAACCTGTTTAATAGGTATAAGCGTTATGGATGGAGTTATATTGGTGGGCATGCCAGCTGAAAGTGAGCTGCTAGCGATGGCGCTATCACCAGACTGCGGTGAACTCGGCCCTTCGCCATTCACGCGTGAATCTGTAAGTATATATATAATTGTGTCTTTATTACAAAAAAAATATAATAATATAGCACTATCAACCAAATATGAAAGTGTCATGGGTACATACATTATTCTATTCTATTTAACACTCATGAGCAACAATGTATATCCCCCCGTGACCATAGCCGGTGCAAAGCATTCTACATTTTAAAATAAAATATGAAATTAATTTAGAAAACATCGCTAAATATCATTTTGTTAATTCAATTCAAGTTATATATACTGCACGAAAGTACAATATATATACATAAGTTTAGTAGTAAAACAGTTATAAATAGAGATTTGTTATATAACTTAGTAGTAAGGTATTCAAGATCAAAAGGAAAACCTGATAAAAGGAAAATGTAAAGATTAATCTTAACAGGTTCTCATTGTTTCCTGTAAGATTATAATAGATTGTATTGAATGCTGATGATGTGGTGGGGAGTTACTTTTTGTTTATGCTTTGTTTTTTGGGGAGCCAAATCCAATTTGAGATTTGGAAATAAATGTCAATAAAATTACTTTTTGTAATATTACTAGGTTATTTAATAGATAACATACCGGAATTGCCCATGTGGTTTGTTTGCCCCGGTGAAAATGTTTCGTTGTTATCTGCCATTGATATCTCCACATGAGGGGTTAAATAGTGCATAGGTGGGGTTGCATTGTCTACGGATCTTTCTCCATTACTATCTCCACTATCTGAGTAAGCTGCCGCAACTGACACTGATAGTCCTGATCCCAGAGCACCTAAGGCATTCAAAGTGTTCGGATCCATTGTACCATCGCCATATGCAGCATTGGCAATACCCGCAGCTAGAAGAGAAACAGAGGTATTCCCTGGGCCTGGGTTGTCGAGATCAATGCCATGTCTGAAAACATTTGGTTCTCTTGTTAGATGCAATTCAATATCTTAAGAAAAGGAAAATAGAGAATTCAAGTCACCTGTTGAAGAAGTGGACTCTTAGACTTTTCATAGTTGGAGCGCGGTAACTGCATAGAGGGCAAGTTTTGACAAGGTCATGTTGCCCAACATGCTCGTTCTGGAAATGAGCGCGCATCGCGATCTGTCGCTGGAATCCTCGGTTACATATCGGGCAATGGTATGGCAAGCTTTTAGTGTGGGTCGTGAAGTGCTCAGCTAAGTGATCTTTCCTGAAGAACCGCTTTTGGCATACTCTACATTCGTAAGGTTTGACGCCAGTGTGACGCATTTTATGGCGGCGCATGTTGGCGCCATTTGAAAATTTCATATTGCACACATCACACTCAAAAAGTTTTCTATGCGGCCTGGCATCAGCGTTTTGTGCTGTTGCCACATTATTGTTATCTGGAGAGCACTGCGCCATATGTGTGTTTAAGGCGCGTGTGCTTAAGGTGCTAAAACTATTACATGTAGTACACTTTAATAGTGTACTATTGCCACGTTTTGGTGTTTCCTTTGTAGGTACTGCCACCTGAAATTATTGTTAGTTATATTGTTTTTTTGTTTGTTGTTAAGCAAAAAGATATCAGAAGTAATAAAAGAAAATTAAAATAAAATCTGTGTTTCTATTATTAGTTGCTGTATTTTATGATGTTTAGTTTTTATAATTAATTTGAAGTCTAAGTTTAGATTTATAAGTATAAAGTTTAGTTTTTAATAAAATAATTTATAAACACAGCAAAACAAAACAAAAGTTTTAAACTACATAAGACAAAAACAGCTGATCAACAAAACTATTATGGATCAGCTGTGGCCATCAACAATAACTCAATTCTTTATTCAACACATCTGTTAAAAATTCTCAAGCATATCATTTTCTTCCTTCATGACATAACATAATACACAATAATAAAAACAATACTTTACACATGCAACAGATCCAGTATCCAATTTATTGATTGTAATATGAATACTAATAAGAACTTAAAAATAGAGCACAAAGTATGTGACCCACTTTTATTTTTTTTATAATAACATTAAAAGTCTTATTAGGAATATGACTTACAGTTTCATTTTTCACAGTTGATAGATTCGGCGACACGGTGCCAGAATCGGCCTCTGTTTCCCCTTTTGATGACATCACACTAACTCACGACCTTTTTGATCATCACTATCCCGCCTCACTTAACTAAAACGAAAAAGTTAAAACGTACATCCCGATAAATACACATATAACTCACGAAGATCACAGTAATATTCATGAAAACAGCTAAAAAGTAAATTTGAAGAATGGCGAGATGACCCATTTATTAAAGCATACAAACTAAATGAGTTTTTAAAAGTGTTTTCTATTGCATCCTATTCGTATTCCTCATAACAAATTCTCAAGATTATAGCAGAAAAAAACATTTAAACTATAATTTCAAACAATACAACTCACTTACTTGCTGACCCCACTTGATACGTAGACACGCGACAGGCAGAACAGCGGTATTTTAGGGAGAGATCGCTATGTGGCCTAATTCAATGCTCAAACTCTATGCACAAAATACGTGTTACGCGAATAACTGTAAACTCACTAATAAGTGGGTCTCCAATTGCCTTTCAGCTTAAGCAATAATAATTTACGAATAGAATATCACATGTAGTTTACCGTATATTTTTAATGGAATCATACTTAAGATAATATTATTATTGAACCCATTTCTGCCGTACTACCTAATGGCTACCTAGTCGCTGGTGCTAGTAAAAATTACGACTAGCCTGTCTATTCTATACCTACAGCTTAAGCTATGTAGGTCCAATATATAAGTTAAACAGCTAAATGTAGCATAGCTACTATCGTCTGTGGTAAAAAATAGACCTGCATTATGATATTTTTATCAGTTTCAGAATTCTCAAAGCTCGGAATATTTTTAATGTTATTATAAATTATGCAAGGTGCATTGTTTTTATTTAAATATTAATGTGATGAATGCTTCGTGAGAATACAGTATAATAATATGCTACATCTAAAGAAAGACCTCCAGCTTCAAGTATTTAGTCACAGACTGTTACTATTTTCTACCACCTTTCTCATGTTTAAGTGACAACTGACAAAACAATAATTGTCAACATACACTTCGTATAAATTTTTAAATTCAATTATTAAATATTTATTTGTAATAAGTGGTCGTTTAAATGTTATCCAACAAATATTTCTCTTCCATATTGTGACTCATTTAATATGCTGTTTGATTATAAAGTTTTAAGATTTGTCAGCAAAACCGTTTATAAGGCATAATATGTAGTGATCTTGGAGAAGTTAATAATTACTATAACAGTTTTTGTGTGCATCCATTTGAATAAAGAATTGCTTTTAAAGAAAGCAGTTTTTTTGCTATGAATACAGTGAAAGAACTTATTGATTAGAATCAATATGTGCACGGAACGTCTAAGATCGTTTTTTAGCCAGTGGAGATTGTGGATACGGCCATTCTTTATTGCAACATATATTTTATTAGTAATTGTATTAGTGCCAACACTTATTGTACATGCTTTAGAAAATGGTTTCACTAAGTCAGATCAAGGGACATTGGTTGCCGGTGGGTTTGTCCTGCTTGCTATGCCAATATCTATCTGGCAAATTACACAACACATAGTCCATTATACTAAACCATCATTACAGAAACATATTATAAGGTCAGTTTAATATAATATATATTATTAATCTAAAGATATAATGTCCTGCTATTTTATTATGTCTCCAAAGTTTTAAAAGTGTTTTAATTTATTTCCTTGTGTTTTAAAATATTATCCTTTTCCTCAAATGATTCATCTTACAGAATATTATGGATGGTACCAATTTATGCTTTGAATGCATGGCTTGGACTGGAATTTCCCGAACAGTCAATTTATATGGACTCTTTAAGAGAGTGTTATGAAGCCTATGTGATATACAATTTCATGAAGTATCTTTTGAATTATTTAAATGATGGAAATGACTTGGAGGCATCTTTGGAGTTAAAACCACAAGTGTATCACATTTTTCCTTTATGTTGTCTAGCACCTTGGGAAATGGGCAGGTAAGTTATCTGAAACTACTTATTAACATAAAACACCAATTTATATCCTATTGAATAAAACTTATATAACCTCATAAATGTGAGAACTAGTTTTTTTTGTTTTGAAATAGATCTAATCAGTTTGCCATGTTCCAATTAGAGTTATCATACAAATTAAATTTTGTGTTAAAATAAAGTCTACAAGAATAGAAAATGAATCTTATTATTTTTATATAGTAATATGTTTAATTAAAGGTATAAATAATATTAAGTTATATGTTTACTTAAGCCAAAAATAATGTAATTATGTCCTCTATGTAGAAAGTATGCTTATTTACTTATTTTTATATTAAAACTACTAAAATTGAATTAGACTGCTTCTGGAGTTCACATTGTAAAGTAACCATTTCCCCAATCTCACACTTTTTGCTTGCAAAATCTTCTATTAATCTTTCCATGCAGCAAAATGATTGACTAGTAAGTTTTTACTTGTATTTGTGATTATAAGACGATTTACAATAAGTGTTGACATTACTGTTTCAGCGAATTCATACACAACTGTAAGCATGGAATACTACAGTACACACTAGTACGACCACTAACGACAGTAATATCTATGATCTGTGAACTCAGCGGTGTATACGGTGAAAGTGACTTTAGCCCAAACGTTGCTTTCCCCTACATGATAGCTATCAACAATTTGTCCCAATTTGTTGCTATGTACTGTTTAGTACTTTTCTACCGAGCTAACAGAACAGAGTTAAAACCAATGAAACCAATTGGAAAATTTTTGTGCATAAAGGCTGTTGTTTTCTTCTCATTCTTGTAAGTTTTAACTGCTTAACATAATTGATGGATGTAGAAGGACTGTTTTTCTAAAATGCTTCCTGTCTGTCTTTTCAGTCAAGGTGTGATTATCAATATTTTGGTATACTGTGGAGTTATATCGACAATATTTGATATTTCTGATAAGGACAAAATAAAGATAATGTCTTCCAAATTACAGGTGATTGTACTCTTTGTTTATTTTATTGTGACCTTATCTACTCTCAAAAAATTTATATATGTAAATTTACAATCAATAAGTGTAAACTTTTTTTTTTCATTCTATAAAGAATATTTCTTATTTTTATATTAATTTTATAAATATTTCTTGCCACATTAAAAACATTGCTAGATACACTTAATTAAATGAAACTAATGTATACTAATATATAAAACTGAATAGATCATTTGTTTGTTTGTTTGAACGCGCTAATCTCAGGAACTACGGGTTCGAATTGAAAAATTATTTTTGTGTTGGTTAGAGCATTTATCGAGGAAAGCTATAAAACATCGCGCTGTGAGTTATAGAAGCGAATATACAGCGGGAAATATGAACAAAATGGGGGAAATTTTTCATCTCTGCGAGCGTCAGATGCGTACGCTGCGAAAACTGTTCAAGATACCTAAAAAATGTATATGAAAGAATGATCTGAAAAAATCTTTTAAAATTACTTGCAAGAACGACGGGAAGGGATGCGATCGGACTTAAGTTTATAAATATAAAGATGACGGGGTTTGCAAAAACTAATTTGGATGCCCAAAATAACGATTCTCGAGGACGAAGTCGCTGGCACAGCTAGTAAAATATAAAATTGAAATGCGTTGAATTGATTTTTATTATGTTTCAGGACTTTCTTATTTGCATAGAGATGTTCATAGCTGCAATTGCCCACCACTACTCTTTCTCCTACAAACCATATGTGTCTCCACTTGACCCTTCACCTTCTTGTCTCGGCTCATTCTTAGCTATGTGGGATGTTTCTGATGTTAAAAGAGATATATCAGAGCACCTGGGTGTTGTCGGTGAGTAATTTATTTATTTGTGAAAACTAACAGTTGTTTGGTCGGTTCATGCTTGTGTATAAAAAAAACATAAAATACGTTTTGTCGGGCGCAGTGATAATAATGTATACCCAATAATCAGCAGGTCGTGGGTTCGATCCCCACTGCATCCAACATTTTTCCAAACAACTCATAATTTTTCTAAAATATGTTGAACTTTGTCTGGAAATCTGGATGTTCAATAGATGCAATCCGGGTAACGAACTACCGCCCACACATGAAAAAGTCATACAGCCAAGATAGATTCACAGTGCATCTTGTTTAAATGCTATAGGCTGTCATATTTCACTTACCATCGAATGAAACCCATGCTGTCCTCCTCTATCATTAAAAAAAACTGAATAATCAAATTCAAACAATATATAAAATATGCTTTTAGGGAGCTCATTTAGCAGAAGATTACGTGGAAAATCAATGTATCACATGACGCGGGGCTGTGATGAGAGTTCGAGACTAGTTAATGAACAAGTCCCATCGAGTTCAGCACCAGCCTTAACTGTGGAAGCCACAGAACCACCTTCCGTTGAAGTACGGCCGTCTGTCTACGGATCATTAGATAATACAATGGCTACTAGTTCAATGAACTCGGAAACTGACCCTTTACTTGACATGTCTGACGATAAAACCGACCCAAAAGTGTAATACTTAATTAAGTCAATGGCTGTACGGCATATAAACTGATATGATTATTATGATACATAAGGTTAATACCTAATAGCATATTATATATAAAAAGCTATGCAATACAGGTAAGAAAGTATTTTTCATTCCATGTTGTAAGAATTCAGTCATAGTTAGCTAGTAATTCTTAAACAAATTATTTTGTGTGTCCTACTCTTATCACAGATGATTTTACTATCACACCAGATAATAATAGAAAGTGCAATTTCCTATTACTGTATTATTTTTGTATATTCCACAAGGTATTCAGTATTAAATACAGAGTAACAAACTTACGCGGGCATTTTGCATAGCTGTTTAGATTATTTATGTGTTCAAACGTAATTGAGAAATGGTCATCTGATGATAGATCCACACGTTATGGCGAAATGTCGGGAACCGTTTCTCAATTACGATGATCAAACAGCTCTTAAATCTAAGGTTTGACAACGTTATTAATTACCCTACGAAACTAGCTAAAAGCATAATATTGTTTGTAATATGTTTTTTACATTAATGTGGATACCTATATGAATTTTTGTAGTCGAAAGTCGGCAAAATAATTATGTTAGTTGGTCAAGAATGAAAACCTTCTGAATATTACGATCTTGAAAATAAATTGGAATCTTTCATTAAAAACATATTTTTTTTAAGTTAATTATTATTTAATTAGGTCTATATATAAGGAAATAATAATAGAAAATATCAGATATCTAAAAAAATCAAATTTCTGGAGGTTTACCTTAGAATGTGCTATTTATGGAAAAAAAATGGAATGTGATATTTTGTTGTTTTACTCTGTACTGTTGTATATTATGATTTGTGAATAAAACGAGTTTTCTAATTTTAGGAATTTCATTTATTGTTTATAAACCTAACAATAGTTAAATAGGAATTTTGAAAAGTATCACAATTGTTTCATATTGATGCACATTTTCTTGGTATTACAATACATTTTAAAAACAGCTCTAGAAAAATTATATATTGCCCATTAATCTTAAATACATACATAATTTGATAACCTAATTCTTATCAAAAAATACTTTAAAACTGATGTCCTTAGCATTTTGCACAGAAATGGCCAAAGCTATAGAGTAACTATTATTTATTACTAAAGGTGCATGAAGAGTTAACTTATTAGTGAATATAATTGTGTCTTTGCACACTTAAACTTGCTAGCTTAAACTTTTTGATCTTAATCAATCTTTCGATAGTAAGCCTCTTTGTAGATATGTTTGTAAACAAAATATGTTATAGTATAAGTATATTAAAAAAGTTTTTTCTTACGTATGTAATGATTACGTTTTCACCTTATTGATATAGAATGGGTAAAATAGTCAGCTGATAGTGTGGACTGATCAACCAGCCTTCCATTGGTATCCCCAATAAAAATAATAATATTGATATGGAAATTATGCTTAAAATTTCGAACCATCATTAAAACTTCTACTATTTTGAAAATTTTCTAGAGCCAACAAGCCTGCTTTCAGGCTATTCATCTCAATTCGGTTCCACAATGTCCCCATTACAATAAAATAGAAGCAAATGCCAGTCATCAAGACTTTAACTACATCTGCGAGAATACAATTAGGCCAATATCCAACAGACCCTAACAAAAACATAAAGATGAGCCCACCTGTTATCAAATATAACCGTCTTGATTTATTAACCGTGATCATTGCTTCTTTACATACTTTGATAGCTTCAACTACAGTATTGTCATATTTGTCATATGAACTTTTTGGCCTGTCTCTGTTCTTCGCATTGGAGAACTTTACTCTCATTTCAAGTGATACTGCATTGTGGTCAGAGTAGGAAAAATCTTGTCCCGGCACTCTCTCTTCCAATGGGTTCTTAAAGTTTTTGATTTCAACCTGTAAAAAAATCTTGAATTATAATATATAAATACATTTTAAATCTAATAACCTTGTTTTTGTATAGTAAGTTTGTATAAAAAAATAAAAAAATCAGCTAGCCACATTACATAGGTGAAGAAGAATATCATACTCTTTAAGCTATCACTTAAATTGGGTTCCACTTTTACCCTTGGGGTACAGAGCCTTAAAAATTAAGTATGTTTTCATATTGCACTTTAATTCATTGAAAGAAATATCCAAACACACTTACATCACAATTCGGATTTACATTATATAAGATATGATCAATCCTTTTACCATCTGGACATAACTTTGTCACTTTTGGATTAGAATAACTATTGTTAATATTATCACAGGTGCCTAGTGGTTTAATCATAGATGTAGTCTCACCAATTATTTCAACATTACATGGATCGGTAAGGTTTGCTATTTGGGTAATTAGTCTGTAAAAATATTATTAACATTAAAAACACCGAAAAATCAAATACTTACGTGGTTAGAAATGATAGTTACAATATAAATATACTGATTAAAATGATTATTAATAGATAAAATTTACACATAAAACATCTTATGTATAAAATGAGTTCTATATCCTCATAACAAACTTATAAGAGTTATGCATATCTTAACAAAAGTTTTATATATTCTACTTACCTAAATGACAAATCTCCAGGTGCAGTGTTAAGATCACCAGCTAAGATAGATATATCTGCCGGAGACGATGTAATGTTAACAAACTCAGATGTTGAATGTGCTTGTAGAACTCGATGAGCCAGATAAATATCATCTTCATTGTACTCAGCATGCAGCTGTAATTCATGAGCACATGATAATTCTTATATATGCCAATATGTTAAATATACAATTCAATTTTTTTTTTCTTCATATAGGACTTTAAAACATAATTTTTAGAATGTAAATTTTTTTAATGGTTTTGTTTTTTTTTGTTTGTATGTTTGAAGGCGCTAATCTCAGGAACAAGCTTCGAAATAAAATATTATTTTTGTCTTGGTTAGGGCATTTCGGGAATTCGGGCATCCGGAAAGGCTACAAAACATATCCTGTGACTAATACAATTAGTCACAGGGTATTATTTATTTATTATATGTTATATAGGTATGTTTTATAGTTTAGTTTTTAGTATTATTATGTTATATTTTTTTTTATTAGTATCTTCGCTACAGTGAGAAATTGAAAAAAAAATGGGAAAATTATTAATGATTATAGATTAGGAGGCATTCAGTGCAAAAATGGTCCAAGATACCTAAAAAATATATATGAGAGAATGATTCCTCTTTAAATGATCTTTTAAGATAACTTGCAAGAACGACGGGAATAGACGCGACGTCGAAGCTTAAGTTTATAAAGATGGGTAAAGGGGTTTGCAAAAACGAATTTGGATGCCCAAAATAACTATTTTTGGGGACAAAGTCGCTGACCCAGCTAGTGTTAAATAAAGATGAAAATATATGATAGTGTAAGCGGCCAATACTTACATGTGTGCAGTAGATATTTAAAAGCCTATCTAAATATTTAATACGACATAGTCCAACTCCTTTGCCTCCAAACCAGTCACCGTGGTGAATCTTATGTATATAGCCATTCAATGGCCATTGGTGGAAAAAAACATCTTGTATTACCCATTTAGAAAACACACACAGTCCTGATCCAAGTACACCACTAAAAATAATAATGTAAAATCACACACACACTTCCTCAATGAAGTTTAATATTACATTAGTTTTATATAAGTTGATTACCTATAAAAATAATGTGAATAGGGTAAGACACTGCTTAAAAATTCCTTTATATATAAATAATCTCTTTCACTCCATACTTCCTGAAGACACACGACATTATGATCGCTGGTCAGTAAATATTTTGAAATTGCTTCTATTCTCTCTCTTCGATTTTTGGAGATACCCGGTATACCCCTAAAAGGAAATAAAAGTCATTGATGATGCGATATCTTACGTAGACAAAATGCGAGATAACAACTAAAGTCGAGAAACTCACCAGCAATTCAAAGTAAATATGTTTAATGTAAACTCCATTGCAGATATATCAACAAAAGCGTCTGCTAATTCGTTTTCCTACAGCTAGTATTCAGAGTGTAAATTTAATTAAGATCCAATTAATAAGTTATTTTGTAGTAGGAATTCAGTTCCCACCACCGTACATACAACAAAGTTTTAAAACTTCTTACAACGATTGATAATGTTATTTAAATATTTAATTGTTCAATGTACTTAATATTTTAACAAAACATAGCTCATTGTAAGTAACTGCCCGGCCTACTGTGTTGTGACTACCTGACTACTTCAATGACAGCTGACATAGACCTTGTTCAATTTTCGGCTGCATTGAATGGGGCACGTTAATTTTTAGGATATTTTTTATATCTTAAAAAAAATAGCAATTTTTTTATACAAACAGTATACAACGCTTGATATTAACAAATGTAATATTACATGCGTTGAATACAGTTTTAATGTGTGTGTGTGTGTGAGTTTTAACTGGCTTTTATGACAAAGATTTATTATGTACCGTAATACTAGGAAATTACAGTAAACATACAGACTAGTAAAATCGATATTAAATATCTATTTCACTACTCTTTGCTTCCCTTTTTATTAATGGTAATATGAAATATTAAAAACCGATTCTGAGGAACATCCCTCATATTCGGTTTTTGATATTTCATTGTTAAATATTCTATTTCTTAACGATTTACTGTATATGTATTTTGCTACTATACTATACTTTTTATAGTACCAGATATAATTAGCGCAAATTAATAATTACCTACTTCTGATTAAATTAGAATGGCAGTTTTTGTTTATAAGTTATGCTGGTTAAAAAAATATTAGAAGAGATTATTTGTCCAAAAACTGTAAATTAAGAATTATCAAGAACCTTCTGTATTTTAAAAATTCTTATTGAATTAGGTATCTTATCCGTTTATGGTTATTTTTGTATACCATAAAAGTAGCCTGATTATAAATAAAACAAGAAAGGTGTAACACTACTTCAAATTATTCACATTCCTACACTACATAGTTGATTAACAATGGCATTCTCTTCTCTCTGCGTGTCTAGGACCATGGTATCTTGTGTAGAACATGGCATTCCAGCTAGTTTAAGAGCAGTGTTTGATCTAGGCAAATACGCGTCTTTTCTCTTTTTTCTACCTGTAGAAAGTGTCTTTGGAGGTTTATGCGAAGCTGGACGTGTGTGCCTCTCTATATGTTCATTTAATTTGGCCTGTAAATAATAATATTATAAACAGTATTAAAAAACAATACATATTTACAAGATCAATTGCCTTTATATTAACCTTTGTTGATAGTTTTGCATTACAGAGATGACAATTAAATGTTACGCCTTCATGTTTGACTAAAATGTGCTGCCTCAGATTGCTGTTTCTTGAATAATGCCTTAAAATAAATAATAAATATGTATTACAATTTTTTTTTTTAAGAAACCAGTAAAAAATAAATTAATTAAGAGTAAAGGCAAAATGTATCGTATTACCTGAAGCAATTTTCATATGGGCACATAAAAAGGGATACTTCTTTGGACTCTAGATGTACTTTGACATGCCTTATAATATGTTGTCTTTGTTTAAAAACTTTGCCACATTCATTGCATATGTATTCTGAAATTCGGTATCAATCTATTACACAATATTATATTGACCTTATTTAAATACAGTACATAAAAAATCAATCATTGTTTTCCCAGGTTTCAAACCCAACACCACCCAAGTTTAGATGATGGTTTTAGTACAGTCAACCTTGATCTGTCTCCATATTGAATAATATAAAAAACATCATCAATAAAAATACAATCATACCTTCATGTTGATGACTGGTCTGTCTGTGTTGAACTATATCTACCCATCTAGTGAATTTTTCTGCACAGTGCTCACATTTGTAAACTTTATGATTTCTAAGATGTTTTTTTTGTTCTGTTATAGACACAAATTGTTTTGGACACATAGGGCAACTGCAATATTTTTAATATGACAGTACACATTTCTGCCTAAAATAACATAACTGTTACACCTTCTATTGATCTATGGTTTTACTCAAAATAAACTAGTGTATAAAGAATAGGTAAAATATACATACCGAAATGCTTTAATACCAGTATGTTGATACATGTGTGTACTCAGTTGATGTTTATGTTTGAAACGCATATTGCAATTTTCACAAGAAAACTTTTTAACACAATCCACATGTTGTATTTTATAGTGCCTCTTGAGGTTTTGTTGATTTGCATATTGTTTTAAACATTTGGGGCAGCTGAAAATTATTTAATATTTTACTCAACAAAAACTAATGTTTATGCCTATGCTAAGTTCAACTTCCTCAATAAATCATCTAAAGCTGTGGTTATAGGATTTATCACTGGGTCTTATAATGGCTTTTTGATACTTAGTTCCTATGAACAATCACTAGACTAATACAGCATCAAAGAACTGCAAAGATCTGTGTACATTTTGACATATAAATTATAGGTACCCAAATCTTTAAACATACACACCTATATAATTGACCTATGTAACTTCTATGTGCTGTGTTTATATGCCTCTCCAAATGATTTTTCCTTGTATATGCCTTGGCGCAGCCATCTTCCACACAGATATATGGTTTCTACAAAAATATTGTATTGTTTATAGTAACCACTCAATATTTACATTTTGTTTAAATTAAAAACTTACTGAATCTGAATGGATCAATGTATGTTGTGCTAATCTGTAAGGTCTGTCAAATTCAGCTTCACAACTAGGATTATCACATTTATATTTCTTTTCCTTAATTTCTTTAAAATCCATTGTTGACTTTATTTTTCCCCTCTCATTACCGATTTTGTTAGGAAAAGAGCAAAGGAGACAGTATAAAAGACAATAAGTTTTTTCACAAAAAGTGCACACAAACACAAATTTGTTATACAACTACTCAGTACTCAATTCTATTGGCTACTGCAACACCCAGTAGCACAGCAAATAGCAATGAGTGGTAAGACTGCACAGATCATAAAGCCTACAGGTAAAGGCAACAATTAAAAAAAATGTTTCTTACCATAGTTACCTTACTACTACTATAAATCGTTATTAAAACCGGAAAAATTTATGTGTATGTATTTATTGGACATCACTAGACATAATATTATGAGTTGAGTCAGACATTACTCTTTCTTGAATTAAAAACTTGAAAATAAAGATGTACCTAAATATGATTTAGGATAAAGTTGTTTACAATGCTTGATAATTTGTCTGTTTTATAAAAAAATATTATTGTTTGTTGTGTTAAATGGTATTTTTGTGCAATAATACCGTCAGCTGACCAATATAAACAAAGGAATGTCAAAAGGAGAGGCTTGAGACGTATAATTAAAGTGGTGCAATATATAAAAACTAAAGATTGCAATAATGGATGTGGACGGATCAGCTATATCAGGAGAGATAGACCAAAATTTGTTATTACAATTTAGTTGTATGAATACCACTGACAGAGATGAACTTATCAATCAAATGCAAAGGCTTTTGGGACCTAGTTTAAGTTATAACACAGCAAGTTTTTTTCTAGATATGAGTAATTGGTAAAAATAATACCTACCAAATAAATATAACTACATAACCTTGTAAGACCACATATTTACGCAGACAAATTGCTTTGCAGGAATTTACAAGCAGCAATATGTTGTTATTTAGATTATAGTTTACCACCAAAGCTTCTTTCTATGTCTTTAAAGGCAGCTCAAACACAGGAGTCAGCTGTTAGTCCAGGAACTTGGTAATTTATTCAGAACCTTATTTATTATATAAAGTTGTTCAATTTTAATTTATAAGTTTATATGTATTAAATAAATATGTGATGTGATGTCTAAAGGTACCTCTTTAATTGATTGTTAGTTACAAAAACATGATAATGTAACAGATCACTAAAGTTAAAACCTGATCACCTACTTGCATGACTTTGAAGTTAATCCTTGAAACAAAGACATAAAGTAATTAATAAGATTTAATCATACTATTATAAAAACAATAATTTAAACTTTTGAATATGTTAAAAAGTTTTTGAACATTTTCAGCTTTGAGCAAAGTTGGAGTATTGCAAACACGGGAACTGAAAGCTGGCCAGGATGGTATAGGTTGATTCAAGCTGGTGGAGACCCGTTAGGAGCAAACCCTTTCTATGTGCCACCGTTGCTTCCAGGTCATACTACAACTGTCACCCTGAAATTAGTTGCGCCTAGTACTCCAGGGACTTACAGAGGCTATTTCCATTTTGTTTCAGATAAAGATGAACAAATAGGAGGTACAACTTGTGATTCTAAGTTGTTTGAAATAAGTTACAGAACATTTAGTGCCATATATTGTTTATATTACTCTCCTTTACTTTATTTCAGATCCATTATGGGCAGAAATTAAGGTGGAATCAGAAGAAACAATGGCTTTAGCTGAACAATTTGCGGCATTACCAATAGTTGAAGATCAAACACAGGTAAACTATTTTGATGATGTTTTATTGACTAATAAAATATCATATAATACTTTGTTGAAGTGAATCAATTATAACTAAGTCCTGATGTTTTTAAAATATACCTTCACTTATCCTAACGAAATTACTGCAAAGAGGTAACTAAATTAAGTAACAATGTAATAAAATTAAGTACTTATTGTATTTTTCAGCCTCCACCATCAGACGATCAAATGTGTTGATACATGGCCAACCTATTATCTCCACAATTTGTCAAGTCAATTTTTAACACAAGATACCTTACAATTCAATATAATTTGATCTACATTGACGTTATATACTTTTCATGGATGGTTTTGTGTGATTTCCACAAATATATAGTAAATTTTAGAAAAATAATGTACAAATATATTGTAATAACAATGTTGTCTAGATTCTAAGATAACAAAATATTATAAAAACTTTTGTATATTATAAACAATCATATTGACATCACAAATTGCCATTTAATTAATTTTGGGTTTTTTTTTTATAGCATAATGTGAATTATTTTAATAAAGTAGTTTTAAGGCATCTTTTTTTTATTGAGTCTCTAGGTGTTGCAAAATATAAATTTTCTTAAAGTATTTGTATCTGTACTTCACAATGGAAAGAATATTAAAAGAAGAAAATATTACTGAGCTTGTCCACTATACATGATAACTTATTGTTAATAATTATACTGCCATATCCATTTCGATTTTGGGGTGAGGATTATATCCTTTTATTATAAAGTCTTCATACTTGAAGTCATCAATTGACTGAACTTTTCTATTAAATTCCAGTGTGGGAAATGGTTTTGGCGTTCTTTGCAATTGAACTTTAAGAGGCTCTATGTGATTAAGATACACATGTGCATCCCCTAATGTATGAATAAATTCTCCAGCCTAGAAAAAAACAAAAGGACATTTTAAACACCATTCGTGTTTATATTACCACAATAGCTATTCCAGAGAATATAATATAATATTTGTCCACGTAGAATAGTTGTTATTTTAGGCATGTTTATTTTTTCAAACCCCTTCCTAATCTTTAAAAATTATAGCTGTTACCCATGATGGTGGTCGTGTAGTCGTTCTTGCAAGTTAATCATTAAAAATAGACTTAGAACTGTCAAAGACATTTTTTAGATCATTTAAAACACACCTTGATGTTCTATAGCCTTCCTCCATAAATTATCCACCAAATACAAAATAATCTTTCAATTCGAACCAACATTTCCTAAGATTAGCATATTCAAACAACAAACAAACAAAACTATGATTTACCTCAAGTCCAGTAATATGTGCAATCATATGAGTTAAAATTGCATAACTGGCTATATTAAAGGGGACACCAAGTCCTAAATCAGCACTTCTCTGGTAGAGAAGACAAGATAATTTATTACCAGATACGTGGAACTGGGCAAGGCAGTGACATGGAGGTAATGCCATCTTGGAAAGATCAGATGGCACCCATGAACACATGATAATTCTCCTGTCTGCAGGGTTTTTCCTAAAATAAGACTTATGTTTGAATTGAATAGTAAATAGGAATATAATATAATTGAACTAGAAGACTATAATTTCTATAAACAAGTAAAAGTTATATATGTATCAATTTATATAATCAAATATGAGATTTAGTGTTTACTTTATAGTGTTGATAACATTCTGCAATTGATCAATTCCTTGTCCTGTGTAGTCTGTTTTGCAATCTATGTAGTCAGCGCCACTGTGTCTCCATTGAAAGCCATATACAGGGCCCAAATCACCTAAGGTATATTTGGGTTCGTAAAAAAAAACCTTTGTTATTTGGGACTTTCCAAAAAATTTTTAAGCTTCCCTTTTTTCCCCCCCCCCGGGGGAGAATTTTTCCCCTTTTGGGGGGGGGGGTGCCCCCCCCCCCCCCCCAAAAAATTTGCCCCCCCCCGCGGCGGGCCCCCCAAAAAAAAAAAATCCCCCCCCCCCAAAAATCCCCCGCGGATTTATAAAAATTTTTTTTAGGGGGGGGGGTCCTTTTTTTTTTGGGGGGGGGGGGGGGGGCCCCGGGGGGGGGGGGGGGGGGGGGCCCCCCCCCCCCCCCCCCCCCCCCCCCCCCCCCCCCCCCCTTTTTTTTCCTATTTTTCTTTTCCCCCCCCCCCGGGGGGGGGGGGGGGGGGGGCCCCCCCCCCTTTTTTTTTTTTGTTTTTTTTCCCCCTTTTTTTTTTTTTCCCCCCCCCCCCCCCCCCCCCCCCCCCCCCCCGCCCCCCCCCCCCCCGCGGGGGGGGGGCGGCCCCCCCCCCCCCCCCCCCCCCCCCCCCCCCCCCCCTTATTTTAAAAAAAAAAAACACCCCCCCCCCCCCCCCCCCCCCCCCCCCCCCCGGGGGGGGGGGGGGGGGGGGGGGGGGGGGGGGGGGGGGCGGGGGGGGGGGGGGGGGGGGGGGGGGGGGGGGGGGGGTTTTTGGGGGCCCCCCCCCCCCCCCCCGCCGGGGGGGGGGGGGGGGGGGGGGGGGGGGGGGGGGGGGGGGGGGGGGGGGGGGGGGGCCCCCCCCCCCCCCCCCCCCCCCCCCCCCCCCCCCCCCCCCCCCCCCCCCCCCCCCCCCCCCCCCCCCCCCCCCCATAATATTTTTGGGGGGTTTTTTTTTTCTCCCCCCCCCCCCCCCCCCCCCCCCCCCCCCCCCCCCCCCCCCCCCCCCCCCCCCCCCCCCCCCCCCCCCCCCCCCCCCCCCCGGGGGGGGGGCCCCCCCCCCCCCCCCCCCCCGCGGGGGGGGGGGGGGGGGCCGCCCCCCCCCCCGTTTTTTTTCTCTTTTTTTTTTTTTTTTTTTGGGGGGGGGGGGGGGGGGCCCCCCCCCCCCCCCCCCCGGGGGGGGGGGGGGCCCCCCCCCCCCCCCCCCCCCCCCTCTTTTTTTTTTTTTTTTTTGTTTTTTTTTTTTTTTTTTTTTTTTTTTTTTTTTTTTTTTTTTTTTTTTTTTTTTTTTTTTTTTTTTTTATTATAAAAAAAAACCTAAGGTATATAAGGGTTTTACATTTATTTTTATGGTCATCTCAAAATAATAATACTTAATATTTTAGTGGTCTGCATAAGATGACTGATCAGTTGAAAATATACTTACCATTTATTTTAAAAGGAGAATTTACCACTGCATCTGATCACTAACAAAAAATATTTCTGTGGCTTACCTTCTTCTCGTTCTGTGAAACCAAGATTATCGAGAAATGATCGAGAGCCATTTGCATCCCAAATGTGAACTTTCTTGTTACTCAAGAGTTTACTGTCCGTTGACCCCGAAATCATCCACAGTAGCTCTTCTATAATTCCTCTCGTAAAAACGCGTTTAGTAGTCAATAGGGGCAACGTATTATTCTTTAAGGAATATCTTTGCATTGCCCCAAACATTGACAGAGTTCCCACACCTGTTCTATCAACACGTTTATCGCCTAAAATGAATAATAATCAATAACGTGAAAAAGCACTTTTTATGTGCAAAGCGGTCCGGATTGCGGTTAATAAGTTATATTTACCCGAGTCTATTATTCGGTTCACCAAATCTAAATATTGATATTCGTCATGGCGAGCACATCCATTAGTTATAGTAGGCATTATCTTTTTATAATAACCAAAGAAAGTCTTCACAATAGTGAAATGAAAGAACGAGTAAAATTACAGACTTTTAAAGTTACAGGAAAAAGCAAAGTAAGCACAGTTTATTGCTGTTACAACTATTAGCAATTTAGATTCAGGTCAGCAAGAAATATTGTTAAATATTCAGTTGGCGCCAAAATATGTCAAATGACAGCAAACAATAGTGACAGTAACGGTCCAGTTGGTGACAGTAAACGCGGATGTACATTTGGCTGACGTAAAATATTGGCTAGTTCACATTCATCTGTTAAATTCTGACGCCTTCTGACGATGTGGTTCTAGAAAAAGTAACATGCTTTCAATGTTCTCCCATGAAATAGGAATGGGTTAGATTCATATACTATTTACAATGTTTACAATAAAACATTAAGGTGTTGTATTGTAAACTCCATGCTTTTCTAAATATAGCATATACACATGCACAGTCGTTTTTGAGCGCTTTCGCATTTAAAATGGTAAAGACTTTATAAGTAGTCTTTGGAAAAAATCACATTTTATCAAATACATTTTTATGTATAATATATACACAAATACTTACTTATAATATTTACACAAATTTAAATAATAAGAGATAAATAACAATTATTACACCGTACTTGATCTATACTGCTATAATATATAGTCTAGAAAATAAAGTAATTGTAATATTTACTGGAATATATAAGGAAAATAAAACTATGAAGTTTTTTATTACTAGATGTTCATCATCATTGTCTGTGACATAAAAGGCGGGCAATTTAAAAAATATTATTGTATAAGTACTCCCGAAACATATTTCCAAATTCTCATTGATATGCTAACGACATTATAAGAATGCTTTGGAAGTTTAAGTCATGTAAATAAAACACTTTAACGGTTTAAAACGGGATATATTAGTTAAACTTATTTGGAAATGATTTTTAACTTCGGCCCGACGTTTCGGATGCTTTGCAGCAGCCGTGGTCACGGGTCTCCCCCTCCCCGGTCCTCCCCTTAGTTTAACTAATATATCGCGTTTTAAACCGTTAAAGTGTTTTATTTAAATGTGTACTACTCGCGTAAACTATAGACAGTATTTAGTTTAAGTCATATTAATTTTGTTTCAGTGAACTAAGTATGAACGTTTTGCATTGAGGTAACACTTGTTGTTATGGAAACATTTATATCAAAAGAGCGTTAATGGTGTATGCATCATTTTTATAATTTTATTAAATGTAAAACATACATAATGGGATAAAGCATAACTATTGAACAAGTTGTTGAATTTTTATCAAAATTCAATAATGCCTTTTCATGAAGCCCCGAATGTTGAGTTAGGCTCGGCACCAAGAACGCCGAGCATCATAGCTTCGCCATCTCCTTCAGAGGTTTCAAGTGCAAGCTCCTCTGAACCTCGTCATATTCAAGCTACTCCGTTATTTAGGTAAGGAATCATTTTAAAAACCAAAAACATTTCTGTAGATATATGCAGTTATGAGACCACTTTTTCTGTTCATTAGATATATGAGCTTTTTACTGTCGTAGGGCCCTTGCTTTACGACCTCCAGAACCTGAGCAACCACCTGGTCAAGATGAACTAGAGCGTCGTCTTCCCGGCTATAGACGAATTGTTATACCGCGGGAATTAACTCTGATTGAATTACTCGTTAGTACGATGATTTATCTCTGCCTTTTTGTAATAAGAGAAATATTAACAATTACAAAAATTCAGAATCTAGCGTCTGTGTAGTCTAACTTTTTAGAATTTAGATATTTCATTTCTTTTCTTTTATGCCGCATCAAGCACCCTCAGGCGTCTCAGCCACTTCCTTCCAATCAGTACTAAAACCATGCTAGCACAAACCCTATTACTGCCTTTAATCGATTACGCCGATGCCTGTACCTCAGACTTAAAATGAACTGTTAGATAAGCTAGAACGCCTGCAAAACTTTTGTATAAGATTTATTTTCGGCTTGAGAAAGTATGACCATGTAAGTGTTATTCGTCAGCAGCTCGGTTGGCTTCCAATTCGACAGCGGCGCGATGCTTATATCTTACACCTCTTATACACTTCCCCCAAGTTCTACGTTCCTCTTCAAGACTCATCCTAGAAGTTCCTGCCCTAATACTCTTGGGAATCCGTCCTTCCTTACATCTTTAATTTTTTTTTTTTTTTTTTTAATGAATTCAAATTTCTTATAATATTTCTATGTCCCCTTCATATGTAGTTACAGCCATCTTTTGGCATTGTAAGATTTTAGAATAAAATAATACATATATGTATTTGACATTTAATTGAGAATGGAAAGTTAATAAAACAATATTAAAAACCTATCTAGAGGAAATAATTTACGACACGGCTGCTCTACCAATTCACGAGCTGAATTGGTTAGAGTAGCAGCAAGGAACCCTGTGGATGTTGGTGGAAGGTCGTATTTTAATTCAATCTAAGTAAATTGTTTATTTATATAATGCCATCACGTGCAGTGACATATCAAAAGCATTAAAAAATAAATGCATCTATTTATTTAAATACTTAGAAACAAAGCAGCGGAGTGACAACTGACGAAGAAGTGTTAAGAATACGTGAAGCGAAGCTACGTGTTGTGGCTGAACGTGTGGGCCTCAGACGGCTCCATGTTTTGGCTCCGAGACTACGGACTTTGACCCTAGATGGCAGTGCTATTTCTTCATTACGAGATCTTGGCATAGGCTTAACTCATTTGAAGGTAAACTATATTCACGAAAGCGGTACGCCGATTTCGGGCCATAAGTTGACTATGGAATTTATTAAAATTAATTATTATTGGATGACTTGTTTATATAACAACTAACATTTCTTCATTCTTGAACATATATATCTATCGGTACACTACAATGGTGTAACGATAGATAATTTAATATTTAGTTAAATAATTATCCTGTATCTTTAGTTCTAAACTACAATAATTCGTTTAATAATATTAATACTATGTTTTATTCGTTAAAGTTGTACATTTTATAGATAGTAGCGTAAACTATAGACTTTATACGTTTATAGGTCTTGAGTGTGAATAGATGTAGTCTAACATCGTTGGATGGGATCTGGGGTCTTAGTACTCTGCGGGAACTTCATGCAGCAGGAAACCGCCTTCGTGACTTGCATCCTTTGGCTGTGCTTCAAAAATTACACACACTTAATCTTGCCGAGTAAGTCGAGAGTTATAACAAGTGTAAGGTACATATAAAAAAATAAAAATATTTGTATCGATTTTAGTTTACGCCTCTAGTACTGTTAGGTGTACATTTAAATATAACGCTTCGAACGATTTAAACAGTTCTGCAGAAACGCGAAGCGTCGGGCCGTAGTTAAAATTAATTATAATTAATAAACTAACCTACTTAACTTCTTAGCGTTTTAATTCGTAAAAAGTGTTTTATTAAAATATATGATGTCTGTCTATACTAATATATAAAGCTGAAGAGTTTGTTTGTTTGATTCAACGCGCTAATCTCAGGAACTACGGGTTCTAATTGAATAATTATTTTTGAGTTGGTTAGAAATTTCATCGAGGAAGTGACTAATAGAAGCAAAGATACTGCGTGAAAAGTGAACAAAACGGGGGAAATTTTTCATCTCTGTGGGTTTCAGGTTTTTCATTTTCGTACGAAAATGAATATAAATAAATGTGTATGAAAGAATTATTTCTCTTTAAATTATATTAAAAAAAGTCCGCGGCGCTATTTGTCTACCTTCTAAGATTAACTTGCAAGAACGACGGGAAGGGACGCGATCGACATCGTGGCTAACAGCTCAAGTTTATAAAGATATTTGGGAAAATATGCAAAAACTTATTTGGGTGCCCAAAATGACGATTCTCGCGGACGAAGTCGCTGGCACAGCTAGTGATATTATAAGAGTGTAATATTTAAATTTTATACCAATACAAAAATCGCACTCAACACATTTTTGAGTCTGTTTTACTGAAATAAAAGTATTCTTTACCCCAGCAAATGCGTCAAAATTTCCACAAATCTAAATGATTTTACCATTGTATCATTGGGTCGGCCCGGAAAAAGATAAACATAACTTTAATTAAAATATTTTACGCAGCTAAGTATTTAATGTTACATGACGTGTAGGTATTTATACCTATCACTTCATAAATTCGTGAAACTGTAATGTAATTTTGAAGCATGCAATGAGTATTAGGCGATGATATAGATAAGATAGACTGATTATGTACTGCTCATAAAGTTTTTGCCTAGCACGAAAATCTCTACCTTTGCCCTTATTTTTAGAGAGTATAAAGGTCAAATAATATCTTGTGAGTTATCTTTACACGGCGATAGAATACGCGCAATATCGATTTTACTTTAATTTGAATTTACTATGATATGAAATTTGTATTATCTATACATAGTTCTTTTTATTTTGACCTAAGATTCACGTAATGGAGAACATTTTTGTGTTGACTTTAATCAACAAAATAACATTGTTCAATCGTTGTCTATGACCGCATTAATTATTAAACATAGTAGCTGCAGCCTGCAGCTAGAAACTGATTAATTGTGGGAATAAAGTACGTTTATTTTTAAGCAATCCTTTAGAGGAGTCCAGCAGACTCTGGACGCTGGGAGTATGTGGTTCATTACGCCGTATATCGTTGAGAAGGACACCACTGTCAGACTTGAGGGAGTACAGAACCGTGGTGTTATCAGCGCTACCATTGTTAACTCATTTGGATGACATCCCAGTTCAGGATGATGACAGTGAGTTATAATTGTATGAATGTTCCTATATATAAAATAAAATAAAACACTTTTAACGGTTTTAAACGTGAAATATGTTACTCAAGTTAGTTAGGCATTCCATAATACACCAACCAACATTCAAAACATATGTTACAGGTATGTTTAATGAAGCTTTAGATACTTCATCAGATTCAGAAGCTGGTGTGAGTGATATTGAACCAGATAGTAATGATTTTGCTAAAGTGGGTACAGAACCTCAGCCCGGACCATCATACCAGGTTACTGATATCAGAATTATATTTTTTGCAAGCACACTTTGGAAGTATACTATTACCAGAGAATAGTAATGGTAGTTGAACGTAGTAATTTCGGTAGCTAACGTTCTCGAAGTAAATAATATAACAGATGTAGTAGTTAAATAAGATACTTATTGCGGTTTAATAAGAAGAGCTGAGAAAAACATCGTATGATAACATGTACACTTGTGATGTAAATAGAGTTTAAACTTTTAAGATTCATAAGTGACTGTATTATATGTACTTTTATCAAATTACGCAAAACACTCACGCGCATGACAATATCATTGTAGCCTGAAGAAAAATTGGACCTACAAATGGAGATAGCACCAATAATGATTCGAAGACGACCAGCTACAACCGAATGCGCTGGTCTTCGACAGCGCGTTCTTCTTCCACCTAGACCAAAGACTGCCTTGGAACGCACGTCGAGCACAATGTCGAAACTTCACGTGGTTAATACTTCTCCAACACCCGCGTTGTCTACAGTTCGGCCAAAAAGTTTGGTGTTTTTAATCAATAATATAAAACTTAATAGGTAAAGAAAATTCCTAATGTTTTCCCTTTTCTATTTTAATTTCGAAAATAGAGACATACTTAAGAATCATTTCTTAAGTGTTTGCAATGTCGTGACTCGTAGTGGATATCGTATATATCATTATCTTTACGTCGTGTCTATAGATATAAGAACGAAAAGGCAATACGCGTAATTAATAAACGTAAAGGGCTATAAAATGAGTATCAATAATAATGCTTACTATGTGTGGTCTCGCTACTGCTTTGCTCCTTTGTAAAACGCCTACATTATCATTGAGTGTAACCTAAAATCTCTTAAGGTCTGAAGAGGTCTGTTTAAAAAACCACTTTAACGGTTTAAAACGCGATATATACTAGTTAAACTTAATTAAAAAATATTTTAACTACGGCCCGTGTTCACGACCGCTGCAGAGCATCTGAAACGTCGGGGCGGGTCGTTTAACTAATGTGTACTTAAATATCGCGTTTTAAAGTGTTTTATTATATGTATACTACTCGCGTAAACTACAGATAGTATTTAAGAGATTTTATCTTTTTTATCGTTTTTAGACAACGAATGGCACTGTGGTGGCAGTAAATTGACTTCAAATGGTCCGGTGTGTGGGAATCTGGCGCGAGCCTTGCGTAGACCCAGCCAAGCCAAGGCCAGCCAAAATAGCTCAAGTATTTTATTTATACATATATGCTTTATCGAATAAGTCGAATTTGTAGCAACACATATAGTGATACAACAAAAAGAAAAATGTTTCCCTGTTGACTAAATTTGGATACGTGTACATGTTTACAAAATTGTTTTCTAAGCCATTTATTTTTATTTTTATTTTAATATTGTTACGGCTTGTCCTAATAATAGTAATAACATCGCAATAATTACTATTACTATTGTTGTTTTTTTTAGGATTACACAAACAAAACAAAATAATTTGTTGTACGTACTCGGTTACGTTATTAGGAAAGTTGTAAAACTTGGATCGCGGATGTCACGTCACACATTTTATATTGTCAATAAAACTGACCCAAATCCTATGTTTAGCAATTACCTCTCGTGTTGTATCGGTTACGCGCTTACGTTTTCACTTCTAGAAATTATTATTCAAAAATATTTATTGTGGTCGTATCGCCTTTTTGGTGATATCTCAAACGTTCAAATATTATAAATTACAGTTTATATTAATTTTTTTCTAGAACCATAGTTATTAGCAAGAAAAGTCGACACATTTTTTTGTCAGTCACGTCTGAATATCAACAGCAAAATTTTGAACAGGTTTTTTGTGTTATGAAAAATGATTTTTACAGTATTTTTCACTAACAGATTCCGATATATTTGCGGAACAAACAATGGAAGAGGCGTGTCGGGCCGTCGCTGCTGAAATACCGCGAGCTCTGACTTCGGAAGTTTGGGATAAGTTTAAACAAGACACAGGGTACGCAACATTGCAATATAATTATAGTATTTATATCCAGACATGGCAAACGTTTAGGTGCTTCCGTTGAGAATTTTGAAGATTAGAGAAATTAAAAAAAAATTGTTCTCTAAATCGAATTAGTTGGCTTAGGAATTTTGGGTGTATATTAATATTTATAAAGCTGAAGAGTCTGCTTGCGCCAGTTAACACAGGAACACTCTCGAACTACTGGTTCGAATATATTTTCTTTATGTTAGATATATAATTTATCGAGGAAGGCGTTAGGCTAACATCACGCTTCAACGAATAGTAGTGCACGCTCAAGGAACAGTGAAAGACAGTGGTGATAAAAAACGGGGAATATTATTCATCTTTGAAGACTTGTGTTGCGTGCCCAAAATAACCATTCCCCTCGGACAAAGTCGCGGCTATAGCTAGTTGCAGTTGTTAGATAGCAAAGGGTGCGATATTGGTCGATGTCGTCTTTGATGCAGTAAAGATAAACTAGCTAATCTTGAATCTTTTAATAACATTCATAAAAGTGTGTTTTCTATTTGTTTTAGAATTGAAATCGATATAGACTTCACAGAGCGACCAAAAGGAGCAGATCCCAACAAAGTGATCGAACGCTTGGAACAAATCGAGAAGGAAACAATGGAGCGACTCAACAATGAAAACCCTGAGTTGAACTTCACACGCAATGTGTATAATTTTGCCTCGGATCCTTCTAGAATTCTATCGAGCGCGCTGAATGATGAATTGTGGCGAAACATAGAAGACCTGGCTCTGCCGGACACACAGACCGATAATGACGATTTTTTAGATATAGCGAGCACCTAATCCGTTCGTGGAATGTAAATGATTTAGCTAATTTTATTATTATCCTAATTATAACGTTAATCACTTAATTAAACTTTTTGTTTTGAAATTTTGAACATCGCCACAAAATCTTTGTGTGAACTTTAGAACGATGAATTGCGACTCACGAGTTATATCTTATTTTCCCAACGTGTTTTTAAAACCTGTCTCGTGGATTTTTTTTACAGCATATTTAGCATGCAGGATAATACGTGGTCCAATTTAAGTGTCTTCCTCATGCATATTTTATTATTGTTGTCTGGTTTAGACGGCACCTTTGTTTGTTAATGTATATGCATAATACGTTGATGCGTTATTAGTTGAATAAATTTTATTTTTAATAACTATTATTGCATTTTATTAATCGTAAGATAATCCATCTAAGTTTTAAGTAAATATAATGACTTTCTTATTACCGAATAGGCACCTACGGATAATATTCAAACATTTTTTTTAAATGCTAGCAAAAAATCGTATATTATATACATGTATACCGACGGACCTGTTGTTCGTGGGTTCTATAAAAACTATTTGAAACACGAATGGTACCCTATCTGGTACGAAGCATGTCTATAGGTATATAAGCCGTAAAGAGTCAAGCCAAAATATAGCTTTTAGTTACACCAGTTATTTTACATTATAGAACCGATTTTTTAGTCTTTAAAAGTAAGTGTCGATTTTAACAAAGCACAAAATGTATTTGAAATAAAAAAAGAATTGTAAAACAGTTTAATTATATAAAACAAATGGATCATTACTATAATATTTGGATATTATAGACATTAACTCTTCGTGTACATCTTTGAGGCATAAATTAATGGTTATAGCTAAAGGACCCAATAGTTAGGTATAATTTATGTTAAGTGCGACATGAACGACGTGCAGTATAAGGAAGGAATATAAACGAATAACTGTACTTTTATGTATTGTAATCTTAGTTAGGGTACCTGCGCTAGACATTAAGCTGGATCATATAGCATCAGCACTCGTAATAGAAATACGTCAGTCTAGTATAAGCAGCCGTCTGCTTCACTCGTTTTCAGTGTCAATGTTAATTTCAGATAAGATTAAATATGAATGTGATATTGCTTCTCAAACGTTTTGCTATAGCAAACGTGTTGACTGGTGTCTACAGTTTAGCGACTCTCTTCTTTATTGCTTTAAACTACATAAAGAATCCGTTTAAAAATTGGGCTCCGAAAGTCAAATTGGAGCCGCCGTCTAGATTATCTGATCCAAAATTTGGAGTGCACAAATATATAAAGGCCAATGTAAGTAATATCTTCATTATATTTTTTGAAAAATTATTGAACCTCTCTTATAACTCAATTACGCATATTTCATACTAATAAGTTATACAACCTGCCAGTGCGACAACACATAATACAAATAATAGTAACATCATCCAATTTAACGAGATCTTTCTCTGTGAGTGACATGGCATAAGTATCACTAAAAGAAAACGCAATAATGATTACGGTTTTGTTGTAATTTACTACCTACTAAGTAATTTGGGTGGTGTGTAGAATTTAAATAAAACACTTTAAGTCAGTCTCCCCGTGACCAGCTGCTGCAAACTCCAAACGTCGGGCCGAAGTTAGAAATCATTGTCAAATCAGTTTAACTAATATATCGGGTTTTAAACCGTTAAATTGTTTAATTTAAATGTGTACTACTGGTGTGTAGAAACCAACCATTTTAGATATTTTTGTAATTGCCTACAATTTACGTCTTTCATCACATTATCACGTGTATTTTAGGAATAAACAATGAAAAAAGGTAAACATACTGAGTATTAACTTTTATAACTTTATAATATATATCAACTTATATTTTGTATGAAAACAATTTATATACCTACACAATTGTCTATAGTAAGTTAATATGTAAAGTTTTAAACAAAGGATATTAAAAATATTTTAAAGTAAGTAATAGAAGAGGAGGACAGACGAGCACGGGGTTCACGTGAAGGACGGTTTTTTTTGACTTGACTATTATTTTGGCCCAGGGCCATCAATACCAAACGGACGTTAGGGTGAGCACGCTAGCTATCGCCGTGTTTGCGACTAGGCCAAGGTTGCCCCGAGCGGGCCATCGGTCTAGGTTTGAATAATGTTAGACGGTTTGTTGTATAGATGGCTCCATAACCCCATCTAATATCTGAACAAGATGCGCTGACGATCTTTTTGGATGGTGGAAATCCGGAACAGACTGTACCCGATACGTGATAAATTCTTACGGTTTTTTCTTCTGTGGAAGGTTGTGAACCGGACGAAATTTCGGTATTCCACCCATTTATACCAAATTACCAACCAATTATATATTTAGATTACCAAGAAAAGTGTAGCAAGTTTCAGGAAAAATTATAATCAATTTTTATTTTTTCTTAGACTTTTTTTTTTTTTAGAACCGCCGGTCTTTTTGTATTTTTTTTTTTTTTTTTTTTTTTGGGGGTTTTTTTTTTTTTTTTTTTTTTGTTGTAATGAATTAACTTATATGTTTCGTATTTTAAACCTGTTAAATGGTATAAATAAATTTGTAGATCTACTACTCGTGAAAACTACGGGCAATATAAAAGGCGAATTTATTTTCACTAATTTGATAGTAATAATAAGATTTTGTAATTATTTAAGATAATCAACTACATTGGTGTTTCGGATGGCAAATAAATTTATTCAATCGTATGAAGTTGAGAATCATAGAAAGCGGAACGAAACGCGTTGCATTTAGTCTTATGTGTGCAAAGTAGTTGTTACTCGTAGTTATATATCTATAGGAAACAAACAGATACATCATTAAATTATTTTAAAAAGTAATACAAATTTAAACAAACACTTTGACGGTTTAAAACGCGGTATATATGAGTTAAACTTATTTTGAAATTATTTTAACTACGGCCCGACGTTTCGAATGCTTTGCAGCAGCCATGGTCACGGGGAGACAAACATTAAATTAAGATAACTTTCAAATCAGTTTTACTAATACGTGTTTTATACTGTTATATTTAAATATTGTGATAGTTTTTATAATACGATTTATTTTAATAAGTCTATTAAATAGCACAGCGCGCTTAATAAATGTAATCGTTTGGTTTAAAACTTACTGTTTTCGATATAAAACTTAAATTTTGATAATTGACATTCTGTTTTGAGCTTCATAAAACGGAAGTGAAAATACGAAATTAACAGTTACGTATGAATTAAGAGTACATATTTATTCAGCGTTGCAGAATGCGCCTTGTCTATTTAAGGCCTTCGAGTACCTATCATGCAACATTATATTAATGTTTCAGTTTTGGGCATGTCCATCTTTGATATAAAAAGCAATTTCTGGAGCATAGTATGATTCCTCTTTAGAGGATTTAAAAAAATGTCCGCTTTAAAAGATTAACTTTCAATGACGACGGGACGTGACCGACGTCATGGGTAACAGCTTAATTTTATAAAGATGAAGAGGATGTTTGCAAAAACCAATTAAATTGCGCAAAATAACTATTCTACAGGGACAAAGTCGCTGACACGGCTAGTTGCAATATTAAGAGATTTTTTTTTTCAGAATGTTAAGCTACATTATGTGGAAAGCGGTGACCCTTCGCGGCCTTTAATGATATTTATACATGGATTCCCCGAATTTTGGTACTCATGGCGGTATCAATTAGTGGAATTTCAAAAGGATTATTGGTAGTGTAACTATGATTTATTTGTAATAATAAAAGTTTCAAAAAGTTAAAGTTTTAGGAGAAATTAGATCAAAATATTATAGCAAAGAATTATTATTTTCCTTATATCGCTTTTTAACTTGACCTCCGTAGTGGTAGTAGTGCCTAATAAATTATATATATTTTTTAATATTATGATTATGGTTTTAGATACTGTCCTTAGTTTACGCGATTAGTAGATATAGCTCACTTATTTGCTTAACGATTAGGCCGCCTTTTATTTACAAGTTAGTACGTAAGTTTTTATCTTTTGTAGTTTTTGAGTGGTATAATATTATAAATAATAAAGCTGTAATAAATAAATAAATAGATATATAAACACTTTTAATGATTTAAAACGCAAAATGTATTAATTAAACATTTTTACAAATTGTTTAACTAGCTGTCGCTTCCTTGCGGTTGCTACAAAGCATCCGAAACGTCGGCGCGTTACGGATTCATTACAGCAGCCGTGGTTACAGGCAGACACTAGGGCTAAATTTTTTTTTACAAATTTATTAAAAGTGTATTTTAAATGTGAAATACAGGTGTAAAATTTCTTCACTATATCTACAAGACCACGATATCTTGTACTTGTAAAATTCAGTGCTAATTATTATTTATTCAACATAAAAATAATATATTTTCCAGGTGCATAGCTATAGATATGAGGGGATATGGAGACTCTGAGAGACCGGAAGATGTTTCTTCCTACAAACTGCCGACATTAGCTGAAGATATTCGTGACCTAGTGCGGCAATTAGGTATACTTATTATCTCTAATTATTTTGTCTGTGGACATTCTAATATCCACAGACTACAACCGAAATGCAAATTTAATCTTTATCTATGGCTTTTTCGTCTGCGGACGGTGGTTCTTGACGCTAACGGGGTTCAGATATATTCTAAGATCCAATTTATATCCGGTTTTTCCAGTGCGAAGTCCAATATTCTTTCTTTTTCTTTTCTACTTCTTGAAAATAAATGAAATTTAAGAAACACGTTAGAATTGAACCCGGGCGCATGATTTCTCGTGTTTTCTGGATTTTTACACTTATTTAAGTTTCTCTTTGCTCAAACATTCAATTATAAATAATTTTGTACGCATTGAATGGACATAAAAACACTTTTCTGTATTAGACTAAGACTTAGAAGTAGAATACTACCTCCAACGGGGTCAAGCCCGTTTACCTTTACCCTGTAAACCATTAGATGATTAATCTGAATTTCATTTTATTACTTCTGGACATGTATGTATGATTTTTAGGTCGAGAGAAATGTATTATTGTTTCCCACGACTGGGGCGGCCTGGTGGCCTGCAGGTATCGTGATTTATACCCAGAAACTCTCCAAGGTCTGGTCGTACTAGGTAGTACAGCTCACGAGGCATGGGCTGATGCTTTGTGGAACAATGATGAGCAAAGGAAAATGTCCTGGTAGGTATATATTATTAAATTTCCAAACATGTAACCAATCTTAAAAAATTGAAATTGTTTTGGAATTCGAAGAATCATTTAATAATTTACTCTAGATCAATGATCACTTTCACTGTGTTTAGACAGTTAAATACTCCTAAATTGAAGGTTTATTGGTAAATTATCAATTTGATTTGGCTTTTGTTTCTAACCTCTATTGGTTCTCTATTTTTACTATTCGCAGCAAAATATATGTATCTACATAGCCATCCCTGATAAACAGCTATTTTACACTAAAAGATTTAAGAAATCTGGCAATTATGTGCCTTCTAAATAATATCGTTGATAATACGATATTTGTATCGTTCTTTTTTTATAAATATTAAATAAAGTGTCCCGTCTACAAACAAATTAAAATAAAACACATTTTTCTTGTATTTACAGGTACGTGTTTTTATTCCGAATGCCAATAGTACCAGAACTAATGTTGCAAACAACCGAAATATTTGAAAAATCAATGCTTATTGAAGGAAAACCAACGGTCGACTTACAAGACATTGAATGTTTCAAATACTGGTTTAGCAAACAAGGTAGGTACTTTGCTCATCGTCTTGTAATCACAGTGTTATCATACATCTTTTATCAACAAGTTTAATGCCAACAATAATTCGTAGTTAGTCCCAGGTTAGTGCTTTATTGGTCATATTTCGTTTCATAAGATAATATGTGTACTTACAAGACGTATAAACGAAACAAAACAAATAAAATTAAAAGCCACAGGCCGTTATAAGCGACATCTGTTAGACATCCCGAAAATATTTATACACACAATATTATTTTGTTAAAAAGTTTGGTTTGTTTGCAGGTGCATTTACTCCACCTATAAATTTCTACAGAGCAAATTTTACCTTACAAGTTGAAAAAAAGGTTCACCAGGAAAATATACCTTTTCTCTTTGCTCACGGAGTTAATGAACGCTTTTTGGGACAGAAATTGACCGAAAATATGAAAGAAATATACAAGTTTATCGAAATAACAAAAGTAGAGGACAGTGGTCACTTTCTCCAACAGGAAGAGCCAGTAAGAGTGAATAATCTTATAAGAAATTTCCTGCAGAAAAATAAACTTTAATAAATAAAATAACGATATTGTAACAAGTTATTGATAATTATTGATTGTTTATTTTACGTGGTACTTATGAAGTTTAATTTACCTACCAACTTTTATTTTTTAAATGAAAAAATAGATGATATTGTAAATTTACTATTACCAGTCGTATTGTTTACACTATAAAATACACTATTTATTTTTAATAAAGTTCTTTCTTTTTTAACTCCCTCTAAATTATATTATATACTCTTAGACTTTTTAGCCAAAAGTAAATCTTAAACTTAGGAATACGTTTTTACGCTCATTATCGGTCATTGGTATGTTTAATTTAATTTCGAATTCAGATTAGAGAACAAATAGGATGGTACAAGTCAATTATGCGCCTTAACGAAGTGCAACAGCAGTAGTGTGGTAATAAATCAGAAATAAATCAAACGTGTTATCGCATTTAACATATCCATTAGATGTCTTTAGCAGTGGTAACTAATTGCTTAACCCAACTTTTATTTCTAAGTTAAAAGAAAATAATAAAGAAGACTAGTATGTTCTAAGCATTTAATTTAGCAATATTATTTATTACTTAAAATACTCTATCGAGAAAAACAATAATTTTGAAACGCTTTTCATAATTGTTTATGATGATGATAAGCATCATATTTTTTTCATATAATTAAATTTAATATAATTTATATAATACAATGAAAAATTAAAATAAGACTCAAAAACGATAATCCCAGATAAAACAAACTGCTTCTCGTCTTTAATTGTTTTTTTTTAGTCTGTGGCTTTTATATATTCTCTGTTCTGTGTGATACGATCACAGACACACAGAGGGACAGAGTATAATAGCGTACTTTCAAGGTCATGTCAAGATATTATCCGTATAATTTCAGAATACCATTTACTAGTATAGGTTTCTCTGTCACTCTTATCGTATACTGCCTAGATATATTTTTTGTTTACAACTACCTCTATTCTTATTAAAATAGAAACGTAAAAAATATGAGCTTGTAAAATCTAATGGCTGCCGAAGTAAAAACGAGAAACAGCTGATGTGCGTCTTTTACTTTTAGATAAATATATTGAGTATTCATTTATCAAGTTATAGTGATTTTTCAGATTAGATGACCCGTTATTCGTTTATATACTTTCAGCGACATACAGGGTTGGTATATTTAGGTGTTCGTACAGTTAAGGCTGATCACTACGAAAGTTTTTGCAGATTGTTGGCCTTTTCAGATGTCACTGACCATACAACAAATAATTTTGGACGCAAAAAGACTTGCAGGCCGTTTGAAGGAGCGAGAAACTGAAGCGGATGCTTTGCTTACTGAAACTCAAACAGCATATAGACAAATAAGCACTATGAAACAGGTATTTCATTTGTTCCCTTTTGTTTTATTCACTTTCTAACCAATCTTATTTGTTACTTATTGGACTATAAGTATGTATTTCCTATATTGTGTCCGTTGTGCATTTAGAAAGTAGTAAAATATATTAATAATGTAAAGTGTATTTAATGATTTTCTAATTGTAGTACAAAGAAGAAGTAGATACACTGAATGAAGCCTCAAGGGAGAGGCCTAGGGGTGAACTGATTGCCAGTATAGAAAGAGAGTCTCGACTTATGAGAGATGTGCAGAGAGAAAATGGTGAGCTTCGTGCTGCTTTGGAGGACCATCGAAGAGCCTTGGAACTAATCATGTCAAAGTACAGACAACACACTGAGAAGCGAATTTGGGAATCACGCATTGACTTCACTTCTGCTATTAATGAAAAGCAGCAAGAGGTCAGTTTGTTTTTCTACTTGTTTCATAAGTTATCAGTTTCATTTTTTTTGAGTTTATATAAGTCCCATTGTTATAAAAGCAATGCAATTAAAGACAGAGTTGCAGATGCACTTGATATACATTAGACATCATGTCTTTTCAGTTGATTCGTCAACAGGCTGAGCGAATAAATGAAATGACCAGCATCATGTACAAAGCAGTAAATATGGATGCGCATGGTGATACCAGAAGGGAAGAAGAATTATACCAAAGGCTTATAACTGAGAATAAGGTATGTTTGTATGGAGACATAAAACAATATATTTTTAGAGTTGTAGATCAAGAAGTCTTTTTGTATGTAATTCTATCCAAAACTCTTTCAGGGTCTTCGTGAGATGTTAGATATATCTCGGCGCTATGGTTCAGACAAACCGTACCCACCCATGGAAGACAAGGATGTGCAAACAGATGGACCGCCTCTTTCAGGGGCGTGACGATCTGTGGTTGATTCGTGCCGCCTCTAAACAAACCACGCACTTCTTCGTACATGTTAATATTATCTTAGGACAGATTTTGACCACGTTTGTATTGTGAAACTATTGGATGACCGTTTTTGCTACATTAGGTCTATTTTCCTTTATATTATATTCTTGACAGTGATCTTTGCAAAATGATTTTGAAGCATTTGATGTTGCCGAAGTGAAAGACAATTTTTTCGGTAGCAGTTCTAAAACTTCTGGTGGCTTCATGTGTATTAAATATGTCATATTGAACACCCAGTCTTTTATAATGATAATTTTATAATAATTGTGATTGACTCCAGATTTCAATATTGTAAGCTGGTGTTACTTGTAGACGCTATGCTAATTTGTGTGGGAGACGCTACTTCATTAAATTTAGTAATGTCTGTAAAATTTTAATAAATGTAAAAGTAATACTTATGGCATCTCTGTGATCTTTAGAATCTATTAAAATGAAAATTTCAACAACCAATTGCACACCGAGAGGTATTGCTATGAATATTGTTACTTTTGTAATTCTGATTTAGAAAAGGAAGAAAATAATTTTATGTACTTTAATAACATTTCAAATTAACTTCACTGACATGTTTTCTCCTAACTGAACTAATTAAAAGGCAAATAGCATTAAAATTGTCCCTTTATGTGCAAAATGCCACTAGCTATTATTAATAGTACTAAAATGTGTTAGGCGTAATGTGCTATTTAGACAATATAATAATAAATCGTAAAGTTTATATTGCAAATAATAATCAACTAAAGTTTTCTCTTTGTTTCATTAGACACTATATTGTATGTAGCATAGATTATATTTGTAGAAGTTAATATGTAACAAGGTCTCGATATTTAGGTAAACTATAAATATGTTAATTTCTGTACCTTGTTACTTAGTTTAGTCTTTTAGGTTTAAAAACTTTATCATTTTTCAAATGTTATAAAATGAAAAAATTATTTAGATGAAATATTATTCAATCTACTTTTAATTAAAGGTCTTTTCATCCGCCAGGAAATATCTGTAATTTGAACTTTTGCAGCATTGTCGAGGCAAATTTTGAAAACTAAAAGGAAACATACTATGTGCCAACCCGATTATATTAGGTTTGTTTTTTTTCTGATATGTGAAATGAATACTTGTTGAAGAAAATCTGAGTGTATTAAAGATAGCATAGTCCATGAAATATTTGTATAACTTACTTTTGGGTACTAAAGTTAAACTGGTACACGCACGTGTAGGTGTTTACAATGCATTAGGTGCAGCCCGATCTCAAGGGAAGTAGTATTTGTACAAATAATTTTATATATCCATCCCACGAAACTTAAGAAATTCTTTAGAGATTTATGATCCATCCTCAAATAAACAGGAACTACTTAACAGAAGTATGAACCATGTTAGTATAAAAAAGGTAATAAACCTTTGTTCAACTCAAAACATTTTACTACTTGTGTATTTAGTATTAATAGATATTTAATATTATGTAGACATAATTCACTAAATTAGTATATTATTATTATAAATAAAATAAACTTGATGCGATATTTTTTCATATAACACGTTCAGCTTTGGATGTTAGACGTTTTAGGATTAGAAGTTGGATGTAGTTTCTTCGTAGTTCGTAATTTTAATACATACTAGAATGCAAGCAATACAACGTGGACTGCATAAAGTTAAAAAAAATCGTTGAACATGCTCGAAAAACCGTCCTTGTGGGAAACCGGTATTTTCTTACCAAAATGATGGCAAAATTCCATGTTGTATTAACCATGGCTTTACATGGGCCCAAACACCATTTTTAAAAGGTTTATAAATCTTAAATTGTCGTCTTGGAGAGGGAATTTGTCTAATATCTAATAAGTAATCACTTAAGTTATCAAACCCTAAACTGTGTAATACAATATTTACATAGTAGTTCTATATTTTCTCATTTGTTTGTATCCCTGTTCAATTTTAATAATATAGTTTATCCACTAAATTGTTAAATTTATGTCGAAATCTAAATGATTTAGCATATTGTTTAGTACATTAAATGTATTTACTTAAGTAAAATGCATATGGCAAATATGGTAGGCAGTTGTTGAATGTTGTGGTTTCAATTTACTCTAACATATATGTATTGTTTTGAATAAACTTACCAATATAATGATGAGAAATATGATGAAATCTTAATTATTATTCTAGTATGATGTGATGTTCTGAGGTTTTATGATGAATAATACTATTAATGTAATATTATAAAAATAAAGGGATGTCCAAAACTTGTTGGGTTTGGTTTTTATACATATTTAATACCTAGAAATTAAAGTATTTTCAACCAAGAAATAGACATAAGAATAAGAGTGTGAAAGCTTTTATTGTCCACTTACTTTTACCAACACCATCTATCAATAAAGGGTACAAATATAAAAAAAAATCCAATAAAACTTCCATAATAAATAAAACTGTATAATTAGTTTTATCAAACACCACACTAGTTCACATTCAAGTAAAATGTAAACTTATAATTGTAAATCATACTCTTGTCTGTGTGTATTCTGTAGGGAACTTAAAGGAGTGTTGACCAATTGCTTGTATGTTTGGTAAGAGGCCAGCATTGGGAATTATATTCCATGACAGAGTTAATGTGACATTATTGTGACCTCTGCAAAAAAAATGTACACATTTCTATACAAACTGTTTTGAAACTTTAAATAAAACAAAGTGAAGAAATGAAAGGGCCACCACCGTAATATTAAATGCATATCAATTTATCAAAAATATCATAATGTAAAATGTATATCTATTATTGTTTCTTTTTAATGCATCAATGCAGTGCCAATTCAAGGGTTCTGCCCTTCACAATAAAAATCACACTAAAACACAATCTCCCCATATAAATGTTATAGTACTGATTATGAGAGTAATATATGTATATTACTCTCATAATCAGAACACAGAACTTATGAAATACTTACTTTAAACCATTACCATCATCCCAGAAATAATATTTGATGTTCATATTTTTAAAGTCTAACAAAGCATTTTCTCCTCTTAAAATAATCTTATCCCACAGCACCACCTGGTTTAACTCATTTGCTGGTGTAATATACTCAGCAGTGAGATATAGGAACAGCTGCTTAACGTTCCAGTTGAAAAGATTTGAAAGGTCTGTTTTTAAATCAAAGGTCAAGTATCCCAAGTCATTCTTTTCTCTTGAAGCACCATAATCTGGAACATTTTTCCTGTGTACAAATGAAATAATTATATTATTAGCCATGCAGTACTTCGCAGTGAAAGCAATAATTTGCTTATTGATAACCGTCAATTTCCAGTTATTATTATGAGAATTTAGGAGTAGGTGAGGATTACTCCTTACCTACTTCTAAATTCTCATAATAATTCATGTCCTTTTTGTGCCAACTATCGTATATTTTAGTAGCTGAATGTAAGCGTGTAAGTTTGTAGGTAAGAGTATAAGTGGAGTAATTTATACTAACACAACTACTTTCACTGTGTTCATTTGAGCAGGAGTTCTATATTCCACCGTTAATGTGGACAGAAAACATAGAAATGTTAAGCATGCTAGAACGCTTAAAGTATAAGTAAGAATTGCATTTCCTCTTGTTAACACAGAATACATCTTTGTTTAATCAATCTATCATATAATCTAACATTAAACTTTAAGCAACTACACTATTTTATAAGCAACAATAATTTTATCGCTATTTTCACAAAACCTCCGTTTTGATTTGGTAGCTGACGTTGTCGATTTTGTTACTGTTACACGACCACAATACGACACTGACAATGACAATTAAATACAGATTATATAAAGACACGTCATTATATAAAGTATCACAAAGACTATGCCATTTATGCCAGCACAAAAAATACACTGTTTTAATAGGTTTTCATTATTTTAACTATACATATAGGGAGAAATATAAAAAAACGTTATCGATTGGCATTCGTTACGAGGTTAACTACAAACGTAGGTTGTGTCTCAACAGTACCTAGATAATATAACACAAAGGTAATTATTGCGGTCTATAGATTATAATGAATATGGCTGCTACAGCCTACGTTTAGCTTATCGATAGAAAAGTAAAATTAGTTGGTTAGGGTAGAAACCTATGAAAAAAAAATATACACATAGCAAAATTCAATTCATATTATAAATTGTTTAATGTCTCCAATTGGAACTTACACCATATATGATCGAATAGACTAAACGCTTGTAACTAAAAATATCTTAATCATATAAGTGATAATGTACTTTTGAACATGTTTAATTGTGTAATTTTATTTATTAATAACTGGTATGCTCGCGACTTCGTCCGCATGGAATAGTTATTTTATACGACGTCGGTCGCGTCCCTTCCTGTCGTTCTTGCGAGATAATCTTATAAGATAGACATATGCGTCGCGGACATTTTTAAGATCATTTCAAGAGGAATCATTCTTTCATCCATATTTTTTGGGAATCTTGTATTGTTTTTGCAGCTCCTCGGAAACCCATAATGATGAATAATTTTCCCAAATTATGTCACAATTCCCGCTGTATCTTCGCCCATTAGTCACATGACAAAATTTTTTAATTCAAATCCGTACTTCTGAGATTAGCGCGTTGAAACAAATTCTTCAGCTTTATATATCAGTATAGATATAGAAGTATAGATTAAACGTTGTAAGTGTAAAAAATTAAGATTTAAACTATTGAAAAAAATTATCAAATCTCTTCGTGGCGGAAGTTGTTTTAAAAGTTGTAAGCTTCACAGACAAAATGATTTAATGAAAGTCTAAGAGTATTTTTACAATTGTAATATATTGCGATTACATGTACTCTTCTGATAAATTTCAATACGATTATTGATTTCGATTTTGAAGAAATAAGGCAATTAAAGATAAAAGCAAAGCTGTAAAGAAAAGAGGCTCAGTAGCGTAACTCTTGTTGCACGGAACTCCCCCGGGTATGGATCGACAGAAGCATGCTCTAGTCCGATAACTTCCAGAGGTCTGCTCGTAACATCCGCTTGTGATTGCTGTGTTATTGTGATCTATTGCTCTTGTACACATGTATGTTGAGTTTTCAGCTGTAAGTGAATAGTGTTATCAAACCTTCAATTTTTAAATTTTTAAATTTTTTATAATCACTATTTTTTATAAGGGTTATAGTCGTCCCTTAGATGACGGACATATTTAAATTGTTATTAGCAGCGTTGTAATTTAGGCTGTTTTTATTCGCTATAATGCTGTTAACGTTGAAATTATCTATGATTAGAACTGAATGATACATGATAAACGTGTGAAAAAGAAATAGAATCTAAATTGGTTTTAAATTATTTTATTCCTTTCATTAAATGATAACAGTTGTTTTAACATTAGTGGTGTGCGGCGATATTATTTAAAAATATATGTCGTCATAGTAAGTCATTCGCAGAAAAGAAAAAAATAACTTGTTCTATTATAGGGCGATGAGTGTTTTACTTTGTTGTTGCGCCTTTTTAGATATTTTAATAAATAGTACGATATTCAGTCATTTACAGTCTGTGGGTAAATTTTGTGTTTTTACTTACGATGTCCGTTAAAATAATACGTGTATTGTGCACACACGTCATTTTGGCTTAGAAGACACGTGGTAGCTTCTAGGTGGTGGGTCCAGATGTATGTAATATCAGGCCACGTCCCATCATCTATTCGAAACATTAATATCATGAAGGCATAAGACCCTTACCAGCTCCCATTGATGGAGGTCAGGTTATCTTTAAGGGTACTTATAAGCTTATAATAAGGTTTTAAATAAAGTTTGTATATATTACACAGGAAATATATAACATGCTATCTGTAAACATGTTATGATAATATCGCGTCCTTCCGTCCTTTAAGATAGCTATTTTCTTTATTAAAACGTAATAATTATCATTAGTTTTGATTTCTCAAAAATATTTATGTTTATTAATGATATTTTAGAATAGTTTCGATAGGCTGAAAACCAGACAACAGCGTTTAAATTCACTAATACTATGTACCCTTTTACAATCATTATAGTGTCTAATTATTTAATAAGATACTTTTAAAGCAAAGGTAAATAATATATTTAAAAAAACCTACCATCTCTTTTACGAGTACATTTGCGTTTTGTTGGAGCGTCAACGTACGTAATACGTAAGCAGTGACACTGGCATATTCAATTTAGAATGGCTTATTTAATATAGTCATGGTGTGTCTAGTTAAAACGTAATATTCCTACACCGTCAAGTGACTTCTCCGCTTTCTATAACAAACCTGAAACCACTAAAGGCTGGAAGCATGGTATGCCGTCGGCCAGTTTAGTGGCATCGTTGCACGTTGCATTCATGAAAACGCTCTGGTTATCGTACCGGGGCCCGAGCCATGTGAATTGAAAGCAGCGGGTATCATTGCGGTTACTCTCAACGACCACAGCAGTATCTGTGTATCAAAATACACTTTACAGTAGGTATTCTCGTACTTGCAACAACTCAAAGGCTTTTAATTTGGCTTAAACAATAGCTGAATAGACTTAGTAAATAAAACACTAATATACAATATAGCCGCTAGAGGCAGAGTAGCCTAACTGCAATTTTACGACTTCAGTGATTTATATTTTCATAGTCTAAAAATGTTAATATGAGCAAGAGCAAGGTGACCGAAAATTATTAACATATTTTTACGCAAATAATAGTAAAAATTCATTTTCGCCTAAGTAAACTGCGCATTTTTATTATTGAAAATCATGCTTTTTTGTTATTAGGCCACTCTGCCTCATAATATAATAGTACTGAACATATTCGATGATAAAAACAAACGCAAACAGCGTTACGCAGTGTCCATCATGTTATAAAATCAAAAATTAGTTTCTTTATTAACATTTTTCCAAAATAGGAACGCCTTTAATATTTTAGAACGCAATGTCATGTATTTAAGGTTTTTGTAATTTCTATTAACTGATTCAGTTTGGTTTTAAATTTCTAATTTGTTTTCTTTTTAATTAGGAAATAATAATTATAAACTATTTAGTCGGTGACACGATGCTTATATCCACAAGATATAGGTACTTACATAGAGTGTAAAAAAGTATCATAAATATTCCTTTAGCCCACATCATTGTTATGTTACCATTTCATTTGTATTCTTGCACATAGTTCACACTTGTATTGGACAAAGGACTATAAGCTTCTTATCAATTAAATATGCCGCTTATTAAAATGTCGGCAATAATGAATGCTAAACTAATTATTGAAAATTGACACTATCTATGCTCCTTGATGATTTATCAAGAACTGATTGCACCGATTTTGATATTGTTTATCTATTGTTTAGTTGTAACTGATTACGAAAGATTAAAACGAGTGAATACGAGTAATTCATGCTTGTATTGTTAAGTACTAAGGTATGTTTTTTTATGATAGAAGACGACAGACAAGCGAGGGGGACTAGATGTTACGTGGAACACCCCAGTTATTTAACATCTAAACAAGATGTGCTATCGACTTATTTTGGCTTATATTTGGAAATCGATAAACCGAAACGCGATTAAAGTTCACGGCTTTCATCTATAGAAGGTGGTTGGTACGGAATTTCGATGTTTCTTCCACTTACAGGAGATTTGCACGAAGTAGTCAAGTATGTAACAGGGAAATCACTTAAAAGTAGCAAATATATATTATTTAGGGTTGATACACATTTACCAACTTAACCAATTCTCGCTAAATAAAGTCGTAAATGTTATCAAATTATTTTGAATTTCCTTGGAAAGGTTTATGATTTAGCGAAAAGTATATTCCAGATTTGCATGGAAGTGTATCGAGGTAGTCATATCCCAATGAAATTACTCCCCCTCGGCATGGGCTGACGATAAGCCGATTTCGTATAACCTCGTTCCATCAGCGAGCACTGAGCACTCCCAGCGCGCAGATTTACGACCTACCAACAAATAGGTATGTCTTTTTAATAGAACCACAATTTATGGGACCCTCTAAATTTTCCAATTTAAATCATTCCACTCTCGGTTGAAGTGCGGGCATATAATACGGGAGATAGGGGATAGTTAGTGTATTATATATTTTCTAAAATTATTTTGTATACTCAGTTAACTATTCAAAATAGAGAGAATGTTAAAATGACGATCTCAGAAGACGTTATGACTCATTATTTATCTTTGCATTTTCGCAAATGATTTTTTTAATTACATCATTTTTCTTTCTTTATTTTTTATTTACTATTCTGCCGGGCATGAGAGCGGTTTATTTATACCAGAATTCACTGGTTCACCTAATATTATAACATAAATATTTTAATTAAGTATAATTTCGCGGTCTGTGACTTGCCGTTCCCATTTGAGGGGATACATCACCACTTAAGTTTCTAAGGGATTCAAACCCAGGTCTACACGCACGCACAAGGAGTCATTTGTGCGTATCCTTCTAGAGTAGATATTCGTGTATCGTTCAATAACTACTTTTTCAAGTAGGTACCTACTAAAATTATTGCTCCTTATCGTATACAAAGGCTTCCATTAATCTTAGTTTCTGAATTCGGGGCGCGGCAGCTTCTTTTCAGCGATCTCGCTCCGTGTGAAGCAGTTTTAATTAAGATATCATGGGAAATAAACATCTCGCTCAAATATTTATAGGTGTGAGAAAATTGCTTTTTCAGGTTGCTCCTTACAATCTGTTGCGAAGGTTTCTAACTTATCATCGTTTTAGGCTGTTCTCAGGATGAAAATATTGAAGACTGAGAACAGAGAGCGAAAGCGAAAGAAAACCACTAAGAATAGTTACAAGTCCTACAACTAATTATACTTATACATAAATATTAAGTATTTTAACTCATAAGGCAAGGCATTACGGCAAGGTTTCAGAGATTCAAATAATTTATGTATTTAAAATTTATTTAAAGCGATCGGTATAACAAGACACTTTTGTAGTATAATTTCTTATCACCTATACAATACTTAACTATATACAAAAATATAAACGTATAAATAATGTATTTACAAAAATTACAAGGGTATAGAGAGTATTTATATTTTCACATTGATTACTCTAGTTATTTAATCGTAGTTACTTATCTACGGAACATTTTCAATCTTCCGTCTAAATATATTCGTTTAAAATTAATCCTCAATTAGTGCACTAAAGAATTATAGTTCATTTGTTTTCTTTACAAACTAACATCACTTTCACATTTACACAGCGCAAAATATACTCAAAATAATTGTCCTTTTTCTTGATTCATTGCATATTTTGCTTTCACGAGTAACATTCTTTACACTTTAATTCCGTATTATAATTTAGGCTAAACATTTATAGCTAGTCTTCTCAACCCACGTAGGGGAAAGGAGCGAATGGTGCTGGAAAATAGCCAGGGAAACCTGGGGCAGCGCTTGGCTGTATGGGTATAGATGACGTCACGTATGACGTCACTACGGTTGGAACTACTGCGGTCGAAAATAGTGTAGTATACACAGTTTTAGCTCCAAATGTAAGTTTCAGAACCTGGCTATTAGTTGCAATCACTTCTGTATTCACCACCACAGGCGTGGAAGTGACAGTGAACTGCTGCGGGAAAAGTGGATTGAGTGGAAGGGCGGGAAGACTGCTAGTTCCTACTTCATACTCGGTTCTTGTTACGGTTGCAACAGGTCGCGATATGGTGCTTTGAACCGTATTTTTCCCATCGAAGAAAGGTATCACATGAGATTCGTATATTGTCTCGAGTTTCAGAATCGGTTTCGATGTAGTAACGACATTTGGTATTTGAGCAGCGGCGGCAGGATTAAGCAATCGTAATAGAGCAAGTTGCTGCGCTTGTTCAGGACTCAAAGCAGGCGTCGATGGGCTCGGTGGTTCCGTAACTTGATTGAGTTTATTCTGTCCGTGTGCTTTCTTAAGTCGTAAGTGATTGTCTCTATATTTATCTATTTCAGTGAGATCGAAATCAGATCCGATATTGGCAAGATCTAGATCCGGAGGAAATACGCGCCTGGGTACGCCGTCTTCGTCCTCATTGCTATCGCCAAAGTCTAATTCCAAATGAAGTTCGGATCCAGCTTCGTCGAGGCGGCTATTGAATTCTTTTAACGTTTTACTTGGAATAAACTGGAAGAAGTCCATTGGAGGTAATGTTTTAGTTGCGGTTACGAAACGCGTTATTTGATATGTTTGTATGAACGTTAAACTGCTGGTTTGGTTAGAATCTCTCACGATAGGTAAAATATGCGTTTTTAACATGTTTTGTGTTGTACTAAACGTCTCGGTTACTGTTTCTAATGGAGGCGTTTCGATATCAGACGATAGAGTGATGGCTGGTAGTGTTGCTATACTTGAATCTAAAAGGTAATGATCTTTTCCATAGGGGGACGCCGTGGCTAATATATTTTCTGTCAAGGGTTCGTTGAGAGAACTCGGCGATAAGGTCGGTTCAATATGTTTTTCTATAGTCGTTGTAACTGTAATAATCCGAGTATTTTTAACACGTCCAACCTGTAAAAATAAAAAAAATATTAGTTTAGTGTAAACAAACTATAAATGTGACTTAATAGTATGTCTATTCACCTGGAATGTAAATGGAGACTTAAGGGTTGCAATTTCATAGTAGACATCACTAAAGTCAGCTGGAGTAGAGATTTCTACTTTTAAAGTTTCTACTGGTGGAGGTTTCTCGATAGAATTGTCTTCAGAATCGTTATCCAATAAAGTACCAGGACCAGTTTGTGATCCTGACAGCTCGAGATCATTGTCGGAGCGAGCTTGAGGGGTAACATCGTTTGACTGCACATCGTCAAATAGAGGATTTGAGTTAGGTGTAGTCTGTTCATCGTCACCATTCATTTTTCGAATAGTTACTTTAGGCTTAGGGCTTGTCTTGTATTGCCACCGACCAGACCCTGGAGCACGATTTAGTTTAAATTTGTAAACACTTGTAGTTGGAGAAGGCGTGACTTGTTCAACCGCTGAAGGCTGTACGCGAGGTTTAAAACCTCGTCGGGGTTGATTATTATCGTTGTTACTGGAAGGCGTGACGGTAGTTTTATGTCCAGAGTTACGGTTATTCTTTTTTCTGTTCGAGAATGATGGCGCAGGAGTTTCACTGAAAACAGAGACGGTTGCCAGTTGAGGAGTGTTTGTGGGTCGACCAAATCGTGTACTGAAAATAGAATAGCGAGTGGTGTGTAACGTGCAAATAGTCTTTACATATGTGTATAAAGGGTGAATAGCTTAAATACTATTGAAGTATTAAAAAAAGGTATGCATTATAAGCTAAACAAAAGTAATACCTTAATGTCCGTTGGCCATTTGACGAATTTCTGTTCTTGAATTTTTTGGCCTGATTGACTGGCTCAACGCTGTCATTTTCATTGTTTTGTGAACGATGCCTATTTTTAAAAGAGCTTCCAGTATTTCCCGGTCGTCGAGAGGTCTTTGTAAAAGAATCTTCATCACTTATTGACGGAGTTGGTTCTAAATTGTGCCTATGATTTTTCGCTATAGCAGGAGCCGCAGTTTTTAAAATTCTATGTGTAGGGCTAGGAGAAATCTTTCCTTTATGACCAGATTGTATTATTTTTGAATTGCTATTTAGAACCTGAGCATATTTTCCCGATATGTATGTACCAATAACACTTGTTTCGTGGACGGTTGTAAGCCCATCTTTAACAATTGTCCCTCCAAGAGTAGTGACAAGCCCCAGAGGGTGTTCTTCGTCATCAGGTGGTGGAGTGGGGGGATGAACCCGAGTTTTGGGACCCTTTGGTTTTTGACCATGTGCTTTAGATGGACGCAAATTTATTACTCGATAGGTTTCTTCCACAAATTCAGAAGGTTGTCTGGATAAATAATCATATTCCGGTTCACCAATGTTATTGTTGTTGACCAAAATGGCAGGCTCTTCCTCATTCTTCGTTGATTGGCTCTCAGTTACTTTATTAATTTTTGAATTTATTACTACGGATGGTGGTATATTTTGTTTAACCTCCACTTTACTGCTCACAACGTTTGTTACACTTTTAATTGTTTGTTGTTTTTTAGTATCTTTCTTTCCACCTTGGCTAGATTGCTTATTTACTTTAGATTGTGATTGTTTCACAGGGTTATTCTCAACTATTTTTGACGGACCCGTGAACACTTCAACTTTAGTAATAATTTGCTTTTGTTCTTTGTTGGCCGCTTTAGGAGTGGGCGGCTTATCTTCACTTTTCGGTGGCGAGGTAACTACTGACACTGAACTTGATGCTAAAATTAGAGAGGATGCTTTGTTCGTTTTATCTTTGTTAGCTGTTTTACTGGGCTTTATTGCTTCGGGTTGTATACTGGTAGTTGGGGGTGGTTTAGTTTCTATAACGTTATCCTGGATGGCTTTTTCCGTAACCGGTTCTGAAAAGTAAAATAAATAAATAAAACATTTTTCAATATACCTACGTGCCAAAATACAAATAACGTAGTGTTTTTTTATGTTACCTGGTGCAGGAGCTGAATGTGGAGAGAACACCATCACCGTATTTCCTATCGTTGTAGTGAAATCTAGGAAACCATATACGGTTTGAGTCAAGAAATTCGCTGGGTTACCCGTGGTGACGCCACCTAGAAAAAAATGATTTAGCTAGTTATAACTATGTTTATTTTATGCCCATTACAGTAAAACCTAAGAGTTTACCTGAAGAAAAAAAAAAACTTATAGAAAGTAATAAATAAGACGCCTAAAACATTTGTTATAAGACGAAAAAAGAAGGATAAAATGTTATTAAAAATATTATTTCAATATCATTGAACAGTTAATGGTCTGTATTAAGATCCTTATAGAGCTCAAAAAAGGAAAAAAACACAAACAAAGCCATTCAAGACATGCGAATCTTACGAATTAATGATGTGTAATGTCGTTAATAAAAAGTGTTTGTTCGACAACGTATATTACTTGGTTCCTGTTTTGTTGAAATAAGCTTGGAATGTTGACATAGATCTATGGCAATGGGGTACTTGAGTATCATAAAAAAGGCTACAAAGGTAAAATAACTTAAGAGAGTATTATACGTATATATTAAGCCAGTTCATTTGAACCAGAGTTCCCCAAACTTTTTTGTGTCGTAGACCCTTTGCCATGACGTCTTTCCGTGTTGGGTCTCCCCTACTTACCTGATAATGATTTTCTATAAATTTCTAACTGTAGTAAAGTTTAGTGTTAAAAACTAAACACACAAGAACATCAATATTTTTTTTTACTTAGGTACATAGGTACTTTTATAAATAATGTATATCATGTTTTGATAATATAAGATAGTATGACATTTTCACTTCAAGAATCCCCAAATATTTTTTCCCTGACATAGACAGGCGAATGGGTTTTCTTGCACCCTGTAAGATTCTATCTTTGAGTTTGTAATGTGATCGATGCTAAAAAAGAAAGAGCGTGTTTGATAATGATTTGAAAACATACTTTTAAACGCAGTTAGATTTCTTTGTAATGCATTTTTTGCTATTTGACAAATTTATTGTATAATAATGTACGGTATATTGTGCAATGGCAGTAAGCAAGATGCAATATGATGGAAGTGCCGAAAGATCGGCGCGGAATCATAAAATTGCTGCGTTATCGTGCATTGGTGCCAAAATCAAATTTATATTGCATTCTCGCTTTGGAAAGTAACAAAATTCAAGGAGTCGTTCCTCTATATTCTTGTTACTTCCGCACAATTTGCTAGCAAGTGAACTGAGATAGTCCTTTGATAAGGATCGGGGACGCCTTCGAGTACCTAATCTATGCTTACTGAAATGCTTCTCAATTTACTTTTTAGAACAAAAATCACATACATAGCAAAATGACACAGGGTCACTTATAATCGTGTTGATTTATAAAAAGAATTGAAAAGGTTCTGCATTTGTTATATGCGGAAAAGTCAGCTAGAGCGATGATTTTCAGCTTATTATGGTGACTGATATTTATAATAAAATAGTTGTACATATGTTACCGAACCGCTACTAGATGGCGCTATGTAATATTTTACTCGTTGTTAGATCGCGCTAACTAAACATTTCTTTCTAAATAAGAATACTGATTTTTTTCCCTTAGATTCTATACTAATACAATATATTGTTTAATTACGTCTCCTTCCGCTAAAATTAAAATAGGTAATTGTTTGTGATACTTGGCAAAGCAAATGATAACACACACTTCGCAGTTATCAAAGATTGTGATTTATTTGTAACTGTTGTGTTTTGTTAATTCGAAAGTGAGCACTATTACAAACATACTCGAAACTTATTAAGCCACATTCTTTTAAAATTACTGTGATAGACTTTATAGCATCCTGACTAATAAGAAATAGTGATGTCACACTTAAACACGTCGCCTATATATGTATACTTGAATTTGTGGCGAATATAATTTAGAAAAACTAGGTATGATTCTGTAGTTTATGCGAGTAGTACACATTTAAATAAAACACTTTAACGTTTTAAAACGCAATAAATATTAGACAAAGGTGTCTCCCCGTGACCACTTCTGCTGCAAAGCATCCGAAGCGTCGGGCCGAAGTTAAAAATAATTTTAAATAAGTTTAATTAGTGTATATCGCGTTTTAAACACTTTAAGTGTTTTATTATTTAAATGGGTTTGTCACTTTATTACGTGAGATAAGATTTCAGCACATCGTTTCTAAAATCAGTATTGTCTAAATACTAAATAACAATACATGTTTAGGTTGTACGATTTTCTAAGGCTTACAAAGCAACTAATATTACAAAGCAACATTATTTATAGAAATTCAGGTGCATAGAGAATTCAATTAGCGTGTTCCTGCATCACGTAAACATTACAAAGTTGGGAAATAAGTAGCCTTTTGTGAAACGTAATGAGCCCACTGATTTTAACGTTAGATCGTATATGAATATTCGGTTGTCAAGTTTTAATGAATGTTTAACCTTTAGTTTTCCGAGTCATGGGTAAGTGAGAGATAAATTAGCTAAAAGATAAGCATGATACTGTCTGTAGTTTACGCGAGTCGTACACATTTAATTAAAATACTTTAAGGATTAAAACGCGAATTATATTAGTTAAACTCATTTTAACTACGGCCCAATGTTTCGGATGTTTTGCAGCAGCCGTGCTCACGGAGAGATTAAAGATGGAAGCTGTTTCTGACGTCTAAGTAAAGAATTGCTACGCTAGCACTATCTGCTCTGTCGAAGTCGGTATTTGGCGAAATTAGCCGGGTCCTTGAATTGACTAACGGTGTCTTCGCGTGTGCTGGTATCCTGTTTATTAGCGTATTATTCAAAATTAGTTTAACTAGTATATGTCGCGTTTTAAACCGTTAAAGTGTTTTATTTAAAAGCTAAGTAAGATTCATTTTCGTATTTTGGTTTTTACTTACATAGCGCCGTGAGCACTAATAAGAATGATATTCGGGAATCCATCGTTCGTATTTTATTTTTCTGCTCGTGTTATGCCTGAAGTTCCCTTTTATCAGCTGAGACAGCGATGTGATCGCATTTTGAAAACTGCAAGTCTTCAGAAACGTAACCTGAAACAATTGAAAACACACTTCATTTTTTGAAATTGAAATTCTGTAATTCAAAGATTGCGATAACATATGTGAAACGCGTTAAATGGTTTGCAAAAACCTGGAGCTATGAGGCGTAAGCATCGCTGATTAAATATAAACTGAATGAATAAACTGTTATAAAACGATTCTCCATACAATACACGCATCGGTGGCCAAAATAATCACTCAACATGCAAATCGTGGAGCGGACTCACCCTCTCATTTCATTGGTATCCCAATTCATTGCACACAACCGATACGGCTTTTAGTATATAAAATTTTGCTATACTTGTTTAGACCGTTGTATTTAAGATATATATAAAACGTCTTTTAGAGTTAATAGATACAAATAATTTCATAATACTAAAGTAGATTTTTGAAAAATAAAATGTTTCGAAGACTTATAACATGCGTTTTAAGGTTTTTTAGTCGTGATAATATGATATTCAAATCAAATCATTTAATCCACAAGCACAAAAATACAAGGAATACAAAAAAAGACAATGACATAAATAATAAGAGATGTATGTGGACACCACTCAGTTTGTTGTACCTGGATGTAAGCACAACGCCGATTTTCAGTGATGCGTCACGCTTGACATTTAACGTAGAACTAGTAGCATATTAAAACCACTTAAATACGAAGACGAAGTCGCTGTTACAGCTAGTAACAATATAAGAGGATAATAAGACTATTAATTCCCTTATTATTTATGTTGATGTAGTGAACGATTACATTTGGTAATTCACGATTGGCATCCATTGTGGGGTTGTGGCATTTGAAGGCACGACTGGAGGATCTAAGGTCGGGTAGGTTAGCTCTGGAATTTGCAGTGCACTGCGAAATGTCTTAAATAGGATCGATAGACTTCTATTCGTATACCGAGATGATTAAATTCCATTGGAATACGATGTACTGTTGAGTATAGTGTATATACGTATATATTTTAGTTAAAAACGGATTGTATAAATTAAAAATCGATTCAAGACGCGAAGATTCGATGCGCGGCAGATTTTTTTTTAAAACGTAAACGTTTTTTCCATTCAAAAATCGATTTTTAATTTGCCTAAAGCCAAAACGTGCAACATATGAAAAATATTAAAGTTTTCAACAAAAAGCCGGAATGTATATAAGAACAAAGACTTATATCTTAAACCAATGTCTTCTTCTAGCTACCATTTACAGAGTTACTGCTACTAAAGGTCGAATAACTTGTCGATTTAATAAGATAAGTCTAAGATTATAAGATAACTTCAAACATCTATAGTAGCTTAGGAAAGAGGATAAACAAGAATGCACTTGAACGTGAAATGCCCCAACCCTATACAACTAATAAGATGTGTTGTCGTCCTATTTGGGATTTGGATATTACAAAGACGGCTAAACTGACACGCGAATTTACACTAATAGTTTTTCTATCTATGTAGCGTTTCGCGCCCGGCAGAAATTTTGATTTATTCATCACACAAATATCGGTAGAATATTATTTCATTTACAAGTTTGTGGCATAGTATTTTTCGATGTTTCTTCAAGTACAATCTGTATTACATACGCAGCGTATATTTTGACATTGGAAATTCGAAATTCCACAGACTGAAAACGAAACAGACTAAACATTACGAGATTTTTCGACTGTAGGCGTTGTATCACTCATTTCATAAGAGGTAAAACGTGTTGCAGAAAAGTAATAAATTGATTAGATACAATATGTTGCACACGTCGAGGATCTAACCCACGACTCGTTGAATTGCCTCACATTGCTACCATACCAACAAGTCCGTCTAATATACAGTGCACTTACTGTAGCTTGCCTTACATTTTGTACTTTTGTACCTTGGAGATTCAGATGTCCTTTGCTCAGGTTACCGTGCAGGGTAAACCAGAAACGTCAAATTGCTAACGCTTGCACACTTGCACAGTGTCAGCACGGAGGCATCTGAACCAAATTCCCGTGCAAATTGGCATCTATTGTGTACAGTCCAGTCGCTAGTCCGGCTGAGGCGACTGCATTGAAAGCATTTGAATTCATCCTAAGTTCCGATCGTAAGCACCCGTCGCACTTCAATACGGCGATACGTAATTGATGTTTACGTTTGATCAAGCGCATCTATTTTAGATTGAATAATTTGGTGACACTGGCGGGAGTTGAACCCGCGACTGTGTTGTATAAATATTGTTTTAATAAGGAGCAGACAAGCAAGAGATTTACTTGTTGAAAGATGACCTACCATATAACATTTAAAAAAGATATTTTGTCAACCTATTTCGGCTTTGGATATTCGGATACACATATGCTGTTGCTCTCCTGATTAATCTGCTGATGCCCGTTTCTTAAACATCATTCATGCCCGTAACTTTCGGGTTTGAATTGTCATCAATTTAGTCGTTAAAAATAATAATCTTTCACCAACCGAAAAATGGGACATAGTGCGGGTAAATAAAGCAAACGTATTTATTGTTTCTGCTACAATGCGTTGGACATTTAGCCTTATCTAAAAAGTAAAGTAGTTTTTCATTAAATTGTTCAGTTGTAGCAATGGGCAATATCTACATAGAAAGATACTTCTATGGTACACAGGAATTTATTAACAGTCTTCTCTAAGGTTGATGATCTTTCAAGATGCGTGATTAAAAATTAAAATGATCTCTGTAAAGTCAAAGGACCTTGCCCTCTCCAATAAAAAAAATGTCACAAGATGTCATCAAAGGACGGCATAGTGAAGGGAAGGTGAGTGTTTGCTAGCGAGATGAGCTCAGTAATGTTTGTGGTTGGGAGTCAGCTATTCATAGACTGAACGATTTGATATGAGGCAAGTGGTTGGAATGATTGAAGTTCGGGTCGAAGTGTTAGTCAGTTAATTGGTGCCTATTTGTGGCTTGAAAGTGGATAGATATTTTTACTTTGACGTTAAGTGAAAGTAAAACGTTAAAAAAATTTAAATTTTAAAGTAGAAGATACATTTTCCGTTAGAGTTGTTGCTTTATCAACCTTTTTTCAACACAGTTTGTAGATATAAGTATTTAAAACTATTTTATATTTAGACGGGATTAGATCCCACAAACAAAAGATCACGCCTTTTTCTTCTTCAAGTCTTTTATTACATGTTGCCTGAAAGAGATCGCCTTTTAAAATATTATAGCAAATAAAGAACTTCTAGTTCTTATTATTGTTCCAGGATAAGGAGAATTTAGGTGTGTTAAAAAATAAACAAAATAGAAGAATAAGAATCGCCTTATAGCTGGTAGAGGTGCGCAGAACGGTTTGGCTGCAGCCCAAGCACGTTTTGCATTTTATTCAAAACGTTGACGTGAAGGATAAAGTTATATTATTTTACTACTTTGACGTGCTCTGCATTCACTCGAATAGACTAAAGCAATTGTTACAGTTGTCGAATTAAATTGATAAAACATTTTAAAGTAATTTTCTAGAACTGTACAGATTAAATATTTTATTGCAAATAGTTACAACTATGCCATTATAAAGATAATTAAAACATCGAAATTATACACACCAACATTCGCAGCGTAAAGTGTATCAATTGTTTTAAAGTTATTTTTTTCACCTTCCATCAAGTAAAGTTTTTGTTCTTTGTCTTTTGTCCAGAAGTATTACACACACTTCTATAATACAAGTATGTACACATGGAGCAGAGTTTAAGAAAACTTTTCAAAATTACTATCTGCTGTAATTTAACGATGTAATGTAAATGTTTGGAGATCAGGCGGTAGTTAGTTTACGAAGTCATAATCCCATCCAAACAATGTCTAAATGCGAGCTTGCTTAACAAAACCGCATCTATTTACGTCTCCTACTTCTTGTTTATTATTATGATTAAATATGCATTATAACTTCGCTGGAAATTGTTAGTTGATGTGTCTTCAATCTTAATCAAATTAAATGAAAGTGCTGTGGTGAAATCATAATTATCTAGACGTAAAAGATTTGTACTTAACCTTATATTTCACAACGGTATAAGTCATTGGTTTTCAAACTAATTTCTTGGCAATAATTTTGTTACTGTTAAAGTAGTGTTAAAAATTAGACTTTTTGTTTTTGCCCAGCAACGCGGTGAGCGTGTAACTCCAGGATTCGGTTACCAAAGAAATAAATAAGTAGAGTTGATGGGACGGAGTTCAAGTCTGAGAGTAAAAAAAATAATTAGTTTTAATTGCTAAATGATTAAGGCGTTTATTTATAATATATATGAACACTTTATCGCACATTAGACAAGAACAAAATACAAACAATTTACCGCTTGTTCCAGGCAACCCAGAATGAAAAAAAAAGTTTACGGAAAACGAGATGTGCGAGGATAAAACAAAATATACAATCTTAAAAATAAAAAAAATATAAAAGTAAATAATACACAAGAAATAAATTGACAGTAGATATTATGAATCAGAAGGAAGGAATCGATACTTATAGTTGGTTGCAAGTACTCTCTTAACTACCATAAACACGATTTTTTAAACAATACAATGAAATAGAATACTTTTGAATACTAAATATTTTAAGCTTTTAATAAATTATATCAAAACGTACACATTGAATTCTAGATTTTCTTAGAAATTGGTTTGGTAATTATGTATGATAATAGGTATAAGCGATAACTTATGTATCGGCATTACAATGAGTCATTGAGCTAATGCCAAGAAGACGAAGGGAGTGCCAAATGAGCTTAAACAATTAATATGGATTTCCATTCTTACTGACGCCCACATCACAAACACTCAAATAATATCTCCTATCGTCTGTTTACATTTACCCTAAAGATGTCAAGGAGTAATAACAGATCGTATATAGCTAATTAATTCTATTTTTAGTCTCAGATATTTAATCTCTTTCACGGGCGCGTTGTTCTAGTGCTGAC